GCTTGTTCTCCGTGCCCCATGACTTTATTGGGTTGTTGTTCAGCACGTCGTTCTGCAGATGGCATGAAAATAATTGTTACCGCTGTTCTGCAGTGTGTCTCAGTGTTGCATGCATGACTTTATGGGCTTGTTGTTCAGCACGTCGTTCGGCATGTGATTTGCACTGTTCTTCTAATCTCACATGGTCCTGCATGCGAGACCATGTGAAGTCGTTTAGCCACGTGGGCCAGGACAGATGAGCAAGACATTGTCTCTATGCACGCCCCAGTATCACATGCAAGCCGTCAAGAGGCATCCCAGCTGACCCATAGACCCCATGTACGCATACATGCTGAGATTCTCTCACAGACTTATAAAAAAACGAAGAATTGGTGCAGAGAGTGCTGGAGTGGCCCGAATTTCTTTCTGAATTTTGTGTGTGTGGAATCGAAATCGAATTCAACTTCAAATTCAACTTCAAATGCAAAAATTGTCACCTTGGGGCTGAGCTCCATGCGGCGCCAGTCGCAGGAGATGCAGATCTCGCTGCGGAAGTTGAACTTGTCCAGGTACGTCTCTGTGTCGGCCTTGATCAGACTCGCAATCGCAGAGGCCAGGGGATCCGGCCTGTAGGCCTCCTCCTGCACACAAATGACACAACACCCAGAACCCTCAGCCCCTTGACTGCAAGAAACCTGCCCAAAGATGTTGGGCTTGGCTTTCATGCCAGCTTACTGGCAAAGTTTGTCAAAAGCAAGGGCAAATCTGGATTGAGAGGTCATGGTCTGCTTGCAAAGAAAATTCACTAATCTGCCCTTGAGTCATCAGGATGTCTGCCTCCAAAATGGACTTGAGGGTATCTGGCGCAGGCCAGCCGGTGCACGCCTCAAATATTGAGAAGAGCAGGTCGAGCTTAGGGCCGTGCAAGTCCTTGGCCCCCTGTGAGGCGTATAAAGCACCAAAGCTGAGGGAAGCGCCTCACCATGTTGGCGGGGAGGGGTAGGGAGCGGGCGTGGGTGGCCATGGTGTCCAGAAGCTGCCGGATGAAGGGGCTGTTGCGGATCAGAAACACCCCAGCATCCACGCCTGCACAAGACGATTGGCAAGGTCTCAATACTACTCAGCCAATATCAGTCATAGCACACCACACCACCTTTCCGCGCCCCCAAGCTCTTCAGCACCGGATGTCATCTTGATTGTGAAACCTCCACCAATCTTGGTCAGCGCAGACCTGGCCGTACCTCTGCGCCCCGAGCTGTGAAGTTGCAGGATATTCAAACACCAGTGCTATGCTGTTGCTGGTCTGCCGGCCTCAGAAAGACAGCCAGCACTCATGGCTTTGCAAACAAGATTCTTTTGACGATGCCAAATTAGGATTTTACGAGGAGGGTACCTTCTGACTTGCCATGTGTTCCTTCCCTACTGATCGACCTTTCAAATACATCGAAGGTAGACAGCTACCATTGTCTGCTTATCTTAAAGAACACTCTGCTGGTCAAAAGACATACCATTCAGCCAACGATTATCGTATGATCCTTCTGGGAGTACTATGAGAGTGACTCACCGGAGGCCCAGCCCTGCTTGGCTGAGTTGGCGTCCCCCACGGAGACCCAGTCCTTGCCCTGGTACATCTCAAAGGGGAACGTGAACGCGATGTCATCGATAATGGTGTCCGGCTGCATGTACAGGATCCAGGGGACGCGCTCCGGGGGCGTCTCCTTCAGCACCTTCTGCAGCAACGCCACCTTGTTCCACGTCCAAATCTGCACCCAACAAAGGAACACACGCATGTCAGTCTGTCGCTAGAGCTTCTAATCTTCAAGCGACAACCTAGGAACTTGGAACTTCCCCACAGCCAGTAACATCTCTCCTGAAGCAAGCCATGCTGTTCTGATGTGATGCATGCCACAGCATGCCTCAAAATGAATCCTAGGAAGTACGTGGTGCAGCATGCAAGTGTGCAAATGCCCCATAGGACTCAGCTAGATGCGTATTGTGGTGAGTGCAAGCTTCATTCCAGAAATCAGTAAGCAGGGCAAAATCTCCCATACTAGAATGTTGAGTGCAGTTCCTGTGCACTCACATCCATGTATTATGCTGCCATGACTTTTGTGTAATCAACGCTTGAAATACAGGAGAAATTAATTCGAGCAACCAGGGGGCCGGCGTGGCGCACATCAAGGGCGCCAGGGGGCCGGATGGTGGGATCGACAGTTCCCGTGCTGAGGTAGAATTGGTACGAGTGCCAGCGCGCATAGTCCTGCACCAAAAATCAAGCTCTTGCACAACCTGCCCAAGGGAGCCTGAGAGTAATGGTAAGCCGGACGTAAAGACTGCCGTAGTAATGATTCAGGAGGCCGAGGATCTGCGTTGTTCAAAGAGGTGTAGCACCACGTCAATATTTGCAATCTGGCTTGAAGTCAGCGTTCTGATCATGATCAAAGGACCCGCCAAGGGACTGCTCTTCTGCCTTCAGTCAGCCTGGTTGCCTCGCACGAAATACGGTACACTGCAATCATGCCAGGCCTTTCCCTCTAGCATACCACAACAGAAAGGTCTTCCCTACAAAGCTGAATGCGAGACCCCTCTCTCTTGGGTGTTAAATTGAAGATGAAGCTCAGGTGTCTCCGTACCTGCTTGTTCATGATTCCCAGCAGCGTTGCCCGGTCGCCCTGCTCCAGTGGGCAGCCCTTCTCGGGCACGGAGGTGACTATCATCAGCTGAGTCACCGGCGCCGAGTGCAGCCGGATGAAGGTGTGCTGCCCCTGCTTCTTCCCTGGGCGCAAGTGGCAGTCACTCGCTCAATACATTCCCATGCTCATCGGTACACCTCCCATCCTCTGCAGACAATGAAGCAATAACACAGAGCACAAGCCTAAGAAAGAAAAGACAAAGTCTGTGCATGGTGGTGGTCAAAGACAAGGGCGAAGTCCATGCATCATCAGACGCCACATGGCGATAGGAAGGCTTGCCAACGCCTACTGCTTAATCTCTATGATTTGCCAGCTTTTTGGTTTTGTGTATCCACGACTGCAAGAGGAAGGCCGCACACAACGCTGGCTGCATGAAGGGCAAGAACATGGAGTGCAGTCTCTCATGCACACGGGTGTGAGAAAAAAAGGTCTCACTCTTGATGTAGCCAGAGGTGAAGACAGAGGGCTGGAAGTTCTTGGTGAGCTCCTCTGCAGGAACACCCCAGGGCTCATGCGGATCCCACTTGAGCTGGCAGCCCCTGTAGGGGATCTGCGTCAGCAGCTCATCAGTGCAGCTCTTGGGGTCGTCGCACCACGTCCACGCATTGCAGTTGTAGTCAGCCCTGCATGCAACAAATAACCATCACACCAGCACTCCTCTACCAAGAAAGATACGAAGCTCAAATTTGAAATATGGGGGTAGAGAGCTTCCAAAGAAAGAAGGGCAAGAAGCAGCTCAAGGCAGGACGAATTCCTTACAGATAGATACACCCTCGATGATAATCCCCTTAAGGCAGGAAAAAGCTCATCTACATTCAGGGCCCCAGAAAAGCAATGGAGAGGGAAAAGGGTGACCCACTCGCAGGCTGCAGCGCAGTCAGAGGCTGAAGATTTGACATTCTGCTCTCCCGGAGTGATGATCTTTCCTAGCTTGCTGAAGAGCCCATTTGGCGGCACGCATGCTCCATGGCTTAGCTTTGTGCGCGTGTGTGTAGGCGACAAGTGATGCAAGTTGCAGAGGGCGGGCTGTGCTAACAAAGCTGCCAACACCAGTGTCTGCACGCATCTCCCAATCCTGGATGGTTGCAACACACAACACTGAATGAGTGGTTCCAAAAGAGGCTGGCACGCAAACAAGCAGTTTTAGCACATGGGTAAGCCTCTCCCTCCATGGTGTGAGCTCCTGACTCGCATTCACACCATGCACGGATAGGATTCCGCTCACCCGCATAATCTGTGGTCAGGACGTTCATGCTGCATAGTGCCGAAGCGTCCCAGATTTCACATGCTCCTCAGGGACAGTCCATTCCTCTCGAACCCCACATATTTGGCAGTTACCAGAACTTGCGTAGACCTGGAGATGCATGAAAACATCATTGAGATTCGTCATTCGACTTCCTTGGCAGTTTCAGATGACCCCCAACCGCACCTCAGCTGGTGACATCCAAAAATTGGTGTTCTTCAGACTGAAGCAAGACAGGGCCAATGGACACCTCCAACTAGTCAACACCATACAAAGAAGTTTCGCTAATTTACCAAGAATTTTCTTCCCAGTTCCTCTCGATATTCCTCAAGCTACAACATGCTCACTAGCCCAATATGCCTCCAAGACGCCCCAGCACTCCATACCTCTCTACTCCGGATGGGGCACACATCAATATGTCTTACAAACCAATCTTACATGGCCAAGCTCTGCGCCGCAATAACATTGGAAAGGTGCCTTCCTGCTAGACTTGTTCTAGTTCTGCAGGCGATCTGGACAATTTAGTCTGACCGATCTGTTCCGACACGGAACCGGATCAACGTCATCGAGAACTAGGTAGCTTATCAAAAGATATCAGCACGATCCTAGGACTCTCTTCCCCATCGCGCACCTCTGAACACCCGAGGATGCTCTCCGAGACCGACTGCAAGCTCCTGTCTCTGGCGCTGTCTACGTACCCACTCGTGCTGCACGCTCCCACTATGCTCCGTATGTAACAAAACAACCCTCCACGGCGATGGATGGGAGCATCGATCAGGAAGAACGGGACTTCGATGCGAAACTGGCCCTCATTGATCTGTGCCACTTGGAGGAGGGGGACGGTACTGCGACTGCCAAACTTGGCGACGCTCCGAGAGAGACCACTCATCCCTGCAACTTCCGCTCATCCCCGGCGCTCATACTGCTCTTGCTGGGATATGATGTGCAGGATACAACAAACTTTGTGAGAAGGTGAGGTTGTCGTTTAAGGCTCGTAGATCCCTGACATCAAGACTTTCATCGATGTGCATCGGATCCGCCCGATGAAACTTCAAGAGAGTCAAGGACAACAGAGAAAGCCTGCAGACATTCATTTTCAATTACAGGAAAACGTCTCATGGCTCGATGCCATCGCTTCGCTCTTTCCCTAGGCCAGCTTTGTACAAATTGCAACGCTGCGTATCAGTTTAATAAAAGTTGCTCACTGGTGAAGTTCACTCACGTTCCAAACTCGAATTCGCAAGCTGCACATTCTTCGGCTGCACACTTCCGCATGCATCCCTGCATCAAGACAGTCTCTGCAAGGAATGGCCACGCAGACAGAACCCAGTCCGAAGGCAACCTCAAACGCACCACGGTGCATGGCTGCCCGTTTACTCACACCACCGCCACACTTTCTAGCTCTGTCCTCCAAGCCGCTAGGAATCACTCCATCTTATCAACCATGTTATCCACCAGACCTCCAGCTGTACCCTCAGCTGTCCCTGCATCTCCCTTCTGAAGATTCATATGTCCAACTGCCGGAGCATCAACCATCCGTGTATCGCCACCCACAGGACCCAATCTCTCAGCTCCTAAGGCGACAGCTGCTAGTGAGTCAGCCGCCGCTGACATCACCGCCGCTGACATCACCGGCTCCTGTGCACTATCAGTCACCGCTTCTGCAGCCGGGAGCTGATCGTCTGCTACGTCCATGATGACATCTGCTGGCATTTCTGGTCCGGCCTCATCTGGCGCGTTGGGGGCTTCTGCCTTCACCTCCCTGTCAATGCATCCCCACAGAAAGCTCGATCAGTACTGAAGCCACTACTCCGCGGCAGTGATCAATTATTAGCAAGGGCAAAAGCACCCCAATGGGTGTGCACAAGAGGCTTTTCAAGCCCTTGGGCACACCTGTCTGTTTGGGCATAGATCCACGTGCATTTCTGGCAACCCGAGAGGACGCATTCTCCACATGCAAGACTGGGACAAGGCTTCTCAATGGTTCTGAGAGGTAAATTCCAAGGTGCATCACCTGTCGACATCAGCGGGCTGAGCCTCACTCGCCGGAGCATCATAGGAAGTGAGCGGCACAGTCTGCAGCAGCCTGGCTTTCACATAGGGCGCCATATCTACGCCCTCCCTCATCTTCAGCTCCCTCGGGGCTGTCACCTGCCATTATACACATGCCATTGTGCACCAGCGCAGAAAATCCGGGCCCGCGCAGGACAGTCACCCCATGTTAGACACATGCCGCTTTTTCCCCCAGCGCAAATTATCAGCACAAACCAGCTCAAAAGGTACAGTGAAAAAAATCTGTCTGGCACAGGTCACGTTGAAACTCTGATCCATATCACATCGTTGTGTCAACACAGAGAGGCATGCTGGGGAAGGAACCTCGGCTCTGCCCGCGCAACGGAAGACCTTCAGCTTGGACCCGGGACTCGAAGCTGGCCTAAAGCTTGCGCGCATGAGGTGGGCCAGGTTCGAGTACTCTGATCCAAGCAGGAAGAATTGGTTGGCAAGGGCAGAGCCAGAGGTTCAGGCCCTCAGAAGTCTGTAGGTGGCGTGACTCACCAGAGTAAGGGTGTCAGCAGAGAGCTCCTTGGCAAGGTAGGGCGCCGTGGGAAAGTGCAGCAGCGGCAGCGCTGACAGCCGCGCCAGCTGGCGGGCGCTTGCCGGATCGTAGCCTGCCTTGTCGGGCCAGTGCTGCACGCCAGATCCCTGCAATGGACACGTAATCCAATTTTACAAGCCCCTTCTGGGAGCATACAGAAACTTTGCAAACACTCCTTATTGACACATCTCCTGGCACTCAACATGCATTACCTCCTAAGCGGCCCACTGACTTCTGTCATGAGTGTGATACTGCATGTGTCAAGCACATCCGCCGTGAACAGAGCATTACCTCTAGATTGCACGTTCTATTAACCATTGAAACTAATTTCTGAACTTTGCAGAACTATTGCCTGGTGAGCTGGCGAGCATGAAGGAAAAGGTCATCACCTGAGGAGTGGCTTCTCCAGCGCTGGGCTGCGGCACAGCCGGCAGCACGAGCAGCTTCACGCCGGCTGCCAGCAGGGCAGACTCCAATTGCGCGAGCAGCGCGCGGCCGAGGCCGTTGCCCTGCAGCTCCGGGCGCACCGCCAGAACTGGCACCTCCGCCACCTCAGCGCCATGCGCGCGCACCAGGCCTGCACACCAGGATAGACCGCTTTATTTCACAATTCTCAGCACGTCACTGAGAGACAGCCCTGCAGGCACAGCTGCGGCGGCAATTGAGCTGCCTGAGATCGCACTTCCGTGGGATTATGAGAGCTTACGCACGTGCAGACTCAAGGAACACAACTTCCTTTAGCAATGCCTGCAGGGAAATCCTTGAAAAGCAATGGTTGCTCAAATATCCGTCTTGAGTATTCAATAAAAGGAGGAGCACGTTAAAGGATTCAAAGCCATACTGCAGCAGAGAAAAGCCAGCGTGCCAGGCACATTAGGAGATACTGTTTTTCAACTCTCAAATCCAGACATACAGTGATAAGCCGTGGCGCACCAACTGCAGCGAGTGTCCGTCCAAGCCAGAGCATCGCTGTATGGAAGCGCGAGAAATCCACGACGCGTTTTGCGGCGGCCTTGCCCTGCAGGAGCATGGGCAGCAAGTCCTGCCCGGTGCGGCTGTCGGGCAGCCCGCCGGTCGCCTCCGTCACAATGTGCCGCGCCGCGAACAGCACCTCCCTAAGCTGCGCCCTCGCCGGGGCGTCGTACTGCGGCGCAACTCCCCGGCAGTCCTGCGCAAACGGGGGTGATTACGGGGGTTTGAAAGTAGTCTGTCATCCCTGGATCCTAAGGCAGTAGCTTGACCTCTGGGTGGGGTACTCTATTGCATCTCCGTTGCAAGACCCTGGCTGGGAGTCATTGTCGGCATGGAAGAAAATGACGCTGCCAGGAGATCCAAGCACCCCGCTGAGACACACTATTGCAGGGTGTGTCACCGGCAGGCGCAGGCGCAAAGCGTAATTGACAACCACAACCTCTTCCAGGCGCGGCAGTTCATTTAGGGATGCAATTTGATGCTGCATGGAAAACCCCGTGGCAACAGGCTCATTCAGCTTTAGATGCCGGTGGTAAGCTGATGACGCATGCACTCAATGCTTGGACACGGTCTCCTCAACGTGGGCCACTTGTGGCAAGAAGGGGATTTGTGGAGTTGCTGGTTCTTTGGAAGTTACTAGAACGTCTTCTGGCCGCACCTGGGGAGCGCTGACGGCGGTGCCGCGGACGAGCTGCCAGGCGGGCGCCAGGTCAGACGGTGCATTTGGCGCTGCCTGAACAGGCAGCAGGCCTGCAGCTGCCAGCCTCGCCAGCTCAGCGTCCACCGCTCTGCACCCCTCGCTGTGGAACCAAGCTCCCTTCACCGCCTGCACACCACAACAGAAACTATCACTCTGTTGATTACCTTAAGGAGATTCCATAGAAATGCTGCACTCATAAGTGAGCACTGCTAGACAACCACAGCTTCAAAAGTGGCCATATGCGTCCAACACCTTCTAAGGACACTGGAAAGCCCAATGAGCTCCGTCACACCCACTCCTTGAAGGCTTGAATGTCATCTCTCCACGCCAGGACGCATTGCTTGTACAGCAATGTTTCTATGGCACGAGGGATTTAAAGTGCATGAAGAGAGATGTTGCGCACCAAGGTCTGGTCCGCGGCAGGCAGGCATCCGAGGTGCCGCCGCTGGCCGCAGCCACCGCAGACCACCAGTACAGCAGCGTTCCCTTCCGGCGCAGACCCGGCCGCCGGCCGCACTGGCCGCCCAATCTCATGCGCCGCCTCTATATACACTCATCTCCCTTTAGCTGCTGACTCTCGAGTAGGGCTGGCAACATGAGTATATGCAGTTCTAACCGGTGACTTCAATGCAAGGAGGCAAATTCCACTAAAGCTGCTGTCAATCAAGCATAGCTGGGAACATCAGCAGGGTGTGAATTCACTGCACAATATGTAGATGCAAAGAGGGGAGAGTCTGATCCTCTGTTGGCGAGCTATTGAAAAGAGCAGAAGCCTTGGCAATCCATGATATGCATGTGTGCGTGCGTGCAGCTCTCAAGAAGTGCGCACCTTCTATGGTCATGGGCAAGGCAGCAGGAATTGCTGCGTCCATTTCCATGGGAACAGCCTCCTCAACTTCTGTTACCAGCCCACCCTGTTCCTCTGCTGCAGCCATGATGGCAGCTGAGGCAACAGTGTCTGCTGCTGTGCTGGCATGCACCACTGCCATCGGCTCACTCTGCAAGCAAGCCACCATCTCTCTCTTCACGGCCTGGAGGAAGCTCGACAGCGGGGCTGCTCCTTCTGAGGCTTTCTGCGGCCCTAACTTGCCGCCCTCAGCTGCCGTCCTGCCATGATCCTGCTCGCTTGCAGGTTGGCACTCACTCGCTGGCTCTGCCTGTGCCGCTGTGAGCGTGCTTATGCCGTTTGTTTGGCACTGTGCCGCTGCCTGAGTTGGCTGCTGCTCTAGCTGCCCATTGCCCTCTGCTGCCACCCTCGGAGTGACATCATCCGCCACTTCATGCTGGCTCTGCTCTTTCTTCAGGAACTGCGAGGCGGCTGCGGCGATGGCGGCGACGGCTTTGGGATCCGCTGCAAGAATGCTTGTGACACCTCCCGCCTGCTGATTTGGCAAGACAGGCTCCGGCAGCCCGTTCTGCAGCGTTGCCTCCGCCGCAGCAGGCATTGCCTGTTCTGGCACGGCGGAAGCTTCCGCGCAGCTGCCGGCCGCCGGGCCGGGGGTACCCGGCAACTCCCCGGCAGCTTCCGCAGCGCCGCTCGCCGCTGCTGGCTGCTTTGCTTCAGTTGCGTCAGCAACAGCAGTGCCAGCTGCGGGCTCGGCAGGGGAAGAGTGAGTTTCTGCGGTGGCAGGCAGGTCAGCGTTGCTGAATCGGCTGGGGCGCAGGATGGGTGGGGAGCCGTCTGCCACTGTGCAGATGTCCAGCTCTGAGCCGCTGTCGGACGGCACTGGTTCCTGCACATGAGAAGACATTGACTTGACTCACCCATGTACGGAATGTGTGGCAATGGCTCAACATTAGCACTGCCAGCAATCAAAGTCTCTGCGTGAGCATTGCATGGCCACAAATTCTGCTCTCCACTGGTTAACCAGTTTGCCTGGAGAAGCTGCTTCCGTGTTTCAACAGCGTGAGGTGAAACAATATCAGGTCCAAGCAAGCTGGATGGAAAGGAGAAAGCACTGCCCATGAAAAAATGGTTGCCTGGACTACTGAAGGCACGATGCAAATAAAGTGCGGCAACGCACCACGAGCCTAACTTGATTTGCAGCTGGCACAGCACCCCCCTCCTGCTCCAATGCCGGTTCTGAGGCAATCCTGCCAGGGTTGCCTCCGGTTCCCTGAGTGACTGCAGCCTCTGGAGCCCCTGATACAATCGTGGCGCCTGTCTCAGTTGCTGCTGCTGTTACTGCCTCCGCAGCATCAAGGTGCGAGTCTTCTGGTGGATGGGAAACATCTTCCGAGTCCTGTGAAACAAGAGGCGCCTTCCGAGGTCGGCCCGGCCGTCGCCTTGGCGTGTCGGCTGCAAAGGCCGCCTTCCACAGAGAGTCCACCAGAACAGGCAGTGACACCTGCCGCCCCTGCGCCGCAAACACAGGAATGAGAGTCTTAGGCCTACCTTCTGTAACAGGAGCTGCTTTATACTGGATGGGTTTCAAGCTAGGCTTACATAGTTTAAAATGCTTAGCCTAGACAGGTCTCCTGAGTCACGCGTGTGTGATGTTTGGTGCAAGGTTCAGCATCCAAGATGACATGCAGGATGGGAAGACATGGATTCAAGTTGTACCTCACTGTGTAGCGCTGTCACTTCAGCTCTAAAGGAAAACACGTGTGGTGAGGTCCTGCGCGTGAGCCTGGATGCATACTTCTACAGGAAGGTCCCCCACCTTCCAATTGTGGTCAGGGCAGGCGCTGTAGAACAGGTTCCTAAGCGGCTGCAGGGCAGCTGCCGAGCCCGCCACTTTTGGGAAGCGCTCGTCCAGGGCCTCCGTCAGCGAGTCCTTGCTTTGCGCCCCACGCGCCAAATCCACAAACTCATCTGCCGTGGACAAATATTTCCTTTAGAGATGGCTCAACAGGTATGCGTGGGACGCTGTGTGGTGGTCAGAACAAGATGGTGAGGGCTCAACCCATTCCACATTTACATGATAGTGTCGTCTCACACATGTGTCAGACAAGGAGTATCTCACAGCAAAACTATCTCACACGGATGTGGCAGGGGCTAAGCTGAGGCGAGTGTGGTGCTGTGAAGTGGGTGGCACAGCAATGGTGTCCTTTGCATGCTGGATATTTGCATTACTGTATAGCAGGACCGACACAAAAATAAGTAGTTGGATTATCCGCACCTATATCTATGAGCTCAGGAGTCTGCGCCCGGTTCCACTGCCCTGCGCCTCTGCCGCGACCGCGGCCGCGCCCCCGCCCCCAGCCTCTGCCCGTCGGGCTGCCTCTGCCGCGCCCGGCGCTGGCTGGCCGGGGGGGTTCCCTCCATGCCCGGGGGGACCTGGGGGACCCTGGCTCCCCTGCTTCATGTTTTATCCCCTCCCTGCGCAGCATCTCAGCCATTAATTATTTTCCTGTCATCACGTAATGCTCTCGAGATACTTCTCCTTCAAGTGCTTGTATTTATTGTAGGCTAAGTGATAGTATGCGAAACCTTTCTTTAGGGAGAAGAGATTTGGTTATTGTAATCCTCTGGCCTATTGCCACCGGAGATCTCCAGGTAGGGCACCGTATCATAGCATGCATAGCAGTAATGTGCAGAATACAAGCCTGGCTTGATCAACTGCAACAGGCAGCAATGCCAGCACAAAGGCTCAAGTAGATTGGCTGCATGCTCACCCTGGCTGCCCCAGAGCCTCAACGGAGCCCATTTGCTTCTCTGTTTTGTTCTCTGCCTTCACAGCCGCGGCTTCCTCTGCTTTCGGTGGATTCTGCACAGCTGCCTGCCTCGCCGCTGCCTGTTTGCCCTCCTTGGACCACTGCCACACCAAACACAAGTTCACCACCGCGCTCGTGTGTAGAGAACTGTAGCAAAGGAAACACCACCACCAAGCAAGCTTCCAGCATGCTGAACAGGCGTGCAACTTCATCCATTCCCTAGCTCGATGACTTCTTAGCACTACGCAGGAGTCCATCCGCACGGCATGTCTGTTACATTGATCCCAAGGAACCAGACGACCATAGGTAGATTGTATGCGATAAAATGCAGAGGAGAGTACAAGTAGACTACAGTTGATAGACAACAAGTACAAGACAGGCTTGGCTCGGGCATACTGTACATGGTGCTGCCTAGGAAGCCATGTGGCACATCCCACCCATCAGGGATCCCTGCGTATGCCTCCTGCAGGCTTCTCTGTGATGCACGCCATGCCATGTCAAAACTATTGTGGAGATTACCTGCAAGTCAAAGGCCAGCGCTGGCACCGTGACAACAGGTGTTTTCTGTTCCGGGTCGAGAGGTCCCTTCCAGACAGGCTGTCGCCCATCCAAGCCAGGCTGCACCCATGTCACCTGGCGTTGCACATACACATAATCAAGTATCCCTGACCTCTGTGCAGGACAGCCATTCCTTTGGGCCAAGCAGCTGATGCGAGAACGTGTTGAAAAGCAATGTCTGGGTGGCAGATTTGCCAAAATGGCGTCATGAGCCATCTTAGCGAAGCCTGCCGCGCCGACATTGCTCCTCAACGTCTCAATGTCGAAACATTACTTTGACAAGACAGAGCACATGTACACTCCTGGCAAAGGACTTGCTGCAGGAGCGCAACAGCCGTTGTGTCGCGAGCAGCAGGGAATGTACACCTGCGCAGAGGCAGGTTCAAGGTCGGCGCGCGCCCCAAAGCCGGCGTGGCCGCAGCCGGCGCAGACGCAGTGCGGGCAGTGCCAGTCACCGTCGGGCACAGCGGGCAGCCCAGCGCAGCCCGCATGCAGCACTCCTGGGCAGCTCTCACAGCACAGCAGATCCCCCTGCATTCGTCACTCCAACATTTCAGTCATGTGTTGCTGACAGAAATATGCACAGATATACCGCACCTTGCTTCAAGGGGTGGGCGCACGTCCTGACGGCGCTGCCAGATTTAACCACGCGGCTGATGCCCATCTGCCCTATGGGCATTCAGGACAACGCAGGTAAAGACTTTCAATCAGCACAGGAGCTTGTCTGGAAGGTAGTCAAGGCTGCTTCAGCACTGCTGCTTCAAAGATCCCAGGACAACGTCAAGGTAGAGTCAAAGCAGACAATGAACAGGTGGAACTTAGAGAGAAATGTCGTGGTGGAGACCAAAACAGCAGCAGAGCAGAGGGAACGATGTGCCACGGAATTGGAGACTCTGCAGCAATTTCACGATGAGAAGTCAGAAGGCTCACCCCTTGGAGGCAGATGCGGCAGAGCTCGTCGTTGGGGTCGTCTGCGTTGGGGGGAGTGAAATCGCTGTGGGCTGCCCGGGACCTGCCCTCTGCGGTCAGCCCCCAACGCCCCGGCTTGCTCTTTGGCGCGCTGCCCACCCCCTTCCCCTCGGAGTGCTTCTGCATCAATTGCTGCGCACGCATACAAGCAGCTCACCACCTCTCCCCCGAGTGTTCCGCTCAGACCCTCTACGACAATGTCAACCCCCTGATGAAGTCCCCAAGACAATCTAGCAAAACCCAAATCACTGCCCAACATGACCTCCTACAGGTGGGGCAGGAAATTGTGTGATGCTGAAGTGACTCTTCTGAATCACACCCGAAGAACATCTCTCCGAAGCCTAGGCGCGCCGTCTAGCATTGGTTCTGTCGAAAGCATTTGTGAGCAAACAGAAAGCATGCGAGTGCAGCCTCGAGGCTATTCAGCTAAAGCGTTAGCACTCTTGACAAGGCATGAGACCCGCTACAATTTGCTCTGAACACCCAAGTGCTCTGAATTTTCAAGTCCATGAAGCAGACAGGCTGCGTACCTGCAGGCTGAGGCCTGACGAGGTGAAAGTGAACTGGGCAGGTCGGTGAGCTGAGGAGCCGGCATAGGCCTCAAAGGCGCTGAGTCCCATCGGCTGTCCCTTTCCCTGCACTAGCACTCCCTCCATGCTGGCTCGCCCCACCGCCATCAGCTTGCTGCTGTGTTCGAGGCCCTTGCCCTGCAGAATTCCAGTGCATGCCGGCAGTCAAAATCCTGCCCTTGATTATTGCATCGATTTCGAATCGACCTGTTCAAGGAACACCTCTGCGAGAATCAAGATGCCTCATTCTGGTGGTATGGAGGCCACAGCTCCCCGATAGAAATGCCATCAAGGCAGCATTATTGCAGGGCACACATGGCTGGAGGCATGCAAATTGCATGCATGCAGCATGCGAGGTGACCCGGTGCACAGAAGGTGGTACAAGGGGTGTGAGGGAATAAAGGGGGGCACCTTCATGTAGCGCAGCACGCCACCATCCCGGACCAGACCCGCCTCGATCAGCAGCGCAAGGTTCATCGGCCTTTTCTTCTTGACCGGTGCCCCACTCTGCTGCTGTACTGCCTGCTCCTTGGCAAGGCCCCCTCTCGCCATAGGATCCGAAGAGCCTGTAGAGTGTTCACGGTGGCTCAAAACCGTCTGTATAGTCTCCATCACTGAAGAAGAAGACTGTTTTTTCTGGACTCCAGGCGGACCCGGCGCTTTTAACAAGGAAGGTTGATGATGAGTAGCCCAGATAAGACTAGAATAGGTCTGAATGGTCTTGGATGCGTACCCACGATGTCTGGAGCATCTGTGAGGGGGTTGTTTGGCACATCCTCATCGTCCCTCTTCCGTTTTGGAGGCATCTTATTCAGTACGAGTGGCAATCCTGCTCATCCACAACCGTACTGTCCTGCGTGAAATGACAAGTAATTTGCATGCGCGTCATTCGTCATTGTGGAAATCAGGATGTATCATCAAGTGCAAGAACTGTAAAGCCTGGTGACGATGATATGTGACAAAACGGTGCGCAACAAAGAAGGTCTGTAATATCTCAGTGAATACAATGACCCCATAAAGAAATTCATCAAATCGTGAGTTTCATTTTTGCAGACTCGCAAGACAAGAAGCCAGTAGGTTACCTGCGTTATGCCACGCTCATCAGCAAGCAGACCAGTCCGTCGCTTTTTTGTTGATACGGTAGGCAAAAACAATTTTGCCTCGAGACTGGCTTTGCAGGAAAATGGGCGTTCATCAGCGACAAGATTGTGCAGTCTTTGCCAAGCACTCGCACTATTTATCCGGACCTACCCTGTCTCGTCTTATGCGATGCTTTTCAAACATTCACTTCAATCTAGATGCAAACCAGCAAAGTGAGCACGAGAATGGTATGAAAGTGGCAAGAGCTGTCAAGGTACCCTAAGCATTTCCCGATCGCAAGCTTGACCTTAAGGGAGGGAAATTTCAAATCCCGTGGACGATCAAAGTGAAGAGCATTTGCAGCCGTGTCAGTGCCAAGGAAGAAAGCCAATGTTGCCACTCTACTGATGAGCGGTGCAGAGAACGCGAGCAGGCCTGACAACGAAACCACAGAAAGTTCTGTGGTGCAGATCGAGAGGGATCCCACTTCTTCTGGGGGACTTCCTACTCAGCCTGCTGTACCAGAGAAAACTTTTTGGACACCTCAAAAGATTTTATTTTCAATAGCTGTTTTCGTTCTGTCGGGATTTGCTGAAATTGGAGGTGGCTGGCTAGTCTTTCAAGCAATACGAACGGGCAAGCCCTTCTGGTGGGGTATCCTTGGATCCCTCATCCTCATCATCTATGGCATCATACCCACGCTACAGCCTATCAGCAACTTTGGGCGTGTCTTTGCGGTGTATGGAGGGTAGGTCGCTGTTCCTGGCCATGCCCTAGGCAAGGAACAGACCAAGTAGTGCTGAGAACCAGGCATTATACCTCATTTCTTTCTCATCACGGCTTCCAAAATGCTCCGCAGGTTTTTCATTGTCATGAGCTATGGCTGGGGCTGGCTCTTGAGCTCAGAACATCCTGACAAAGGTGTCCACCCTTCGCGCCCTGACAGGCATGCCAATGAAACGTTGCAGAAGATAGGGCATTGAGTGGTGAGCAGCCTGACAGCTGTGGATTTGCCGCTGCAGGGGACTTTGTAGGGGGCGGCATAGCAATATTTGGAGTCCTGGTAGCTTGGTTCTGGCCGCGCAAGGCACAGATCCAGGTCACGCCATCAGCCAACTCAGTGCCCCAGGGTAACCTTGAGTCCCAGCAGCCATCTGGCAGCCAGCAGTTAGTGAGCTAAGAGGCAGCATTGTCACTGTAAAGCCCCCTGGGAAGTATTTCTTCGACTCCGCAATGCTCGACCTCGGGCCTCCTCTTGACTCCAGAAAGAGCAGCCAGCTATCTCTGGGGGAACCAGCAGGGGCTGGGAAGACTGTGGCGGGCAGAAATCGCCGCCAAAACTTGTGCTCAACGCGAGTACATGCAGCAATTGCTGGGGCACTGGCAGGGCTTGTGCTGGTTCAGGCAGCGAGCGTGCCGGCAGAGGGCGGTTTCCACTGGACGCCAGGCAAAGTGGTCCTGGCGATCTTCCTGTTCCTGGCAGCCGGGCTGTGCGAGATCGGCGGTGGCTGGCTTGTCTGGCAGGTTCGGTCTGCCCTGACACCTCTGCCCTTTAAATGCACAGCAGAGCATTTCTTGCAACGCCATAGAGTCCCGTCGTCAGGAACTTGTATTGGATTTGACATGATGTGATTAGCTTCTGTCTGGTGCCATTTCAGGGCTCTAAAGCGTGACGAATCACGGGGGAATATGCTGACCTTGAAGGGCATCAGTATAGCTCTTCTGTATGTTCTGTGCAGGCTGTGAGGGAGGGGAAGCCATTCTACTGGGCCATCGTTGGGAGTCTTGTCTTGGTGGGCTATGGCTTCCTGCCCACTGCTCAGCCCACCTCCAACTTCGGCAGGATCTATGCAGGCGCGCCCCAAGGCAATTAAATAAAGTACTTATCCGTAGCGCGGAGGCGCAGTTGATGCTTCTGCCTCGTTTGCGAGCAGGCTGCTTTGCACTGCTGGATCAACTGCTGACCTGAGCATCCTTCATTATGCACTATAATGACATGAGGCTTTGTCATGCTGCGCAGTGTACGGAGGTTTCTTCATCGTGCTCAGCTACGCATGGGGTTGGGTATTTGACAAGGAACCGCCCGATGCAGGTGAGCTTGCTTCGGACCTGCAATTTCAAGTTTCAAAGTGATGGTCAGTGAAACTTCCTTCCACTGTATTTCTGATGATTTAGAGACTCAGATCATGTGCCATGCATGTATTTTAGGGGAAATAATTTTATAATTGTGGATTTCTTGCAACTGAAGGACTTGTGCGTTTTCTTGCTCAGGAGATTATGTTGGAGCGGCCATAGCTCTGACGGGAGTGGTCGTCGCATTTTTTTACCCACGATGAGAGTCTCATCACGAAACATGACCAACGCATTGTGACCAGATTGTTTGGAGAGAATTGTTTGATTGATCCACAAAGTGGCCGTTGTAAAATTGAATTTTGAAACCCTGATATTACAAATCTATTGACAGTTGCAGCGCCACAATTGGCAAACATGGGGTGACCGCATGTTTGATGTTTTTAACTTGGCAAATTATAAAATTCCGAGCTAGCATTGGTTGCCTATTGCCTTGCTGCGCAGTTGCTTTGGCATTGCCAATGGCATTTGTACATGCCCCATACTGTACCATAATATTTTTATCGTGCATTCAGCTTGATTTTTCTATCAGAGGGTCAAAAGCGCCTTCAACAAAAGTGTAAAGATTGTATTGCAATGCCATATGTAGAATTGCTTGATCGTCCAACATGTCTACAAGCGAAGCATGAAAAACCTTGTGTTCTTGTACGTGGTATATCCAACAAGTTTCCTTCACAGAGCTTGTTTTTACATTGATGGGCCATGCAGACTCAGCTAAGGACCAGGCTGCTCACAGGAGCACCTGGGCACGGCAGAAACTCTGGCGCATTGTAACATGCTTCCGGTTTCTTGCCAGTGTACGCAGCGCAGATGTAGGTTGCCAAGTTACCACAGTCAGCCCCTGAAGATAGACACAACCCAGCAGTCAGCATCGGCTTATCTCAATGCAGAACCGCAAATGCATTGCATCCATCCAAAGCCATGCCGCAGATTGGATGGCTGCATGCAACAAGGCACACGCACAGCCCAAGCTGACTACTTGCGGCCATCGAATTGTTGGCTAGCCACACGTTTTTTTTTCGGAGGCACAAGCCGGAACGCTCACAGAAGGAAAATACATCAAAACGCACCGAGCGGCACATCATCCACCAGTATCCAAGGCACGTACTGGTGCAGAGGGGTGGCAGCTGCTGCTGCCCTCTCAAGCTCCTTGCCTAGATCCGCAGTCCCAAGTTTTGACTCATTATGTGCCCAAACACAATGCGCAACAGCAGTAGCACAATGCTGACTCAACTGCAGATTCCGGACAACGTTTCCAATATTAGAGGCTTCTGACAGCCAAGGAGGGCACAGCATGGTGATGACAGCTCCTGGCGTGTGAGCATGAACCAGAAAGTGGTGCCGTCACCGCACCTAGCTTGCCAGTGCTGCACTCGCGCAGAGCCTTCTCGGACAACCTTCCACTATTTGAGCAGGTCTGCAGCACTTCTGTTCCCGTGGAGCTGAAAGCTTCCCTCTCCAGGCAGTACAAAAAGTCAAAGAAGTCTTCCTGTGACTTGCTGAGCTGCTGTGCGCAGTTCAATGCAATGTTCAAATCGCACTCCCTAGGCCCATGCTGACACTCCACCTCGCCGCTAGTGTTCTTGGCATTGCCCCATCCCACGTAATCGAGCTCGATGAGGTCTTTGAGCCCTGATGAGAAGATGGGTTCCAAGACCTTGGTTGTATATGCTGCACAATCTGGGCACAAGGACTCGCCGACGAATTGAATTCTGACAGGCTTCCCACCTACAGTGTTGAGTGTGATGGGAGAAGAATGAAACAGATCTGGACCAACTGACCGCAGCAGGAGGGATCCCGACACCACGAAAGCAGCAACAGAAATGACAATGCACACACCAACACTGCGTTCTGAAACAGACATTTCGACTATTGGACAAGCTGACTGCCTGATGCAACGCGCGGATTGCTGTACGGCAAGCCTGCAAGCAAAACGTGATGGCAGAAGCTCGGCACGTGCGAAGAAAGTCTACGATGGAAGCTAGAGGAAGAAAGCCAGAAGTTTTCAGGGGTCCCCCCCGGGGTCTCCTGTTCTGCGTTCCTTTCTTCTTCTTCTTCTTCTTTCTTTCTTTCTTTCAACACACAGCGTCGATACTTTCGAATCGCCACTGGAACTTGACTGCACTGCGTTGGAAAACACGAATACTTGACGCAACTAACAAAATTCCGTCTATTAGAAATATTTCTGTAGAGGCATCTAAGCCGACAGGCAGCCTTCTTTGTGATTATTCGCGAAAGTGCAAAATTGTCAACAGGCCTCAAGGGCGTGAAGAAGGCAACAAGGCAACATTAAACGCTCCTTTGCCACTCGAGGTTTGTTTGGCACTCCCATAATTTCTTGGACAACCGTCCTTTGAGTTGCAGGCCCCTTCCAGGGAGGCCTGGGAACCAAAGCGGAGCCCATGCAGTGATAGATAGAGAATAAAGATATGAAGCAAAACTCATCATGATATTTCTCACTGTGCCTGCTGTGCCACAGGTACAGCAACCATAATTGCGGAGCGTTCTAGAATTTCGACACACCCTCAGCACCTGCAAGCAGGTACGTCTTGCCGGATGTTGCCCAAACAGTCACTGAAAAGGTGATTATCAGTACGAGATGCAGACGTACAGCTTGCTACTAGGCAATCTTAGGCACTCTGCTGTTATATATAATTTAATCTGTCAGTTGCATTGGCACAGAAAGGGAAAGTATTGCTCGCTCAGCTGGTAGGCATAGGGCTTGGACACCAAGGGTCTATAGCTATAGGCCTAGGATTGGAGGTCACTGGACGTCAAAAATGATTCCACGAAATTTCTCTAGAGGTGATCAAATTGAGCAATATCCCCCAGGGCAGCTAAGGCTAGCTGGCCATTGGCGCGTCGAAGGCTTGAACATGAAGCTAGCAACAGTTTGTTTGTCGAGTTCGCAGGAGCTGATATTTGCCTCCTACTGCGTGCCGAACACTATCTGTAGTTGACCTGACTTGGAAGCAGTTCAGATGGCGATGGTGGACCCGTTAGAGACAGAGGCCAAGGCCTTGGAAGATCAAGCAGAAGCCCTTGAGTTGGCTGGACGTCCCATTGCAGCGCAAGCTAGACTTCAACAAGCCAAGTCAAAAAGGGACCAAGCACAAACTTTGCGCAGTGCAGGTATGTTTCGTCACAGCGTCTTGGCACACCGTGTTGGTATGACCCCTGTTGTGTTGACCACAAGTTTGTCTGGGACAAGGCCATCCTGGCACAGATGTGACCTTCCAGCACAAACGCCATCTGCTTTAGTAGACTTGCACTCTGCGGCTGGTAGTAGTGGTTCCCAAAGAGGGGTGGTTGCCAAGGTCAGCCTCTCCCCCAGCTGTGCAGCCCAAGGCCATCCGGTTGGTGCTGTTTTGCTGAGCTCCTGCTGGTGTCAGAGCTAGAGCACTACATCTATCAACCTGTCAAATCTCTGGCTAGACCCCCACAGCATTTTCCAGATCCAGCTGTATCTGCACAGATGCCACCCTGTTTATGCACGCCTTTCCTTTCAGCAATATTGGGCTTGAAATCCGGCAAACTCCCTTTGCAGCATAGTTTGGGTGCTAGCTGAGCTCAGCTTGAGCTGTGCTGCGCTGACTGTGTGCCCTTCAGCGCCGGTTGCAGCCAGCTGAAATAGTAAGCTCTCATGCAACTTTGTTGAGGTCGGTCAGCGCACAGTGGCAGCACACAAGCTGAGCGCAGCTTTACCTGTGCTGCCGTTGGATGGTGTCATTGACTGCAGCTCTGCGCACCTTCCTTTTCAGCAGGGTTGTGCTTGCTGCCGCTGTATCCCTGCAGCTTCTAGTAAATTTCCTCGGGGATAGGGGCTTAGGGGCAACGACTGCCAGTACTCGGCTTCCCCTAAGACCTGACTGAGCCGAGTACTGGCAGTCGTTGCGCAATTTTTTATTGCTGCATGAACAAGGCTGCCACCAGACTTACTCAGCTGACTGATCCTCCTTGCAGGCAATGACGACTTCAAGGCAGAGGTGTTGGCCTTGATCGGCACACCTCCTCCCTTGACTACAACCACGTTGCGAGAGGTTGGGGAGCATGTGAAGAAGCAGGCACGGGTGGAGCTGCCGCTGCCCCCCCTAGCAGCGATTTTAACCTGGAATGACCCTCTGTGGGACGAGGTTGCAGCTCCAGAAAGCCACTTGCCTGAGGCAGGAGAGCAGGGGCTGCAGAGCAAATTCTGCAGGCTGCTGAACAGCGCCCCATCCAGCATGAGCTTCGAATTCCATGATGTCCACACGGCACCATCCGTGTGTGGCAACGACCTGAAGCCTGACACTGTCATGAGCTTGCGCGGCATACCTGTGTGCCCCCTCACCACAGGGGCGATCATGAATCTGAAGAGGCAAGACGGCGCCTATGACAACGACAAGAACGTTGGCCAGGCTGTCACATACGGCCGGACCTTCCTGCAGCAGCTACCCAGAGGTCTGCGCGACACAGTGTACGTGGCATTGACAGACTTGCAGCGCATAACCCTGATGCGTGTGACCTTGCCTGCAAATGGCCAGCTAAAGGTGGACATGAGCACTCAGCTCGCAGATGTCAAGTCTATTCTCTTGCAGCTGCTTAGCTGCCAGCCGGCATCATTGCGAGTGCAGCTGCCAGACCTGGGCCCCTCACTGAAGATCACAGGACTCCTTGGTCATGGAGCGACCAGCCACGTCTTTCAAGGGGCAACCTCCAATGGGGACGAGGTGAGCGTTGCTGTCATGCATGGAGTGCCGGCACAATAGTTTTGTGCTGGAATAATTGGCAGCATTGATCGTACAGGCAGGTGATTGCCCACTCTTCGCTTCCTGTAGGTGGCAATCAAGGTGCCGCTTGCGAGAACCTTGGACCATGAGCTGGAGATGCTGCTCACTCTGAGGGGCCTGAGAGGTGTGCCATCCCTGGCAATCGACACCCTTGTCCAGGGCGCTATCGTCTCGACGCCTGTCCTGCAGCCGCTGACATTGGCTGTCATCTGGCGTGCCCGTCTCCACCTTGCCGTCCCTGCCCTGGTCTCTACTTTCAAGGTGTGTGTTTGCAAACATGCTGCAGTGTGGACCATCTTGTCCCCTTGTGGTTGTGGAAAGCCTCAGCACCTTGAGGCTTTCACACATTGTATTGCACTTGTCGCAGTACTGCTCTACTTGCAAATCCGAAATGCTTTGCGATGCTTTCCTTTTGTTGGCTCACAGGACGCGCACAACATGGGCCTTGTCAACAGAGATGTGCGCCTCAGCAACTTGATGACTGACACAGCTGCATCGGTGCTCTGGCCAATTGACTGGGGTTGTGCCACACGCCAGCAGCAAGCGCCGTTTGAGGGTACCGTGCACTACGCATCGAAGGCCATCCTGGATCAGCTCATCCTGGAGCAGTGGCTGCAGTTTGGACAACATGCCAGCGTCCTTGCCACGCCTGCAGATGACCTCGAGTCGCTTGTGTGCACTGCCTTCTGCGTAACGCACCCAGACATGCAGGTGGAGCTGGAGAAGCTGGCCAAGCATCAGTTGGCAGACATCCTGTCATGGTGGCAACACACTGCCTGGGCCTCTCGACCTGCCTGGACGGAAGCCCTACAAGCTGCGCGTGTTCAGGATTACACCAGTGTTGGAGTGCGACTGCAGCGCTTGCTGGAATAGAAGACGACGGGGTCCCCTGATGTACATATTGACGCATGTTTGCTGAGTCTGAGTCTCACTAACTACTTGTGGCCAACGGATCTGGCAGAGCATGAGGGGCAGCCTGCATGATTCATGCAGCGCCCAAGTCATGTGTTGTAGAGGTTGCAGCGAGCAGTGTGCTCTCATGCACAATGAAATGGCTAGTTGTGGGAAGGTGATTTGCTCTTGTAAGAGAATGTTCGCAACTATTCATCTTAGGGTTTAGGGACCGTCCCACTGACTGCAGTCATTTCCATTCAAGTGCAGTGACAGCCCTCTCTCGCGCGCACTGGCAGCTGCTGCTGTGTGCGAGGGCAGTCAGATAGCAGTGCATTTGATGGATGAAGTAATGGTGGGCTCGTGAGCGCGGAAGTACAGTGTATCATGTGTAGCTGGTGGCACCCTCTCTTGAGGGCTGTGTGGACGTGCTGGCTATTCAACACGAAAGCAGCAATAGAAATGACAATGCACACACCAACACTGCGTTCTGAAACAGACATTTCGACTATTGGAAAAGCTGACTGCCTAATGCAACGCGCGGATTGCTGTACGGCAAGTCTGCAAGCAAAACGTGATGGCAGAAGCTCGGCACGTGCGAAGAAAGTCCACGGTGAGTCCAGACCAGGAAGCTTGAGGAAGAAAGCCAGGACTTTTAAACACCAAGCGCCGATACTTTCGAATCGTGCCACTGGAACTGGACTGCACTGCATTGGAAACCACGAATACTTGACGCAACTGACAAAATCCCGTCTATAAGAAATATTTGTAGAGGCTTCTAAGCAGACAGGCAGCCTTCTTGTGATTTGTTATTGGTAAATTGCAAGGATGCTGACAGGCCTCAAGGGCGTGAAGTACGGGCTGCAGCCTGGTGCAAAACCAAAAACCAAACCTGCTTTGCGAAAGCCCATCAACGTCTTTGGGGATGATGATGACGATGGTACCATCGGACAGGACATTGCCAGACATGCAGAGAAAAAGCTGAATGACAAGAAGGTGAGCGTCGGCCGCACACTTCACTGGTCTAGCTGCGATAACTAGCTTCTTCAAAGCCAGATTCTGCACAGCTCCTCTTCCTCGAAAATGGGACTCGGTAGAACTCCTGAAACAGGGATATTTGCTATCAAATTTTGCGGGACAAGCGTACAATCACCCCGAGCCAGGTCTCTGGAACACCTGCTCACACATGGGCTCTTGCTCTTCACGCAGGTGACACAGATGCATGCAGCAGCACTTGCAGAGGACGCGTCAGTGTTTGACTATGACGGCGTCTATGACAGCATACAGGAAGCCAGGGTGCAGCCGCGGCAGCAGGAGAAGCTGGCGCGCAAGTCGCGCTACATTGAGGGCCTCCTTGATAAGGCCAAGGAGCGCGAGAGGGAGCAGGACATCATTTACGAGCGCACGTGCGTCCCCTTATTTTATTTTGGGACATGCCATAGACTGGAAGGCCACGGTTACCGGACCATTCACCCCAAGCTCCTCCTCGTGCGGGAGAGCATCATCAGCTTGCCTGCCGGCAGCCGCGGCAGGTCACATGCATCAAAATATCCATTCTTGGACTGCACAAGATGTCTGTGTAGATGATTCTGAGAAGATTCAGCCTACCATGCTTGTTGCTGTTGCTCCTGGCCAGCAGTAAGTGTGATTGTCTGACAGGCGGCTCCCTGCTGCCGGTTGTCAGCACTTTCATTTCTGACAAGGAAGCACGAGCAGCAACGCTTGGCACCCTGCGTGGCGGGCACGCTATGCTGAATCCATCTCCTAATCACTGATCTCCTTGCACCCGATTTCCGATGTCTTGGTTGCCTCATTCCTGACCCATCTGGCGGGGGGAGGTATATTTATCCCAAGGTTGATTGGGTCTTGCTTCTATCCGGCGAGTCCACCAAGGGGTAGGGATTCGCCAGCCTATGAATGCAACTTGTCTGCAGACGCACCTTGCCTCTGGCAGACGCACCTTGCCTTGGCAGAAGCACCTTGTCTCTGGGATCCTAGATGCTTGTAAATGTAATTGTACTTTGTACTTTGTACTGTACTTTGTACTTTGTATCAGTAGTCCCTGACCATCTGTTATGAATTATTTGCCAGGCTGCTGAAGGAGCGCGCTGCGGAAGACCACCTCTTTGGCGACAAGGACAAGTTTGTCACGGCCGCGTACAAGAAGAAGCTGGAGGAGGACCAGAAGTGGCTGGCCGCCGAGCGCATCCGCGAAGCGCGCGATGCAAAGGCCGACGTTGTCAAGGCCGGCCACATGGGCAACTTCTACAGGTGCGCAGCCTTGAAGTGTTGCTGTGTTTATGTTGACGCTACATGACATAGGGACCATGTAGTCTCCAGTTTTTTGGAAACTGAGATGCACGTGCCCCTCTGGCCCGGCCTGGCAGCGCATGCTGTAGTATGGGATCAGCAAGGAAGGCTTGCACTGCCGCATGCTATGCTATGCCCTTGGTGCTTTCCTGGAAATCCAGAACAGTGACCTGCTTGTAAGAGGGCTATTGGCCTTTGTTAGCGATGAGCGCAATGAGGTGCAAGCCTGCCAAATGGTGAGCGCATGCAGGCTGTGACTCATGGGTGCTCATTGCTACCAAATTCTTTAATGTTGGTGCAATGTGCACTCAATTGAGAAAGACTCGTCGCCAGCAATGCACTGCCTCTCATTCACACGTCTCTTTACATGAGGGGCACAGGTGTCAGGTCTTGGTTTTAAAAATGATCCGGATCTCTGTGGATGTGTTGTCTAGGAATGTCATGACCAACAACGCCGCCTTCGGGACGGCGCAGCCGGCACCGGCCGCTCCCGGGCGGCCGGCCGCCGCTTCGGAGCCTGCCGCAGGAGAGGGAACGCCTGCTGCGGACCCATCCTTCGAGGCTGCACGCCGCGCCAGAGAGGTAACACTCTATCTTATGTTATCACCATGGATTTCATTGTGTACTCAGTTACTAAGTTGGTTGAGGGCTTCGCCCCCCACACCCGTAAATGCTGAGCTCCAAAAAATGCAAATTACCACTTAAAATTGGGTACCTGTTGATCATTACATCTTTTGACGGCTTGGTGTTGAGTCTATTGAGTTGCAAGTGTGCACGAAGAATTTGAGGAACTGCTGCAATAAAAAAGGCATACTGAGTATGAAGAATTTTCCAACAGGCATACGAAGCTGCCAAGGAGCGCGGAGGGGCGGCCGCTTCTGCCAGTGCACCACAGCAGCCGCAGGCAGACAGCAGCCGGCAGGAAACGGGTAGCGGGCGATTCGAAGCGGGTGGTGAAAAGAGGGAAAAGGGTGCAGCGAGCAGAGAGAGGGACACAGCGGAGCCTTCAAGCAGGGACGATGGGGCCAGAGGTGTCAGTGGTGCTGCGAGGGATGAGGGAAAGCTGGAGAAGGAAGCAGCAGGGGGCGTGCAGGGTAAAGGTGATGAAGCGCCTGCTGCGGCTGAAGCGGCAGCTGCCGAGAAGCCGCCGGAGGAGGACAAGGAAGCCAAGGCGGCAGCTGCGCGGGAGCGCTTCCTTGCTCGCAAGCGCAAGGCGCCGCCCGCATGACAGAGTCACACTCAAAACCAAGGATGGGCCCTGACACAATCTGGCAACCCCAGCGTGATTTGCATGTTCCATGCATGGTACATGACCGGGATACTGTGGCCATGAAGGTTTCCATACAGTCGGAGCTAAACTGCAAGTAGAACACCGCATCACTTTGCACTGAAGCGTTGACCTGCGTACCATGCACGTTTGTCACATTGGGCGGTCCCAATGGTGCTGCGCAGCTGACTTTAATGCGTTGTAGCACCACACTATGAGCGTCTCACAATGATTTACGGACACTAGCATCAAGATTTTCCTCTTGCTCCTAGTGAAATGCAAGTGCTGGCTTGAATCAGTCGTTCAGAATCACCCAGATGGCATGCACCGTGGCGTACTGTTGAGCAGCCAAACATGAGCAGCGAGTAACCACCTGCTACAGCTACTATAGTATAAGTAACATTCCCGGAGGACATACATCCTTGACAGCTGGATGTGTGTCTTCAGCTGCCACTGCAAAGCGAGCTACCCACCCAAAAAGCTCATCTGGTAGATGTGTTCTGAATAGCTGCAATCCTTGCTGGGGAATAGGATGCAGACGTAAGGTTAGCTAACCTACACTCGACGAACGAAGCACCTGCCCCCAAACTGTCGGCATCAACTGATGGCCGTTCAGCGTCAGAAATCTCGAAAAATCGAGCTCAGTGCCGCTGTGGTATTGCTTCCGCCACTTAACGAGTGAGGTTGAGGTAGCCGGGGCAAATTCGGCAACGGTCAGACGTCCCTTTTTTTTGTTTTGTTCGTCGTGACAGGGCACCCCATAGGCCCCGCAGTAAGCTGCACTTGGATGTAAGCCCCCTGATTTTGCATTAGAAATCCTGGGTTTTATTTGCTGTCAAGGTATGCGCGATGCCATTTAAATTTATGAAATGTCACCTTACCGCAAGATCAGCAGTCCTAGGGACATTCGCTGAATTCACTTGAACTTCGAAGTTCAAGCATATTAATACTACAATTCAAAGGATTGCAGGTCTGAAGCCACTAGAAGCAACCAATCTGGTCCTGGCTACAGTGCTCTATGATGTGGCCTCTATCTGCAAAGCTGGGAGCAGCTTTCACAACAGCTGACTCAGCTCTGCTCGGAGCAGAGCTGGGTGTTTCCAGAGCTGGGTGTTTCCAGAAGTCTTCATAGCGGGAGTTCCTTACAGAAGCATCCTGCTTCAAGGATACTGGCATTCTTTGCCGAGACATGCAGAAATGGATATCAGCGGAGCTGGCACAATTTTTGGAACCCGCAAGCTGCACACCCAAAGTCACCGGTATGCGCCCTTCAAAGCTTGTACAGAGCGCTGTACTTGTCAGTGAGGTATGACAGGAATATTGAAGGGTCCAGGGGGGCCCCTGTGGCTGCAACCATGAGTTCATCGCCGCTGCGGTGCAGCGATCCGCTGGCATGGATCTTCTCATTCAGCCAGGTCTTCAGCCCGCCAAACCTGCCCGCAGCGATGTCCTTGGGCAGCCCGGGCAGATCCTTCTGGGCAGCCTGAACCAACACCGAAAGTGAGCTCATCAACTGGCAATTCCTGCCAATCTGACATTTGCAATAGTTCAACTGCCAGCCGCTGTCACCCTTGGCAAAACACACAGCAATGGCTGATCTCTTCCTCTTGTGTCCAAAACCTGCTGGTTTCAGAACCTTTTTTTTTAAGTGATCATGTGCAGAAGGATATTGTCTGGGTACCAGCAGGTGCTGACTTTGGCGCTAGGATGCACAGACATAAGTCCGCGGCCGCGAAAAGGCGCGTTCTAAAACTGCTGCACAAATGCAAACAGGCACACACAGAGTCTTCCCAGAAACAAAATGCACGACATGCAAGGCAGTGCAAGGGTCATCATGACTCTATTTCATATATCTTAAGAACTATTTATATTCAGCTCTGAAACTTTTGTAACCATTGCAAAGGGAAGAGTTGCCATAGAGGCCTATCTCTCCTACCTGACCCCTATGCACACGTTACGTCACATCAAGACGAACTCTGTACAGCAGTCAAGAGGAGCGTGCCTGGTAGATCTGGCAGGCAAACATGGCGCCGAGGGTGTAGGTGGGGAAGTAGCCGAACAGTCCAGCACTCCAATGGACGTCCTGCAGAACTCCTTGTGCGTCGTCCGCGGGAGTGCATCCCAGGTACGCAGTCATGCGCTCCTTCCAGAGCGCTGGTAGCTGCTCCACGGCAACAGTGCCCTCCACAAGCTCCTTCTCTAGCTCGTACCTGGGCCAGACACACAGGGTTGAGCTGCAAGGTGGAATTTGTCGCCGATGTCGAGTCACCAATATCGGAGGTTATCTAATTTGTGATACACCCTAAACTCTCTCCTGACCCTTTATCCTAACGTCCAAGTGGGAGCAACATTATATTTTATTGTTATTACACGTTTCAAGAAGCAAGGTGCGTCTGCAGACAAGCTGCAGTAAAGGAGCATTCACTCCCTGGATATAGTGACTCGGCTACGGCAACTCCGTTCTGATGAACATGCATGTTCTATCTGATCGGCAGGGACAAGGTGTGTTGCATGCGTGCTGTGATCTCAGACATGCGAACAAAGCAATGTGTTGTGCACTGAATTTGATAGTGGATGTGTGAGGTTTTTGAAAAGCTCCAAAACAGGCAACTTCCTCTACACCAGAGCTCGTTCGTGAGCACCAATCAGCCCCATCCTTCCGCACCTCCTAAGATGCGCGTCTTCCATGCTGAAAAGCTATGACACCGACAACATCATCTGATGGAAAGAATTACCTGAGGATGATGTGCAGTGGGTAGGTAACCTCGTCCGCCTCCACACGGATCATCGACTCCTTCTTCACCGCATTCAGCGCCCCATACAGCAGCTCTGCCTGCGCCATTAAGGGTGAACCCTAAATATAAATTATATAACCCTATAGCCATTAAGACCACCCTTCTCAGGAGACTCAGGGTGTCACAACGGTCATTTTCCAGGGATTCAAGAAGAAAAAATCAGCTTGACATCAAAGAGGCTAAGTGGGCAAAGTGTGCCAAACCGAATTTATCCTTGCATGTTGCCTTGCTAGCTGAGGAGCTTATCGGACCCCTCAATTTGGAATGAATGGAAAGAGTAAACAGCAACTGTATGGAGCAAAAGCAAAGGCTGACCGTGAGGCCGGGGAGCTGGGGGAAGGCGGCGGTGAGTTTGGGGGCGAGGTAGCGCGAGAAGGGCAGCGACAGTGCAACCATGCGCTCCCACAGCAGCGATTGGCTCTCATGCACCCCCATCGACAGCGCCTGAGCAGCAGATAGCAGTCAGCACAAAGGGCAGCTACCCATTTCTCTTGCATTGATGCGCACACCCTTTGCTCTGTTCCTCTGCCCGCAGCGGAAGTGCCATTCAAGACAGCTAAGATACCGAGAGCAGCAGCACTAGCGGCAGCGTCTGCCTGGCAATTCACATCCTTGGTTGCGCATGCATGCGCGATGCACGCATCCGAAACATGGAGATGCACTCCGACAAGAGTAGCTGCCATGCGCGTCATGAGGGTGCGCGGGAGCGGGCACTCCATGCAGCGCGGCCAAGCTAAGTCACTGCTCTACCTGGCATGGAACACCACAAAGCCGTACAAAACCATGTGCATGCATGTGGCGGCATGTGTGCTTCGCGCCTGGTTGACAGGCAGGCCATCATAGGCGAGGTTGCGCCCCTGCTCGTAGAGCGCGTGGCCGGTCTCGTGGATGGCGCCCGTGAGGCCCTCCGTCAGATCGCCCTCCTTGAACCGCGTCGTCATGCGCACGTCCGTCGGGTGCGAGCCTGCAGACGCCAGCGCTGCTTTTGGTCTGCATGCTTTACATGTCAATTTACCTAGACATGGCGATGATATCGGTGAGCGCTGATTTTGATCTGCAGATCTGGGATGAAGATGCACACGGCAGTATTGGCTGGCTCCATCAAGAGCAGGTGGAACTTTGAAGCTCACTGCCCCAACATAAATGCCAAGGAAAACCCTTGACATTTTGAACTACTCTGACCGTCCAGAACAGGTAACATATACAAATTACGGCAAATGTGGCTTCCCAAGACTGCGCCAGCTGTGGCTGTCTGTGGCGAAGGCATCGGTGTGCTGTCAGGCCTATGTACAGGTTCAGGGCACATCAATTATAGAGCAGAAATTACTCACCACCAGTGAAGGGGTGCACGGAGACATCCAGGCGGCCGCAGTCGAGGTTGAAGCCCAGCTCCTTGGCGATGGAATTGCACAGGCTGGCCTGCGCGTCCGTGTCGAACGTTCCCTCCAGCACCGATGTGTCCGGGGGTGTTCCCTTCTCCCTGATGGCTGCCAGCAGCGGCCGCAGCCCATCGCGCACCTGTGGAGGAAAATTAATGCCTAATTATGATTCCATCATGATGGTTGCACTTAAGTTTGCTTCACAACAGACTGGCAATTTTGCGCATCTGTCGTGAAGGGCAGTGTCTGCATCTTCTTAGCTCGTGACTGTGACAATTAAGACGTGCAGCGGATCATTATTTCTTCCTGGGTCGGTTGACATGTGTAAAATACATTCATACTAAACTACTCATCGGTTTGAGACAGGCTGATATTTCGCAGATAATGCACATGCACATGATTTGTAAGTGACACTTCATGATGCTTGCCAGCGCGTACAACAACCTTTTAAAGCTTGCTCAGCATGCATCTTTGGCCCCACCCCTAGAGTCCCAGGAGAAATACAAGGTCAGTGGCTGGTGTGCTCACCTGGGTAAATACTTCATCAAGCCGCGCTGACGTCATCCCCTTTTCGAATTCCTCCAGCGCCACGTCATATGCCGGGCGGCTGGGGTCAACCAACTGGCTGGACTCGCGCACCAGCGCCACCCACTCCTCCAGAATTGGCGCGAATTTTGAGAAATCTTTCTCGGCCCGCGCTGTCACCCACGCCTGTTTTGGCAGCCACATCACAATTGTTTCAAAGAAAATACCTCCTGACACCTTACGCATGCACGGTGGCTGTGATTGCTTACAGAGCAGCAAAATCCAAAGAGGATCCCAACGCATGTGTTGTGCACTGTGGCAATGATAGCTTGCATGACGCCTGCATATAGACTGCATGTAAGACGAATCGATGCACTGAAAGATGCACCATCATCCAGACCATGCACAGCAGCATCCACCTGTCTGATTGCCTCCTGAAGTGTCAATTACAGACAATTGGGTGCAATGCATGAAAAGTTGCAGTGGCGGACCTGGTAGCCCTCTGACTCGAGCTCTGCCCTCCGCTTGGCAATGCGCTTGGGGATCTTCACAGTCCGTACCCAGTCCCTGTGATATACCCGTAAGTCTCATCTTGCATGCTTGCATAGCGTGCAGCCTTGATTGTCACATGCAAGTAGTACGTAGGCCCAAATCAACATTGCAGTGTAGACAAAGGAGCCCACCTGCGGGCCTCACGGATGACAGCACGCTGGAAGGGATCAAAGTCACTGGAGGACTCTGCCCCTTGCAGCTTCTGCAGCACTTCACCCAGCTCTGGGTTGGTCTGCTTGTCATAGAGAATGCCAGCCATGGCTGCCTTCTGCGCCGCCCTGCATGCTGCTGCCCCATTTGGCATCATCACCATCTCGTCCCACCTGCAAGGCACACCAAAGAGGCTAGATGCCTAGCACAATGACAAAGCCTGGGTCTGCGGGGATGCAATCTATGGCGTGTGGAAGTCTTGGATGAGGCAATCTGGCGTCTAGACGCACCCAAGCAACCCGCTGATGCCGCTCAAGGTGCTTATCTCCTTCAGCCTCTCGCAGAGTTTGTCATAGTCCTGGTACATGCAGGGAATCAAGTTACTGCTGGACTGCGCTTTCCAGGCATCCAAGACGGTGCTGACGTTTGAATCGTGCATTACGAGTTGAGAAGCACCAGCCTAAATCACTTTTCCTACCTCAGATGCAGTGTGGATCCCGTTGTTTGTCTTGGGAGCCACAACCTCCTGTGGCTCATCTGCCACTGGAACATTGGCCTGATGATTGACCGTGGCTGCAGCCATCGTTCGCAACGACAGGATACGTCTGTGGATGGCGGTGTTCTTGCTTGCTAAGGCAAGGCTTGTTCGCCTGAATGAAAAGCTCGAGGCAACGTGTTTGGACGTAAGGGATAGGTTCGTGCAAGTATGCTGCAGTATTAAAGCCATGCAAGTTCTGCAAAATGAAATACAATCGCAGGAGCTGTCTAGGAAGAGTGAGGAAGCCAGTCTGTGTATCCTTGGACAAGGCAGATGGCCACGTGGCATGATCAGTATCTGACCCCAAACGCCCCCATTTCTCACCGTAAGTTCAATATAAATCTATGCTATTAATCAAGATATATTATGCCTCTTATAGCTGCTGGTTCCAGTCACAGATGGTGGTGAATCGCTTTGATCAGACAGAACTCATGCCAATAAAAGTGAGCTTACTTCTGAAGAGCGTATACAACACCGTGCATGATTGATCAGACACCAACAGACACACTATACATCGGCGGCCTCGATCAGAGAGTGACTCGCAGAGTACTCTACGACTTGTGCATCCAGGTGATTCTGCATCTGAGTTTGTCATATGTAATTGAAAGTTCTGAGATCTCAAGAAGTCCATTATTTATTTTGCCCAATCTTGGAATTTTGGATGGACCTACGGTAATCGTCAGGGAAAAAGTTGTCACTTAGGCTGGACCGGTCGTGAGGGTGCACATCCCAGAAGAGGGAGGTGTCCATCGAGGATACGCCTTCTGCCAGTTCACTTCTGTGGTGCGCACACTATTTAAGTCTTCATCAAGCAATTGCACGCAACCCTTTTTTCCTCTTATTGCTCACGGTACGTGTATATGCTGTTGGCTCAGCCTCCACTTACGTAGCTCAGAAGGGCTAGTTTCTACTAATCCAGCTTCTGTCAACACATGCAGGAGAGTGCAATATACGCACACAACCTGTTCCAGGAACTGGTGCAGCTCTTTGGCCGGCCCCTGCGCATCAGATACTCACACGGTGGCAGCACAGCATGACAGCCCCCAGAAGAGACAAATCGTTGCAGCGATTGCAGCGGTGACCAGTGCAGCAGCGGGAGAGTGCTCCTGAGAACCATGGGGCAAGGTGGGCTCGAGGACGAGGAGACACTGCAGTGCCTGTCAATGCACCAGGTTGGCAATTCTCCTCCACTGTGCCCTAATAGCCTTGGGGCTGTTCAAGCACGCTTTCAAGAAAGTGCATGTGGGGGAGAATCCCCATTCTATTGTCTCCCAATTTTGTCATGCATGTCCCTACACGGTCTGATCAAATCCAAGCTCGCCCTTCTCAGCAGAGGGAGAGCGCCTCAGCCTCACCAGACCTGGCATGCGTCCGGATTGGGAGCGCTTGGATGGGATGCTGGCCAGTTCTGAGATCACTTGAAGCGGTTTCCCTCTGATGAGACCCATGGCATGTATCGCAGTCCATGGCTTGTATTGCAATTGTTGGCCTCTGGAGGTGATTCTGCCCCATTCGTGTGTTTTGACGTACTGACCTTAACCGTGTGTGGGTGTGCAGCCGTGGGCGAGCCTGTTGGTGCATGGGATTAAGCGGGTGGAGGGACGCAGCTGGCCTACTGATCACAGGGGCCGCCTCTGGATCGCCTCAACTGCCCAGGAACCCAGCCCTGCCACAATCCAGGTATTTACCTGTAGCTTTATACAGTTTCAGCTCCCGTATGTTGCAAGCCCCGGGGTCCCCGGCTGGCGGGTGGCGGTATAAACACTGAGCACCGTGCCCACGGTTGATTGGGTCTTGCTTGGATCTGGTGAGTCCAACAAGGGGTAGGATTTTGGCAGCCTTTCACTGCAGCTTGTCTGCAGGATGCACCTTGCCTCTTGGCAGGAAAAGCGTGTAACGAAAGCAATAATGTTGCAAGCTGCAAGAGAGCTACGTGAGCATGGAATGCAGGGGAGTGTCTCGGAGGAGTTCAAGCTCGTAGTCATGTTATGAAGTGTTTGAAGTACCGAGAGTACAGGCACTTACTTGTGCTGCTTGTGTGCTGTGAATGTGTCTTGAGAGCTGAAGGCACATGGAAGGTTAGGCTGATTGTGATGCTGTGTGATATTACAGGAGATGAGGGACTTTTATAGCCACATCCATGGACTGGAAAGGAATGCGCCAGAATTCCCTCAGCATTACCCGCGCGGAGTCCTGCTAGGCTGCGTGCATGTCGCCAACTGCCTCTCGGTGAGCTGCTTTACACACCCTCTCAAATATCTCTGGCAGCCTGGCCTTGTCCAATGTCATTATGTTATCAGGCGCCTGGTCTTGGTCATGCTTACGCCATATGATGACACTCTACCTGCCGACAACCATTTCTGTCATCTCTGAAGCTATAGGAGGTATAGCAAGCTGAGACCGTGAAAAGCATACTTCTAAATGCTGCTTTTGAGCGTGCTCAGCCCATCCAAGGGATGTGTGACAGAATGCATGCGCGTTTCCTGATCAGGCGTCGGAGCTGCAGAGCGCAGATGGCCTGCCGGAAGGGCTCGCGCGGGAGACGGAGTCGGACTTCTGTTTTCTGTGCGAGCGGCCGCGGCGGCTGGTGGTGCCGCAGCAGATCAAGGGGCAGCATAAGATCTGGCCCCTGCCGGCCACGCTCGCCAAGCAGTTTGCGCCGGCACTGAAGCCCGTTCCCCAGGTTTTCTTCTACCCCCTCTTTTATAACCCCTTTTTTTCTCTCCCTCCCCCAACGGCGTATTCACTTTTTCCTGGCCCACAATTGGACGCCGCAGCCTGCAGGGGACTTCACGTCAACAGCTGATTTAGAGTCCCCTGCAGGTTGTGTCTTTGTCTTGCATGCTGTGTCCTTGCCCTGGATCCTGTGCAAGGTGGGAATATTCGTGGAATAGAGCTGTTGGTGTTATATGAATGTCAATCAGGCACTATTGGAGACAACAAGCTTCTATTGCGGCATGCAGTAGGGTGTAGGGTGTAGAATACAAGGTGTCCGACGAGCCACCTGAGGTTATGCAAGGAAAGGTATCTTGCTGGTGAGTGAAGGTGATGCTGTCTGTCTGCAGGTGGGTGAGAAGCCTTTCAGCTGGAGCAGCTATGGGCTCGCTGCAGACACGGAAGGGGAGACTAAGCTCGCCAGGCGCCGATTCCCTGACTGAAGCCACAATGGGAGTCTTGCCTAAAAATGCTCCACTCAAGGGTATGTGTACGACTGTGCACCTTAAGCAAAGTAATTACGAAGGATATTTATTGATGGGGATTGTTCTGGCTGGCTTCCAACATCATGTCACGACATGATGTCGGAGGGGAAATGTGCAGGACGGCAGCCTCTCAATCCCGAGAATTTATTTGTTGTGATGTTACATACTTGTCGGGATGTCATCAACCGTTGGCTATACTTCTGTGAATGATTGAAATGCCTTCAGCAAATCAATACGATAACAACAAGCTGATCTTGTCAAACGCAAAGAAGCGTGCATGAATCGAACATCTGCTGCGCGATCTTGATGCTCACCCCGTGTGCACACCCACAGGTAGTGCAATGTGACCTTCATTGCTGTCGTATGCAGTAATCTTAGGGTGTGCTAGACAGGTTCTGGTTTGCAAAGAAAATTCCACAGCACCTTGTGAGCGCATCCAAAACTCAAAATGGTCAATTCAACTTCTTATCAGCCCCAGAGAGACCCCAACTGCTGCCAGAAGCCGGCAACACCAGTTGCAAGAGAACCAATGGTTGACAAATCCGCCACGATAGAGCCGGTGCCAGAAAGGGTTGATGACACAGAAGGCCCTGATGCCAGCTGGATGCCTGCCTGGAAGCTGCTTGCCAGGTCCTGCATGGTCGGAGGTACCAGGGCGTTCCCCTGCCACTGCTTCAGGTCCTTTGTGACCGCTGCTGTCACGTTGCTCACCTGCAGAAAACAGCGGCGAAGCACGTGGTCATGGCAGCTGAATTTCTTTGTGACTTAATTTTCACAAGAAACCACACTGCTTCGTCCAAAAGATGAGCATGGTTGACCTCCAATGGTTCTTTTAGTGGCGTCCTGAAGCCAATGTGGCTCTTAACAAATAAACAGGGCATTTTCGTGGCGCATAGACTACCTGAGGCTGTCTAATTTGAAGCCACCGATTGGCTTCTGAAAATTGAGTCACCAGCGCAGGAAGCCACATTTCATCCCTTTTCAGCAGAGACACACCCAAAACCACCGGTTTCAGAAGATATTTTGTGAGAATTTTTGTGAGAATTTAGCTTGTAGCCCCTATTGTGTCTTCAAAAGTTTCAATCTAGCATACCTGTATATACAGGCTACATAGCCACATTGGCTGCCACCCAAAATCCTTATAAGACACACTGGTGACGTCCCATCCGGCAATCTGGATCATCCACTCTGTACTGCGGCTTTTAGATATCCGTCGGGAAATTCCCAAGCTACCTGGGACCTTGTAGCCTTACTTGGAATTAACTGCTAATTGACAGACTAAGAAAAAGCCAGCCCTGATATCTATAGATTTGATTACACTTTCCTAGATGTCACTAGAGTTCCCCTAGCGGAAAATATGGCTCGATCTAACCGCTCTCAAATGCTCAGCAGCAGAGCATGCATGCGGACTCTGATGCATTTGTGTTCAAATCTGGCATGTACTATTCAATGGAGTAAAAACACCATACCACGTTGGATACGAGCTCCTTCACGTCTTTCAAAATGGGTGTGCCGCCATATGTGGCGCTGCCATCTGGGCCGAAGAGTGTGGTCTCCAGCTTGCACTCCTTCCCGTCCCACTCCGCTGCAGCGGTGTATTTCCAATTGCAGCTGGCTGCAGGCACAGGTGCCAACAACATGTTTCAAAACGTGCTGTCAACACAACACAGACAACACGGTGCGTTTGCAGTGCATGTGCAAGTCTAGGATGGCACAAACTACAGGCATGCGCGCAGACTATTTTGAAGTACATCTTCCTCTCGAAACTACTCATACATGCATGTGCAAGGTCACCTCAGAAATGGCTGGAGGGTCTTTTGTAAGGCAAATGGCACAAGCAGACTGCGCACCGGGTATTCTGGTGAGTTGGAGGTAGGCAGGCATGCATGTGAGGATGCTGCCAGACTTGTCTGTCAGTGTGTCCTTGCTGTCATCAACTGCACAAGTCCATGGCACGAGCTCCAACGCTAAGATTTCTCCCACACAGGCTGCAGGCTCCTGCAAATCAACAGGCCATACATTCAAAAACTTAATCACAGAGCAGCAGAAAGATTATAAGCACCGATGCATGTTTGGTCTCTGTCTCTATTCCTCACTTTTGATTGTGCATTCGATTCACTTCTCAGATTTTGACCCCCCACAAAGCTTCCTTAGACATGCAACTAATTTTGCACGCAAGGAATAATAGGATTTGCAGTAATGTAAGAGATGCACTGAGCAGTGCTCGGCAGGATTTCAGAGAAATGTAAAGAAATCTATAGATATCAGGGCTGGCTTTTGCTTAATCTGTCAGTTAGCACTTAATTCCAAGTAAGGCTACAAGGTCCCAGGCAGCTTGGGAGTTTCCCGACGGATATCTTAATGCCGCAGTACAGAGTGGATGATCCCTGGAGCGTTTACGCACGTCAGAAGAGGGTGTAAAAGAGGAAGCTGTGCAGAAGGCCGACAGAATGTCCTCCACCTCGGCTTCAGCCTGCAGCCACCACCAAGACTAAGCATACCTTAATCATCATCACCTAAGCGTGTTGCAGAAGACACCAATTTGGCGCCCTCAGCCACATGCATGATGGAACACAGATGAGTGCTTCCATCCGAGTCATGTGTACAGTTCATCAAGTTCTCTAAGCACGCATGAGAAGGACGAAGGCGCATGAATGTCAATATGACTTTTGCAGGCTATAAATTGATATGTGAAGAGGCATATCGTTGGAGGTGCGAGAAAGTATGACTGTGTGGGTTCTGGAATTTCTGTGATCAGGCGTGAAGGCGGCGCACGTCTGACAGCGTGGCGGGTACCGAGGCGTTCTGCAGCTTGTCCACAAACTTCGTGAGCGGTGTGGAGATCCCAAAGCTCAGCTGCTTCTCTGCAGTTCCACAAGCGCCCGGTTAGTCCAGTTGCAAAACACACACCTTGCTTACATAAATGCTCAGAATGCCCCTCTGCCCCATGCCAAGGAGCACTACAGGGCTGGACCACATGGGGTGCCAAAAGTGTTCAAAATGAACTTTAAGTGCCAACTCCGCGAATCTTATTATTATTAATATTATTACACGCCTATCGAAGCCACAGTTGGCTTAGGTGCATCGCAGCAGCGTCTCAGCCTTCCAGCTAGGCCTATCTTGGCACCTTTTCCAACCATGTCAGGGCCAGCCCAAGACTATCCAAGCCTTTCCTAACGAATCTCATAATAATAGTTGAATGCACTCTCAGGCACGTCTCATTTTTATTCCCACAATTTAATTAGGGGAACGATCGCACCAAGCTGCGCCAAGGGGTCGGGAATGCTTTGTGCCAGGTTGGACGCATCTGTCAGAATGATGTTAAGCAGACCACTGAGGTCCTGGGACAGTACGTTGTTCTGCAACACCAACTTCTTTTATATACATTTTTTTATTTCTATTAGGGTTTAGGGTTCTGTTCATTGGGATCATGGGCCCAACTGACTTGTGGCTTGCGCTCCCAATACACGACAAGGCATGATATTAGAAATCTTTTTGATACTGGGTATTCCTGAAAAGATAAGGGTAGAGAACATTGTAGCAGTGAGAGGGTGCTTTCAATTATTAGGGCATGCGGATGTACATGAAGCAGTAAGCCAAGCCACAATGAGCAATGCAACTTCCCTGCCCTGAAAATGCATATCGTCACTGTTCTACAGGTATTCTTGTGAGAAAATTCAGTGGCCATGCGCAGCATCAAGGGAGCACGGTCACAGGCAGATACGGACTTCAATCTATCTCTGTGTTGGCAGGAAACGCGCCTGGGAAAGAAGTGCATCGAGCGGCTGAGATCCAAGGACGAGACCGATGGTCTCATTAACTTGCGGCAGGCCTATGCTCACGCTGGAGTTCACCTGCAACAACAAATTCTTCACAAACAGATGCCCTCGGGGAGCTTCGGGTGCATGCATGCGGTCTTTGAATCAGTGCCCTGAACATTGGAGCAACAAGCATGGCACCCTTTGGATGCACGAGCTTCTTCAGGCATACTGACTTGAAGTAATTTTCTGTATAGTGTTGAGGGTCAGGAGTGCGTTTCTCAGTGGATTATTCACCTGCACCGCTGTCTCATTCACGAGCGCCTGCATCTCTTGGAACGCCTGTTGTGTGATGTTCAGAGCTCGGCTGAAGTCTCCCTGCGCAAGGGCCTGCCCAGTGCTGCCCAGCGCAACCTGTATTTCCATAGCACATGTGGTTTTAAGGGATGAAAACGGTGTTGTAGTAAGAATTCCTGTGTTGCTTTCTGGCCTGCTTGGGTTGGCGGGTCACTCAAAGTGTTTTTGTTTCTGTTTTTGTTGGCACTGCGCAACAAATCGGGCGCGGGCATCTATGGAAAGTATTTAGAGCTCATTGATGTGCGGTTGGTTACGGCTTGCTGGGGGTGGTATAGATAGTGAGCACCGTGCCCACAGTCGATTGGGTCTTGCTTTTACGTGGCGTGTTCATCAAGGGGTAGGATGTGTGGCAGCCATCGCCTGCAGCTTCTGTACGGGCGTATCTTGCCTCTGGCAGGAACGGTAATGGTGTGACAAGAGGAAAAATAAGCGAGTCACCTGTGTGTCTTGGGCAGCTTGCCTCACCGCCGTCTGGACAAACTCCAAAGTGGTTGGGAGGTTGAAGGCCTGCCCAATGTTGGCCAAGCCCTGCTGCACCTGTCAGCAGGCAGCACATTTGTTATTAAATTTATTATTATTAAACGCTTTGCCTGCCAAAAGGCAAGGTGCGTTCTGCAGACAAGCTGCAGTTAAAGGCTCCTACAATCCTAACTCATATTGGACTCGGAGATCCAAGCAAGACCCAATCAACCGTGGGCAAGGTGCTCAGTATTTGTATCGACCCCCGCCAGCCGGGGCAAATTTGTGAGCTCTGCATTTTCTATTCTTTCCTATTCCACAAAAATCTGCTGTCCATGCAGAATGCCAAGCATGCCAGCAAGACAACGTCTTCCTTTCGTGACCAGATCCCGGCTATCTAGCTGCGTTGGCGAATTACGCTGTCACAGTGTTGCTGAAGGGTCAATTTTTTATTGACTGCTGTTATTTTTCATATTTGGGCTTCAGATGAATGTGTGGCACCTACTGCCCTCGCAAAGATTAGATCTCTACAACCCCCAAAATTGCCATGCTGCAGGCCTTGGTGACGAGTATTCCTTGATCCTTGATCCTTTCAAGGTCCAAGTGTTCCATCTGTTACCTCTTGAGTGCAGCATGTCTCTTTGGAGCCCCATTTCCACACGTCAGCCAGCCATGCCTCTATAACCAGTCACAAATTTCACCGACCCATCAAGCACCCTGAATTAACAGTTTCTGTGATTGAGTTTGTCACCTGTGGAAGAGCAAGGGCCAGGCCGGGGGCGGAGGCCGGAAAGCCGATGGCGGACACCGGAGCCAGAGCCTGCATCGATGGCAAAGGCACCTGGGCAGGAAGCACTGGAAGCTGCTCCGCCTGCTGTGCGGCTGTCACTGCATTGTTTGGTATGCTGCCAAGATTGGAGGATGCTCCTGCAGGCGCACAGCAACATTCGTTTCTCAGGTCTATCTTGCTCGGATGTGTGTGTTGTTTCCATTTTTCTGTGCAGTTGCTGCCTGAGCTGTAAGGATCGTGTATCTCCCGCATCCAGCCACATGAATTGTCCTGTCTAGCACTCAACCGGGCGCAGACAGATAGCAACCTGCCACGCAGCTGCTTTGTTGCAACAAGCATTGAAGCCTAGCAAGAATGCAAGTGAAGCAGAATAAAAATGTACCCGTGACCGGCAGAGGCGGCAGCGCCGGCAGCCGCGCCGCCTGTTGTGCGGCCGTCAGTGCGGCTGTCACTGCGCCGTTCAGTACGCCGCCGGGACCGGTGGCGACTCCTGCAGACAAGACTCATCTTCTCGGGTCGTTTCTTCTGCATGCATGCACGGACTAGGCGCACGTACGGAACAGGAGCACACGCTGGCAATAATTTTCCCAAGAGAGAAAGTGTACTCTTTCAGTTCTGTGCGCTGATGCTGCCTGGGCTTTAAAATTTGTGTTTTTACATTATTTTGTCACCTCCGCTGCCCTATTCAGCACTCAAAACGGTGCAGACAGATGGCCACTAGATGCAGTTGTTATATTGCAAAATGCATCATAATCTGGCACGCCTGCAGCCTTTATATTCAGACAGAACCACGCACCCGCTACCGGCAGAGGCGGCAGGCCCGGCAGCTGATTCAGCACCGCCTGAACCGCTCTGTTCGCCGAAGCCTGGTTTGGCCCAGCCGTCAGCGCAGCAGCCGCTCCATTGGAAGCATCTGCAATCAGCTGCTGCAAGACCCCTGCCTGTGGCAAGTTGCCCACAGCCGGCCCTGGCGTAGCCGCTAGAGGGAAGGCAGGCTGAGGGAGGGAGCTTGAGGGTGCTGCCGAGGTGGGCGCCAGGTCAGCGCCAGCCGGCAGGAGACCCCCCGGTGCAGCGAGCGGTGGCAGCAGGAGCCCTCCGGCCAGAGGGAGGGGCCCCTCCGCCAGAGCGGGCCCCCCTGCGGTGGCCACCGTGATGCTCGGCAGTGGCGCCAGTCCCACCGTCACCAAGAGGGGTTCCCCCGAGGTGGGGGACTCGGCGGTGGCCACCGGAAAGCCCGGCAGAGGCGGCAAACCCCCCTGCGGCGCCGACTGGGGGGCGCCCGTCATGCCTGAGATGAGCTGCGCTACCAGCCCCTCGATATTCTGCCCTCCAGTGGCCTGCAGTTTTTCGCAAGTCACAGGCTTGTCACCTTTCCTTTAGCAGCTTGGTCCTCCGAAAATTGTGAACCGTTGTAGCATCCCACATTGAGGGAGCGACACCATTTGTTGCGGAAAAACGCGACGTATCAAAAAAGGGTAACACAAGGCATGGAGTTGCAAACCTGTTGTAGTCGGCGGCCGCTGTTGCCACTGGTGCCCCCGGGGAGGTTGGCAGCAAAGTTCAGCGCTTGCTGTGCCGGCAGCCCATTCGCGATGTTTCCCAGGTACGTACCGATCCTCTGCACACCCAAACAATAAACTCAACCTCCAGTCCTACCAGCAGTGGTAGAAACAGATTGGAGAAAAATTGTGCTAAAAATGTCTTGCCGTTATCCCCTCTTCCACACGAATCCTTGGACATACCGTATGACCGGTAAATTAAGCCCCTAGGCAGACTCGAGAATATTGGATTGTGAAGATTTCACCAGGCATATGTAGTACATATCATTGACTGAGACCACGAGCGCGGGAGCACAGAGTGGCAGCCATGCAGATCCAGCCAGAGCAACAAAATCTGTGTCGCTCTGGCCAGGGCTTGACTTTCTGATCCACAATGTGGGATCAAATCAACAAGGCTTCCCATGAGTGCTATACCGCCAGACAATGTCGCGAGGTTCCAGAGGATCAAAGGAACACCGATTACGCAATATTAGTCATTGGAGATGAGTAATACACTCACCAGGAAGGTCTGCACGACAGGTGCTCCCTGGGAAGTCAGGTTCTGCAGCCGCTCAACGAGGCCGTCCACGATTGGCGAACTGGCCGCTCTGTCGAGTGCGCCTGACACCGCCGGGTTGTTGATCACCGTCGCATTGAATGCCGCTATCAGGGGCAGCGCCGCCGCACTCAGCTGCTTCACCTGTGCGAGAAGATGTCACTGAAATTATCAGATTGTGTCTGACCCCTGACCCAACCAAAACCAGATCCATCCGTTGTCAGATCGCAACAAACTTTGCATGTTCACCCTTTTCTGCATTGTCATCAATCATACGTACTACTGAGCCGAGGACCACTGAGTAACACGCTTGGCCAGCTACTGGATGTCAGACTGGTACCGTAGCCGTGCAGTTCAGCATTGTATGAAACAGTTTTACGGTAGACATGGTGTGCAAGAAACCAGCCAAGGGTACCTAAATGAAAAAAAACTAACGGCCTGTGGTTGAGGATACCAATATGGTATGAGTGAAGCCAGACTTGCACGGTAGTGTCATCTGCAAGAATGAGTGAAGCAGATTGTCAAGGAAGAGTTGGGGGCGCACCAGGGGTGAGTCATTATTGAAGACGTTGCTGATTGCACCGCTGAAGGCGGGGGTGCGGCTGATGTATGTCAGGACCGGCTCCAGAGCGGGGGCCAGTACAGCTGCTAGGCGCTGATCGAGCGGGTCGTTCATGACAATGCTCTGCAGGCCCGCTGCATGGCACACAACGCATGAGCTTGTTATGGAAGTCCGCTTCTAGATCATCCTGCTGCAGTTGCTGAAAAAGAAATGATCATGTTCTAAAATCCCTGCTGCACCCGGGAGAAACTGCTCTTGGTACAGATTCAGCACTGTGCTTGATGCATTGGCTGCTCTGAAGCAAGTTATGACCGGACTGCCTGGATCCCTAGGAAGGGTGTAAAGAATGAAAAGCAGCACACTGCAAAATAACACCAATATCACAGATTATGACAACATAATAGCAGCACATGCAAAAGAACCGCAATATCACAGGAATGTGAATAAAGTAAGCACATGCAAAAGAGCAGCAGTATCATGGGAGTGTGATGTTTCTATGAATAGGCGCACCGAGCGCTGCGTTGTTTTCTGGGGTGGGCAGCTTTGGGTTGGGGGTCTGGCTGGGCAGGAACTGCGCCACCTGCGACAGCTCAGCAACCTGGCTCTGTAGGCTGGGAACCTGCGTGGCAGCTACCACTTTCACTCCTTTTGCGTTGCGGGACATATGCATGCATGGGAAAAGCCTTTTACCGTGCAGGCACTTGTCATTTGACAAGTGCCATGCACCCGTCCAAAAGCTGTCCCGTCTGCAAGCTGTGAAGGCTGGTTGATGCACAGCTGGTGACTGCCCCTCGGTAGCCTTTTCTTCTAACAACACTTTTGCTTCACTGTGCTCAGAACAGAGCAGCCAATCCTGGAAAACATGGCAGACCTCCAAACAGATCTTTCCAGGCCAGGAGATGAAATGGGCAATCGTGTGTTGTATGTGCCTGTTCTGGCAGGAGCAGCCGTGTGTGAGAGCCCCTTGTTGCTACACATTGCAGGCAAGTGCATGCAGTGTAAAGCTTGTCCCTTGGCTTGCGAGTGCTCCTTCATCATGCAGCAGAAGAGCTCCTCTATCCTTGTATGATGAACAAGAAGTCAGAATGTTTTGATGCATGCCAGCGATCTTACTAACCTGCAGGAGGTGGCGGCGGCCGGTGCCGGTGATGTCACGGGTGACGTCACCAAAGACACTGTCAGCGGCCTGCAGCGCCTGGTTCGCATCGGAGCCCCCCGCCAGCGCGCCAAGATATGTGCCCACCCTCTGCAGCACAAAGGAAAGAGTCAGGGACTGCATCTGCATGCATGCGAGAGAAGAATGCGTTATCTGCTGTGCATCAATGAGCTTTGTATACCCCAAGATCGCATCCTGATGACTCATTGGCAGTCGTGTTTAGTTGTGTATAATCATCTGAGCCGGCAGCTTTCCGCAGCAGGCCTCTTGCCTCTTAGCAACATGGAAATAAGGGTTCGGAATCTATATTTTCAAAACCCTTTACTTCAAGTGGTGACTAATCAAATAAAAGTTGTGGAATTTGTTACCGTTACGGTGCGCAGGAGGGGTGCCAGGGTGGCGGTCATGTTGCCAGCGTTGCCGAGGAAGTCGCTGACAAAGGGAGAGTCGGTTATTGCCTGCAGGGCATCACATCAGATTTCAAGTTCCAAGGTACAATATCCAGTATTCTAATCGAGATCTAGCAAACCGCTGGTTACACGCACCTAGCCTTTCTAGGCCGGAAAGCTTGTAATGGTAAAGGTAGTAACGCAATCCATCACTGGCAATGTCATCATAAGGAGTAGCATGTTGGCTGAATGCAAGTGGTGATAGGGCTTAGTCGTGATCACCTGAAGGGCGGCGATGGCGCCCTGCTGACTCAGCACGCGGTCTTCAAATCCCTGAATGATCGGCGTCGCTGCACTGGTTAGTGTCTGCACCTGCGCAGTGAACAGACACAAGGGAATCGTTCAAACATGCAGCAATACAGATGTGTCGGCTGCACGAAAAGCAGGGCTGCATAAACTGTTTGTTGGACAAGAAAACGGCCGAACCAAGACCCACTGACCATACTGCAATAATACAATGCCAATCATCCAGAAAATGACTGATGCGGTAGGACTGGATTGGCGCTTGTCGATTTGCTGTCCCTGACATGCATGTGGGTCCCCTGAAAGCAAGCCTCTTGCCTCAATGTGAGGCAATCTCAATGAGGGTGTATAAGGAAAGCAATGGATTTTTGAATCCTCCAAGGCACTCACAAGGGGCGTGTCCCGGCCGGCAAGGGTGACTAAAGCGTTGCTGAGGGCGGGGGTGCGGCTGATGTATGTCAGCATCGGATCAAGCACCGGAGACAGTGCGGCCGCCAGCGCCTGGTCAAACGGATCCTGCTGCACTATCCTCTCCAGGCCCGCTGTGAAGACAGACACAAATTTTACTCAGGCCCTTCCATTAATTTGCATGCCTTAGTTCTTTCTGAGGCAGGATCACCAAATGTTCCCTGCGCCAATTTGCTCTGCATGCTAGCTGCAGAAGCTTAGGGTGCCCTTAGGATGAATATAAAACAGAAACACACTAATTTACATTACTTGGTAATATCAGTGTGCCTCTTCATGTGTCAAGTTTGGCAAAGCAATTGATTTTGGCTGTCAGGATTAGGCAAGTGTGGCCCCCCGTCTGACAAACATGAATTAACTGGCAATTGAAAAAGGTACATGATTTCATCGGGGATGTGCAGTCCAGGGATTAAAATTGATTTGGTGGTTTCCTTACCCAGGGCGGCATTGTTCTGAGGGGTTGGCAGGTTTGGGTTGGGCGTCTGACTGGGCAGCATGGCCGACACAGGGTTCGCCTGCAAGCACACGGCTACCTCAGCCTCTGTTGCACGCGTACATCTGCACGTAACAAGTGCTTTGCTGGAAAGGACTTGAAGCGGAAAGTCAAACAATGGCTATATATCATGCCTACTGATAGCAACGGGCAATGGCAAACACGCTGAAAAAATGGCCTGCTGACATGGTCAAAGTAAGCTTGCTTGCCTGCAGACCAGGAGAGGTTTTGCCAGCATACCGGCTGCTGGGTCAATCATGAGACTGATAAGCAAGTCATGTAGATAAGACAAGGACCTGAAGGAGGTGACGCCTGCCAGACAAGCCTTCCAGGGTGGCAATTGCAGAGTTGGCAATGTACGTGGCCTCGTCGGTGCTCTTGCCATTCGCAACTGCTCCCAGATATGTCAATCCCCTCTACACCACAGCCCATTATTGTCAAATGATTCCATCGGCTTTTCTCCCTTGGTGAGCTCCCAAGGAGACATTCCCATCCCTCTGAATATTATTTGACTTTGCACAGGAGTATGAGTGAGACAGCCAGAAGTCACTTGGAAACATGATGCATTTAATTGCAGGTGGAGGAACCGAGGAGCTTTGCAAGCACCAAATCAAAAAAAATTCCGCTCATTCATACAAATCAGCCGTGACAAATTTGTGGAATGTAAATATTGACTACCCGGAAATGTGAAACAACAAGTCACCCGACTATGACAACATATGACTAATTTGGCTGACTAGCGCTGACTCACCAGCGCGACAATTTCCACAGGCGCGATGACTCGTGTCACGCGTTTGATTGCGCCGAGGAGCTCAATCACATTGGGATCATCAGCAATCATCTGAATGCCGGCCGCTGTGAGCGGGTTGCCCAGCAGAAAGGAGGAGATTGCCTCAACGATGGGCGTCCCCACAGTGTCGAGGAACTGTCCCTGCAATCACCACAAAACAGAGTAAGCCTCTTTGAGGTTGACACTGATACACGTTGAGAAACACCAATCTGACATGCCCTTACAAGAGGGGCGAGTCGAAATATAGGAATAGATGGGCTTTTATAATTCATGGAAACTAGAGTTTAGTCCCAGAATTTAAGCGACTTTGCATGATGAGGCAATGGGGCCAAAGTGACGACGTGAGGCACTTCCGGGCATCCAGAGCTTGCTAATGCAAATTGAGGAGTACTTAAAGTACTGGGACATTTTTGGTGGCATGGATATCCGACAAATGGGTTGAATGTGGAATACTAAATTAAAGAAAACTGATAGACAACAAAATTTTCAAACATTTAGAGCAGGGGCAAGCCGTGAACAGGAAGCTCACCAGGGGGGTGTTTATGCCGATGAGGGGTTTGAGTATCTGGGCGGTGGCGGGCGTCCGGTAGAGGTACGCTATGAACGGATCGACCACCGGTGACAGCGCATCGCGGATCATGATGTCCACTGGATCCCTCTCAATTGCTGACTCAGCCGCCGCTGCATGCACAAAAGGGTCATTGCTTTTCAGAGTGGCTTCTATAATGTAGCCTATGCCAAAAACAGGGGCCCCAAAGCATACTTGCAGGGCGTCTGCAGCCACATCTGAGGGCCGTGCATTATGTCGTACTCTATTACTTAACTACTGGGTACTCTGTATGGCATGTTCCATCTGTATGGTGCCTCGTGACTGTCATCACACGCTTTCCCTGCCAAAAGGCGAGGTGCGTCCTGCAGACAAGCTGCAGCATAATGGCTGCCACAATCCTACCCCTTGATGGACTCGCCAGATCCAAGCAAGACTCAATCAACCGTGGGCACGGTGCTCAGTATTTGTACCGCCCCCCGCCAGCCGGGGCACAGATTGCCTCAACCCTTGTGACTGTAAATCCGTGAAACTTTGAAGGGCGTTATTGTCTAGGCAAGGACGTAAGCTAGTTCAATAAAAATAGAGCATGAAGAACAGGGGAATCATTGTCTGAGGCCATGCATGGAAGTAGGAAGGGGAGCTTGCCTACAAAGGGGCTGTTGTCTTTTGTGGGCAGCTCGCCATCATTTTCGTCTGACGGCAGGAATGCACTAAGCTGCAAACAGCACATCTCACCCCATTACAGCCGGACACAACATAATTGCGTTGTGAATCAAGATTAAAGCTGTCCTTCAAGCTGCAATGTCAGAAGGTCAGCCTCTTTCAGCTTCTTTTACACACCTTGCGTCGTCGCATGGACAACTCCAGTAAGAACCCCAGCACTATTTAGCACTTGATGCCTCATATTCCCCTTTCTAGAAAGAGGGGTTTTATGGGGGGATTAAGGGTTGATAAGGGGTGTTCATACCTGCAGCAGGTGGCGCCTGCCGGAGGTAGCGCCTGCAGACAGGCCTTGAACATTGGTCACCGCTGAGTCAGCGATCTGCGCTGCCTCGCTGACACTCTTGCCTTCTGCCAGCGCGCCCAGATTTGTCTGGGTCCTCTGCAAAACGCCCAAACACAAATTTGAATTACATTTAGATCCTTACAGCACAGGACACTCTGATGCACAGCGAGCAAACCTCCCATATTTGTGCAGCAGCTTGCAGCTTGTGCTTGCCGTGAAGTACCAAATGAGAAGCGCCAGGTGCCTTCCAAAAGGCCAAATGAAGAAGATAGAACAGAGAGCACAAATGCAGCAGAAAGCATGTGTCTGCCTTGTGATGGGTCTTGAGGCACCAAGGCTAGTGCGTTGCCAGGATGCCTCAGACAGAGCATTATGACACGAAGAGTGTTTCAAGTACTTATCCGGACTCAATGGTCTCCAAAAGTTTAAAAAGTACAAAAAGAATCACTGATGTAGTGCCGCACCAGGAATGCAAGCTCAGCAGAGCCTGCAGTTTCAGCAGCGCTCTTCATGGCAGCAATGACAGCCTGCACGCCCGGGTCAGCGGCGAGGTAATCGATGACAAATGAGGTGACTGGGTTGCCGGTCAGGAAGTCCGAGGTGGCTTGCACCACGGGCACACCCTGCTGGTTGAGAGTTGCTGACTGCAGACACATCACAGTCACCCTTTCAGAACATTGATGCGCATGCATGCATGCATGCTTGCTAATGCGGGCCAGGAAGTTTTGAGACATCCAGCCCGTAGCGTTCTAAACTCTCATAATTTTCTCTGTATCTCCCTATGCTGCCGACCTGAAGTTCTCTCCTCCTTATCCCGATGGACGCTTAACTTGCAATTTGGATTTTAAGTACAGCTCTCATGGCTGCTGCATGGTGCAATGAAATCTCCGTGTTGCAATCAAGCCAGGATTAGGCATGCAGGTATCACCGTCTCGAGCAAGCAAGAAGGCAGCCACTACAGTGCCCTCAGATGTTGAAGCAGCATGCAAAACATTGCAATGTTCATCTGCAAGTAAGAAAAGGAAACACGTAAAAAGTCTCACCAGGGGGCTGTTGACACCGATGATGGGCTTAAGTGCATCGGCGATGGCTGGAGTGCGGTAGAGGTAGGAGATAATGGGGTCCAGAAGTGGCGAGAAGGCATCTCGGTACATGTTGTCAACTGCATCCTTTGTAATGGATGCCTCCACCGCCGCTGCAACTTGCAGCGCAAGCTTCAAACTTTGATTTCTTGAAGTGTGAAGATTTGGTTTTGTGCCCGCTAGGCTTCACACAAGCTCAAAATGGCGCCTAGTGTTATGTGGAGTGACAATGCACTGAAAGGACAATGCATTGGCAGTGGAAAGCCAGCTCTGCATGCTGGGAGCAGTGCATTGCTCCTGCTTAGAAGACGAACAGCTGCTGCTGCTGTTGCTCATGACAAGAGCATCTATGCCAGAGTGCTACGAAATCTACATAAAAAAACAGAGTGTCTTTCTTAGAAGGGGCGTGCCTGCATAGGGGCTGTTGCCGGCGTTCGGCAGTTCAGGGTCCGGTGTGGCAGAGGGGAACAGACCGCTGGCCTGCAAGGCAGTTCCACTCCTGTCAGGATTTCCACCTGATTTGGAACATTTCTGCTACCCTTGTCGAACTGCAGAGCTATTCCAAGTTTCACATGAGACTGGACCAGAAGCACGGAGGCATGCATACCCATCAGATGCCGCAATGACAGCTGCACACTTCATGACCACAAATGCATGATCAACGCAATAATAATTAGCCAGCAAGATCATGACAGAGCTGGGGCACAAATCTAACAGGAGCTAATTCACCTGGCTGATCTTTCGGCCGCTGCGGCGCGAAGCCGGGTAAGCCGTGGGGATGTCAGGGGTCTGGTTGTCCGCTGCCACTGGAGCAGCCGGGCTGTCATTGGCCGGCTCTGCTGCCTGATCAGGCGAGGGTGACGTCACCGCTGAGTCACCAGACGAGTCACCACCGGTCGGGGTCGCCGCAGGAGTGGATGATGTCGTCGCGGCAGGGGTTGGCGCCGGGGTTGTGGCCGGGGTAAGGGGCGGGAGCATAGGCAAGGGGTTTGGTAGGGTTGGCACAGGGGTCGTTGATATAACTGGAGTGTTGACGGCGGCCGGTACAGTCAGCACCGGCGTGGCGGCAGGGGTGGATGAGGGGGTGGGCAGGGGGTTTAAGATTGGTGGAAGGGTGATTACAGGGGTGGCGGGGGGGATAAGACCCTCGCTTAGGCCCTGGTTGCTGTTCACTGCGTTGTCGGCCTGGACTGCGGCCTCCGCCGCAGGTACGCCCCCTGCCGTCAGCCCCAGATATGTCTGGTACCTCTGCATGCACACATGGCACCACCTTGCTCAGAACTCGGACATTCAAAATGAAGTGTCAAAGTCTGCTGTTTGTTGTCGCCAATGCAGCTGAGTCCGCACACCGCGTGACACACTGCACCGCATGTTTCCTTGAACATTTTATTGCAAGACGCCCTACTTGTTGAGAAATGCAGAAACCTCACAGCTGTCTCCATACAGGTGATATCAAGAGTTGTATTCAAGCCTGCTGGCATGCACACCCTGAGACCATTCTTCGGTGCACAGAGGCGCAGAGGAACAGTAGCCATAGAAAGAGCTATCATCCGTGTAATGAGCCATGCTGTCATTGACAAATGAGATTTGCACTCTGGACTCATCGATAATGCTGCTGTCACAGTGGAAAAAAACAGCACAAGAAAAAACGAGAGCACACACCAGGAGCGCCCGTTCAAATGGCCCCAAGATCTGAGAGGCACCAGCTTGAGCGCTGTTGATGGCCAGGAAGGCAGGGGAAGTGGCGATTGCCTCCACGAGTGCCAGGTTGGCTGGGGTGTCCACAATCAGGCCAAAGATGTTGTCTATCACCGGCGCTCCCACATTGTCCAGAAGGCCCAGCTGCGTCACAAATGCACTTGTTCTCAGCTCATGCCAACCTTCTTGTCTATCGTGTGCCTGAGACTTGCGGATTTGGACCGGCTGTAGACAGTCTGTCTTCTGGCTCCTATCAAGACATGTGCTACCATTGCTACTGTGGTTTTGGAAATTTCCTTCCTCCGCAAGTTGCTTGCATGTGCGGCATTCGCAACGACAGATGGGAACCTGGTCCTGAGCTGTCATTTCACACAATCCCCGCCCGCCAATTGAAGTGCAGGAGACCTCTTCGAGGTAAACAAGAGGTCTTCAGCAAAAGGCAGGGCTCGTACCAAAGGCGTTCCCTGGCCAATGAAGGCCGTGAGCAGGTTTGCGGTGGCCGGGGTGCCCGCGAAAGCCGCCAGAAGGGGGTCGGCCGCGGGAGAAAGCGCCGCTCGCAGCAGAACATCCACCGAGTCCCGCCGCGTCTGGGTCTCAAGCGCGTCTGCATGCATGAGCGCAGACCTCGGCACATGCAACAAATGACCAACGCATTCATTGGCATAAAAGGACAGGACGTCGCATCTGGGCTGATTGAATGCTGTGTCTGGCTCATCCCATCAGAGATTCAGTGTCAAGCGTGATAGCCAAGCATCATGCTTGCATATGACATTGACACATGCTTGTCACTTTTGCTAAGTCAATAAGGTGTTCTTGCCACGTTGTTCTGCCAACAAATTTGGAGTGTACTCGAGCCGTTGCAAATCATATGCACATGGCAAGAGCAGGTAAAAGCCTCAGATTGTCGATGCAGCCCAGCAGATTCCCATGTGTTTTCGAAAAGATTGCGAGTGAACCGGAAAAATGCTGCGCTGCTTGCAAAGATGTGAGCGTATTATTCATTGAGCTGCTCACCGACAAAGGCGCTGTTGCCTGCTACCGGCAAGCGAGGGTCCGGTGTTGCGCTGGGCAGAAAGTACTGGTTTGGATTGGAAGGGGGCGTCTGAGTCGTAGTTGGGGCCTGTGGCATATTATACATTCTTAAAGGCGACTTCTTGCAGCAGCCGTGTTTCTACCAAATTCACTGGAAGGCATGGCAGCTCCAGGGATCCCTTTGCTCAATTGGCACTGTCTGAGGGAAGAGAACTAGCTGCACCTGCAGCAGGACGCGCTGGGAGGTCGCAAGTGCGCTCCCATCATCTAGGCTGTTTCCTTCAGCGTCTGTGCCTGCAAATAACCCGTCTGGTAAGGTTTTGGCTTTGGAGGGATGGCAGCGAAAGAGTCCTAGACCTCGCTGCTGACCCAATATCGCTTGGAACGAGTGTGATCATCCGCAGAGAGATATCTGGCCCCCGGTAACAGTAGACAGTAGTGGATTTACATGGTCACTCCGATGTTTCACTGGAAACGACGAAAACGGACGGCATCTGCGGCAGCTGGCTTTGGCTATAGACAGCCAAACCAATTATGACTACCTTCTTCAACTATTCTAAACGAATGTATCTTCACGGCTGTCACCTGTTGAATGAGCCTTGTCTGCGGCTTGAACTGCCAGCGTGCACACCAACAAGACCAATGCGCAGAACAGCGGCCTCCACCGCGTTCCCATAGCTCTTCGGTCTACCGATGCCCCTCTGACGTCCACAATGACATGCTCCGCTGATAACCTTTCGAAATGCAAGCCCTGACCTAGTGCACAAGAACGGACTGTAGGCAGATGTTCGACAGGACGATGTCGGGGTTTTTAAATTTTGAACCCGCCAGGGAGATAACATATCTTGGCGGGCAGTTGCTTCAAGGACAGCGTTGCTGATGGAAGGCAGAGATTCACTTAATGGATAAAGTTCGAGGAACAATCAGTCGTCAAACTTTTACCGTATTTCACTACTGATTCATCTGAACAAATAAGATGGGGGAGGTGGTTTGTTTAGTAAAATAATAAGCAATGCTTCCTGGACCAACCAGGGGCGCGCGCCTCCCTGCACAATACCACTCGGGCTGCCCATTGCAGCTTCCAATTGACTCACTGATATCAAAGCCTGAAAGGGGCTTAGATTCACGCAGTGGCAGTCACAGACGGCGCAAGCCAAGCCAGCACGTTACACAGTCGGCTGCGCTGCGTCGAAGGAGCGGTAGATGGGGATCGATCGATTGTCCTGATAAAAAATATGCATCTTCTGGATCTTTATGTCGCAGCAGCCCTGCGAGTGCCAGCGCAGACTACTTTCTTGAAGAGGATGGGGCGCCATCCTCCAGTGCACAGAGCGCTGCCAGCAGCGAAGCTGCACAAACAGTTGACACTGGAGAGGTGTGTCTCGGGATGGGTCAATACCAAAGGGGTCTTTTCGCTGTTTGAAAATTGCAGCTTTAAGACTGGGCAACCTTTTGTGAGCGATGGCCACATAGGTCAACTCAAGATCGAAACCTGTGGTGCCTTCGTCTCAAGAGCGATGTCCTGGTACCAGCGTGGATATGTCAAATGACATTATTGAGGACTACACAAGACACTAGTCACATGTCAGGAACTCAACTCAGTAGCTTCCTCCTTGGTGACACAGGTACTGGGCAATGCCACCTTCTTCCAGGCCGTGATGAATGTGCTGAACATTCTGACGGGCGTCGGTCTGCTCTCCATACCCTTTGCTCTGCGGCAGGCCGGCTGGGCCGGCCTCGGCATCCTGTGGCTGCTGGGCATAGTCACAAACTACACAGGTAATCACTCGCATGTCTCTAGCCTGCAGGCTGGACCCCAGATCTATAGAAAGATGTTTTGACCTGCTGTCTCGGTCCTCAGATGAGTTCCTGAAGTGCGCACAGCTCTTCGCTCCATCCCTTGCAGTAAAGCTTAATAGTAAAGCTTGCTGACACCCCGACACATGCGCACTTTCGCGCCTTCACGAGCATTCGGTGCTGCTAAGAAGCTGCATGCCCAGTGGCTGGCAACCGTTCATTCCTCAATACTGTGTTTCAATGGGATCTGCCAGCAGGCCAATGCATCTTGGCAGCCTCATCACAGCGCATATAGGACACTTTTGAGCATTGCCTTTTTGGAGACTCCCTTCCAACCGATGGGCTGGTTATCTTCTCAGAGGAAATCTGGCAAGTCTTGGATTTAATGTGGCTTGTCCCAATGTGTTTTCTTCACAGGCAAGGCACTGGTGGAGTGCCACGACGTGGTCTTGAAGAGAGCAAAAGCCGAGAGCAGCAACGGCGCCGCACCGCCCATGATCGGTTACGAGGACATCGGGGGAGCGGCGTTTGGTGCGCTCGGCCGCACCATCGTGAGCTCTGTCATGTACGTGGAGCTTCTCGGCACCTGCGCGCTGCTCTTCATCCTGGAGGTGCGCAGCTTATTAGTCCGCCTATTCTAGAGGACCTTTAAAGGAAATTTGTCCCAAGCTTGTCATGGCCTGCTCACTTGTGAATCGAGCTGCGAAAACATGAGTCGGGGAGCTCGAAACCAACAGCAAATGGACAAACAGATGAAAATTAAAGACCAGGCGTCGCTCAAGCAACTGCCCATGTGCGGACCACTCTAGTTATCTGAGAGTCAGCGTGAATGCACAAAGTCCCAGCTACCTAACTTGACGGCCCGCATGCGCTCCTGTCAGATTGATTGACTTCCCAGCCGCCGTTCTTCATGCTGTGAGGTAGTTGGAGTGCAATGCTAGGAAGTTGATCTGAGCAGCTGTGAAGCTTGGGTGCCTGTGCCAAAGCGCGGCGTCTTGTTCGCAATGCATGGCATGGCCGGTGTGTTGGTAGTATTGAGGGTGGAGGGCAGTGTTCATATGCCCATAACGGTCTGGGAGGTTGGTTGTTATCGGAGGTTGGGGAGGGAGCCATACAGACTGTACTCTGTCAAGATTAGGCACGTTGGGAAATTGCCCTGCTTGAGGTTGCATTGGAGGATGTTGGTGATGATTGCAGTTGGGCATTCATAGTCAAGCTCTTTATGGCAACTCAAGTGTGCGCAATTTGTCTATGTGCTTCACCTTTTTCAAGAGTAGGCCAGACTATCTCCTGCCTTGCATGGCAATGAACCATGAGAGATCATTACCCAAGATAACCAATGATGCCAGCTGTGCAGAATAGTGACCACTCCTTGTAGCTGTGACACCACAGCCACTTCTCATGTGTGTGTGGCAGGGCCAACCAATCATTAGCAATATTTGTAATAAATAGGTATGCACGGCTGCGAGGTCCTATTGCCTGAAATGTGGGTAAAGGCGTACCGTGCCTTTACTAAATATAAGTAAGCCGCATGAATAAATTGCCGGCTGTGCGCGCAGGGCGACAACCTGTTTCAGCTGCTGGGAACGAAACTGGCGTCGAGCTCTGGCGCGTACATGGTTCTGGCAGCGGCAATCATGGTTCCCACGGTGTGGCTGCCCGATCTCAAGTCGCTGTCCTACCTGGGCTTTGCCGGCATTACTGCTACGCTCACGGTCACCGCAGCTGTCGCCTATACTCTGCTGTCGGGTGAGCGCTTCTAAAAATTCTGTGTCGTTCAGCGAATGTATGAGGTCCTTCGCTGCAGGAGTCATGCAGCAGGAATCTGCAGGAATTGCATTGCTTGGAAGTGCTGTCAGCTGCGCGGTGTCAGCATTTCTGTTGCCCACTCACTGCTGCCCGGTGAGCGTTAATTTGCACTTGACAGTGTGCCAGTGCAAATGAACGCACGTGGAAGGCACAGCACTTTTCAGGAGCCCAGTTTGGGCTCCTTAAAAATCCTTGCAGGCTTCAGACTGCATATTTCCCGCACAGAACGTTGTGCAGGTACTGCTACAGTAAACTGCCCCAAGATGCGCGCGCATGCTTCAGCATGGCAGCCATCTGAAACAGCGCAAAATTTGAATCAGCGCTGCACAGCTTCTGTGCGAGGGATGAGGTGCTTTTGAAGGCGTGCTGGTCTATGTATTGCGGGACTGCAACCAAAAAGACACCCATTGCAACAAAGTTCCCAAACTTTTCCCAAAGGTCTTGCAAAAGACCCCACTACTCATTGGAACTGGTACGGGAATGCCACTGCGCATGGCTTTGAGAGTCATGACAACATCACGAGGAGAGTTTTGTTTCAAAAGATCTGTGCTTCTCACTTTTTCTAAGTGTTTGCTGCGTCATGAGCGCAGGAGGGTATCCTGCGGGGGCTGTCACGTCGGCAGGCAATTGGGCGACGCTGCCTCTGGTGTTTGGCATAATGGCATTTGTGTACTCGGGCCACGGCGTTTTCCCCTCCGTCCGCGCATCCATGAAACGCCCAGAACACTTCCCCAAGGCGCGGCTTTCTTCAAGTTTATAGCATGATAAAAGTTTGCGCATTGACTTGAGAGTGCGTAACACTGGTTCCTTCCAGCTGTTGGCGGCCATGCAGAAAATTCCAGATTGTCTGCATGACAAGGTCAATATTGATGTCCAAATATTTCAAAGTTCTTGTTATAGTCCTCTACTGCCAAGCTGGCCTCCAAAACTGACACAGCCCCCACTTTCATTTTGCCTTGTGATTGCTGTGGGCCCCTTCAGGCTGAGCTTGAATGCGCACAGCTCTGTGAAAGCCTTCCGGCTTCTAGACAACACCCTCAAGCCATCAGCCCAAAATCTTGGTTTCACCCCTTTCTCAACCCCTGTGCAGGTGTTGGATGCTGCTTACCTGGTGGTGGGCACTCTCTGTACCTTCATCGGAGCTGCGGGCTACTACATGTACGGCAATGGAGCCCTGGACGTCATCACCTTCAACCTGCCCAAGGTGACTGCCTGCTTAAACACAAACACTCATTCTTCCTCTTCGTGGCCTGGTGGGCAAACTGCTGCTGACACCAAGCATCCAGGAGGAGCCATCAACGCTGTGTTCCTTCTTTGTTTGATGTACTGTCAATGCCAGGGAGGGCTTTATTGGCAAGCATCTCTTATTTTAGCAGCAGAGACGGTCAGTGGGATTGCGGCGGCTTTTGCTGGGTGCTACTGGCTGAGCACGCCAGCGCAGCAGTAGCCAAACTCCTGCTCAAATGGACATGACATTGTGGGAATATGTTGTGTGCATGGCAAAGCTAGCATTTTGCCAACACGGGGCAGCTCTTTCACAAAGTCCTTGCATGCTATATCAGACCCTTGCATGGTAGATGAGATCAGAGGGGCATGTAGGTGTCTCAAGGGGCGAGGACACAAGGGGATTGTTTCAGATGGTGAAGGGGATTTTTGATATCTGACAGGGGCTGCTGGCGACGCTGTGTGCGTCGCTGATTCTGGTGAACCCGGTCGCCAAGTTTGCCATCACGCTGGACCCAGTCGCAGTGGCTGCCAATACTTCACTCGCCTCGGTCACACAAGGTGCCCCACCCATCCCTTCTGCTTTGCGCATGCTTGGACCCTGTGGCCCGTTTTTAGAGCAGCAAGGGATGCAGCACATCAGGAGGTAACCTGAGAGACGGCTTAGTCAGTCTGGCATGCATGCCATGGGATTTAGAGAAAGAGGTATGCAGACATCAAGGCAGTGTGAGGGCTAGGAGATAGGAGAAAGGGCTGCCTCGAAAGCGCACGATCTTGCAGAAGGGTGAAAATGGGCAATGGGCTCTGTTCTGTGATTGATCAGAACGCCCATTGCCCATTTTCGCCCTTCGTTTCCATCCCTTGAATGGCTCTTTGAGTGCTTTGCGTGAGGCACTGGCTGCGCTCGACCTGGCTGGTTGGGCCAGCTCACCAGGGTATTCTAAATATAACTTGTATTGATATTACCTGTATAGATTATCTCCGTGAGAATACCTCAAGAAGGGGTTTGGCGCCACATCCACACAGGAGACAGCGCGCTGGCGTAACAGGGTAACAGTGCTATCTCAGTTGCAGTGCCAGGGGTCACAATTGTCAAACTACTCTTCAAACTGCATGATTGACGGCGTGTGCCTGTGCAGGATTTCCTGCGGGTCTGAGGAGATTCGCAGTGCGAACAGTGATGGCTGCGGGCTGCTTGGTGGCTGCGCGCTTCGTTCCATTTCTGGCGTATGTCATGGCGCTGATTGGGTCATTCCTGACCATCTCCGTCTCCGTGATATTCCCTGCCGCCTGCCACCTCAGCATCTTCAGGGTGAGCGTAGGATATACCACCAAACCCCTTGCCGCTTCCGCGGCAGTTTGAATCTTTGGTACCCTACCGTATTGTCTTGCAGCTTGATGGAAGGTGCATCAGGGGAAAGCAGTGGGAGTACAGATGCTGTTATGGACAAGATTGCCATGGGGAACACTGAACTGACTTTCGGCCCCATAAGATCATGTACAGCGGTTTGTACAACCCTGCTTGCAGTAAGGAGGGGAGTGCTTAGGCGATGCTTGACTGACGCGTCCCTTTGGCATGTGCGCACAGGGCAAGCTGTCAAGGCGGCGTCTGCTGTGGAATTATGCGGTGGTGGCAATAGGAGTGGTGTGCGCACTTTCAGGCACTGCAGCCTCTCTGCGTGCACTTCTGCAGAGCACAGCCACTGCATGAAATAAAGACAAATGCAGCTGCATTATCAGCACTTGATTGGAAGAGACTGGTCTCAGACAGGCCGTCTCGAGACAATAAAGTTGCATTATACTGGCTATGCATTGGGGAAAGGGTGGTGGCTAATTCTGGGGAAGGACGACGGGGTATTCTTGAGAGGCAGCTCGGCTCTCTTGTACTATTATGAGCGTGCAGGTGCTTCCATTGCTTTCTGGAAGGGGGCAGCTCAGGGTGAACTGACAAATAAATCCTGAATAGTCGAGATCGTGATGATCTCTTCAAGATTCTGCTGAGATTGATTTCTAAAGGCCAGTGACCTGTACAGATCTTCACATGCACTGCAATATCATTGAGGATTTTGTTGAAGTGGGCAGAAATGGCGTACAGATGATAGATTTGATTGACCTGCAAATTGCTTAGTGCAAGCAGGACTGCAAGACTGCATAGTTAGCCAGATCATTTTGCAGTTCAACATTCGATGCCATGGTGCCATGCATTATGAGATGCTCCTGGCAGGGAATGATTTTGATCGCTCCATGTGCAAATTCGGCATTGGTGAAATCCTTGCCCTTGAATCTAAACCAGCCCGCCGCTATAGCCCTGTGAAATGTTGCTTTCTTGTTCCTGAGGAATCGAAGGAGGAAGGAAGTATCTGTCCGGTAGTCTTGAGAAGAAGGCATGCGCAGGGTACGTATACAAAATAGGCTGGCAAGTACCGGAAAAGTCTCTGTGCATGCTTCTAGTGCACGACCGCGGCGAGGCCATAACGGAAGAAGAGTGGGAAACCAAACCAGGCTGCATGGCACTGCAAACACTGGGGGATTGCGAAGACGCTCGTGTGCGCAAGGAGAGGCAGGCAGCATCTATGCATATGGTGATCGCCTCTGCAATGCTCCTTACTATGTCCGCTGGCATGCGCACCACGCTGTCAATAACCTCACTCATCCCTCCGATATTTGCATCAAAACCCCTGCCAGCAGTGCGCTGCATTCGCGCAAAGCACAGTGATCCCCGCCGCAGCAAGGGAGTAACAACTCCTGCGACTCGCTGATCTCAAGAGGACAAAACCGCCTCCTCTCTACAGTAACACAGCTGACTGGCTTCGAGACCCTGATTCACGGCCATAGAAAACTCCCTAGGGTGGACACTGTGTAACAGTGACTCTAATTTCTGCAAAAGGGCTCCTGCTAAGTTGACACAAGCAGCAGCAATTTTTAAGTCTCTGTAGACATACACGCGTCTCATGCTCAAAACATACACACCATTCAATCTGCATGTTGTACAGCAACATACACTTTAACCACAGTGGCACGCAGTGGTGAGTTCAACTCACAGATCTACACGCATACATCAACGCCAGAGTGCAGTCATGCAACTTGGCATCCATTGTGGCCGCCAGCTTCATGCGGAAGTCTTGCAGGCCCCGGTACTTTGCCTCAGCTGCTGATCCAGGCACAATGTTGCCTGACACTGATATCAGCGCATCATCCGCCTTTGCTAGGCACTCTGAGGCTGCCTGGCCATTTCCCAGCACCTGACACACCATGCTTTGTATGTCAACCACCTGCAAATCTTCGTTGACGGAAGACTCTCTGCTATCATTCTCTTGTCTTGTTTAGCAGCGGAACGCACCAATGAAGGGACTCTTGTTTAATTCTAGGAGGAAGAGCCTCACCTCTTCGATATCAGCCACCTTCAGCAATGATGTGACCAGGTTCAGAGCAGCGCTGACATCAGCACTACTGTCATCCCCTGCAGCACAGGATTTCTGCTGCTCAGACAATTGATTTGCCAGACAGAATATTCAAGCACTCACAATCAATAAATTTCCTCCCTCAAACATCCATAGAAAGGCAGACAGGGGCTTGAAGCAAATGTGGCAAGATTTGTTGGTTGTAAATGGCAAAAATGCAGCGGGCACAATTGTCTGGTCAGAAATTCGATTTATAAGCTACACCACCAAGCAAGCTCCCAGATGCAGACAGATCCGTGCTTAAATACAAAAACCTGATTGTGGAGTACCAAAGTTTGGGAAGGGACTGCGACGCAGTTCTCCGCACCTTGTCTCGGTGCATCAAAGGCATGTTCCCTGATTGCCAGCGCCTCTCGGTAGTTGGATCGCGCAAGCTCGAGCTCCTGTTTTGAATTTGAATTTGAATAGTGCAGGTCGCCCAGCTTGTTGTGGCTCACTGCCAGTGCATGCGCCACCTGTGCGCAGCACAAAAATGATCAGCACATTTCTTGATCCACGACTGATTTGGGCAGAAGATCCTGAACCTCTAGATTGTTGCAGAGGCCCTTATTGTGGTGATAAGTGTGCTGTCTGCACTGTCAGCTCTTTGGCACAGTACTGGCATTTTTCAGGTTGAACATGTATGCTGCCACTACGCCCAGGAAGTGGCCAAAAAGATTAGATTGATCCCGGCCCGCACCTGGCTGGATCTGACAGGGCTCTTTTGCAGAACGCCGAGGCTGTCCTTGAAGCACTCCTCGGCCGCTACCAAGTTCCCCAGCCGCTGCTCACACATCCCCTGCACAGACAAAGTCCCACACACACATTTCACCAATCTGAGGCATGAACCCCTGTTCAACTTGGCCGGTGTGAGTGTTTGCCAGAGCCTCATGTTTGCGAGCTGTCGAGCAGCTGCACAATGTTTGAGTGGACAGCCGAGAGGGGCTGTTCTTGAGAAGCCTTCAATTGACTCGAGCAAAACATTTACCTCCTGTGACAAAGTAAAGTCACAGGTACTGCTCTGAGGCTTCTTCATTACAGCTGAGTTGCGCACCTGCGAGCCCCAGATGTCCCCCAAGCGACAGCAAGTCTCCTCAGACCAGCCGTTGGCGCCAGAGGCCTCGGCCAGGGTGACTAACCGCTCTCGGCAGCGTGCAAAGCGCACGGCAGCTGCCGTGAAGTTTCCTCCGGCCATCGAGCGCAGCGCGCACTGCAAAATGAACTCTGCCCTGGCCGCTGCAGCACAGTGCAGGTGACATCACACTCCCTTCAACGCTTGTGTGCAGAGGAGTGCAGCGGTGCATCCCATACAAGCTTCCCAGTGAACTCAGGAATGCATCCATGCAGAGACCTTGCAAAGAGCACTGGGCTGTGGCAGGCATGGACCTAAGACCTCTTCATTCCAGGAAGGGCAAAAATTCATACCTTCATCCTTGGCATGCAAGGAGCCGCTTGGAGACTTGCTTCTGTGAGTATCTGCAGGGCTGGTCTTGGCAGCAATTGACTGAGCGCGTCCTGTGCTGTCCTCATTTTTGGGCAATTCACCGCCATTGAAACTGGCTGCCCCTGCTGCCGCGCTTCCCGCTGCAAGCTGCCTTGATGCAGCCTCCTCAAAAGCAGTTGTGTCGCCGCACAGTTCCACAAACTGACTGACCAGCTCTGCACATGATGAGCATGCTTGACATAGTTGGAAGACTAGACACTGTAGACGAGCAACTTTGCAGAGCGCGAAAAGCTGGATACTTCTTTTGTCATGGCCAATATTAAAAGATCAAAGACATATTGGAACGGAAGCCACGGCAGGAGGACTGTCCAGCCAAAGCGGGGGTGGTTGTGAAAGGCACACCTTCCAGCTTGGGCTCAGGGGTGAGACTGTTGATGTCAGCGCCGCACATGAGGCAGTCGCTACAGGGCTCTATGCAGGCTCTGCAGAAGTAGTGCTGGCACTGCGTCTTCACAGGATCAAAGAACAAGGCATCACACCTGCACAGGATATTCAGGCCCCATCAGGGCTCGATTTTCAACCAGTAGAGAGCAAACTTATTGCTCCACTTCATTGGGCTCTTATACTAATTCATTCTTCCCACAAGCATATCTTCCCAGGCTTGACAAGGTTAAGCAGTATCACCTGGAGCAAACCAATGCAGACTCAACTGTCTTTGGCTTCTTCGCAGATCCAAATCCCATGGGACAGACAGGCCCTTCCTGCGCTGATCCTTCATCTCCCACGCCCCCTGAACTTCCGCTACTGAATCCAAAAGGGCACTTTCCTGCAACTAGGATGCCTTTCATTCGAGTTTTGCTTGCTCTTAGGAGAAACGTATCATCGATCATCAAAAACAAGATGCAAACCTGAAATCATACCTTCCGTCGTTGTTGGATTTGGTGTAGCAGCAGAAGTTGCACCGCTAAAGGGACATCGTGAGGCAGAGTCCTTACTGACACCAGAGTCAAGTGATGCCCCACCGAAAGGGCACTTCCTCACTTGAACATCTGTTTCTTGAGATGTTGAAGAGTCCATCGCAAGTTTTTCAAATCCAGATCGCCGAGTAGGTCTTCTGCTTAACAATCACTTTAGCAATAGATGCTCTACATGTACAAGGGGACCGTTCAAAGCATAACAACGATAAAATTGTCACTCAGATCGTCTGCAGCACACCAATTCGGCAACAATTGAGTTCTTTGTTTTAATTATTTTTCGGAATGGTTGGAAGCAAAAGTTTGCTTTCGAAGTTTGGAACCTAGCCAGTAGCCAGGGAATGACACGTGACAGCCTCAGGGGAATTGTGATATTCAAAGGTTCGAACGAGCTTACAAAAGGCAGTACAGATGTGCTCATGGCGCTGCAAAACAGCTCAGTCCACACAGTTCAGCAAATTGCGCCTGGTACCTGCATTGTTCTCATCTTGTGGGCTGTGTAGTACACAGTGTGTACGCTCAATCCCGTCAGCTCGGTTTCTGCTGCTCCATTTGCTGGGGCATATCCTGCACATGTGCCTAAATACAATTGTAAGGAGCAGTTGCATACCCTTGGAACCCTCACATGAGATTGTAATCGTTACTTGGAGCAAGCAGCTTCAAAAACTTTGCACCAGTTGCTGCGCCTCAAAGCTTAACATCCTCCTGGCCGTCCCTCACCAGCTGCATATCACTCAGGGGAAGCTGTACAATCGTGCACGAGGCGTGGCACGCTAGTCTATTGAATAATCAGCATCCTGGAATTTGAGGCTCTGGGATGCAGATCTGGTCTTCCGGCTGCCACACAGCTGTGTTAGGTAAATGTCGGCTCTCTGGGATTCCCAGAGGCACAAGTAAGCACCGTCTGAGCTGCTCTGACCGCTTGACACAATGCTTATCGCACCCTGGTTCAATCCACAGAGTTCAGCACATTGCGCCGGGCACTTGACCCGCCCTCATCTTGTGGCCTGTCTACGCTCACGCCCGTCAGCTCAGTGTGTGCCGTTTCATTGGCTGTGGCATGCCCTGCATGTGCAAGGTGTGCGTTAGTAACCTGGAAGATCATGAACAGTCTTGTACGAGAAGCGCTCTGAGCAACATCGCTGCGTAAGACAACCCCATGCTGATTTTTAGCGCTTCCAGCTGAAGGAACACACCAATGACCAAGCCAATACTTGGCATGCTGGAATGACCAGGGCAATTTGCCAGCCTGGAAGCCAAGGGATCAAGGCAACACAAGACAGGTGTCCCAAGTAAATCCTGCCAAATGTTGGCTGCTTCATGCACCTTGACTCGGCCGATCTCCACCAAGGATGCCTTCATCCACTGCCGTCCTCTCATGCTCTGCTCCTCTTGCTTGCCGAAATTTCTCGCAGCACCAAAGGCATCCGGTACATAAGGCTCCAAGGATAGCAGCTCCAATAAATATGGCCACTCCACCGAGCACCAGCAGTATGGCGACAATCACAGTCCCTGCGCAACACGCAATAGCTATTTGCATCACAAAACAAAGCCAGTGATATTCCCCATTAGGTTGCAAAGTTACAACCTTGATCTATCATCAGTTGGATAGAAAATGATTGCCTCTAGCAGAACTTCACGATGTTCTTATCGCTTGAAGAGTGTCAAGTAACAAGCTAAGGAGAAGTGACGGGTTGCAAGAAGCCGCACATTCAATCACAGATCCGATGAATATCCAGAGGCGTTCTGTCAGTGAATCGTCAACTGCTGTTACTAAGTTGTCCTTGTCACCGCCGGCGGCTGAGTAAGTTGCATCAGCAAGCAACATGCGCCCGGCTTTCAGTGCGCGCTTGAGCTGCTGCCTCTGGCTTTCACCAAACCCAGTCGCTGCTGATGCATCTTCTGTAATGGTGCTGCTGTCTTGTGTTGATGTCTGAAGCTTCTGATCAACTGCTGCGGTCACAGCTGGCAGCATGTCTATCTCATCAGTAGTTTGGACTGGCCCTGGCTGACGTTCAGCAGCCAACAGACTCCCTGTCTGGGAAAGGTTGAGCAGCAGCAGCAGCCAGGCTGCAGCCTGCAGGGCATGAAGCAGATTTACGATTTCAACGTAAGCAGCTGCTCTTTCAGAAGTTGCTGCAATGCGACGTCCAGCTTTTATCGAATCTGTATAAACCGAGATGCTTCTTGAAAGATGCAGAGGAGCCCTACCTTCCTGGACGCCAACGGCAGAGGCATCTTAGAATCCGTTCAGTGTAGTGCCGAGATGTGATTGCAAAAAGAGGCCTCGTTGCACCGAGCGTGTTGAAGGCAACTGCACCTTTTTTGTGCGTGACGACAAAAGACTATCAAGGTGACCAGCAAGGTCTAACACAGGCTTTCCCTTTCAACCCACTGAAAGGAAGGTTTGTATGGCGCTATCAGGAGGCAGCAATTACTTGTGCAACGACATTCCTGTTGAGATTCGCTGGAAAGTGTTGGAAGCCGAGCGAGTGATTTATTCCATATAAAACCTTCAAGGGATTTATGATTATAGAATGTAGACCCTCAAGGAAAATATAATGTTGGTTTTACACCCCCTGGCGTCTCGTATTCAAAACGGGTTTCAATGACTTGATGTCAACAGATATTAGGATGACAAGATTTGTAAAAGTTGCAAGGCAAATGGACTAAAACTCCTGACACTTCTTGGACACGCCAAGAGCATTGGCCCATTACTGACAGCAAAAACAAAGGTGCAGATGCCTGCGACACAAGTCCATTTCAAGAGGTCTCAATGCTTAGAGCAGCCAGATTGCGTATTAGGTGATTAGCAATTTGTCACCAGTGACTACTGAAGTCAATATCTGCAATAAAACGCCCAGCTCCTACTGCTGTACCCAGAAAAGCCACGAGTCACATTAATTAGCTACAGCCGACTAAGGACGCAAACGGTCAAATGGCGCTGACTGCTGGGAGACCACAGGATTTATCTAAGCTTAGAGCTGAGCTGCTGTGCAAATAAGAGTTTTCAGGATACTGAGGGGTCTGATCATTCCACAGCTTTCACCACATTGCCAGCCTCGTCTCTGCTGCGGCTTGAGCCATCTTCATCCAATGGACTGTGAACAATCACTGCCGCAAGCTCCGTCTCTCGCACTGCATTTGCTCCGCGTGGCCAACAACCCCTCACAGCCTTCAAATCTGGTCTCTGCAATGCTGCAAATGTGCACATCAGTCCTCAAGACTCTGCATGGGATCATAACCGGCGATAATAGGAGCACAGGTCTCTGTTATGAAAAGCCACCGGATATTAGACTTGACACTTGTTCAAGGCTCGGAGACTTTGAAGCGGACACGGTCATGCCACACCGGCACATTTTCTGCATGAGATCATCAGAGAAACAACAAAAAATTTGCAGCACAGCAAAAGTGTCTCAATGCTGAGCATGGGCTGATGCACAAACCTTCATCAGAAGGGTTGTGATGAGGATAGTGAGCAGCCTCCTCTCTTCTTCCCTCAGCCCCCTTTGCCCTCCGCATTGGCTGGCAAATGCAATCGTCGCACATACTCCACACCAGGGCAACCACAAATGCCACGCTCCCCACAACAAAAACCACTATGAACACCATACCAGCGATGAGAAAGATCCCTGCGCACATCATTCATTCTTTAGTTTGCTGCCGCGCATGCAACGTGCCAAAAAACTGTTTTATCCGGAAAGTGGCCTTCTGCCAATTCGAGTGCGGATGCCAAAAAAGGTGGTGTTTGGAAGGCTTGCAAGAAGGCGCACACTCGAATTTGTCCACAATGACACCACCTATCCGTTTCTTCAGTGGCTGTTTCTCTGTTACAGTGGCATCTGATGCGAAAAGCAAGTTGCTGAGGGAGACGTAAGATTCTGTTAGGTATAGGCGGCGAGTGTTGATAATATCACATGCATGTGCAAGGCATTATGCGATTCAACCCAATTTTGCAGGTGTAAGAGTGCCTTGGGTTGAGAAAAGGGCTTTGAAATTTATTGTTTGATCAAAAAAATTGGATGGCATCCAGATTCATCCTCTGAGGAGGCCGATGCAAAGCCCTTCACCAATTATTGTTGCGACGAACGAAACATCTAATTTTACTAAAAGAACGGGTGCACATTGATTCTTTTGCCGATTGGCAGGTATACAAGTGTCGACAGTTGTCTTGTTGACGTCGAATGATGGCCGCTCAGCATCCTTCCAAAGATTAAAGTCCTTGTGAAGACAAGGCAGCTTGGTGTTGCTTCCACCCTGAGAGGGGCAGAAGTAGCCGGTTCAAATTCGGCAGCGGCCATACCCTGCTTTTTTTTCTCTTCTGCTTTTTATTTAATTGCTTAAACCGTGCACTCGTCAAGCTGTTGGCTTACCATATTTGGAAAACACCTCAAGGAAAAATATTAGCAGCTATCTTGTCTGACTATGGAAGTCAGTGAACCCCCTCCGTTTGCGCATAACAGCCTATCCCAGCATTTGCATTCACTATGCACACATCTCTCGAATCACTCTTCTTCATTTTTCTGCCTTTGAGCTCCAGCGTTTGCATGCTTGTTAGCTTGGATCTGTCGTGGCGACCACATGATCTTATTAGTCAGAGCAAGATGCGTAACTGATCAGTCAGTGGCTCATGAGTCAACATGCACACCAGGCGCCAACACTGGCATATGTGATATGCATGCGACTCCAAGCATTAAAGCTATATTTACATGGGGTATGCACTTAAAAGAATGACTCTCCCTTGGGGTCGATCTTCTATTCATCTTTCCAATCATTCCAGTGTCTTTGCATTGATCGCTAACCCTCTATACAAAATCAAACATAACTGCAGTCTTTGTTCCCTAGGGCCTGCTTGTTTCATGGTCACCTCTGCAATGGCAGAGAGCACTGGCGGCAATTGGTGACCAGCCCCAATGTAAACTGCTTGGCCAATGCGCCAAGTCAACCACTCAATGCACTCGTGGCCTGCAAAAACCATCGCACCTAGCACCAGCAGCAGCAGGAGGAGCCCCAAGCGTACTAGTGGTACCAACTCGACAATGTAACGCTGTACAAAGTGCGCGCAGGGCAAACACACAACTGAAGCTTTAAACGTGCAACACACACCTGAGGGCAAGGTTGCCTCTTGCAGCACGAATGTCACTCGCATGCCGTTCAGCACTTATCAATCTGTTGCACTTCTAACCATATCCTGAACATATCTACAGATAGCAGAACAGCTCTACAGCATGAGCCATGGCCGCAGCCTCCTGCGGGCGAGCAAAGCTACCTCACAGGCCATTGACACCATTAGTCACCGCTGGCTCAGCCGGGCGAGGGCCGCGTAGGTCCGCCATCGGCTGAGATGGGCTGTACGCTCTGAACAGGTGGCCCTGCCACGCCTTGATTACTGTCATGCCCATGACATAGATCCAGCCCACTATGATCACCACTGTCAGCAACGCTCCCATCACCTGTCGCGCACACCATGTCATTTGCTGAGGGAGTTTCAGAGATCTGTGAACATGGATTGTACCATACATATCGGGCTTCCACAGTTGATAGGGTCTTGCTTGGATCTGGCAAGTCCAACAAGGGGTTAGGATCGTGGCAGCCTTCAACAGCCTGTCTGCAGGACGCACATTGCCTCTTGGCAGGAGAAACGTGCAGTATAACCATATATGGACTGGGTTTCTGACGAGTGGACGGACCACAAACGCCATATGTTCATGACTCAAGTGGGAGATACCGACAGCACAAAAATAATAAAGACCCGACACATGTGGTTTGCGCACTGCAGAAAACACAGCATGCATTAAACGCATACCCCGCACTATGTTCCTGACACACATAGGCATGGCCACCACATTCATAGATATCGACCACCCGCTGCCAAGAAAGAGGCCCTGCCGTACGGCCACAAAGGTCTAGATGCCTGTGTTGCATGCAGCATTTTGATCACTGGCAGAGAGGACGACTCTTGCTGCCTGACATTTCTACCCTGTTCAAAAAAAAACAAGTTGTTTTGGGGAACTCAATTGGCAAACAGCAGAGCATGCATGGTGACAACTTGCAGGATTTGACGGCCCCTCAGGGATTGGCACTAATAGGTTCAGGGCTCAGGACAGGACTTCAGGGTCGCCCTGAGAAAATCACGGATCTGGCAATTCGGCATCAGGGCAGCACACCAAAGCCACATGCCTGGGGCTCAGGGCACCCTAGAAGATTAGGCCAAATTGTATTTTTTTGCCCAATCGGGTGGCCCATGCTATGGGAGATTCAGCCTTTCTCCCTTTAACAACCCTGTAGCATCTCAGGAATGCCCTGGACTTTCAGCCAGTGCCGCGACAGCGGAAGAAGCCACCGCTCGCCCCCGCCCCATTTGGGGGTTGGCACAAGGTTTATTTTTTCCTATATTCAGGGTTTAGGGTTGACCCTAGACCCTAAAGATAGGACCCCTGTCAAATCTTGGGTCGACCCTGATCCCTGAACCTTGGATCCTCGGCTGCGCGCTCACCTGGAAGAAGCGCAGGCCGGTGAGGGATGCGATGGTGTCAGTGGCAGCGCAGTAGATGCCCATGGGGAAGATGAATGCCCACCAGCCCATGTTGAAGGGGAGCGCGCCCCAGTGAGTGCCCAGCAGGCTCGCCGTCATCAGCAGCCACCACACGCCAAAGCCCCACAGGATCAGCCCTGCGCATGGCAAGATTACCAGGATTATAATCATCAGTACACACTTCTCCTGCCAGGGCACATCATTTGTAGCCAGCAAGCCAAAGCTCCACAGGATCAGCCCCCCGCAAGGCACATGATTAATATTATTATCATTGTTACAGGCGTTTCCTGCCAAGAGCAGGGCACATCATACGAAGCCAGCAGATTCCAAAGCCCCACAGGAGAGCCCTACGCATGGCACATTGTGTCCGACAAATGTGTCACCTGCTACAAAGTCTCACATGAACCCACTGAGCACCACAGGCCATTATCACATCATGCATGGGAAGTTTCAAAGGATGAGCTGGTCTTGCTTGAGTCGACGCTGCAGTGTCATGGACGAAAAAGGGGGATGCTTGCTTCTCAGAATTTCATGCGGAACTGTGAAACCATGGGCATCCTCCTTTGCTCTCGGACATTCTTCACCAGTGCTGCAGTGTCTTGTCTTTACACAAGACTCATCTGCGAATGTCATCCTTGCCAATGTGTGCAGGTGGCTGCTGCAGGGTGCCGGAAGCTGCCGCGCACCTGCCACGAGTCCCAACCCGGCAGCCGATCGCGCAAAGTTGACCAGCAAAGGATTGCTGTTGCTCTGCTCACTGAACACATCCATTGCTAATACTCCCAGGCCCATCAGCGCTCCAGAGCCTACATTTAGTCACAGCGCTCCTCAAACACAGGTTAGCACTGAATTAAGGCAGTGGCAGGCAGCCTTCAATCATTGTACTGTAAGCAGCATGCACAAACATCTCCTTGGTTGTCTCCCTGCAGCTGTGCTGATACACAGTGCCCCTCTCTCCTCACGATGTGCGCACAGGCTTGGCTCACATACGAGATGTGGATAACATGCAAGCAGCAGGGAAATCCAGAGCCGGATAAGAAGAGCGATTGCTGGATGGAGTAGTCAAGTCAGGAAAGGCTGGTTGGAAATTATTGACAGGTTGCTGCGACGCACCTAGCCCTGAGGGCTGGAACAGCGTGTACAACAATGGATGGAAGGGGCAGGCAATGTGGGGGTAGGAGCATGATTGTGGTATTAAATTATATTGTTATTACACGCTTTTCCTGCCTGAAGCAAAGGTGCTCTGCAGACAAGCTGCAAAAAGGGCTGCCACGCTCCTAACCCTTGTTGGACTTGCCAGATCCCAGCAAGACCCAATCATCCGTGGGCACGGTGCTCAGTATTTATACCGCCCCCCCGCCAGCCGGGGCCAATAATAATATGAATGATAGTAGATGGGGGACCTCACTTGCTCCGAAGGGTCCCATGGGCAGCAGGCAGCTGACCATGCTCTCCTTGGCCGGTGCGCCGTGCAGCATCAGGCGCTGAAAGAATATGGCTATCACAAAGAACGCCAGCGGTATGGTCATCCCCCACAGCACGTACCCCGTGTACACCAGCTGCACACACAACAAAATAAATTATTGCAATGGTCCATTGCAGTGAAGCAATGTAAGTACGGCACTAGGTGACATGATGTGTGGAGCTGCGGCCAACTTCAGGAACACACGTGCGAAGGAGGGAGTCATCCAGGATAATTTGTAAAGTGTGCAGGACTAACATGAGCCCTTGACATGCTTGCAACTCTCTATGGGCATCCTTAACTCTCACATCCAATCCTGAGCTCCATTCCGCCCCAAGGAAACCATTGGTGGTCCTTGCCCGAGGACGAAATTTAGAGTTCGAAGGCAGCGCGCGCCAAACATTGAGGCAGAAAATATGAATGTGTCTGCTTGATACCAGCTAACGGACATGCGGACCTGTGCAGCGGATTTGGCATCGACAACTTTGCCCACGATGGCGGCTGACAGCGCAGTGACGACGCCTGGGACGACGGGGAAGAACCAGACGGACGTCATAGTTTCCATCTTGTGCCTGTGGTGCACAAACATGTAGTACGGGACCTGCGCGCATGGCACCCACACAAATCCATTCAAATGCCATTTATATTATTATCACCATCATTGCACGCTTATTTTTGCATGCATTGTGGACTTCTCCTTCTTGGCACTGCCTGCCTGCCAGCTACAGAGCCAGAATGATTCTCACTGGTTGCAAGCCTTTGGGTAAACTAACATGCATTGCCAGCTGAACGCCTCCTTTAGATGAAATTTCGAACATCACAAAAGGAGCTTGCATGGCCGGCTGATGGCACGAAAGGGGAGCCATGCTGCTGTCTTGCCATGAAAGCACACGACAGAACAGGCGAGGCAGGGAACGCACCAGCCAGCCACTGATGAGCGAGAGGCCGGTGTCAATCCAGAAAGTGACCAGTGCAGCCTCCACAGCAGCGCTGCCATATCTGGGGACGCAGAAGAAGACAATGCCATTCACTATCGTGGCAAAGCCCATGGGGATTGCTCCTATGAAGAGGGACTGTGTTGGGTCGTGCAGAATCTGCAGTGCCTCCTTGGGGAAGCACACTATCTGTGCCAGCTGCATACCACTGAAGAGGGCAAAGAGCACCACATTCAACCACCTGCAGGAAAGATAATACTCTTTGTCACGTTGTATTGTTGGCATCGTGCACCTGTGGACCTTCCCCTGTGTGAAGAGAGCCAAAAAGAGGGTTGAGAGAGGAGCGCACCAAAACGCCCATGCCAGTTGCTCCAGGCCCTGGAAGGGAAACGGGAAGTTGTACAACAGCTGGGAGATGATCCCAGTGCCCTGTGATGACCATGCAGATTTCAGTGGCCAGAAGATGCAGTCATCTCGACAGTTGGCAAGAACGGAAAGAAAGTCAATATGGTTGGGCTCATCAAGACTGTACCATAGTCACGGTGAACCATGACGGCGTGAACTGTCGGATGGCCTCTCTGGGATGATCAAGCTGGGCTAGGAAGCCCAGGTGCTTCATGGCGATGGCCTCATCTGAGGCAAGGTTGTGACGAGAGATGATTTTGCTGCAAGTTCAGGAAAGCTTACGTCAGAAATATAAAATATTTTTACTGAATCATTGCATCTCGATGGTTACTAATTTCCAGTTTGTGAACCAATGCCAGTGGGAGGGCAGTGGAACGCACCGCTGATTCAGCAAGATATAATCAAGGTAAGAAAATTGCTGTTCGACCTCAGCTTATTAAAGTAGTCGACTATAAATAGAAGCCTATTGCGAACATTAGATTCCGAAGTAAGCATAAGATCGTCGCGGGAGGTAGTGAACCTGAATACTTAGCAACCACCCGAACACTGTCACAGCACCCAGAATGCTCCTTGGCGGAATAAACTTCCTTGGGACTATTTATGAATGTTTTGTTGAACAGCTAAAGCAGCAACATTCCCCTTGCATGTCTCTCGTGAGGGCAGTCACGGGGGTTGAGGTCATATAACGCTGGGGGTGAAGCTGCAGTGCACCTGCCCCTTCCAGGCAGGGAGGGGCCCAAAAGGTTTTGGACCAAAAGCGCCAATGTGTCTGCTGTCCCTTTGTAGTTTTTACTTTCTTGCAGCGCATTATGCTTTTTATTTTCAAGTATAAATCCTGGACAAATGCGTGGCAGTATGCTTTCATAAGTACTTGAGTAGCCGTGACCACTCCACTGCGCACTGCGATCATCGCATGCGATTTTGATCACGGTCGTACATACTTAATCATTATGTGATATTTATACATTCACAGAATTGGCAGAAGGGGCCAAGTGGTCCAGTACTGGGTGGTACAGTGGACAGTTGCCAGCCCAAATAGCTTTGGAAAAGCACAGCCCATGGGCCATTTGGCCATTGGCCCATTGCATATATTGCATTGCATGGACTCTTTTCTTTTTCCTTTCTTTCCTTTTCCATTCTGATCAGGCATTCATAAGCACAGTTTACATGGGATTGTAAAAGAACCAGACTTGAGACCTGAGATTCACCTGCTTCCACCGGTACCGGTGTGAATTGCCTTGGTCACACTTTCGAAGAAAACTCCTTAAATTGCACAGAGGCAAAGCACTGCCGCAATTGCATGCCAATGGGCAGCAGAGCAGAGCCCTAAGCCCAAACAACCCTGCCACTGGCAGTCCGGCACAGCACTTATAAGTAGCACAAAGATCGACCAGAGCTACCAGCAAATGCAATGCATCATAACAAAATAGTCACCACTTGGGCGTTCAGCTGAACAGATTTCACAAAAAGGCACAAATTACTCAGCGAAGGCAGAAACTCAGCCACGGTGGATTAACATCTCGCATCTGATCGCATCCTCCTGTGCATCATACTCCTCTTGAGAAGCTTCAAAGCAGAGCCTGAGTTTCTGTGTCGCATGGCAGGACAGCAGCTTGTCTGCAGACACATGCGCACATTGCCTCTGGCAGGAAAAGCATATTGTTCAAAGTATAAAAATGTGAATTTTTGAGGGCTTGCAGCTGGCTAAAGCCTGCACCTGCAGTGAATACCAGATCTGTGTGAAGCAGTGTTTTGCTGAATCCGAAAGAACTGTCTGGGGCCCAGGCAGCGCTGCATTAAATTATCCCCCTTTAGACCACACTCTCAGGGGACTCTAAAGATTTCAGAGTTTAGAGTTTCCTGAAAACATCAATTGCTGTGCACAGTCTTACTGCTGCACTGTGTGTTGCTACGCGCCTTTCCACCCGTCAAGAGCTTGAGTGGCCACTAGTAACCCCAGGCGGACAACGTCTTCATGGGATTTGTTCCTGACACTGTTCAGGTCAGCGCATGCGTTGAGAGTTTTGCCCAGCCAGAGGTACGCCTCAGAACGCCTGCACATGCATGCAAATGTACTCAGCGGTTACTAAACACTACATAATGCTCTTTGGGAGACAGCTGCATCTGCATGCTCACAAGCATCTGAAGTCACTGACGATGAACACGTATCAAAGGTAATTTTGCTGAGCACATGATCTTTCCATGCACATGGCCTTCCGCATCTTTTCAAAAGTCATGAGAGTCGTTAGTGTGAGACTGCGTTGTCAATTATGCTAGGGAGAATGCACAGAAATGCAAGGCAGCGCTTATGTCACGGATTTTGCTGAGCTATTCAGTGTCATTGCACACGGTAACTTATTCCTCGTCACCTCCTGCGTGCGTCATCAAGCATTGCCTTGTTGCCGCCTCCTCTGGCTGAGATCACCGCGGTGGCATCGGCTGCAGCCTCCTTGTAAAACTTCAGCTGTCACAGCCCCAGACCAAGTTTTCAGCCATGCAGCACACAGGCTGAAGCTTCTGCAAAACCCTAGAAAAAACCAGCACTGCCTACCACACACCACCTAAGAAGCTTTACTATGCCTCCCTCTTGATTGAACTTGGCAAAATAGTACAGACCCCTCTGCAGGAAGTTCATAAAGTACAGCAACCCATCTTCTATGGAAACGCTGAAATTGAGTGCAGACAGCAGTGGTGTTACAGCACAATGACCTTTAGCAAAGGGGAACAGCCTTGCCTAAAGCAAAGCAGAAGTGGCATGTGGCAGCAAAGCAAAGAACACACCTCCAGGTTGATGTGAGCGCGGTTGCACAGGGCATTAAAATTGCACAGATTCATGTCCAGGCTCAGGCTGTACATTAGCTTCGCCTGCTCCCAGGCCCCATCCTGCAGGATCTTGTCGCCTGCTAACCTGAATCCCTCTGACACTTTCTCCCTGCACATAACAGCCCACGCTGACACTACAGGGAAAGCCCTCATTTGTGCTTCTCTACGCAAATGAAAAAAGCTGCATTGCGCATGGTGCCAATCCTCTCGCAATTGCAATCGATTTATGTCAACACTGCAATTGACAATGTACAGGTGACCTTCTCAAACCATGCGAGTCAGCTGAGGCATGCATGGCAGGGCACAAAATTCAGCGCTCCTAGGTTAACTGGACACTGGACATACCTCTGCCAGTTCGGCATGTCATTCTTGAAGGGGTTCAGGAGGCTTGGGAAATTGTACATGTCCCCCAACCCCCCTGCTGCTGATGATGGGCCCTTAAATCGCATATGTGCAGCCATCAAGCGATATAGTGCCTGCAGAAAGCAGTCACCTGGATCCCTGAGAATAAGAGCACTTGAAGACAGACATGCAGAAGGAAGCTCTCAGCTCGAGCAGTCATTATTCTGCCACAGGCTGAGAAAGATATTCCCCTGGGCAATTTGGCAATGATACATGATAAGCAAATTTACAAACCACGAAACTTAGGTGAGATACAATTGGCAAGATTTCGTACCTGCCCAATCTTATCAGGTGCAGAGCTCAGGTTCAGGGCGGACTGCAGCAGCGACACGACAGCCTCCTCTTGAGGCTTTGGCTGACGCATCTCTCTCGTGACCTCCGCCATTATGAAGTCTGCATGCGCATGCCTGCGCCCAGCACAGCACAGCCGGTACATACCCTCTCATTGGCCAACTGACCATTCTCTGAAGGACTCAACAGAGCAAGATTCATGCAACCCATCCATCTACTGAGACAGCAGCTGTACAAGTAAAGCAGCAATTAGTCACGGCACACAAAATGGCAGCAATTTGAAGAAAACTCACCCACGGGTCTGATCAACCTGCCGGTTGGCCGCCAGAGCATGCTCATATGCCTTGGCATATGAAGGAAGGTCATCAAGATGCACGAAGCAGGCTGCTCTTATCAGGTAGACCGAGCCAATGCATGGGTTGACTTCCAGAGCTGTGTCGCAGAGCTCCAGTGCCTTCCTGAAATTCTCATAAGCCTCCAATTTAAGGATCCGGCGTTGGGTACAATTGGAGTGCCTGCCAGTATCTGTCACACCGCTCGCTGTGTACTCACTGCCAGGGCTGGGGGATGAGATGGCGTGCTCAGCATTCTTGACGTGATGCTTCAATTCCTTTTCCCTCCGTGAACCTTGCCTGAATGCACTGCAAGCCTCCCTGACTATGTCCTCTCCAGCATAATCTTTCTCCTGTGACAGGGTCAAGTTTGGTCATGGGGGATCATTGGAAGATGCAGACTGCGGTCTGCAGTCATGGGGACTTCATGACTCGGTCTCAAGAACTCGGTTGAGAACAGCACCGACGGAGCTGTTGTATTAGAAGGATGGCACTCATGGCCAGCTGACATATGTTCTGGTGAATGTATTGGAAGATGCAAACTCGAGATGCTGGCAAAGAGGTGCAGGAATAGAGCTGCAGACCACTGGAGGAAAAACTTGCCTTTCTCATCCGTCCGCTGCCAGTGGCACGTACATCAGCACGCAGGGAATGTGGAGTTCTCCAGCTACTCTACTCCTTTGGGCCCAATTCAGTCCCCTGCACACTACTCTGGCACTATCTCACTTAATCTCATTGGCCACTTAGCAGCAGCTGATGCTACTATGTATGGAAGCACGGTCAATATCGATTGGTGCTCGTGCGCACCTGGGTCGTACTGATCGCCGCTTTGTGCGGATCGGGCGATTAAAGGGTGAAAGAAGAAGCCTCCTTAGAAGTTCTGGTAACCCTCCAAGGAATAGATGGGGCAGGTGCCCGAATCAGCAAGCTGATGACACTGCACAGCATGAACTAATATATATATATATGTGTGACGACAGGATTTGAAGGAGCAAATATTTGCTGTGATCTCCACGATGAATGCCACGATCGCAAGGAAACTAAGATGCGAGAGATAACCCTGACTCTCAGCCAGGTAGGATCTCAGGAAGAATTATCTGAAATTTAGTATGTATCTTCACCTTATATCAAGTATCTATGAAGCGTGAAGGTAGCCTGACAGCTTCGATGGTTGATGCCTAGAAACGAAATAGCGTCTTGGTCAGGATCCTGGTACACACAGGGTTTTATCATGCAACTTACACAGCTTAAATGGGGTCCCTTGTCAATCCTCGACAGTAAAATAATAATATCTGGTCAAAATATATCTTGTTGACATGATGCTTTTCTGTTTATGCAAGTCCCTTGCATGCTAGGGTACAGAGGGATTTAAGCCTTCTGTGTGGGCCGCACAGGGTCTGTGATCAGCATTAAATTGTAGTCCAATCACAAACAGGAACAACAAACATTCTGAGGTCATTTCAAGGAATTTCAGAAGTCACACAGGCCATGCATGTATGCATTGCTAGCATCTCTGCAAGTGCCATAGGCTGGTTGATGATCAATTGTGGGGCCTTTAAGTAACCCAGGTTACTTAAAGGTTGTGGAGACAGAAATAAGAATATCTTGACATTGCCATGTGGAGTTGTTGTGTGTACAGTTGTTGCACAGGCGATCCCTACTCTGACACTAACTTTGAGTCATCGGCTGAGCCTTTTCCAATGTTTCTGCCAAGCTAGCTGCATGGAGTACATGCTCCATGATAAATCCAGAATCCATCACAAAAATTTTCTTTCAAAAGCCTGCAGAGCACGCCTGAGTTAATATTAATAATTTTTATGAGTGGCGAACCCAGAGCCCAGAGGGCCATAGGGCATATACAGTACTCAGGTCCGTCTGCAGCCGGAACCCGGGGCTGACATGCAGAGGCTTGCAGCCTTGTCAAGTTGCAAACATTGAATGCATCATTGCAGCCTACAGGTCTACACCTTCTTGCACGACTGCTGAGGGACCGTCCTTAGCAAACCCTTTCAAAACTAAGGGACGGATTTTGACAGCGACTGTTGCAGCTTCAAGCTGAATATACAAAAATAAAAAAGTAGGGTCCCTGGATCATGTGTTGTGGCTGCACGTGCACAAATCACTGCCAGTTCTAGAGCCAGATCTCGCACGCTTGGGTGGTCTTGACCTGCTGCATGGACTTCTGCTCCTGGTCCTTTGACCAGTCACAGCTTGCGTGGCCAATGTCACTCCTAGGCAGCAGAGCTCCTGCTGCCTTCTGTGCTTGATATTGCCCAGATCTGCACATGCGCCAATAGCATTGCCCAGAGATAGGTACGCCTCTGCTTGCCTGCCCATGCAACGGGTTCTTCAGTCATAGAAGCACTCGGCAGTTGCAGTCTTGGGCCCACCAGCAGGGGGGTGTAATGATGATATTGAAAATAGAGCTGCGCCTTTGTTATCTGAAGTGATGCACTGGGTTGCACCTCTTGCGTGCTTGGTCGAGCAACTCGGTGTCACGAGAGCACCTCATCACTGCAGTGGCATCCGCGCCAGCTTCCCTGTAGAGCTTCGTCTGTTACAGCACCAATAGTTCATCAGTACATGCTGAACACATGGGCTTTGAGCTTCATATTTAGGTTAGGGTCAGGGTGATAAACATGAGCCCTAAACCTTACACTAGAATCCCTAGCCCCAAATATTGAGCTTTATACCTGTCAGAAGCTTGTTTTGGACAGGGCAACGTCTGGGCATACCGAGAGTTTCCCCTCTTGGCAAAAGTGGCCATATAGAAAATAAGGAGGGTTGTTTTAGACGTTGTTTGTGCGTGTACGCAAGCAATGACAGCTGGCAAATTGACAAGATGCACCGCAGAGACATCTGAGTGATCTGATCACATGAAGTGAAGCAGAGGGTGGCCGCGCAGCACCTGCAGATTCATGTGAGCACGGTGCTTTTCCATTGAATGGGCACATCTCCATGCACAGGTTGTACATCTCCTCAGCCATTTCTAGATTCCCCTCCTCAATGAGACTACCGCCTGCCAACCTGAATTCTCCTGATAGCCTTTGCCTGCACATGTGCACATGCTGTGTCAGCATTGCGCACACAGTGAGGGTGCATAACTAATATCGTACCCCATAGTCAAGGGGTGAGCAACTTAATGTGTATAAGATGGCAGGGTACATGCCCATGCCTCGGCATGCATGCCTTCACCTTTCCACGGATCCTTCAAAATAGTGCCACTCTCTGGCACTCAACACAAGTTAAGAAAGTTGCAAATGCATGCTAGACATGCAGCGGTATATGTGAAGGCTTAGGTGACGAGGAACCAGCATACCGGTCTTGGCATGCGATGTTTGAACTATAAGCAGTCAGGAGGGCTGGGCTGCTGCACAGGGACTGGGAAAGCCTTGCAGCAGAGGATGCGTCGTTGAAGTTTAGATGTGCATTGATCAGGCCAAAGAGTGCCTGCACAGACAGCAGCGCTTCTAACGGAATTGAACCTGGAGCATGAAAGACAAGAGGGCAGGCCAGGTACATGAATCTGCACCCACACTCACATGAGGGGCGAATTGTGATCCCTGTCCAATATATATATATAGTACTAGTATATCTAGTATCTAGTGTTTCCCCAGGCGCTGTGGGTATCTGTTATGTGCAAAGGGTTTCCAGTGGGAAAGATTTGTGACACGGCTAGGAGTGCTGACCTGCACTTGTCGCTCTGGTGACGAGCTGAGCTTCAGGGCAGACTGTAGCAGGGAAATGACAACTCTTTGCCGGGGCTCATCCGCCAGCATTTTCCTCTCCACTGCAGCCATCAGCCCTTCCATGTGCACATGCCTGCGCTCTACACATCAATCACTGGCTGACATGGCTGAGAGCGAAGAACCAAGTAAGATGCCTTGCATGATCCTGCAGATCTAGTGCCGACCAAGCACGCCCATCACGACTCTCATTCCAATTCTACACATGAGATACTGCATGGTCTAACTCTTCCTCCAAATGCATGCATGTAAAGCAGCAAGTACTGTGCTGTGAACTTGAGAAGACTCACGCTTGCAGGCATAGCAACAAAGCACGAGAAAAGTAAGGATCTACAGATCTTGTACATGACTAAGAGGTGGAAAGGACTCACGCTGCAGCCTGGTGAAACTCCCGCCCTTCTGCCAGAGCATGCTCGTAGGCCTTGGCAGCTCCCTCGTAGTCTCGCGGGCGCAGAAAGCAAGCTGCCCTGTTGAGGTACACCCCATTGAGGGCCCGGATTGATTGCCAGAGCCTTGTCACACAGTTTGAGCGCTCTTTTGAACTCCCCTGCAGCCTCCCTGTGAGGGCCTGGCTTCCTGGCCTCCTGCTCGCATGCCCTCATGATGTACCCTTCTGCATCCCACTCAAAGCGGGCTTTGGAGATCAGGAGTTCTTGTCGAAAATAAGTCCTTTGCCAGGGGTCAATCTTCTGCCCTCGCCTGAAGGTGCGGCGCGCTTCATCGGCTATGCCTTTTCCGGGACAATCACTTGCCTGAGCACACCAGCTGATGTCATGGCTGCACTTGGGCAACTCTCCCTGTAACGATGTCTTAATCCCGCAATGCATGTCACTCTGGAGATCTGCAATTCTGCGACAAAATCAAGAACGATGATCTGCTGATTTATAGGATAAAAAAGGTGTTTGAAGCGCTTGCCTGCATCGGGCAGATGTTGTCGAGGGAGGGCGGAATCGAATGTAACTAACGAGAGCTCGAGCTGCTGGGAAACTGCCTAGCCAGCAAGTCCTACGCTGGGCCTGTGACGGGGTGACAGGACGTGTTAGTCAGCGTCCGAGACGTGACAATGTGCAGCTAATCGATTAGCTTGACACATTGTACTACGAGAAAATGAGTGTACACCTTGCCACCTTTGAAGACCTTGCCTTGGGTGATCGAAGTGGTGTGCGGGCCACCGGCCTCACGATGGTAGGGTTCCGAGGACCTTTTAACGCAGATCTGACCGGTGATATGAAGGCAAGTAACATTAAGATTGTTTATATGCATTCTCCTGTGATATGCCCTAATTCATTCTCCTGGAATAGGGCACTCGCACTGTTGCGATGCGCCGAACGCACAGGATGGCGGCAAAAGGAAACGTCGAAACAACACTGTTCGACGATGTCATTGTCTTCGACCAAGCCAATATTTCTGATATATCAGGATATTCCATCGAACACACATTTCACGATGGCACCTTCGATGAAATATCACCCCGAGTTGGATAGAAACCTGGTAATCAGTCTCTATTGTGCTCCCAGAGTCTCTGGCGTCCCGAAGCAAAACGATGTTGGTTGGTGTGAGAGTACAATCGTCTTGATATAAATCTTGAGTGTCGAGGCACAATAAAAAGGTCACTAAAGCCACAGCTATTCCCTTACGTCTCCGAGATGCCTGTTGACGTTCCGGTCGTAATCTATAACGAAAGTTCCCTTGAACATGAAGTAGAGGCCCTTACTGAGAAGTTTGTGCTCCTGGGATGAAGCAACCCGTGACCTTCGCCAATGTTCAATCACAATTGAATCGGTTTCTAATCCATTGCAAGAGCCTGTGCGCGAACTTTAAGAAAACCTGTATCATACATTCATGAGGCCTTCAAGCATGAGTACTCCGATGACAAAGGTCAAGTCACCGCCATCTGAAGACATCTGCAATGCTCTCCTCATTAGAGCCTGCCGGAAGAAAGCGGATCTGCCCTTCAAGGGGTCGGTCTCACAGTCTTGCTCTTTGACAAACACACACCCTCTATGTTAACAGGCGATTACACATGCGCATGCATGCATCACTTGATCAATTTGAGCGAGATGCACAATTGCAAGGCTCAAACTCACCCTGGGAAGTCCTGCCCTTCACGGGGTTGCATGCAGGATTGTTATTGTTATTATTATATAATATACTATAATATATTATATTATTATGTTACACCCTTTTCCTGCCAAGAGGCACGGTGCGTCCTACAGACAAGCTGCAGTTGAAGGCTGCCCTAATCCTACCCCTTGGATGCAGGCTAGGGCACTCATAAATGATGCTGCAAACCTACACAGCTATGCACACTGACATATTGCTGATCTAGGCTCTGATACAGACCCTCAAAGGGATGCGCAAATTGACTCACTCAGCTCACCCTACGGACTCCAACTTGTCATGTTTGATGTCTGTGTTCTAGAAGCAGATCTGTAACAGGCAGTCAGGTTCGGCGTGCTAGCGGCACATATTAAACACATTGCAGGTGGGCAAAGAAACCTCATGTGCCACTGCATACATAAGTTTATACATGCTTTGCCTATACCTACATGAAGCATGCAAACAGTCTGGCACGCCTACCTAAATTGCTCACAGCGCCTTCAATGCATACAGATCAGTGCCCAACGATGCAAAGGAACTGCCGTATTTCACCTGACCTACCTATAAATATTATGTTGCGCATTGAAAATGCTATACCTGCGCAAGCAGAGTCCTGCCCTTATGTTTCATGCAAGCAATCGCTGTGATCGTGCAAGCAACCGCTGTGACGAATCCATTTGATATATCCCAGCTTTTCACTGCTGCCTAATGCTGTCCCTTTCCAATTTGTAGACACCAGTTCTACTAAGAGCAGTGCCAGCCGCTTTGCTCTCCTCAAGAGTGCCACGTCATCATCGCACACAGGTGTGTGGAAGCTGACAGGACTTCTGAGGAATGGCAGCATCTCTGCCTCTCAATCCAGACCCTGCTGCCAGCAGTATCCACTGTGGCATGTCCGGATAATTACGAAATAAGAGCCGCAGCAATCTACAATCATCTCCGCAGGCTGAGACACACACAGCGCCGTAGCAGCACTGCTCTTCTCTATTGAGGCACTTCCAAACGAACTTGACCCTCCTCAACCTGAAGCCTCCCCATGCAGCACCTTCTATGCGCCTTTGCTAGCTCTGTAGGTGCCCACCAAGGCTGACCTCAGCTGAACCCGATGGTCCCGCCACCGCTACCGGCACTTTTCTGTTCTGGGCCTCCCGGATGGAGCACATTAGATGACACCCACCTATGCAGACTGAGACAATTACAGGCGGCAGCACCACTGCTCCATGGCTCCGCTCATCTGAACCCGATGCCGCCGCCGCGAGAAGGCGGCTCCCATTGCGTGCTGCGCGCTGCGCGGGCCTCCTCCTTCGCCCTCATCTGCCTGTTTTTCTGCCCAACAGTCCTGATCGCGTGCTGCAGCATGTGCCGCACGCTGCAGCTGCAGGCGCCGTCCCCCGAGTGCTGATGCTGGTGTGCGGGCGAGGCAGCTGGGCCGGCTTTGGCGGCGGGGGCCTTGTCTTGGGCCGCGCCGTCCCCCGAGTGCTGATGCGGCTGCTCCCGCGAGGCGGCCGGGCCGGCTTTTTTGCCGGCGGCTTGGGCGCGCCGCGCGGCCATGCGCGCCTTACGCGCATTTTCCTCGGCGATGGATTTTGTCACCGCCAGGATCTCGCCGATGGCCTCTGTCTGGCACATGTGAGAGGGCAGCAGGGTGTACAGCTTCTCCAGATCCTGCAGAGCACACAAAGAAACAAGCGTTTGTATTTTTGACGCTCGGTGAGCTTAGGAATGCTGATCGATTACACCCTTGGGCTCCCAAACCAAATGCACCCAGATGGACATTCAGAATGCAAACAGGTTGAGCGACAGATGGCCCCAGTGCACTTGCCGGATTGGGACGCAACATAGAAAACTATTTTAAAGAGAGTGGTGATGCGGTCGAGTCAGCAAGACGCAATATTTGAACGTCTGCATATCTCCCCTGGCACGCTTAAACCCCTGGTTGGCCAGGCTTCATCAGCCCCTAGGGTAAGGTACAGTAATGCACGGGACCTAGGTGCAGAGAAACAAGCACACACACACATTCTGAGCTCTGCACTGTGCAAATGGTGCCCACGCAGCTGCATTTTTCTGACTGCTCACAGCGCCTCTTTGACCCAGGGAATACTAATTAAGGATGTAAAAATTCTGCAACACTCATGAAGACACAGACTCAGCTCACCATAACAGCGACGTCCGGACTGCCCCTCTGCAAGTGCCTCAGCGCGCGCAGCTCCCGGCAGATGTGGCAGTTCTTGTGAAGCTTCAGGGCAGCTGTCAACGTCTCCATCTGCACATCACATAACCCCTGACATTTGCCCTTAGCACCACCACACGCGTTTCCTGACAAGAGGCAAGAAGCGTCTGCAGACAATAGGCTACCACAAAGCCTTTGGACTCGCAAGATCCAAGCAATACCCAATACCCCGGTGGCACAGTGTTCAGTACTTGTACTGCGCCCCGCCAGCCGGAACGGGGATCAAAAGAGATACACAATATACCTTGTTTTCACTTATTTATTTATTTCAGTGAAGTGAAGTACTTTCTCAGGTCGACACTGCGGCATCAGCATTCGTGGCATCAGCGAGGTGTGGGCCCCTGCTCTGCACATTGACTCTGAGAGAATCTGCAGCAACTTCTCCTCCCAACAGGACTGTCTTTTCCGCATCCCTGCTATGCATGCTGTGACAGGGGGCCCCCTCTAGGCGTCGTCATGATTAATAATGACCACAGGAATTCGTGACACAAACATGGCGCTCACCGCTTCTTTGTGGCGGCCGACGTGGCGCAGGACCTCGTGGTGGCACGCGAATGCTTGATCGATGCTGTCTACAAACATCGGATGTTCCCTAGCCGGGTGCGTCCTCGCCTGCAGCTCGAACAGCCGCGTCGCCCTTGTGAGCGCCAACAGCGCGCCTGCGCGCCCCAGAATTTGAATGTCAACTCAAATTTGAATCTGAAATTCACGTGAGCGCTTTCACCCGAGCAGTAGAAAGCTCGTGTGCAGGTGAAGGTATTTTGCCCACGTCCTGTCTCGCAATGCTCAAGTGTCTGCAGTGCGCCTTTGCCCGAGTCAGGCCTGTCTTTTACGCATCACTGGTATGCCTGCTGTAACAGGGTGCCCCATCTTGAGGTCATCTGCTTACTAACGACCAGAGGAGCAGTTTGTTTTCCTCTCGACCGGGACCGTTCATCAGCATTATTGTGTTGAGCTTGCCGGCGCATGCCTGCGGCGCACACTGCCACGGGTGCGCTCATGTCCTTCTGGAAACAGCAGGCGGTGTCATGGCCGTTCCAGCTGGAGGCCTCACACTTCTGATTCCAGGCATCTGGCTGCAGGAAGGATGACTTTGGGAGGGGTCAAGTATGCACCACGCCTGAAACACAGCCAGCAGCACAGAGCACGCCCCTTGGTGGGCCATGGTGCTGCCATGCAAAACAAATAATTCAAGCGTCCGCAGGACTTGCAAAGCACCTACCGCTCTACATGCCCTGCCGGAAAACCCATCTGGCACAGACCAGGCCACCTTGGACATCTCGTCATCCCAATCTGCTGCAATAGATTGCTGACCTTCATGCAGAAGGCGGGCCCAAATGGCGGCCGGCTTACAAATACTGAGCAGCATGCCTACGGCTGATTGGGATGATCTTAGGTCTGGCGCATATAACAAAGGGGAGGCTTCTGGCAGCCTTGACATGCAGTTTTGTCTGCATCCGCACCTTGCCCCTGGCGGGAAAAGCGCGGAATCACATTTGTGATATTGAAAAGGCAATGCCAAGTACTGGCAAATGGGCTCACCGTCGGTATCGTGGAGATCCAGGCAGCACTTGCCAAGCGTTGTGCAGGCAAGTCGGAGGCGATCATGGTCCGGATGCAGCATCTTGACGGCGTGTGTCAGAGCCTGCTTCGCCTCTGGGAACCCACACATACACTCTAAAACTACATTTTCATTTTCAAGGGGCTTATGCAACATATTTTCAATTCGGGGTGAAGGGTCATGAACAGCCTTGAATCCTAAGCCCCAAATATTTGTTTGGGGAAGCTTTGCGCCGCACAGCACACACAAGTCCCAAAACATTGACCAGGCTTCTCTTTCGGCGTGCTACAGATGTAGGGCTCATCTGGCTGCCAGGGACTGGAGAAAGTGATATATATAATCCTATGTCCCATTCGCCCTTAGCCCAAAGACACTTGCCAGGATGCCGGCCAGAACTATAGACGCTCTACAGTCTGCATGCCTCCGGGCTTTCCAAACAATAGAGTATCTTTCCATTCAGGTGTGTGGTTCTGTTACGCAGCCAGCAAGAGGAAACACAGCATGGCAAGCATCAAAGGCGCTCACCCTCAAGTCTCCCATATTTGTAAGCTTTCATGCCCTGGTCAAAGAAGCGCATTGCCATCTCCTGAGAGAACTTGTCACGCACTGGGTCCTGCACACAACAACCAACCGGTAGCTCAGACTCCTTCAAGAATACGGCTGCTTCATTTTGGGATTTTTAGAATCAGGCAAAGATCAAAGATGCCCCAGAAAAGACGCCACATAGCACCACATTTGCAAGAGGTGAATCATTTTCTATGTTTTGATTCCCATCACTGAGCCACGCCTGGGAATTGCATCCCTGCCTACCCTACCAAGTCCTTCATCAGTAGCAGGTCAGGTTGGCACCTGAAGGTCCAGTGAATTTTTTCTTACTGGACTATGGTGCAATGAATTTGGCGATGTACCTTGTGCACCGGCTCGTAGTCGGAGTAGAGTCCCCGGCCGTCATTCTCAAAGAAGTTTCCGCGCAGCCCCGACACGCGCCGTGGCTGCGGCCGTGCCTCCGGCTGCCGGGCTCCGACGGGGGAGGGAGGCTTTGGGAATCCGCGCTGTGGTCCACCAAACTGAGGTGCAGAGCCCCGCGGCGGGCTGCCGGTGTTCCGCGGCTGAGGGCGCGAGCTTACACCCCCCCGTCTGCAGGAGGGGCCCGGCGCGGCCAGCGCCGCAGCCGCGGCCGCCAGAGTGGCCATGTGCTGCGAGTCATTGGCGGGTGACCCAGTGTCCACGCTGCGCTTCGGTCCCACTCCCGGGTGTTGGAAAGCCAGGGGTTTGCCGCGGGGGTAGTTCGGCAGGGTTCCCGGCTTTGATGCGCCGGGGTTCCCGTCAGGCTGGCTGCCGTCGGCCGCGGCGTCGGTGTCCTGCTCAAGGGAGGAGAAGCCGGGGGCCTGCTTGAAGGAGAGGGTGGAAGTCCGCCGGGTAGCTGGCTTGTTGTCCGAGTCGCTGCCATCATCCTCGGCGGCGCTGATCTCGCTGGGGCTGTCGAAGGGCGACAGCTGCGCGCGCGAAGCCGCCGAGCCGCACTCGCTTGATGCGCGGCGGCTGCCGTCGGCGGTAGGCAACGCTGCGGCATCCGGCTCTCCGGATTCTTCACACTTCCCAAACGGCGCCTCTGAATACTCCGATAATGCCGGGGTGTCAAGCTCTGCGGTGCAGTAAGAGGCTTCGCTGCTGCAGCGGCTGCCGACGCCGCCGTCGCCGTCGCCGTCCCCAAGAACGCCGTCGGCCGCTGAGTCACGCCTGCAGCAGCCACCCTCTCATGCTCAAAACACTCTTACCCGCTTCACGACTTGCATGCATTTTACACAGAAACCGTCTTCCCACCTCTGCTGGTGTGCCAGAGTTTGAAAATTTGCAAGGGGCTCATGGCAAAAGAGGGAGCTATTGATGAGCATGAGCAGAGCAGAGCCTACGCCAAAGCACAAACCATAGCTGGGGGTGGGAACAGGAGGCTGTCTTCAATGGTGTCATTGTGAACTCATCGATGAGACGCCTCATATGATGTGTTGAAGCTGCGAACTTGCCTGGTGCTGGGTGCATTGAGTGATGTGGAGGCATCAAAGAACGGCTGCGCGGCGGATATTGAGCAGTCCTCGGAGGACGGAGAGTAGAGGCCCGAGGCGACGCGTGTGGGGCTGGCGTTGCCTGACTTGGCGCCGGACCCCCCGGCCTCCGGCGCGCATTCGGCAGCAATGTCATTTGTGATATTATTTATGCGCTGCTGGATCTCCTCCAAGCTGCAGCCGTCTTCTGCCTCATCATCCAGGAATGGCTCCGAGCGGCCGGACATGGGGTTGCCCAACTTGTCCAGGGCTGGCTGCTGCTTTGGCAGATCATCCACCCACCTGTGGGGCACAAGTGTCACATTTAGCTACAGACGATGGATCCATCAACAATGGGCACCTGCAGAAGCTGGTGGGCTGGCTCAATACAGAAACCTTGAAAGCCCCAGTACAATTGGAAGGAAAGTCAACGGGCGCCTTTGCATGCATGCCTCCATGCTCTTCTGCTGCCCTTTCCTCACACTGCTGGATTGCACTTTATATTCTGCAGCATGAGACATAGGTAATAAGTGGTTATCCACCAGCATCGTCATTACCTGTACTCTAGTGGCACGCTGTCGCGGTTCACGAGCTTGAACGAGTGCTGCTTCTCCACACGGTACTCGTCGCTTGCTTCAGGGTCATAGTCATACCCTCTATCCAGCTGCAGCCGCATCCCATCCAGCACTTGTCTGTCCTCTGGAGTCTTGTGCGCAAGATCGTGCAGGTCAGCATATGCCTTTTCAGGCTGGTTTAGGAACCAGTGAGCCTCCGCACGCCTGTCAACACATGGCAGACATGTGTCACTTTAGTCACAAGTGCAGAATGCAGCCTGAGCGGCAACATGAGCAAACGTATCACGGTGAGATGCAACCTGCTTTGCAGTGCCTGGCAGCTTTGCCGATGGTAGACTTGCCCAGTGCCCGCGGCTGATTGGATCTTGCTTGAATCTGGCAAGTCCAAAGGGGCAGGAATTACGGCAGCTCGTCTGCAGATGCACCTTGCATTGATTGGCAGGAGCATTGTGTAACGATACTTCCCCAGGATCACAGGAGGGAACAATATTCCCCTTTGCCCTTTTTCCCCTTCTCCCAGAAACGGGCTTTTGCAGCGCTGTTTGGATCATGCAAGGACAATCTATGCGTGTTCAATATGTGCATGGTTGCTTACCTCCTGAGCGCCTTGTCCTTCAATGCCTCGTCCGCGGCTGTGCTGTTGATCACACCTGTGCAATCTTCCAGCGCCTTTCTGAACCAGCCCAGCTGCAGCAGCACCACAAATGTCCACTTAATATAATGACTATCAATCACTACTGGTGTCAATCAATGCACGCGCTCATGCCAAGAGGTGAGGTGCATTTGCAGACGAGCTGCATTTGGAGGCTGCCAAATTCCACCCTTGTCGGACTTGCCAGATTCAAGCAAGAATCAATAAAGGGTGGGCCTGGTGCTGAGAACTTACACTGCCACCCACTAGCAAGGACCACAATAACAGCATTCACCAATTTATTTGACGAGCAGAGAGGAATGCACTTCTGGCGAGCAGCACTGACACATGAAAATCCAAAAGCATGCATACAGCCTGGTCACTATGAGACAGGAGACAAAATGCTCTAGTGCAATGCAGGGGCAGGGTTGCAAGATGTACGGGTACCCCAGGGGGTGGATTTTGGAGGAGGCACCTTCAGGTTCATGAGTGCTCGATTGCTGAGAGCCTTCACATTGTTTTTATCCACGTCCAAGCTCAGGCTGTAAAGGACCTTGGCATCCAAAAGGGCCTCGTTCTTCTGCAGATCATTGCCTGCCGCCTTTAGCCTCTCCGACACCCTTTGCCTGCAAGCAAAGGTCACGCAGACATCTCAAAATTATGTCCTTCTTGCATGTCTGCTCCCTCAGATTGGTCATCACAGCCGAGGGCGCATGCATGCACACCACACTGAGCTTCCACAAACACCCCATGCACCAACAATATGGGCACAGATTGCACATTGCTCAATGCAAACAACCAGTCTCTCCACTGAGCTCGCAGACATTACTGGGATACACCCCGGAAAGCCAATTTCTTGTGAGCCTCAGTAGGAATTGGCAGCTGCGCAAGACGGTCACACACCTCTGACAATTGGAGATGTGCGCCTTGAAGTCATCCGAAAGCCTCGGGTCGGAGAGGATGTGCTTCACAATCCCACACCCATCCTTGAGGTCCTTGAACAGCAGGTGCGCTTCTGCAATGTTCAGGAGGGACTGCGGGGGTACGGGACACAGTTGTTGAAGTCGCAAGCAATAGAGACATATTTACCAATATCCCTCAGATACAGCCTGCCAGGACATATCGGGATTGACAGACCAGCCTCCGCACATACTAGCCCACTGGGCAGGTACCCTCTTGCAAGCACCATGGAACCTGTGTGATCGGACAGTGTGTGCAGGTGAATGCGCGCTAAACTAGCAGTTTTTTTACAGACCTGAATCTTTCTCTGGGGAGAAGAGCTGAGTTTGAGAGCGGATCCAAGCATGCTGAGGACGTGTTCCTTGCTGGGAGCTGATGCTCCCACCTCCCACTCCACTGCCGCCTGGATCCTCTCTATGTGCGCATGCCTGCGCTCATCACAGCAAGCAGCTCAGTTCTCATGCGCACTGGCATTGATGTTGGTCTCTCATCTTAACGTACAAACCTGTGCCTGCCATAAACCTTGGGACATACATACATGGAGGGGGAAGTGGTTAAGGTGGTGCCCATTTTGGAGGACTGTCAAACACATGACATACATGAAACCCTCATTATGGCTTACGCCAGTAACCGCAGCAGGATAGAGTTTCACACATGCAAGCAGGCAGGTGTGCCTCCTTCAATGCAGTCCCTTTCTTGATTGCCAATTACTCCTTATACCCCACGAAGAGGAACACCAACAACCTCTAAGAACTCCCAAATTGGAAGCGCAATCAGGATTCTACAGCAGAACATCACAGGGGACGTACGCAGCAGGCCCCTCAAACTTTCGCGCGTCCGCCAAAGCCCGCGCGTAGGCCTCGGCTCCCCATTTGAACTCGCGCATGTGCAGGAAGCAGGCTGCCCTAGTCAGGAGGGCCCAGCCGCTGCCCGGGTCTTCGACCAGAATCCTGTCGCACATCTTGAGTGCTAAAGGGAACTTCTCCTCGGCCTCCCGCCACCTCTTGGCAGCCTTGGCATCCATTGGATGGGCCTCTGCGTAAGCTTCTGCCTCGACTGCTTCCCGGAAGGTCCTGCGCGCCTCCTCCCTTGGAAGCTCTGCGGTGCAGTCACCCGCCTGCAGGCAACCTCACCGCGGATCAGCATTTGAGGATTAGCCATTCTCAGGTCTGTCGGGTCTCGGGTCAACCGGGTGTAAAAATGCAGAGCAGATATTGCAAGAGGCAACGGTGTCTGATGAAAACCCCACCGCATGCCAGGTGAATGTCACAATCTCGAAATTCCTCGTTTTTGAGTTCTGGGTTTCATACCATGCAGGATGGCCACCAGAGAAAGATCTCCTTCACTCTCCTCATTCTGGAGGAACATCTACCCAAGGGCAGTGCAGGAGAGACAAAGAGGCTGGTGGACACAAGGACGCAAGCTTGCAAAGCTAAGCACGATGCTTACCAGGCCTGTGATGTGCAGCTCGTTGCTGTCGGGGGTCGTCGAGCCGCCACTCGGGGTCTCTGGCACGGTGGAGACGCCACTGGAAGAGGCCCCTGACTGGGAGGGTGCCCCCCTCTTGCCCATGCCCAGCCAGCTGCCCACGAAGTTGGTCATACTGTCCAGCAGGCTGCCGCCATGCTTGGCCCCTGCCTCCTCCCGTGCCGACTCTTGCTCAGTGTGGGCCTCCAGCACACTGGCTGCCCTCTGAAGAGTAGCCTCCACCTTGCTGCCACCCCTGTGTGGCTCCTGGATGCAGGCCTCATCAAACTCATCCGCCTTGAGTGTCTCTGCCGGGCTGGCAGAGCTCCCTGCTGCACTGCTCCCTGAGCCCCCCTCGCTGTTCGCCTCGCGCACGATGTCCTCAGCAGAGATGGGTTGACTTTTAATCCCCCGCCCGTCCTCCCTGTAGCGCTTGCCGCCAAGGCGCCCGGTTGGCTGACTGGACTCTGCCAGACAGCTGCTTTGGGTGGCAGTGCTGCTGTGTTCTGTAAGGGTGCCCGGGTTGTGCTGGTCTTCCTGCGCAGCTGCCTTGGCAGCTGCCGTCTTCAGCTTGCGCTTCTCCTTCTTCTTCCTTGTTCTGGAGCCTGCAGCTGCCGAAGACGATGTTTCCGATGGGGTTACCTCCTCCTCTGCCATGGCGGCCGCCTCATGCGCTGTGCCTGACTGCTTTGACTTGTCCTGCTGGGCTTCCCCTGTGCTCTCAGACGCTGCATCCCCCTTCCCTGACAGGGTTGGGGCCCTACTGCCCTCAGACAGAGAGGCGCCGCCTGATGTGCCATCCCCGCCAGCCGCTGCTGCGGCTGCAGCATGCGCAGCAGCTTGCGTTGACCTATTCTCGGAGGGCCCATCATCAGATGAGCGGCTGCCTGCCTGCGCCTCTGCACTCAGCTGGTCTTCTTCAGGTGCTGGCAGCTGATCCGCAGATCCAGACACAGCCTCAGCCTTGCTCTCTGCTGCAGCAGCCTCCCGACCGGTCCCCTTCCCCTCGCCATGCCGAGCCACCTTGCCTGACTCACCATCCCCTTCCTGCAGTGCAGCCCGGCCCGCCTTCGTTGCTGCTCTGGCCGCAGGCGGCCGCTCATCCGCCTCATTCTCTGACGCGCTGCTGTCTGTCTCACAGTCATACACGTTGGTTGCCGCATGCACGCTCACCGCAGCTGCTGCCGCCGGTATAATGCTCTGTGCTTGTGCAGTGTCCTTGCGGGCTGCTGTCAGCTTCTGCTGAGGGAAGATCCGGCACTGAGCATCCGCGCCAATGCCAGCCGCGCGGAAGTCGCCGACATCCTGCATTGATCCGAGCAGACTGTCTACACTCAGGGCCGACAGCTTGGCGAGCTCGATGCCGATGGCCTCCACCTCCATGCTGGCCGCCTCGTCATCGCTGTCTTCCACAACGTCCATCACTGGAGCCCAGTCCCCGGGGGTGCGCGCCGTCTCCGGCCGGGCCGACCCAGCCGCCGGGCCAAGGGACGATCCGCGGCGCGGGCCGCGCGAGGATTCGGAGGCGGCCGGTACCGGTGATCGCCTGGGTGAGAGCCCGCTGGCCCAGGGAGTGCGGATTCCGCTGCGCGTTTCCCCTTGCGCTGACATGGGGAAGTTCTTGCTGAGAGGCTCCTTGGCTGAGGTGGACGCTGACTGGGACGCTGACTGGGCGCCCGATGACTCAGCTGCGCTTGACGGCGGCTTTGGTTTACTGAAGAACTCAAGGAGATCCCGGCGGTCGTCGAAGGTGGTGAAGGTGCCTTTGGTGCTCAAGACATGGCCCCGTTGCAAGTCAAACTGCATGTTCTCGCCACGCCGCATTGCGTCATCCAGCTCACCCAGCAGCTTGGCCTTCCTCTTCTCTTTCTTCTGCAGCGCCAGCAGCAGCTCTGCCTCCTCGAAGATCTGCATGCGGCAATTCTGCTCCGCTGCCCGCTCCCTGTCGCGCGCCGTTGCTTGCATCATCAGTACTAAAGTAGTCATTTTAAATCCCGCACCCTCGGCGGTAAGGGAAATTTTTCAAAGCAACTTTGAGGGGTCTTCCTTACATCAGATATACCAGGGGCATGCTTGAAATTGGATTGGGCTTGTCGAGAGCTTTCCGAATCTGGTCTCAAATTTTTACAGGTATTATATTTTAGGAGATAGGGTCTTAATTATTCACCCTTTTTGACAAAAAAAAATATTTATCGCGGGTTTCAGAATGTCTACTACAGTAAAAAGATGAGTCATGCACATCTTGCGGGCCCCGTAAGTCCAAAGAGGCGGCGGCCTGACAAATGCGGGCCATTTGTGCAGAGCATGAGCTGGACTCAAGCTTGCACATGGGTGGCAGGATTTAGCAAAAGGCATGGCCCCAGTTCCCTCCAGAACATCTGCAGGTGCACTGCCTTCATGTCCATCACAGGCACTTTTGTGGGGTTCGACCACAGGTGCGGCTGCACAGCGGCAGGAAGAGGGGTAAGAAACGCACTGTGCGAGGTCTGCCTGTCGTTGCTGCAGGATGCTATCAACGGCCGCGCGCGCCTCCCGAGCCAGTGTCTCCGCCTGGGCCTCACGAGCGCGGCACTCCTCTGCAGCCTTCTCCTGCTTTGCCGCGTCCAGCGGCCCTTCCCGCCACTTCTTCAGCCTGTTGACTTCCTGCAGAGCATCACACTATCTGTGAGGCGCACCGCTAAAATCCAGGAGACTTCTGAAGAAACGTGGCGCCCCTCTTCAAGGATTCTGTTAACTGCAGTGGGTTCAAGGTGGGCATTCTGCATTCTTAGGTCCTGAGGAACTGTGGCCCTGCGGGATTCAAGCAGCCTGTGTATCACGGACACGATGCAGCATGGTTGTGAGATTGCGCAGAGAACTGTCATTCATCTTGCCACATTGGTCAACGCCCTTCCACCATGGACACGAATTGCCGAGGCCCAAAATGTTCTGGCTCAGCCTCAGATATGAGTAAGTTCCCGCTTGAGATTGCTTAGCCCGCTTCTGAGGGGTTCACACCGCACTGCTGCTCTGTGTGAAGGGGGCTTGCAAGGGCCTGTATAAACAAGTGATCACCTGCCTAATCATATGCAGCAAGGGTGGATCCGCAGCTGACCTGCTATCACTTCCTTTGGTACCTGTCAGGAAGCAATGCAAGCAGCACAGCAGATGACATGTCTAGCAATCTCCCTTCCTGTCATGCTCTCATCCCTGAACACCACAGGGAGAGGACAGCTCCTCTTTCAGTACAAATCACCCTCTGCCCCTCGAAACCCTCTCCGTTACTCCTTTTAGATGACCTGGCGCGCACCTGCAGCGCAGCTTCGTGCTTGTCCGGGGTGAGCGCCATGCGGGCGGCCATGCGCATGTCCTCCAGCGCTCCAACTATCCAGCCGCAGTCGCGCCGAGCCGTGGCCCGCCACCGGTACGCGCTCGGCAGCCGCCGGTCTAGCGCAATTGCCACGCAGCAATCCTCGTCCTGCAGAAGCACATGTGAAAGATTGGATGCTGGAGATCTGGCGCCGCAGGGGTTTGTCTTCCGAGAAACGGAGAATGAAGAGATCAGGATAGCACCGATGTCTCGCTACAACGCTCACCTGTAGGAAATCCTCGGAAGCATAATACACCAGCAGCAATACCTGTGGCTGAAGTACAGGTGAATTCGACCTTGAAACACATCGCAGGTAATATGTATCGCATGCTGTTTCCCACCAGCTGATATCATGCATACACACATCATGACATGCTCTACGTCAACACGTGAAGGGCCAGAATGTATGGTACATGCATGCATATTACAAATGCTGATGATGACTTGCGTCAGCAACTGCCGAATGCTCTGCCATGCGCAATTGCAGCACGAAGGATAGGCTTGATCCGGCATTCGCAAGGTATAAGGAGGCCAGGGCCCGCACCGCGCGTGCAGGGTCTCCTGTCATGATGAGGCAGAATGCGTGATTGATGAGCAGCTGCGCAGCGTCCGGCTTGAGTTTGAGCGCCTCAGAGAACAGCTGCTTTGCCTCGGCATATGCATCATCCGCGCACTTCAAGTTGCCTGCCCTCCTCAGCTCGTCCACTTCCTGTTGGTACACATGCCGGTGTGACGTGCTCACGATTGACAGCTTCTCAAAGCCCTGCGATCCTGGCATTTGCAAGGATGACAAAGCTTGCATGCTGTCAAAATTGCCAGAGCTTGGCTGTGGGCGATCGTGTACCAAGGATTGCCATGGCTCCTCCTTGCAACAACCATTTGCACGTTCAGGTGCAGCGCGCAGGAGACAACACAATGATGTTTGGGAAAGGAAGGCACACCTGCAGTACCTTCTCTGCGCACTCATCTTTGCCATGCTTAGCGCAGGCTACAGGACTGGGACTGCACTTCTTGAGAGAAGTCCCAAACTTGGGGAGTCTCCCTTTGACAGATGACTGAGAACGTCGCTGGACGCTGCCAATGTCATGTGAGCAGCCGATTATCTTGCTGCGTCGTTCTTGGGGCATGATTCCTTTATTCTCTTCTTTAAGATTCCTTTTCACTTGAGGTCCTTTTCAGCGTCGCGAGCTAATCCCCAGTTTCCGTGCCTGTTTCGGCATCAGAGGCTCTTAGCAAGAATCCTGCAAGAACATGATTCCAGACCAGCCCCGACACTTGAACTGAGGGCAAGGAGCCTCGATGGCGCCCGATCCAAAGCAGAGGAAGGACACCCGGTGGTATAGAAAGGTAGGTTCACGAGCAGCTGGAACCTTGACCACCAGGGCTTAAACTTCCCCAATTTCGTTGGTGTTGCATGATTCAAACATTTTGAGAAGTGTAACAATGTTTGCGAGTGTGGGCTCATGCTATGGCGAAAAAAAGTGGCCACCCATTGACTGTGATCGTGTGTGCAAGGATCTTAGCTTAAGACTGCCCTAGGGAAGACCCGTCTCAAAGACTTGGTAGGCAAAATTGCAGCAAATAATACCATAGTTGTGATCTCTCTCAAATGGTACAGATCTCTCACAAAGACCCAAAGCGTTACCTGGAAAAGTGCATTCTCCTTGCTGCTGGAAGACGCCCGGATTGTATACTTCTGTCCTGCGCAAGGTGTCATCGTCTGTACTATTTGATTCAATGTTGGTGTAGAAATTGGTAACACAGATCAGGAGTCCGTTCTGATGGTTTGCCTCGCTTTGATGCTGCGTGAAATGGTGCATGCACGCGCCAGATTAGGCTGACGGCGCGATTGCCAACCTCGGAAGGAATCCCTCGAACAGGACCTGTTGTTGCGCCTATATGATGCATGTGTGCCGCCGACTGCCTCCTACGGTTGTGAGGTGTGGGGCCTGCGCAGCCTTCCTGGTGGCGACAGCCGGCGGGGCCGGGCTGCCTTGGCCTCCTCTCACCTGAAAATTCTGAGAGACATTGCTGGCGTCCCCACCTCTGTGCATGGTGCCATCTTGCTTAAGGAGTTGAATCAGCAGACCCTTGATTGTGTGTGGTGGCGGCGCATTATCAAGTTCTGGAACAATTTGGCTGCCTTGCCTGCAAATAATTTTCACAGGCAAGTGGCCCTTGATGATTGTTGGGATGCCATAACCCGTAATGTTAAGAATTGGGCTTGGGCCTTCATGCGGGGCTTGCGCCGAATTGGGTATGAGTTTGTTATTCGGTTTGACACCCTTGTTCCTGTGGAAGTTGATGCTGTGATGCAGCTGCTAGATGCGCAAGCACTGCAGGTTTGGGATGACATTGACATTTGCCCTAGGACCTGCCCGTCCAGCAATGCCACCTTGTGTACATATCACAGATGGTTTGCTAGGCCAGCTTGTGTGCGCCACCCTTGCCAGCTCTTACAGCAGCCTTTGAGTGCCCGTTGCTTGCGTATACTGTTGAAGTTCAGGATGGGTTGTCATAGTCTGCCCAATGTCTCGGGCCGCTGGGCAAGGATTCCCCGGCCCCAGCGTTTGTGCATGCGTTGTGCCCAGCAGGTTATTGGGGATGAGCGCCACCTTGTGTTTGAGTGCCCTGCCTTGCAATCTGTTCGGGACAGATATCCTGGGCTGTTTGGTGCAGCCATTGTGACGATGCAGCAATTCATGTGGCAGTTGGACATTGTTGGTGTTGCACATTTTGTGATGGATTGTTTTGATTATTTGGATGCTGCCAGTTCATCCAATCAGCCCTAGGCGGCTGGAGTGATGTAATCTTCCTTCCTTCCTTCCCGTCGATAAGCTCCTTTACGACCCGAAATTGGCATCTGGAACCATTGAATACACGAGTGACGGTTTGTCACAGTCAATCCGTAGTTGTGGGCAAGAAACGAGTGCTTACATGACACGTGAGTCCAACAGAGGAGCAGGGAATACCTCCGCCCATCCCCACTACGATGGGGATGTCACATTGAAAAGGACGCTGGCGATAGCCATAGTCAAGAGACGGAAGGAACAGTCTGCAGAGGTGCAGGTGTGATGCCAGGGCAACGCCCACATTATTGGTCTTCCGTCAAACATCTTGTGGTGCTATTTATAAGATATGCAAATATTCGTGACATTTGTGTATGCGATCCCAGAAATGGAAGACCCTGGCCAGCACCTTGGGAGCTCAGATCGAGCAGCTCAGGCAGGAAAACACCACTCTCCAGCAGCTTGAGCAGCAACGAAACGATCACTCAGCGGAAGGGCGGCCACAAGATTGTACGAAAGGTTCCCTTGCAGAGATGATGGACTACCGCGCAGCAGAAGGAAATCCCCCAGAGCCCTGCAGGCTGGGGACAGGATCCCTCTGCAGCAAGCGTGCACCAGAAGAGGGTGCACAGGGCCTTCCACGCGAGATTAGGCCAGCTTCTGGAGAGCACCATGCAGCGCAGCTTGGGGATCTAGCAGCAGAATGCGAGAGGAAGATGGATGCTGGCATGACAGAGGAAGCCTGCAGGTTCCTTATGGAAGTGCGCAGCATGCAGCTAGCAGCACAGAGTGTAAGGCAGGCTCCATCAGCAGCGGTCACGCAAGCGTCTGAGGTGCCTCATATTGCAGTAATTTCTAGTCCTGCTGGCCAGCGTGATTGCGCAAAGAATTCTTTGGCCTATCTTGAGACAGGATGAGATCTTTGAAGGCTTCAAAGGCTCATCTTGAGATCATATGCAGGAGTGCCCTGTTGTGTGTAGGTGAATACACCTCCTGGCCAACCAGAAGAGCTGCATGGAGATGAAGCACACTTTGTCTCATCACCAGGCACCTGTCTGGACAATTTAAGGCAGCAAAGAGCTGGCAGTCATGCCAATGCTGGTGCGCTGCGCTTTGCTGTTCCCCACAATCTGGATCATGCTTGTGAAAGCATGTTACTTAGCTGGCTGCACGCTTGAAATAGTGCAGCAAGGCATTCTCCAATCGAATGAATGTTCTTCGACAGTACACAAGACGCACCAAGATTTGCTAACCGCATTACGTGTGACTCCCTCTTTGATAGTTACCTGCCATTGCAGGGGTTTCCTTGGACCTGTCACAACGGGTGCGGCAGCTCACAAAGGAAAGCAGCCCAATGCAGGCAGTTGCATGGTTCCTTTTGGGCCCTGTTCTCGCCATGCCGCCAGGTGTCCTGCAGAGCGCATATGCCTCTGACGTCCTGGCCTTCATCCTGCAGCTGCACGACGGTGGAGGGCCAGAAGAAAGGGCGGCCTTGCGCGCACTGTCAGTAGGTGAGAGTCATTACTTGCAGGTCTTGCTTCTGAGCACATTGTCATTGCCGGCACGCATGCATTGCAAGCCTTTCTGTGTGCAAGCTTCCCGCCCTTCGTTTTGTACTAGCAAAGACACATGTGCTCTGCGCATGTATTACAATGCGCTGCTCACTGTCGTCGCCTGCAGGTAAAAAAATAGCAACAAAATAGTGCTGGGCACTTTTCGTGCATTGCAGGGCTCTTGCGGGCGGCGATGTCTGCAGAGCATGGCCCAGGTAGCAACGCTGGAGTGGAGAAAGAGTCATCTGGAGCGCCCGATCTGGCGTCTGGACTGCTGGCAGACCTGCTGCAGCTGCCTCTAGCTGGGATCGTGTTATTCTCTGCGACCGCTGCAGAGCTTCGCGCCACCATGGAGAGCTTGGCAGAAAGCACCAGGTGAGCTGCTGGACATTCCCATGAGTCTTGCAGGGATGACAGTCATCAGACAGTCATCCTCCCCAAGTGAGCAATCTGAAGAGTTGACATATTGCAGTTTCGGCAAAGGCGCAGGATCACATGCAAGTTGAAGGTCAACCATGCAAAGTGCAGCATTTCGGTTGAGTGCATCAGACGTGCCTTAGCACACAGTATAAGCCAAAACACAAAACAGCAATGAAAGGGGTGGATGCAGGCCTCTTCCCTGTCTGATACAAGGGGGAGGGCTGCAAGAATTCTAATACAACGATTGTGAGACTTGCATGCGCAGACAGAATAGCAGCAAAGGAGGCGAGGGCGGGGTGACTGATGAGAGGCTTGAGAGGCAGGCCTTGCTGCTGTTCCTGCTGCTGGAGGACTGCATGGGCCTGCTGCCAGGCTGGATGCATGTGCTGCACGATGATGTCAGCGCCAGCGCTGATGTGGCCCAAGTGAAGCACTGATGTCTCCTCATGGTCCAACTATGTTGCAAATTTTGGCTGGCATTTAATCTTGCTCGTGTCGCCAAACTTCTTTCCCAGTGTTGGATCCCAATTTGGCCGCTGAGTATGAATGTATCCAAGGCTCGGAGTCAGGCATCAGACCAGCCCGGAATTGACTGGGAACGATGTCTTTCAACTGAATGACCACAGCTGAGTGACTCAGACGCCTACCGTCTTCACCAGTCCCACATCTGGCAATCACCATGCGGACCGCTATTGTTGTGGGGTGTGCTTGAAGCACCTCAACATTACTCCGTGTCAAAAAAGATCACTGCAAGGCCGAGTGTGTTACTGTGCATTACAGGCCACTCAGGACGTGTTGACAGCGCACAAAGCGTGCACACCCGATGTTGCGCGGGCACTGCCGGACATTGTTGGCCGCACCCGCTCCCTGGCAGCTGTCCTCATCACCAGCCTAGAGCAGACTCGTGACTGCACCTGGTAGTCACAGCAGAGGGTGTGCATAGATGTATGCAGTGGGATCGCCAGTGTGATATGCTTGAAAATGACTCTTTCTCATAGGAGGACGACTCAGATCTGGCAGCAATTAGTGCTGTACAGGTGAGGCAAGCCTGTTGAACATCTGCCTTGTGTCAGACTCCTGACCAGCGCAGGACCGAACCCAGCCCTGCCACACAAACGCTGTAGATTGAATGACTTATGCCCTTATCTGCTTCTGTGGAATTTAATGATAACTTCCAGCACGGTGCTGATCATGATCACTGATCATGTTATGATCATGGTCATGACCTCGTGGAATGCTGGGCATATTGACAAGAACATTCTCAAGGTTGGCATGAGCTGATGTGTCTGCATTACAGAGAGGGTGAGATGAACATTGTCGTACGTTTAAAAACATAGAAAATAGCAAACATTTACGAGTCCAAGGATAGGTTTGCATGTGAATAGGTTGCCAAAATAGGCCATCCGAAAGCGGAATGAAGCTTTGCGCTGCACAACTCGCCCAGGATGTCCCTGAATTGACATTTAAGGCATTTCTGGGGCACACGAAGCATTTTGCGATTGACATTGTGAAATGTAGCCCTCACACCCTGGCTGTTAAACAAAGCAACTGCAGTGGCATCATAGCAGTTTCTTGTTGATTCTATATTCATTTCTGGGAAGAGGGGGTGTATCCAGGTGTCGTCAAGTTGTTTCCCAATCTCCAATAGATGGAGGACGCTTCTTCGAGTCGAAATCTGGTGTGGACCTGAACAACGTTGGGATTAACAAATTCACAAATGTCTCATTTGGCTTGAAGCGACCTTGCCTGAGCCTTCATCTTCATGGCAGCCTCTTCTTTTTTACGTTGCCTGCATCATCTGATGTTTAGTCGACAATATGTTGCGCACGACCAGGTTGTGGCCGTGCCAATGCCGCTCAGAGAAGACCCAGAGATCACACTCGGAGCCTTGAGATGGGTGATCGACCAGGCTTTGAGACCAGGAGATGTCGTGCATGTGGTTCACGTGATAAAGTGCATGGTTCAGAAGCTGGAAGTTTACCATGGTGGGTACACATGCTCTCTTATTGACCCACAACCAGCAAACCGAGAAATTCGACTTATCTCTGGTTATACACAGAAACCTTTCTGCTTATGCAGGGGTCCCTGGCACCTCCTATTCCTTTGAGGAACCCGGCGGCATCCATCATGAGAATGAAGACTTTGCACGCGCCAAAAGCTTCCTTGCAGAGAGGTCAGTACCTGGCCTGCAGCACCCTCCAGCCTCATTGATTCTTCAACGCATGCCTGTGTTCCCTGCCAACACGCTTGCCCCGTTAAGCCATTGCACATACTGAAGCCCTTGCATTCATAAATTGATCACGCCTAAATGATTCCTTGCATATCACAGTAGAACAATGCCTTGTTATTCATGGGTGCAGTGTGATGCCGGTTCTGGATGCAAGGGGCATCCAGCACCAGACCCATCTTTCTGTGGAGACCATAGAGGCGCCCCCGAGCGCTGTGGCACAGATTATTTTCAGCGCAGCCGACAGCGTTGGCGCAGATCTGGTGGTTTTAGGCGCCAACAGGAAGCCGGTGTGTAATCACGCAGATTTAAATTCCCATTTGTCCTCAACCTTGGTGCCGAATGCAGCGAAGAGAGCACACCAGGGAAATGCATGGAATAGTATGTGTTGGGAAATTCTGCTCAGGCGTGCCAATTAGCTGTGTGCACAGCACTGCCACAAAAGGATTTGGTTTGTGCTCAGGAAAAGTATGAGCACAACATAGATTATGTCCTTACTGCCGCAAACATCAACTTGCCACTTAATACTCGGAGAGGAGGCATTGACAAAAGAATGCTCTTTGCAGGTCAGTGCAGAGGATGGCTCTTTGGGGAAGGTTGCAAAGTACGCTCTGGACTATGCGCAGAGGCCGTTGGTCATCACAAGAGCCTTTCAGCCAGTCCCTGTCGCTCCAGACGCTTGAGACTTGAACAAAAGCAAGTGATAGCCTGTCAAGGGCACAGTAGAGGGGGATCAGCACAACACATCATATACATCAACATAATGTATTCTTTTATACACCTACTGTCAGTGCCGGAGTAACCCGGACGCGCAGACATGCGAGCAAATTGTCTAGTTTTGAGGTCTTGCTGGTCAAGAGTTGCCGCCGGGATTACAACAACAACACGCTTCTCTTGCCAGAAGGCAAGGTACGCCCTGCAGACAAGCTGCAGTTAAAGGCTGCCACAATCCTACCCCTTTTTGGATTCGCCAGATCCAAGCAAGACCCGATCGACCGTGGGCACGGTGCTCAGTATTTTTACCACCCCCCGCCGGATAGCCCAGGTGAAGTATCTCTGGTCCTGGCAGTATTGGTTGATGATTACATTGAGATCATATGCAGAGAGCATAACCATCTGCCCACCTCTACAGCATGCTCTGCGTAGCTATTTCGAAAGAGCTGCACTTTCAGACATGTTGTGATCTGACAGGAAAAGTCCGACTGGAAGAAGTACAGCACACGAGTATTCATGTCATGGCTAATGTGGGCTCTGAGAGGGGTGCCCAAGCTGCAGCGCCCTGCAGTTGCAAGTTGCCAGTTGCCAGCAGGGTTGTGATGTTCAGATTGCAATCATGCCTTGAAAACACTTGGCCTCGCATGTCGTTATCTGGGATGTGCAGCCACAATGCAGTCAATGTAAGAGCGCAATTTTTTGACGGTACATATGCCCTCCATTACTTGACCCACAGTTCAGCTGGATCTGAATCTATATTGTTAATATATGATCAATGATCGATCACTGCATGCCAAGCTGAGAATACCTCCCCCATTACCGTGTGCTGCAGAAATTAAACGCCCAAGACATACATGATGCATCAATGTTGCAAGTTTGATTAACATCGATGTTGCGAGTTTGATCGTAAAAGTAGATATGACAGTGTGAAGCATCCCACATTGTGCCGGTACCTTCCAGTTGCAAGTTGCATATTGAATACCATCATCCAGCTGTTAAAAAGATCCAAACATCCATAGTACAGTACTGTCATAGAATTCATCAAACTTCAAGATGACATAGGCTTAAGCCTTTCCCTCCTTGCTTCCACTTCGCAATTCCTTGCGAGCTCCAAATCCCCCAATACTTCAAAACCATTCCAATGGAATGATTTCACTCCAGCATGACCTTCGGGCCTTGAATGCCGAAGTGCTCAGGCGAGCTGATGTCAGTAGCTTTGGAAGACCCAAATCCCAGCCGCTGCCTGCCTGTCTCTGCCGCACACAAGCGATATTGGAAGGCGTCTAGAGACTTTGCCCACACTGCCAATTAAATATGCTCAAGCCACACAACTCGCCTGTTGATTGCAGGAAAGGAAGACTCACCGCATCATCGACTAATGATGCTGCATATGTCAATGAGCAAATAGCAGGAAACAGGGTGAGAAAAGCTTTCTTGCAAGCCTGCACAAACAAAATCCACGTTGCTCAACACATCAGTGCTGCAGAAGCAGAAGACTTTGCACAGAACTCAAGAGAGCGAGAAGGAGCAGCCACCTTGCTGTACTGCACGGCAGTCACTGAGCTGCTGCAGTTGCTCTGAGGTCGCTTTCAATTTCGTCCAAGTGCCTTCTGAGCTGCCGGATGTACTTCTTGAGAAGGGTGCGCTGCTCTATCCTGAAACCCAGTCTCATTTGCTGCTGATGAGTGCTTGCTAATGCGTGATTCTGCTGCGCAATGATGTGTGCCTGCTGCTGCAACGCTGATGCTGGTGGCTCCTCTTCTGTGGAGGAGTGGCTGGCAGCTGCAGGCTTCTCAGGGGAAGCTGCTGCAGGGGCTGCATGGGGGATCACCCTCGCTGCCTCTGACAAGTCCAGAAAGGACATCACGAGCGGTGATCGTGCAAGCTCTGCATTTGCCACGACGCGCCACAACCTGCACCGCAAGGAAGAGATTCCTAGAGAAGCTCGGAAATGTCAGAAATGATCGAGGATTCAATGAGCAGAAAGGAACCCTGTCTGGGGAAAGTCATACAGGCCAAGAAGCTCACCATTGTTCCAGGTCTGCACGTCGTCGATCTATGAGGTCGGGGTGCTTTGAAACCTTCGTGAGGACAAGTTTAGGAGGCAGCTTCATGCTGCTCAGCACTGCTGCACCATGCAGCTCCTTCATCCGCAAGTACAGCTTCTGGAAGTGAGAGAATCTCCTGAGAATAGTGTGCTTGCGTGATGCCTGTGAATTTCCCTCTGGAGGCAAGAACTTGACCTCGACGCTGTAAAAGACAACTGGATCATCGTCTCGGAGTTGCGTCAGTGACCATGAAGGAACGGACACTGTGTACCTCCATTTATTTGCCATTTCACAAAAATGGAGACACAAAGACAAAATGAAGATTCTGTCCTGACGTGTGGAATATTTGCCCGTCCTGCATGTGGCAGGTGCGTATCCTAGAAAGTTTGTTCAGTTTCGTAGGCGGAGCCATGTAGAAGTTTCCAGAGGCAGGTTGTTTGTGAAAAGGGATGGATGATCGGCTCCCACTTGAAGAGAAAGGGATGATTTTGATCGTGTAGCAACACGCGCTTTTTTTTTTACTAGAAAAAGCCTCGATAGTAGACTGCCCGCACAAGGATCTAGAACACCATGAGCGCATCAGACGCTTTCAAGGTATGAGCAACTAAAGCATGTTTGCGATACTTTCATGTCACAAATTTTCCAAGCTTTGCATTACACATCTTCATGTTGAGGCATTGAATTGCTGCAGGCAAAAGGCAATGCGGCGTTCTCTGCTGGCAAACATGAGGAGGCGATCGAGCACTTTACCGAAGGCATCAGAGTGGATCCGGGCAATCACGTGCTCTACAGCAATAGATCTGCATCATTGGTGAGCTGAAGTTGACACCACTATTCTGCCTATGAATCATGGTGACTGGACTCTTATAGATTTGCTACTTTTACTTTCAATAGCAATATTTACGTTGATAAATCCTTCTGGCGTGACTGTGACGCAGGCAAGCTTACGCCGGTACAAGGAAGCGCTAGAAGATGCGAACAAGGTGAACGCTGCTACCCACTCTAGCTATCTTGTGGTGCTGGACAATGTTTTACTTTCACTGCCCAAGTCAACTTTCAACTTCCAAAAGCATCCGCTGAGATCTTAAGAAGAAAATTATTTCCCTCTGAAATGCATGCATGCTCATCATTGCCTGCTTGCATGCAGGTTGTGGAGCTCAAACCAGACTGGCCAAAGGGATACTCACGTGTGGGGGCAGCGGCATTGGGTGCCCGGGAATATGACACAGCCATTGCAGCATATGAGAAGGGTGCGTTGCGCATGACCCATCAAGCTGCCTGTTTCTCCTGCATACTGCTTACTGTCAATCTTCAGACCATTGATCTAGGGAATTGGGAGGCAGCGTTGATCGCTTCCATGGGCCGAGCCAGGCTTCTCTTAGCATCCCTGTCTTTCTCGACGTGTGACAGTTTTGAGGGCCATCTGAACTACAGGCTCCACAGGTCTTCAAGGGAGATCTGAAGTGTCTCTGGTAATCCCCTGATGATATCAATCTCCCTTGCAGGCTTGGAGGTGGACCCCTCGAACGAGCAGTTCAAGCAGGGGCTGGAGGACGCGAGGGATGGGAAGGAGGGCGGGGCACCGGGGGGACCGGGGGGTCTCTTTGGGCCGGAGTTCCTGGGCCGGCTGGCGACCTCGCCACAGACGCGGCACCTGCTGAACGAGCCGGATTTCCTGCAGATGCTGCAGGACCTGGGGCGCAACCCCAACAACATGAACAAGTGCGCCGCCTTGTTAGGTCAAAACTAACGGATTGTGTGATTGTCTCGTATGTTGCAACATTACCAAGTCAAACGTCTGTAGCACTTTGGCGAACGGTAGGAGATGCTGCTCTTTGGGCGTTCACATGACGCCCAAGCACTATATGGTCGCCGCAGACGGACGAGCAACACAAGTGTCCTTTGTCGTTGGTCTGTCTGCGATGCTCATGTGTTGCTTGCAAATGCAGCTTTGAACACAAGCTGTCCAATTCCCTGGCGTGCCCTGCCTTGTGCCTTCCAGCCTAGCCTGCTAGAATACCCTCTGGGCAACCTGCCGTGGTTTACCATTGGCCCTGACTTCTGGACTCGAACAGTGCAGCATCAGATTGTCATGAGAATTCATTACCTAGGTGTCCATTTATTAGGTGGTGCAGTACTATGTTGTAACTTGTCGGAAGGGTGGTAAACTCTTCAGGCGTGTGCTGCACTGACGTCTATCTGGGTACAGGTGTGGTGAACTTTTAGGTGATCTCCCTGAAATTCGAGATGTGTTTGGTTAACTGTCGGTGTCTGCTACTGCGCAGGTATTTGGGCGATGAGCGCTTCCAGACAGCGCTGTCGGTGGGGCTGGGCATGAACATAATGGGCGGCGACCAGTTCAGGCAGCAGCAGCAGAGCAACGGTGCCGGCGGCGCCTCGGCGTCCGAGCCCAAGTCCTCCCCTGCGCAGCCCGAGAAGCCAAAACAGGTAACTGGCAGCCTGATTCTTGCTGTGTTTGCAGTGGATGCATGCTGGCGTGCATGCAGGGCACCCAAGGGGCTTGACGATGTACCTGTCCTGATGCAAGGGACATTCTTGTCAGTTCGCGTAAGGCGTCCTGCATGGTCAGCCCCTGCTTATAGCGTGGTGGCAAATCAAGGGACATTCTCTGCCCAGCTCAGTATGCAGCATTGTTGTTCCGTGGCTCTCCAATCAGACCTTTCTTACTTTTTCCCAGAGCATATCTTATTGTAGATGGAGTTCTGTAGCACGTACTGTAGCCAAGAGGCATTCTTAATTATCCTGTCCAATATCTGCAGCCGGGGCCGAAGCCAGAGCTCCAGAGTTTTGCACCTTAACTGCACCTGTAGCCATCACAGGCAGGCTCTTATTTGAAGTATCCAATGTTGGGTCCCGCACTACAAGGCACGGACATGCGCAAAATTCAGCCAAGGGATCTCTCACAATGCCCTGTGATCCGCAGCCGGAGCCGGAGCCAGAAGCACAAGATGAGCCGATGGATGAAGAGGAGGCGGCAGCGCGCGAGCGCAAGGCGGCAGCACAAAAAGAGAAGGAGGCGGGGAACGCCGCGTACAAGGCACGGAAATTCGAGGATGCCGTCGCGCATTATGACAAGGCCATTGAGCTGGACGAGACCGACATCTCCTTCCTCACCAACAGGTGTGGTTTGCGCCATGCCATGCCTGCAGTGTTCTGGCGCACATTGATGAAAAGGGTTCCACTAAAATTCCATTAGTCCAGTCAGGGGTCCTCTACTGAGACTGAGAAGGGGCCAGAGTGGGCGGGGAAGAGACTGTATCTGCGCCGAAATACAACTCCTTTCTGGTAGTGGAGCGCTTGTGCGCAATTTGATGGGCTTGATCCCTTTCATTTCCATTTGGTTGATCACCGTGAATCACCAAGCCAGCCCTCTGCAAATCTCCTGTCACCGAGAGTTACAGCGGTCAGAAGTGACGTTCTCAGGACTCTGAGAAGGCACATTCCGGTAAATGGACGGCCTATTTGGGTCTTGGCCATGTCGGCGGGATGCTATGATAAGGCACTGCTGCCCTTGCAGACTGCTCATGAGGAATGTGGGAAGCATGGCTCTTGGGAACTGCTTGTCAGCTGCAGCCATCAAGTGTCATGCAATTGCAATATCGCTAATGGGCAACAGCTGTGCTTTCTCCCTGTTCAGTCACAGCGCTGCGGCGTATGAAACAGATGTGCCGTGAAACCGCTGAAGCTTCAAACTGAACATTTGATTCAGTCATTTTGCTTTAGTAACTTGGTCACTAAACGGCTGAGCTGGCGCGCAGGGCGGCGGTGTACTTCGAGATGGGCGAGTACGAAAAGTGCGCGGCCGACTGCGACACGGCCGTTGAAAAGCAGGGCACCCGAGTAATCAAAATCCACTACTTTAGTGGATGTAAACGCTACTAATGTGGTGGATTATTGGCAATCAGGGGCCATGCCACCTGGTAACACATTCCATAGCATGCCATTTTGGTAATAAAAATTAGGCCTTTCGTCAGTAAGCATGGAGAATGATCAGTGATGTGTTTCTGTACCGAGCATGTCACTTATTATTGCTAGGATCCCGTGTTACAAGTGTGGCAGTGACAAGGAGAAGCTTCATCCGAACTGCGCAAGTTCAGAACGCTTGACTCGCTGTGTAGGTTGTGATTATATTATCAGATTCTATTCAGAAGGTCTGACAAAGGACGAATACGGCCACGACGCTGTTGCCGACTGGGTCTTCAAACAAGAGGCAAGGGTGCCATTGCAACGTTGCAATGCCGTGGACTCAGGGGTCAGATATTTCCATCAGAGCTGCCTTGGCCGAGATGAACCTTCAGCATTGTCCAGAGCTAATGGCTACTATTCTATTCGCGGGAAGATTGAGAGCGAAAAGTATCCAGAGCTCAGAAATATTACCCACAAATGCTGTGAGGACTGCGTCATTGCAGCCCAAACCAGGGGCAAGGATCTCAATGAGGATAAGTTGAATTTTATCATGCATCAAGGAGTGATTGGTAGGTCTCAATAAGCACTCCATCTTTGAAGGTTGGGAACACCTATGTTTTGAATCTCCCCATGACCTTGACACAGAGTAACTAACTCTGACTTTTGCGTTGCGTTCAGAGGCAGAGACCGGCGACTTGGAGAGGAAGAGAGCCGATAGGCGATCAAGCAAGATTCGAGGCATCATTGGTGGTCAGCAGGCTCGCCTCGAAGACAATGGGACGACTTCGACCGCCATCTTTGCAACGAGACACCTCAATCAGAAAGTCAGCTTCAGCAAGAGCGCCAGCAGATTGCTGGCAGCAGTGCCCAACCTGAACAGGACAGTGATGGCAGCCTCGTATCTCCAGGCCAGTGGACTTCAGGCAGGCCAGACAGCCCAAGGACAGGCGCAGAGGGGCGCCACAGCTGCAGCAGGCGGCATGCAGGGTCCCGCAGCCCCAGAGGCAGAAGCTGCAGGACCTTCGCAAGCGCCACAGCCAGGGATCAGCCGCAGGCAGCTCAGCGCTCAGGGAGCCGAGCAGGACATCGTCCAACGGTGGCTTGCGTTCAGCCTCAAGGCCTCATCCACCGTTGCAGAGCTGAAGCGGTTCCTGCTTGACAGAGGCCAGCGGCCAGTGATCTTCACCAGAAGCGCGCTGCTCGCCAGGGTGGAAGGGCTGCTTAGATTTGAGCATCCAGAAGGTAGCTATCCATGATGGCTGTAACGATCAGCGCCTACACATCTTATGCCTGGCAAATTAATAACATGTCCTCACCATTTCCTCTGGACATCTTATGCGCTGGCAGCTAATGGATGCTGTCATGCAGGTGGACTGGAGCCGAGTGCGGCGGCGGTTGAAGAGATCACAGCCGCTGTTGAGGCCGCAGCCCAACCGGCACGGCAAAGACCAGCAAGGCAGAAGGTGGGCATCTTGTTGAGGATCCTTATGTTTGCATGTGCTTTGTGAACGCCTCTCATCTGTCAAGCTGCTGGTGCAGTGAAAGCGAGTTTGGCTGAACACACTGATTGTAAGTTATTGTTGTTACAGGCGCCGAAGAAGTCACAGCTTCAGATGGAAGCGGCCAAGTCCATTGTTAACAAGGGTGAGTGGGCGCTCTCAGCTGGAAGCTCTGATCACCTGGTGACTGTTGCACACCCGAGAAGGCTTTAACTTCTGCAGATTTGATGGAAGGGAATGATAGCCAGTCAATTGAGGCGCTCACATGTTTGCAGGAGTGAGCAGCGGCCTGCCCGTGGTCAAACTCAAGCAGATTGACGAGTTGCTCTGGACCTTCGACAAGTGCCACTACCTGCCGCAGTTGGGGGAGAGCACTCCCTCGATTGGTGTCGCTCTCTGGGCCGTCACAAGCACGCTGCACCGCGACGGGGAGTTCCCAGCACGCAACTTGTCCCAGTTGGGTCGTGCTGCCAAGGCTCCTGTTGGTTTGGTGCGCGCTGTGCAGCCAGGCAGCGATGGCACCCAGCTGCATATGGAGATATGGTTCCTCGAGGCGCGCGTGCAGACAGATAGCCAGGGGGAGCCCGAGGCAGCGGTGGCAGGGGAAGGCGGTGGGGCACGCGCAGATGTGGAGGGACGGGGTGCAGGAGAGGCAGCCACCGGTGGGGGCGTGCAGGAAGGGCATGGGCGGGGTCGGGGCAGGAAGCGTGGCCGCCGCGGCACAGGCGGGGCGCGTGGCAGCAATCGGCCCAGAAGGGGCAGCCGAGGCAGGCTCAGGCGCCCAACCGCCAGAGCCGCAGAGTTTTGGGGTCCCCCCACTGAGGGCGACGAAGACGAGGTTGGGAACCTCTTCTCTGAGTCAGATGCGGATGACCAGCCAGCGCAGCAGCACAGTGACCCAGCAGAGCCAGAAGGGCAGGCAGAGGGTGTCCTGCCTGAGGCCAGCGAAGTGCCGCCGCAGCCCACAGCTTGTGCGAGCTGGTCATGTACAGGTGAGATCTCAGGAAAGCAAGAGTATGATCCAAGTGTAGAAGTGCTGTAGAAATCGGGTTGAAGCCGCGGGCCAAAGCCTTGGAGCCTTAAGCATCATGCTGATGATCATAATGATGCCATCGGGTCAGTACTAGTATAAATGGCGTAAGGCTACCCATTAAGAGATTCCAGTGGGACCACCGTCGAACATTATAACCTGAGAGAAATTTCTTTAAAGCATCAAGCATCTCGAGATGTGCTCATGAGCAACGCATGTCTTGTGCTGCAGGTGCAACCCATGCCATGCCCGTGGCCAGTGGGCACGTACACATGTGCATCAACGTTTCAGGCAATTGCAAGTTGCCACAATGGCTACCCAACACCGGTGTTGGTAGCAAGTGAATAGTGGGTACCCACTAGTTATTTGCCACACCATTGCCCTCAGTGTACTCTTAAAAAGCAATCACTCGATTATAACTAGAAGGCGCCTCTACAGTGTAATATTGTTGTCAATAGATCAGATTGATATTATTGTTGCATTCATTTATTTTATATTTAATTATATTGAACAAGCTCGGCTCGCAAGGCTTCAAGCCTTGTTGCTCCAATTGGTCAAATATATGCATTATTCTTTTTTATCTGATAATTCTTGCAAAGCAGAATTAAAGCCACTGCAAATATTAAGGCTTGAAACTCGAATTCACAATGTGGAGATAAAGTCCATGCAATGGGTGACTCGTTAAACATTAATTGAAGCTGAAGGGCTAATTGGCTTCTGATAAATATTTTAATATCATGGTCATTTATTTGGATGGTCCAAACAAGCTGTCGACATGAGAATGATCACTCACAGGCTTGCATGGACACTAAAGTCCCCCCAGGTTTTGGTAGAAAGTGAAGCCAATGACGGTACTGCAACATGCTCAGCCTATAGGTAGCTAACCAGATATTTACTATAATTACACCTTGAGGATCTGGTCCAGAGTCACATGCATGCCATATGGGCGCATGTTGCCGACTGTTGACATGACCTCTCCAAGAGTCATCAAAAAATCACATTATGACAGACATATCTTCTTAGAACCAATACAAATCTTTTGAAGACTGAAGGTCTTTATTGTCATTAATGGTGGGCAGTGGGTCATGGCCTTCCTCTAACTAAGGAAGCTTCACAACCTGGCAGGCAATCTTTCTAAGTAGCAATTCTTGTCAAGGTTCATACTGTTCATTTTTTGGCTGCTGGCAGTCAACATGCTATTAACTATTAACAACGTGGACACCTGTACATATATACAAATTTTAAGTATTAATACTAATATTAATTTGTAGTATTAGCCGTATAATTTTATCATAATATTATGATATGCTGCCAAAAATAAAATTCAACGAATTTAATTTGGTGGACCTTCATCAAAGTTTTAAAAACATGACAGGGACACCTCCATTCACGACAGGCATTGATCACATTTTGACACTTATATGAGATAGAGAGAGGCACTGCTCAGAGCTACATGAATTGCAAGAGTTGCAGGAAGTTTCAATAGGCTGCCTTTCGCTTGAACAACTGATAATTTTTAACAGCAATGCATATTTACATTAACAACATAAGAAGCTGGCACTCTGTGTTAATTATTTGCTTTAAGTGTGTGGAGAGAACAAGCTGCTAAGAGATCTTGAGATTTTTGAGCCAATTGGCAGATGATTCCACAGCGCACTCCCTTCCCAAAAAGGATCTGATGAATTGTAGAACAATCAGATTACTGTACTCTATAGAAGATTACTGTACTCTATATAGAAGCTACTGACTTTCAAAGTTTGAAACAGCATCGAGAACATCAAAATTGGCAGACAAGGCGAGATGCTCATTGCCAAATTTTCAAATGTGCCAATATTTATGTGTCCTCATCATCGCCGCCGCTGCTGTCTGAGGAGGCATCGGACCGCGCATCCTGCCAGTCCGAGTCGGAGCTGGTGCCGCTGTCCAGGTTTGTGAGGTCGGCGTGCAGCGCTTCCACAGCATTGCCTGCCATGCCGCCCAAGTGCTGATACTGTTCAAGCTTGGAGAGGAGCACCACCTGCTGCCCGAGCTGGAAAGCTTCAAGGGCTGCATGCACACCCGCCTCCCCCAGCTCCGCCGCATGGGGAACTTGTCGGGCGCTGGGCAGGCGGCGCTCTCCCCTCCCAGCGGCTTGCTGCACTTGCTGGGCGTAGTGCTCATAAAACACTACCATATCCCTGGCCTCACGCCGCACGATGGTCATCTCTTCGGAGCACCGCTTCAAGCGCTCCTGCTGCTCCGCCAGCGCGGCCAGTTTCCTAGCCAGCAACCCTGCCTGAGCAGATTGTCGCTGCCACGGCAATGTGTCTGCCGCGAGCAAGCCAGGGGCGGTCAAGCGCTGGCAGTCATACTGCGCTCCCTGATAGTCCCCAGGGGCGGCATGCCAGCGCCGCAGCTGAAGGATGTCATCGCTGACTTTGGACACGATGGCTTCCATCTGGCGCCGCAACCGCTTCAGGCTAGTGCGCTCACGATATGCCGCTGTCTCCAGCTGTCTCTGTAGGGCGTAGTAATCCACGAACCTGGCTGCAATGGAAGCATGTAGCTGCTGAATCATGAACCTCTTCCGCTGACCCCCTATCTCCTGGTACAACCGGTCTGCCTCCACCCACCGCAGCTGTACCCGGTGCCTGCGCTCCCACGCTGCCAGCTTGCCCTCAAGGACTCGGCGGTGCTCATGCCGCATTTGCTCGGAGAGCGATTGCTGCCCCTCAGCTGCGAGAGTCACACTGCCACCCAGCGCGTACAACTCCTCCAAGCAGCCTTGGTAGTGGTGCTCCCATGTAAGACGGGCCTGCGAGTAAGAATCCTGACATCAGTGATTCATGCATCTTTATGTATCTTCCAAAGGTGTGCATCCCATTTGCTCTTTACAAAAACTCCACCAGTATGCACATCCTGTCATGTCTTGTCCTGTCATGTCATAAGTCACATGTCAAATGTCCTATCATGTCATATGAACAAGCACCAGTACAGCCAACTGAAGGTGCAGAGTGGAGCAGCACCGGGATGGTGGGCGCGCTTGTTGATGCCCCCTCAGACGATGTCTGCCGCTGCTCCCGGGCAGACCCCTGCGTGCAAAACAAACAATCTGCTTGCATACTTTCTTCTGAGGCAGCTCTTTACTCTGAGTCCTCTGAGCACCTCCTTCTCACTAGCATACCCATTGATACTTATTCCATGCTAGAGAAGAGCCTTCAAAAAGGACCAACACACCTCTGCTTCGTCACTTGCGCCTGCACCAGCGCCGCCTTGGAGAGGATCCTGGCCTGCCGGTGATGGGACGCCTCCTGAGCCACCGCCACCCTGCACCTGATTCATCAGCCAATAAGCGAGCATGCAAAGCATTGCAGACTGCAGGATATATCAAGATGGCATCTCCCCAGAGAATCAGTAGAGACAGGTGCAGCAACTAGGAGGGGTGCATTTTACCTGCAACTCGGGGGCTTTGATTTGGGCAATCTCCTGCTTGAGGGCCCCCGTGGACTGCCGCAGTTGTGCCAGCAGTCGAGCAGCCCTCCTATGCCACTCAAGCAGCTGCTTGGGCAACCTGCGCTCCTTTTTTCGCTGCCAAGCCATCGCCTGCACATGGACCAACATTGTCACTTCTCGCACCTACAGGGTTACAAACTGCAACATCGAGCAAGGCTACAAGAGCTTGCATCATATGAAAGGAGAACTCACCAGGTCCGTCATGTAGTCCTCCCGCGTGGCAGTCGCCATGCGCTTCAAGATGTGTGCAAATTTCCTGTAATGTGCCCAAGCCTGTTCAATGTTGTCACCAAAGGAGTTTCCTGCCGCTAGCATGCGGCGGGCGCCATACTTTTCTTGGCATGCCGGAATGTGAGCCTTCACATGCCACGGCCCCACTGCCAGGCCAGGCATACCCTCCACGTTTCCTTGAACCATCCTGCCAGCACAACACATCACCATTCAAAGGGGACGCTGCTGTGCACTCCGACGAATCCACACACTCATAGCATGACTAGTACTAGACACTAGGAGTGAAATTGTTCCATGCAATAATTGTACAGGGCACATCTTGACGTAAACGCCAGGCATGATGGACGAAAGATTATACCTTCGCCAATATGGGTCAAACTGGCAAGCAATGTCAATGAAGAAGTACTTCAGATCCTTGCCCTCCTCAGGCTTGAACTCCTTCAGCAGACGCTGCAGGAGCAACTCGTAGTAAACAAAGCACTCCGGTGTGAACAGGTTTGCCGCCACGAGAACATACCCGTGGCGGCAAACTGCTGCTGCCACGCCCTACGCACAAGCACATGCGGGAGTGTCAGACCGGCTCCAAAGCACCAGCACATCTTCTTGTTACACGCTTTCCTGCCAAGCAAGGTACATCCTGCAGAGCTGCAATTTAAGGCTGCCATAACCCTACCCCTTGTTGAACTCGCCAGATCCAAGCAAGACCCAATCAACCGTGGGCATGGTATTCAGTATTTTTACCACCTGAAGCAAGGCACGCTAGGGTGCTGCCAAGTATTACCCTTGCCAGCCGGGGCCAGGAAAAAAAGAGAAAAAAATCATGGATATATGAGATGCATGCCAACATCAGTAAGCGCAACAAGATCCCAGAAAAATGCGAGGAGACTCACTTGCACATATAGGCGCAGCTGCGTGTCTGAGGCGGTTGGCGTGGCAGCAACGAACTGAGAGCAGACCGGCCGCTCCAGCGCCGCCGGGTCCAAGGCCTTCCGTTGAGCGAGCAAGGCCTTCACCTCTTCATCAGCAATGAAGGGGCTATAGGGCAGCTTCGGCTGCAGGAAATCAGAGGCTTTGCCCGCCGCCCTGAGCTGCGTGAGTCCCAGGCAGGCGTCAGCAATGGCTGCCACGCAAGTGCGAAAGCAGCAAGGACACTGCACAGTGGGGCCCCCGGAGGCACGACTGTCCAGAGATTCCTGGGTCGCCGGGCCCACCTCAGCTGCATCTCTGCCAGTTTGAGCCGCGAGGCTGCCTGCTTCCATTTCTGGTGGCGATGACGACGCTGCTGCTTCCCTCTGAGTGTTCTCCTGGGGCGGCGGCGGCTGGCCGAGCTGCAAGTCTGAGTCACCGCTGAGCCCTGCCTCCGAACAGATGGGCTGCACGCCAAGCCTGTTGAGGTCATGTGTGGCGATGTCCATTCTGCGCCACTGTCTGACCGCCACTGGGAGGTTCCTCCAGATATTTTTGGGCAGGCCACTCAGTTGCCCGTACGGCACACAGCCGTTCCTGACGTGCACCTCCTCCAGGGCGCTAGTCCAGGCGACCATTGAGGTTGGGCTGGCGAGGCTGAGCTCATGCGTCTGCAACATGAGCGCTCCAGAGTAGTAAACCAGCGGCCTCTGTGGCGTTGCAGGAAAGCATCCCATGCTCACAGGATCGACTGTGAAGGCGGCACTGCACCCGCCACACCTGAATGCTGGGGGGCTGACCTCTGTCCTGCCGCTGATCGAGACATACACAAGCCTGCTGATCGTCTCCACCTGCTCCCACACTGATCCCACCCTCCCAGCCTGACTGCATGGACTGCAAGCGGGCAGGGCTGCTCTGGCAGCTGTCAAAAACTCTGCCTGCAGCTGCTGCTTCAGTGCTGCTTGGCGTGCAGGCTGACCAGCTTGGAAACATGTGTTCCTGAATACATTGTCATCAAAGCACGCATCCCATGCTTGGTGCAGCCGTCTATTATCCTCTTGAGCTGCCTGTTTCCGCAGACGCCGGCGTGAGGGCGGAGGCTGATAATAGGCAGCAGCGGCTTCTCCATCTCCATCTGCAAAGCCATCCTGCTGTTCTTCCTGCTGAGCTGTGTTTCTTGCAGGGATCCGCCAGGATGGAAGGGCGCTGGCCGGCCTCCGGGGTCCCCTCGGTGCAGATGTTGCCACAGTGCTGCCTAGGTTCCTCCCAAATCTGCGGCCTGGCTGCAGCAGAGCAGGAGTGTCGGCTGATGGTATCACCTTGACACTGACCCTCCACCTCTTGTTCCTGACCATTCGTCCTGCATGAAGTCATCACACAACGGTTTCTGCAAGTGATCCACCAGGACATTAAAGGAATGAGAAGTACATCAGCAGCATGCCTTCTAGTACAAGTGATACAACTATCCTTACAAGCACCTGGGCTACTTGCTACTCTTTGGGGTGCACAGTCCTCTCCAGATGCTCCTCATCAGATTGGCATTCCAAGCAAAGCCAGGTCAGGGCAGACACCCACGGCTACTCACAGCAGCAGAGGGATCGTAACGCTCACCAGAACAATTGAACTTGATGTTGGTTTAGATTGTAGACGACTTCAGTGTCTGTCCGGTGCATCAGTGCTCAATTCAGGTGAACGCTCTGTGTTGCCTGCACGCATTTCATTTCAAGGAATTGGCTTGGCAGGGCATGCAGTCACTACGAAAGAAGTAGACATGCACGTCGATGGTCGTGACATTCGATTAGCTGAGTCCAAACAAGTCAAGGATGGGGATGCCAAAAAACCGGCAAAAGTGCGAACCTCACATGGCCAGCGACAGAAGACTTCAAGAATTCGTTTAAATTACTCCCATAAACATTTGCGGCCGTCCCACCCCCCTTTCAAATCCTACTTTGCAACGGTAACCTGGCAAATGGCATTGCTGTCTTCGCAGAAACGAGTAGCGCACGATCCTATAGATACAGGCTTGACCGAAATAATTAGCTTGACGGAGGTACTATGCAATGCTGAGATTGTTGTAGGTAAATCTGAAGGATGTGCAGCATTGCTTTTGTTATTGCACGCCCCGAAGGGGCGTGCTCAGAAAGAGAGCCAAATCCACTAATGTAGTGGAGTGCATGTCCACTAAAGTAGTGGATTTTGCCCGACAGAGTAGGATGTGAAAAGGGGCGCGAGGCGCGCGCGGATTACAAGATTATCGCACGGGCGCTGACCCGGAAAGGGAATGCCCTTATGCGCCAGGAGCGCACGGAGGAGGCCATCCAGGTCTACCAGAAGTCCCTCACTGAGCACAGGTGCGAGTTGCAAGTCGTTCACTGTAAGATTTCTAGCGGCTGCTGTGGCACCAGATCAAGTTGTGCGCCTCTACTTGTGCGTGCTGCATGTACAATTTGAGTGTGCACATAGGTCAAGTGCCACACCAGCATGGTTGCAGTGTGCAGCTTGAAAGTTGTTTAGGTGGTGCGAGGTTGCTCAGCCAAGCGCATGGAGGATGGGAAGAAGTTAGCTCGGTATGTCACTCAGAGAATATGGGCTGAAGGTCTGGCAGCAGTATTGTGTGCGTCTCATCTCGCTCTGTGTGCTGCCTGAACACTGTGGTACGATGCGTACAGTCCTGCTACCACACCACACCGGAGGCCCCTTTTCCGCTGTCCTGAAGACACTTGTGAATCTGCCACTTCACGATTCAATGCGCACATATCCTGCTGGCTGCACGAGGTTCTGAGTGGCTGGCATAGTTCTCTCCCAATTTATCGAAGGTCGGAGCTGCAACGCAATAGCTTGACTGCTCATCCAGGCTGAAGTCCTGCATGAAAATATATTCAGCTGCTGATGGCATGCATGCACTGTGCAGGAATGCGGACACGCTGAAGCGGCTGCAGGAGGCTGAGAAGAAGCTGAAGGGGGAGCAGGTGAAGGCCTACATTGACCTCGACATCTCCAACAAGGAGCGCGAGGCCGGCAACCAGGTATGGCTCCTTTTGCATCTTCTTCTCGCACTGATTTAGCAAACCAGTGCCTTAGTGATGCTGGCACCCGCAGCATGCATACAGCTGGCCAGGCGACAGGGCACTGTACCTGCTGTGCCAGAACTTGGGGCCTATCCTTTTTTGCTTCCGTCCAAGCAAGAATTTTTGTGGCGTTTGTTATTCATTACAAAGCATGAATACCTGCCCAGGAAAAATGGTTTCTCAAATTTCCACCAAGGACGATTTTGAGAACACACGCAAGATTTGTTCCAGGCAAGATGTGCTTTTGCTGACTGGCGTTCTTTCTCCTGGCAGCAACCAAAGGAGGCCAAATACCCATTGCCATAAGGTTGTAGGCATGCATGCAATGTCCGGATCACGCGTCAATTACTCTTGATTCGTGGTCCTCCTTAGGCGTTGAGGGAAGACAATTGACCCGACGCGGTGAACCACCAAGTAGACAAGCTGTATCACTTAGAGGTGTTTCCGCCTTGGACAATCTTGACGTTTGGTGATGAGCGTTTCGTTCACATGGCAGGCGTTCAAGGAGCAAAAGTACCCGGAGGCGGTGAAGCACTACAGCGAGGCGCTGGCGCGCGGCCCGCCCGAGGTGAACCCGGAGGCGCACAAGCTGTTCAGCAACCGCGCTGCCTGCTACACCAAGCTTGGGGCCTGGAACGATGGCCTCAAGGACGCCGAGGAGTGCATTCGCCTCGCACCCGACTTTGCCAAGGGCTACAGGTGAGGTTCTGGGTGAAAATTTCCAAGAGATGAGTCAAAAGATGGCTCAAGGCCAGGAATGAGGTTGTGAATAGGTGATGAAAGTTGGTGTGCGGTCCCTTTCGGGTGGACTTTTTAGAGGTTTTATATTGGATGCAGAGGAGTGCATCCGCCTGACACCCGACTTTGCCGAGGGCTACAGGTGGATTGTTTTTTGTGGAGTCCAAAGCTTTGAACTCGGTGGTGGATTTATCAAAGACTGAAATTCGCCTGGCGCCAGACTTCGCCAAGGGCTGTAGCTGTGTGTTTGGATGCACAGCAAAAGGTGTTATGAGCTGGTTTCAGGCCCCGGGAAGGATTACTGGTAGACCTTGGTGCGTAGATGGCGTGATCAATTTTGGGGCGCCTTGGTGAGGTTAGAAAAGTTCGTGGTAAATGCTGAAAGGTCTGCTCCCCTTGCTGCCTCATTTTGCAAAGGACATTATGGCACAACAGGCCATGCTCTTGTGATCTTATGACGTCATGCTTTCTTCTCCTGCACAAAAGCAGTAAACGAGGGCCTCTTGTGCACCGGAGGGCTTGGTGATGTCATGAGGCTGCCACAACTGCATGACCATGCCTTGGAGCACTTCTGACTTCTCTGCTAGCGCAAGACATACTGTCGTCCCATTTGGGAAATCTCATGACCAGGCTTTTCGGCAGCTTGATCAGCAGCGAAGCATTAATTCTTCAGGATTTTGGAAGCCTTGAGCTTCCAGCGAGCTGCCAGTAAGTATGTATCGCTGCCTGGATCCAACTCAATGCTGACATCACCGTGCTGACATGTGCTGGCGTCTGCGCGCAGCCGCAAGGGGCACCTGCAGTTCTTCATGAAGGAGTACGACAAGGCGCTGGAGACGTACGAGGCCGGGCTCAAGCACGACCCAGACAATGCGGAGCTCAAGGAAGGCATCGCACGCTGCATCGACGCTGTCAACAAGGCACGCTCTGCACCGTGTTGAAATCCGCTGTTCCCTGTCAACTTGATGCGCCATGTATTGAAGGGGAAGCCTAACCACCGGGCTACAGATGAGGCTTGCTGTGGCACAAAGCTGTTTATCTGTGTTTGTGGTCTGCCGTCCCCTGCCAGCTTGGCGTGCATTGCATGGGGGGTAGTACAGCTAGAGGTCTTATAGGTTATTACCGACAAGGCTTTGTTTGACAGAATCAGTAAAACTGTTGATACTATAGTGCTCATTCTAAAACCCGTACCCCTGGCGGTGCGGGAAATTTGTCAAAGCAACGTCTAGGGGTCTTCCTGTCCTCAAAAATACCAGGGTGATGCTCCATTGGATTGATCTTGTCGAGAGAATTTGGTCTAAGATTAGGGTTTAAATAGGGTCTTTTTATCCACCCGTTTTGGCCAAAATTTATTACTTATTGCGGGTTCTAGAATGAGCACGACAGTAACAATCCTCCCTTCACTCATGTCAACAGGGCAAGCTGGCTCTTGTCGACTGGCGGAACAGCACCCTTTACAGAATAAACAGCGCCCTAAAGAGCAGAGAGGAAGTCCGAAAAGGGACGGTGATCTTGCTGATGTGACCTAGGCAGTACGTAGATGAGCTTTCCTCCTTTGTGAGTGCCCTCCCGGCAATCCATCTGCATGAAGTACTTCCCCTAAGGTGCCTCTGGTTTACTGCTGCAGATAAGCCGGGGGGATGTGAGCGAGGAGGAGCTGGCGGCGCGCAGGGAGAAGGGCATGGCAGACCCAGCAATCCAAGCCATCCTCACCGACCCAGTCATGCGCCAGGTGCGCTGCAACTGATTACTGTATATGTTGCTATGTCATCGTCGTCCAAGAGCCATCCCGATGCCTGCTTGTGCATGAGCATGTTGTGTAAATTCAACAGCAGGTTTGCAGGCTGCCTGGCTCTGCATAGTCGGCAGGAACTTGTAATTACGGAGTCTCACAGCATTGCGAGGCTTTCGCAGTTGCATGCGTAGTGTATTGAGCCGGCACAGGTGCCTGACTGCACACCTAAGAAACTCTGCAATACCTGGAAGGTGAAAAGTAGATTGGGCATGCTGTTTGCAATCTGCCCTGATTCTGCATTTTCGATTGGTGTTTGCGTGTATAACAGGTTCTGCAAGATTTCCAGGAGAACCCGGCGGCTGCGCAGAAGCACACGCGGCAGCCGCAGATCATGGAGAAGCTGCAGAAGCTGGTCAACGCTGGCATAGTGCGCATGGCATGATCACATCATTTGTGAACGTGTTGCCATTAGCAGTAGCATTGTTGAGAGCTCAAGTTTGGTGCAAAGTTATGCCGTCCATCCAGCGGGGAAATGGCGACACAAAACGAGTTTCTTTGGCCCATACTTTGGACTGATCTGCCAAACTAATTGCGCTAATTGTTACCTTGGCTGCAATATGAGAACGTGCGCTGGTAGGCAGATTTGAAAGCACTCTGTTAGAAGGCCTGAATGGGCTTTGAGCAGTATCAAGTCATCTTTCACTGACTGGGATTATCCTGGTGTATACTAGATGATTCTGGTCTGTCTGAAGTGGCTCTGACCACAAATGCTAAGAAATGCCTTATTTGCTTGCAGTGTTGCTGTGAACTATATGCGTGCGTTGCAGTAGAGCTGACTCTATTTGGAACTTGTGGTGTTCCTCATAAATGATCCTCTGTACACATCACCAGCAAATGATGAGCTTAAAACCGCTTACGTGGAAAAGGGTTATCTACGATTGCCCCGAAAGAACTTTATCACCTATTCATTTTGTACACACCGCACCAGATGCTAACACCATAAATGAAGATCCACCCCTGCACACTCCAGAGCAGCAATTCTCTAGCAAAGAACGAAATGCCTTCCTACTCTGCAGATGGCTCTCGACGGGGTCAATCGATTGTTCAGAAGCATACATACTGGAAATCAAATACTGCTGGCACAGATCAAGACCCTTCGTCCTTTGCTGATGCCAGTCGACAGCCCTATGTGGGCAGTCCGGCTTCCAGCGTGGAGAACCTGCATGCAGCCTCTTTAAGTCACCCACTACACAGCAAAAATAAAATCTATGTAAGAAATTGTCTCAAGATGTGCATTGCAGGGATGCAGACCAGACAGCTGCAGAACCCCTTTTCTGGGCAGCTGGGCTCGAATTTAGGCATGTGCCCTGCATTGTACTCTGCTCGGGTCTCAACAGACCGGTCACCACGGTATTTACTCTGAGAAATAATATGTCAAATTCAACCTCAAAAATCACCACGTACCGGCCTCATTTGATGAGTTATACATGTTGCAATCTATGCCACTTCAGGCAGTAGTACGGTTGTGTACCCGTCACCCCAACTCCTCTGGACTGGTCAAATACACCTTCCCTTCCTATGTACAAAAATGGTTAGGTGTAAATATGGAGGAAAGAACACCTGTACCCGTGCGCGCGCATGGCATCGTCAATCTCTGCCAGGCTGCGCTCAGTGCCTATCAGCGGCAGAGTGCCGAGTCCCAGAGTACCCCCCAGTCCCAGGGTGGCACCAAGTCCGAGCGTTGCCTCTCCATTGGGCCCCCTGGCGGGAGGTTCGCCGTCGAGCTGCAGTTCGTCCATCGCTTCGACGACCCCTGCACCGCCAGCCGGCTCGCCTGCATGACACACCACAATCTCAATCTACATTTGTCCCTTGCGCGGCATGCGTAGAGAATGAGGTTTTCCTAGCTTCATAAATTCTGATACCTTTGGACCCTGAACTTACAAGAGTCCACACATAGCCTTTATGGTACTGTAGTGTGGGCAGTATGAAGCAACGGAGAAGGCAACCAGGGAGTTGTCGCTGCCTGATCCAATGCACGCAGAAGGCAATACACCATACTGGATCTGTAGGCAATGCAGATGGCCTGGATATGCAGCTACTGACATGAAAACAAACCTGCAGTGTGCATGTCAGTCGGACAGCAGTGGATAGCTTGTGCACTTGCCTGCCGCGGGCGCGGACGAGTCTGGTGTCGGCAGGATGCCTCGCTCCCGGCACATGCGCTCGGTTGTCTGCAGCATGCGCCGCGCTTGTGCCAGTGCTTGCTCTAACGCCTCCGCCTCCGCCGGACACTTGGGTGAAACCACCTGCTGTCCCATGCGTCATCCTTTACAGTGATCTTCTGGTCTTCATCAATCAGATGACCCCAGTGAGCGATACTGGTTACTGCCATGGGTAGGGGAGCAATACCGGAGGATGCACAGCAGGAATGTGCAAGAGAGAAGCTATGGTTTAGGTTTTAAATATACAGCTAGACACTTGAGCAAGGCATACCACAGCCTATCAAACAAAGATGCCAATATGTTTCTCAAATGGACTGAAGTGGAAGTCAGAACGGCTCAATGCGGGCCTAGACAAAGAGTTCTCCTGGGCAAGGAAAGCCGCAGTACAGATCGGCTTCACTGCCGGTCTTCAAGCACCACACAAGGAGGCAGTACTGCAACAATTGCTGAGAAAGAAGATGAGGATACTGCGGACCCACCTGCCGGGCAAGCCTGGCACCAAGAGCGTTGATGTCCATGACAGACAGAGCCGCGCGGCTGCCGCCGGCGGCTTCCGCCAGCTTCTCGGAGACCCCTGGGGTCCCCCTCGGGCCGGGGAGGGGGGTCCGCGCACCGCGCCACTGAGCTGGTGCCAGGTCAGCGTGCGGCGTGTCTGGCACAGTCAGCGCCTCGGCTTCCTCCAGCTTCTCCATGGCTCGCCTATTCTGGCGCCCCAGCTCCTCTTCCTGCTGCTGCTGCTGCTGTGCGAGCGATTCTGACATGACTGCTGTCTCCAAGGCGCGATCAAAAACTTCTTCCGAGGGCATTGCAGCGCTGGAGTGGCCGTCAGGATCGCGCCACAGCGGATCATTTCCCGCCGCGGTGGAAGCTACCGGCAGCTGCGAGGGAAGCTTCGCGGCGGCCGCCGCCGGGCCGGCCGCAGCAAGCCCGTCCACGGCCTCGGCTGAGGCCGTCCCAGGCACTTCATCGATGCTGCTCAGCTGCAGAAACTGGTCCTCTGCTGCTGTACTGTCCCCGTCAGCAGCAGTTGCTGCAGCAGCTGCCTTGCTTGATGGGCTCTCCTCGGCTGGCGGCTGCAGGGCCGCCTCGGCTGTGAACATCTTGAAGAATGAAACATCGTCCTGCTTGGAAACCTCCTTGGCCCCTGCCGCTGCCGCCGCCGCTCGTGCCGCCGCTTCCTTCGCAGACAGCCTGCCTTTGCGGCGCGGCTTTGGCCCGTCTCCCTTCTTGCCTGTTCCGTATCCATCATCCTTGGGTAGCTGTCGCTTGGCTGTCTCCCTCCCTCTTGTCTGTGCTGCATCACCCCTCCCAGGCTTGGCCTTCTCGCCCAATCCCCTTCCCTTCTGGTGCACAGTCTCCCCATCCTTGCCGAGCCGCGCATTCGCCGGCCTGTCACGCGTGCTCTTCTGCCCGCCACCCAGCTTTGCAGGCGCCTCTTGGAAGTCGTCATCCTGCGCCGCGGCCTCAGTTCTGCAAGCATGCAGTGCCTGATCTGGCTGCAGGGGTTGGTTGCCGTTGGGAGGGCTGGGCGCACAACGCTTGCTTCCGCGCGTCACAGTCGGCGCCACATCAGGCGCCGCCCTGCCACGCTTTGCCTGCTTTGCAGCGCCTGCCTGCTGCGCTGCGCCTGCTTTGGCACGAGTCACTGCTCTGCTGGCGGGGACGTCCTCTGCACCTTCACTGGCGTGGGACCTCTGCTGATCACCCTTGTTCCCTGGCTTGAGCACTGCTACAGCCTCCTCCACATGCCTGGCTTGCCAGTCTCTGGGCTCATGGAATGTTTGTGCGTCCAGATGGGAGGTGAAGGGCTCGGCCACGATTGCAGCAGGCCTGCTGGGGCTGCCGTGTGAACTGCCCGGCAGGAGCTCGCAGCCGTTTGGATCCAGGGGGAAAGTGTTTGGCACCTCCCAGCCGTCATCCGCCATGTCAGGCTCATCGGCCGCAAATCCACCCTTCTCTGCCGGGCTCCCCTGAGCCTCTGCTGCTGCTGCCAGTGAGGGCGACTCTGCATGCATGCTGCCTGGCGCATGCGGCGGCGCGGCAGCAATGCGCGGCCCGGCTGCCGCGGCGTCGGCAAACCTGACCTGCTTCCGGGGAGCCTCCCTCTCGCCGCGGGCTGTCACCCCCAGTTCTGGACTGAGCTCCAGCATTGGGTCCTGCTGCTGCTCTGCTGCCCTAGCCTTCCTCTTGCGCTCGCTCGAGCCTGCTTTGCTGCGGCTGTTCTGCTTTGGTTTGGTTGGCAGCAGCGGCTGTTTGCCGCGCTTTGTGCTCCCTGCCGCACTTCTTGACCCTGAGTTGGAGGACTTGCCATCATGGGCAGTGCCACGCCCTCCAAGGGAACCCACCTTTGCTGCAGCACTGATCTGCGCCTCTGCCGCTGGTGGAGGCAGCCCAGCTGCGTGCAGCACAAGCAGGATGTTGATGTCTGATCTTGCCATATCTAGGCAGGAGTGCATGCATGAGCATGAGCAGAACTCGTTTGCGCACGCGAGCACAAAGTCAAATCAGCACACCAAAGTACAAAGTTGCAATGAGATCGATCAGCTCTGGTGAATAAGGACAAAAGAAGCAGTCAGAGCCTGCCAAGCGGATTTCTGGGGGCTCACTCTGAGTAAGCATTCTGTGCAAGATGCTGGCAAGGCTCTGCAGCTGGTGGACGGGCCTGAGGTCGTTCTTCCAACCCGGCTGCTTGCAGGTGGGGCACTGCGACGCTGTTATCCCTGGGCCCTCCAGAGTCTGCAGCACACACTCACTGCGCCCAGTGCAAAGTGCTTCAGGACATCAGTCAGCCTCAGCTAATCTGTCTTTGAGACTCATGAACATTATGCATGTGAGCCTGGCCAAGTCGAGGTCTCTGTACAGGTGATCAAGGAGATGCTGAGGGGGGATGCTTACAGGCAGAAGGCATGGTTGCACCCAGGGAACAGGTACGGGTTGTCGAAAAGACGATGGCTGCACAGATCAAATTACACAAAGATCAGAAAGCCCAATCGTAAGTTCACAATGACATGACAAATGAAGTCCATTAAGTCAGGACACCCTTTGTACCATGTGTGTATAGTGTTGGTCAGGTATCAGGCGACGATGTACACAGAGGCAAATGGTATAGAGACTCACCATAGAGGACATGTAAGTTCATCCCTGAAACGGATCACCAGTTCTGTCTCCGATATCATGCTTCACCACTAGCAGTACCTGCTGCAATCTGCAAGGCCAGAACGCATGGGCTACCCTTCGACAAGGATTGCACCTGCCTCGCACTTACACCAATTTGTTTCGATCGAAGTATGGCATTAATTCATATGCATAGGAATGCTGACTCGCGCAGAAGTCCTTCGCAGACGCGAAATTGTTATTCTCTTACCGTGCTTAGCACCCTCAAATAAGCTCTGGCAGCTTCTATTCAACGATGAGAAAGCTCATTTGAGCATTCCTGAGCCGCATGTCTCCAGTTTTGTTGAGGACAGCCAGCTGTTTCAGAAAGGGTTAAACTCACAGGTCCAAATTTGGCTCAGCACCGACGCCAGGTCATTCCAGGCACAAGGGAGCTCAACTCGTTTACGCTATCCTGCCTTGGGATATTAGAACACGCTGTAGGAACTTTTCATGCTATTTCGTGTGTCTGCTGGTCGGCAGAAAATGGAAGCGGTGCCTTCACCTTTCCCCATTTAGACTCTGCATCAGCACGTTGGGAAACCTTTGCGTCTGGACTTTTGGTAATTGCCGTCACACCTCGCTCACTACTACAACTGGCAGTGTAATGCACGTCAATGTGATGCAATATTGACACTCGTTTCTCTCGCAAGGTTTCAGTGTTTTGTGGGATTGGCAACCTGCGTCCCGGGCGCTTTGTAAATTTGCGCCTGAAACGATGTTTCAGGGCGCAATGAAGGGGGTTGCATCAGCAGCCGAGGCATCTGCTTGCTACTGCACGTTCACAAGCCCTGAAAAAGGTGCCCACTCATCACATGCTGAGATACCCCCTTGCAATGCAATTTTCTCAAATTTGCCTTGTATGGCACAAAAATCCTTTGCTGATTCACTATGTCACGTATCCATTTTTTTGCCTGATGCGTTCCTTTCCCACCAGATCGGCAATGCAAACTCTTGAGCTTCCTGACATGCGCAGGAGCCTCCAGCTTCAGCCAACAAAAGCAGCTGAAGGTGGAGCCTGCGGACAATGCCAGCACCCTGATTGCACGTCTGCCCAGCTCCCTAGCCACTGAGCTGCCCAGGGAAAATACTTTCCTAGAGGAGATCGCTGCCGTGCTGTCCCTTGGGACACTATTTGGGTGAGCAGACGCTTCTTGCACATCGGAGCATCATCTTTGCATGGTACCTCAATGTTATCTAGATCTATGTATGCCAAGTTGTAGATTGGGGGATCTCTTCTTGTGCATTACTGGCAACAAGCACAGCATTGGTAGGAGGTGTGGTTGCCTTTACCTGCACCTTGTCTGCAGACGCACCTTGCCTCCTGGCAGTATAAGCATGTAATGATCACAAAATAAGAGTTATAGAGTCATTGATGAGTGCTGGTGTGCGCAGGCTGGTGTGGCTGGGGCCATGGCTGGGCATGGCGTTTGTGTACATGGTGTTTGTGCAGCAGAGCCAGCGCGCGCTGCTGATCGGCGCCCTGCTGTTTGCCGAGACCTACCTCCCTGCGGGCCAGGCAAGCGCTTCAAACTTTCCTTCGCATATATAAGAGCGGCTATCAAGCCGCAGGTGCCGTTTGACACAGCACTTTTGGGTGTTTGCAAGTGCAATGTGCCATTTAGCCTTACCACGGCCCAGCAGGATACGGCAGTGCTAGTCACAGAGCAAATTGCCAACTTCCTGCTTCCAAGGTCCAGCTGGAATTTCCTGCTTGCCATATTCCCCAATATGCAGGCAAGTGGGATTGTCAGCTGTTTCTTGGAGGACGGGAACGAAACAATTGCAGTGTATCTAGCACTGATCCGGTGGAAAGTTGCAAGACCTGTCAGATTTGAATTTAAATTCACGCCTGAAAGTATTCTTTTTCGCAGGTTTGGCCGGCGTTCCGGCACCATGCGCTGTGGGCGACGTGGCGTCGCTACTTCCGGCTGCGCGTGATAACTCCCCCACTACCCTATCTGCAACATGGCAAGCCCTACCTATTCGCGCATTTCCCCCACGCCACCTTCCCCATGGGCTCCTGGCTCTCCATGCCCCTCTGTGACGCCCCCGAGACAGGTCGAAACCCTGGCATCTCCCTGGAACCCTACCACTTACCCTTTTATATGGACATGAGCGGCTCATGATGAGCCTGACTTGCATGCTTCAAGACTGTGACCTCTCCTGGAACCCTATCAGTCACACGTAAGTCTTGAAGTTGCATCTAACATATGTGTTTTTCTAACCCTCAAACTTAATTTGAAGTTGTCAGGCTGAGCTTGGGAATGACAGGTGACAGGTTGGGTTCTGAGTTTTGGATACTTGAACAAAGCAGTCAAAGCATGTCTGTTGAGTTTCAAATGAAAACTCTCACCAATCTTGGGCCATGCAAGTGCAGAGTGCCCGGGTATATTGACATCAATCCCGACGCCCTCAATTCCTTTAGATACGCCAACTACGGTGCAAATCTTCATGTTACATCCTTAAAGCATTGATACCCTACGTGCTTGGGCATAATGTAGTCATGCTGGGGATTAGAACCTGAGCATTCACTGCTGCAGGGCTGCCGGCAGGCGCTATGCAGACATGACCAACACACTTTCTCTTCTTGGGGTTTGGCATTTGACCCCTCAACTGCCACTGGCTGCTGCAGGGCTGCCCGCATATGCCAGGGGGGCGGTAGCAACGGTGCAGCATGCATGCACCTCTGCAGGATCAGACACTTTAAAGGTTTGTCTCAAACACATTCATTTGAAATGTGCACTGCTGCAATGACTGCTGCAGGTCTGCCAGCTGGCGCCAGGGGTGCGGTGGCGACGGTGCTGCTGAAGCTTCCCCTGCTGCGCCACGTGTACGCCTGGATGGGCTGCATCCCAGCCGACTACCACACCATACACGAACAGCTGCAGACCACCTCTGTCGGCCTCGTCCCCGAGGTGCACGTCCCTCATTCCTGTATTCCAGCCTGCAAGATGTTATTAACAGAGACAATTGTGTGAAACTTCCTCGGTATGTGTTTAGCTGCAGATAACCTAAATGGGCCCTTGTCCCCAAGGCGTGCTTGCATGCACTGAGCCCAACCATTTGAATGATTTGCACTCTGGCTCTGGTCATTGTCGGTGGCAGGGCTCTTCAAACAAATCTGATTTTCAGGCAATCTGTGATGGACTTTGGGTGTGGAGAAGTGGCTGTCTCTCTTGAGAGATGTTTTGTTGTGCATGCTTACTCATCTGGCATCTGATCCATGCAGAGGAGCGCGCCTCTCGCCAAGCTTTTCTACAAATCTGAAGTACAATGCTTGGTTTGATGGCGCGGATACCGAGTGCATCAGTCAGTTTCCAAGAGGGAAGATGATGCGCATAGTATTGCTGGCATGCCGTTGCTGGCAAGTAGAGTGCAGAACTGTGCCCATGGCGCAGTGGTTGAGAGCGAATCCTGCGACAGGGCGTGGCCGGGGTGTTCCTGGGGGCGCGGCCGAGCCAGGAGCGCGTGTTTGTGCGCTGCCGCAAGGGCTTCATCAGGCTCGCCATGCACACCGGCACTGGTGCGCATCACCTTTGTTGAGTATGATATCAAGAGTCCCCGTTGTGGTTGAGACAAACCTGTGTGGTGGTCGGGACTGGTGTGTGCATGCCGTTGGGAGCTCTGTATTCGCTGCGTGAGTGCCTACATATCTCATCTCAGAATTTTTCTCCCGTAATGCGCACAGCTTCTCCCAGCCAAAATGCATGCACCATATGTCCCGACCGTGACCGTATTGCCAAGCTTTTCTATTTGTGCAGCGGCGACATCCTGCAGCACCAATTCAGTCCCCTAACTTGCACACTGCATATGGCGGCCTTGTTACAACAGCAAACACCCTAATGCACCCTCAAAACTGGAAACTTGCTCTACATGCCTCTTCCATGCACATGCAATCACACTTTCTCCTCCAGCCTACGACCATACTTGAGATTTTCGTGTGCCCCGGCCGCAGACATCGTGCCCATATACAACCTGGGCCAGAGCGCGATGCTGGACTTCTGCGGCAGCTGCAGCCTGTCGCGGCGGGTGCGCGCGGTTGTGGGAATCTTCTGGGGCCGATGGTACCTGCCTGTGCCTCGCCGCTGCCCTATCATCACTGCCATCGGCAAGCCCCTGCAGGGTAAGCACACATCGTCTAGCAAAGATTATTAGCAAAGCCAGTCTAGCAAATCAGAGTTGGCTGGTCCGCTCTTCCTGAGAGGCATGCTCAGCAATCAGGAGCGCTTGTGGTAGTGGTCCTGTCATTGCGTGGGCAGCCTTTTGCTTGGGCTCCCTGGCAGCACTGTCAGCAGTTAACAGTGACCTCCCTGGTATTTGGGCGGGATCTCAAATAACATATTGGCTGACCAATGAGTCAAGGGATATTAATAGCAAACTAAGAGGGTTTCTGGTGGTGCCTTGCCCAATTGCTGAAACTTGTAGGCCATAGATGCCTCGCCTGGCAGGCGCTGTGAATGGTGGCAGAGAACTTTGGTACTTCATGATTGGTCCAATGGGCAGGGACTGCCTTTGTCGGTGACTGCACCAACAGTCAGGGATCTCTCTGGGCGGATTTGCAATGCAGTACGGCTGTGAACAAGTGGTTTGGCAGGGCCACATCATTGGTCATGCTCTGCTTTCTGTAGTTCATTTGCTGTTTGGCTGTACGCCTGACACTGTACTCCTTGCAATATTTCTGCGAGGATCTTGTGCCAGGCTTAAGCCAAACAGCGGACGAATCACAGAAACTATGCCCGCTTGCTGCACGCGCGCCAGCTTGGCCCTGTGACACTCACATCATCGCTGAGTGATACCTGTGAAAGCAATTGCTTGTTGTTTCTTATGGCCCACGTCTGATGCTCTGTGCTGGTGTGCTGCTGCAGTTACCAAGAGCCTGGATCCCAGCCCAGAAGAAGTGGACGAGGTGCAGGAGAAGCTGCTGGCTGCACTGGTGGCGCTGTTCGATGAACACAAGCACCTGCTGCCCGGCTGGGAGCACAAGACTCTCGAGATCGCCTGACTGCCGTCTCAAGTCTGCATGCCTGAACAATTCGACAGCATCCACGAAGCCATCTGCAGGACGCAGTTGCACAGCAAGCAGTTCTCACAAGTCCACCTGCTTTGATGGTCTGACAGCCTTTGCAAATCCCAGTGTCAAGAGGCATACTTGACACAGCAGCAGCCTTGGAGAGGGCGTGGAGAGAGCCTGATGGCTTTGGCAATCTGCACATGTCCGCTTGCCTGAACAGTGTGACAGTATCGACGAGTCCATTTGCAGGACGTCAGGAGGCACCGCAGAGCCAGCAAAGAACAGCCTGGCAGGCAGGAAAGCATTTTAGGTGTCGCGTAGATCATCGTGTGTGTTGACTCAGCGACTGGCACATCTTTACATGCTCTTTTTTGGTTTTCCTTTTGCATACTATTTCCTGAGCACCCCTTGAGCATCAGGGGCTTGCTCTGCAGGTTTGTAGGTGCATGTATTTGAGCCAGGTTTTGAAGCAGATCAGGGCAGTGTCATCTTCAGGAGTGCTAGGAGCTCTGTCTAGGTATTTGGGATTTTGCATGCAGGTCTTTCAGTGTTTAGGCAGTGTCTTGTGTTTTGTCAACCGGAGCCAGAATGTCCTTTTATCAGGTCAGCTTTTTTTGCGTTTCCCCTCGACGGGTGTACATTAGTCATGTTGGCTTATTCAGACAGGGGAATCCACATTAGGCGGATTCGCTTGCCATGTTTGTTTGCCTTGACACTCGAGAAGGGTGTGGGCTTGTGCCACTCGAGACATGTATATAAGAGTCTAGGGCAGTGTGGCGTGTGCATAGGAGATAGGTGCTATACAGCTGACGCGGAGTGGCACTTAGGAATGCATGAAGGAATGCGTTACTGATCTTGGACAACCTGTGTACACAAGCCCAAGCAAAGTATACGATCGTTAGAAAACACACCAGGTCTTGAACAGGCGAGCAAATTGCAATTGCAATTGAACATCATGTGTGGTGGTGGCACCGGCACGTGGCCAAGGGCGCGAGCCGCTCATGTGAATCTATGCAAGGCAGGCTCATTTGCAATGGCTGATCAGTGTAGGTTTAGAATAATCTTCCTGGATAGGCACATGAGTGTAGGGCGTGAGCATTTGATGAACCAGCGCCTCTGCTAAATTGATGCATGAGGGCAGATTCAGCATGATGGAGAAGATACTAACATGAGCTGTTGTGTTGTGTCAATTGGGGCACTGATAATGGCATGGATTGTCGACGAATCATGTAATAAATGGTTGTAGGTGTCGGCGGCAGTTCTAGCAGCCGGCCGGCCGCATATGCATGTGAAGGTCCCCACAGTCCCCATATGCATGCGCCATGATCATCTCTAGATAATACTATTAACAGGGGTGTCTTTTGAATGCACATGTCGTCTTGGGAAATCTGCAGTGGAATTATTCCTGTATCGACCTTGTCTCTTCCTTACGGGAATTTGATGCACATGGTCCAAAGGCAGCAGCTGGTCTATTTTTGGCAGCGCAGCACAGCACGGCACGCGCGAACCTCGAGTCTCGAATCGGTCCAACACGAGCCCGACAGTTCGCGCACTTTCTGGTCGCCTAGTGCTGCCTATGCGGATAAAATTGAAGTGGGAACTCATTTACCACCCACGTTCCGCACGCCTGCAGTCGATTCTTTAGAGTCCAACAGGTGGCATTCAGAATACCTTGATCTCATGGCCTGCACCGCTGTATTCGCCTCAGTTACGACAGGTCCTCAGCCTCAAATACTGCTGGTTGGCAGGTATGGATCCAGATACAGGTGCGGTCCGCCCATTCCACTGTCCAGCATTGCTCTCTCGTGTTCGGCTGGACGATCAACAGGAGACGATCTCTCTTCTGTGTCTGTTTAGGAGTCTTCCTTGATGCCAGTAACTGGTGGCGTAATATTTCAAATGTAATTTCAGCGTACTTAATTGACGGAGAAGCAATCGGTGTCCAGGCCAGTCTTGAGAGGAGCAGGAAGGCGAGTGCCATCGACCAGGCCGGCAAAGACAAGGGGACCCAGCCCTTGCCTCGCCCAGCACGGCTTGTTCTACAGCACCAGTACGGGCAAGACCGAGGAAGTGGCCGACCTGATCCAAGAGGTCTGTCCTGGCAATTGAAACCGAACAGACTTTTCCCCCTCCCCTACCAACCTGCCACTACAGAAGGTTGGACACTGCTTTGGCCGGACACTCAGAGTGTACTTGTGCTCAACACCGATGTTGCATGCATCAGGTCTCCATGATTCCCATGACCCTGGCTGAAGCTGCTGCTCTTTCCTGCAAACGCTTAGTCCTCTCGGCGTGTGCGGATATATTGTTTTCGGTGATATACACAGTTGCCTATGCATGCGCTTACCGTTGCCCTGCATTCTCTGATTGATGGCAGCTGTGAAGATGTTGTGATCCTCAATTCGTGATGCAAACAATTCCCTTGTGCATGTGCGCAGAAAATCGGCTCCGCGGCCCCACAGGACATCGCTGATGTGGACGTGTCCAGCCTGGCGTCCTATGACGGCCTCATCGTGGGCGCTCCAACCTGGAACACCGGCGCTGACTCTGAGCGCAGCGGCACTAGCTGGGACGATGTTCTGGGCAACATTGCAGGTCTGTTGTCTCCTTTGCTTGAAGTGGTTGCACCTTTGTGCCGCGCATGTCAAAACAGTAACTATCGCTGTTAGACTGTGGTTGGGAGGATGCAAGGGCCCTACTTGACATGTCTGCGGCTGAGGCATCCCCCGTGGAATCTAGGAAACTGCCATGCAAGGGCGGTGGGATGTTGTACAGATGTTGCAGAAATCTCATTGCTGCCTGGTTGGAAGGCGGCAATGGCTGACTAATTGTCCTGTACTCACGTGAGGGAGAGGCCGTTGACAGGCGCCAACCTTGCCATGTCACAGTGGGCATTTTATTGCACAGCAAGTCATGCATGACTCAGCCTAAAGACACCGACTTCTCCCCAAATGTTTTTAACTTTGGATCTCTTTCTGTGGCCTGGCATCCTAGGCTGCGTTGCTCCTAAGGACAGCATGCACGGAGCTCAAGTTTCTACCGGACAGCACAGGCAGGACCGCTCTGAAAGAAAAAAATTCACCCCGTGGATCCAACGTCAAATCTCAGTTTATGTTCTGTATTGCCAGGGCTGGACTTGAAGGGCAAGCCGGTGGCGGTGTTTGGTCTGGGGGACAGCATTGGATATGGCGAGTACTTCTGTGATGCCATGGAGGAGCTCTACTCCAGCTTCAAGGCCAGCGGCGCCAAAATGGTGGGCCACTGGCCAGCCGACGGCTACCAGCACGAAGACTCCAAGGTAGGCATGCTTCCTTGATGTCAACAGCACACCCGCATGCACTTTGAATTACAAAGCCGGTGCAGTGCATCATGCATATTCTGTATGGCTGGTGTAGAAACCTGCTGCGGGATGCAGACAGGGCCACTAAAGAGATCAATAGGGTCCCAAGAATTCTGCATTCATGCCAAGACTTGGGCAAATCAGCTGGCTGCTTTTGGTGTTGGCTGGCTCTGACGTCTTGCCAGACAAGCAATGCAGCACAGGGCAATCTACTGCATAATTTTCTGCAAATGCTCTATCCAAATGGATGCGTGCATCTTCTGCCAATGGATGAAGCATAGGGTCTTGCCTTAACTCATTTGGCAGAACTGTTCAAGGCATCCTTGCTGTCGCCCTTTAGATTTGGAAGGCGACTAAGGTTCATGTGATGAGGAGGGGCGCGTCTGCGCAGGCGTTGCTGGGGGACGGCAGCTTTTGTGGCCTGCCGCTGGACCAGGACAACGAGGATGACAAGACCGAGGAGCGCATCGAGGGCTGGGTCGCACAGCTCAAGAACGAGGGGTTCTAAATTGGGTTTGGCAGGGTGATTATAGCGATGATGTGATGCCATGATGATTCTAGATGCATCTCCGCAGCTCAGCTGCTGCATGTGCTCTTGGTATCACTCGTCAGTACTGTGACATCATGACCATGAGACCCTTGAGTCTGCAAGGTGCACAGGATGGTGTGATATTGCAATTCTTGCATCAAATTTGCCGCGGCCGCTCTTCCAGAGCATGCCAAGCTGTTGTGAAGATTGGTGCTTGCAAGTCTGTGAGCAGTTTGGGCCCCCAAGAGGAGAACAAAAGAGTAGTAGCAGAATCTTCCAGATGTCGAATGTTTTCTAGACAGCTTGTGAGGGACAAGTTTGTGCGAGGAAGAGTCTCTTCCAAAGAGGTCTCTAGAGCGAGTGAAGCCTAGCATAGGTATAGACGCTGTAAGTACTGCTGGCCTCAAAGTTGCATGAGTACACCGCCGCAATTGAATGCTCGTCATTGACATTCAGCAAATGATTGGAGCAGATCTAAATCAGTGGCACCAGGTCCAAAATGCATGAGTGCACTTGGATTCTATCGTGGGAGCAATAGCCGCACATGACAGCGATAGTATCAAAATAGGATTCCAACTTCTCTGTCAAGCTCCTTACATGCTCAATAAGAGATGAACTCCTTCCTGAGCAAGAGCACCACTGTCACTTGTTTGTTTATCATTTTCAAAACCAGAACTCCAAACCTGACCCTGAATGCCAGTCCCGAGCAGGCTTCCCAGTATTCATACAAGCAAGACACACTTCCCTTCCAGCAGTGCACAGCAGTCCTGAGTTTGGAGCACCCCAAAAAGAGGCATCGACACCCGTGCTACGCTGGCAGCTCCAGTCTACTCAGCTGCTGTCTACTCGGCGAGAGTCCAGTCAGCTAAGGTCCACTCAGCAGAGATCCAGCTGCAGTCTACTCGGCGTGGATGGGGATCTGGTGCTGGCGGCAGGGCTTCTCAAAGACCTGCTCGATGGGGCGCGCAGCGACCGGCCCGTGGGTGCCCAAGAGCTGCACGAGAGCACACAACAGTTCTGTCAGCACAGAAGCTCCACACACAGCCATCGCAAGAGGGTGGAGTCAAGCAATGCATGTTCCTGACACGTCTACACACGTTACTAAATTGCAGCAACGCCAAAGAAGTTGCTGTAGAGTACGACCGACCTCCAGGACCCAACTTAAAATCTAGCAGACGGCTATTTTTGTCATGCCCTAGGCAGCATTTAAAGCAGTTTCTGTCTCGAGAAAAAAAAAACAGCTGACTACAATGCTGTGCTGGGCATTTGGCACGCGCCGCTAGAACAGCTGAGTATTTTTTTTCCTTACCTTGGCGTTGACACCATCGTTGATCATGCGGCCCTCCTTCTTCCAGGTCAGGTAGTCGTCACGAGTGAACGATGTAAAGCCCCTGCACGACATGGCGTCACACATGAGCATTCGGACCACACAGCACAATCTAGCAGCGTCCAACACGCATCCTGCACTGCTATGATTAATGCCTGACAGATGGTTGCACTGTGCCCCACAAAAGCACAGTGCAACCTGGACTCGGCGACCCTTAGTGGCCACTGCAGCAGCCAACGGTAAGAATATGGCTTGCAGTGTCATGCAGTGCAAGCCATCCAGCTGGCAAAGGCGTGTACAGCTGGAGCCACAGTCTGATCACAGCTTGAAGTGCAGGACAGTCCACAGGGAAGCAGCAATCCCACAGCGTCCCCGGCACATCCAAAATGGCGCAGATCCATTTTGGGCGCTGTTCTGTTTCAGACTATACTGAGGAGAATCTCAAACAGGGGTCTTCTGCTGAGCTTTGCGCATTTAAAGGGCCCATCAGCAAATGCGTTACCAGCTTAAGAGGAAGTGGTGCAGAAAAGCATCTATAGGGCCCTCCAACAAACGCGTCACCAGCCCAGAAGGAGGCGGTGCGGAGGAGATCTGTAGGGCCCTCCAATTGAAGGCCCTACCAACCCAGAAGGAAGCAGTGCAGCCCTTCAACTTGATGCTACCAGGCCAGAAGGGAAGCAGTGCAGAAAGTTGCGGGCAGCTCACCAGTTACGGGAGACCACGATCTTCTGGCGGCCAGGGAACTTGAACTTGGCGCGGCGGAGGGCCTCCTGGCTCTGCGGGTTGTGCACGTCCTTGCAGCGGATGGACAGCAGGATCTGGCCGATCGCCACACGCGCGCACACGCCCTGCGGCTTGCCAAAGGCTCCGCGCATTCCAGTCTGCAGCAGCGCCAAAAAAAGTCAGATCACCTTACTCAAATGCATGGACTGCACTGCCTTCTGGCATACATCCTCGCACCGGTTGATGTTGGCTCAATTTGACATGTGCCTAGACAAGGCCACACCAGCAGGCGCCATCACAGCGCCAGATGCCTTCACCCAACTTGGAACATGACAAGCCATCATCCACCCTCCTTTCAGCTACAAGGCCTCCGCTTTGGACTTGACAAGCTCGCATTGAAACATCTTTTTATATGACCGAGGTCCGTGATAGGCCACAGAGACATGGCTGAAAACAAATGCAGCAAGACCTCCAAGGTCTCCACCCAAATTCCTACTTCGGCCAGCCCCCTCCTTTGAGGCTGCATGTATATACCGGGAACAAGACACTACAACAAATGCACTGCAGTGAAGACACAAGTGCAAAGCTGAGCAATCAGAGGAATGGAAGAAGGTCCTCTTGTACCTGCAGCCTATCAGCGCCGGCGCAGGAAAGCATCTTGTTGATGCGCAGCACGTGGAAGGGGTGCACGCGCACGCGCAGATGGAAGGTGTCCTTTCCAGCGTTCTTCGTCATGTACTTGTTGGCTGCAATGCGCGCCGCCTCCAGAGCCTCGCTGGTGATGTTCTCCTTCTCCCAACTGTTTGGACAGCAGCACAGTGCCAGGTCAGCGCCTCAGGCTCAAAGATCCTCCCAAGGCAGAGGCTGATCGCCTGCTTGTGCCTCCTCACAGCCACGCATCGCCACCTGCCTTCGCCATGCTGGACCGTATCTTCACAAGAATACACGTAGGGAACGAGCACAGGCTTTTCGCAAGTGTCAGCTTGTGTGTATGTATTACATAAGGCAATAGTTCCACTTCCCAAAGACTTTGATGATCGAGGCTATAGCTCGCGGAAACGGCCACGCAAATCAGATGAAAGTTCGCTCACCTGACCAAGTGGACGCAGAAAGGATACTGGTCTACTGGCGCCCTCTTTGCTCCCACATCATAGATACGAATCTTCGGGTCAGGCACACCACGGCAGTACCGTGACTTCGGGTACGGCTTGTTCTTGATCTGCCGGTAGCACCTGGCTGGCCCTGCATTACAAGCATACACCGATCAGCTGGTATCCCTGGGCAGCATCTTTCCAAACTTCCACCATCCCACTTAGACAGGCTGTACTCCAAGCAAAAGCACCACCATGTTTCTCAACAGCAACAGATATTGAGGAACTTACGGCGTCCCATGATGGCTTATTGTTCTTCTCCCACAAATGTGAACAAGGGCGGCTGCCACTCGAGAGAGAAAGCACTCTGCGCGTCGTCTGCCGGCGTTGCTGGAATTTATTACGAGATGCCCCTGTCGTGGCAGTGATTCAGGGGTGTTAACCCTAGGTCGCTTCTTCTCAGCTCCGAGAGCATATTTCTCCATCACGATCAGAGCTTTAACGCACACAATCTCAACTCAGTTCATTACTCGAGTTTTTGCCGCCCTGCGCGTCAATTTGTTTCCACGCGCCTGGTGCCTCTTAATCTCCTGGCAAGTTCCGAGAGCAAAAGTTTCGAGAATGAACATGCATGGATGAAGATCGCCAGTTTTTTGGGATTTAATTGATTTAATATCAAATTCCAGATCATCTTAACGACCATAGGAAGCATCGGCGGTTGTGGTGAATGCTTTAAATATGTTTAGGTTCGCTCGTGGGTCATCATATATATGATCTATTCATAACGTACTACCTCGTAAAGGAGTTTGATGCCAGCAGGCGATGGCAGAGGCAGGTATTGACGGGGTTGGCAATATTGCTAGCAACCTCCTGTCTTGATCAGCGGCTGGGGAGGAGATCGAAACGTGAGCAGAGGCACATCAACAGTAGTTTGCACGCACTGAAGCCAGCCAGAGACTCATTATGGGATGACTGGCTAATTGGCCCACTGAATGATATAATGAGGGACTGTATACCTTGCGCCATACCTTGAGCGGGGGCTTGTGTGGGGTTCTGTGGGGGAGAGTGGACCCCTTCGGATCTACAATCCTCTACCGGTAGCACCACATGCTGCGTGGCTCGCTCCAATATTGATGCGGTGGGAGCTCCACCAAGTTTGCAGACATTCTGAGCTGGACCTTTCAATTGCAAATATATCTTCCCTGAACCTCGAGGTGCTGCAGGTCAGTGGCATGGTCGCGGCAGCAAACGCCACGTCTCTTAGAAGTGTTCTGACAAATGCGCTTCTAAGAGCAGCTGCTTTGGCTGCAGCAGCCAGAGGTTGAAACATCCAATGAGGCTCCATTTTACGCTGAAGTTTGGCATTGTTTATTGCCCCATTCACTGGGTCGCTGACGAGCAGAACAAGACATCAATCTACACAATTTGCTCCTTCTCTTGCAGATGAGCGGATAAAGATAGGTCTTCCTGATGCGTACAGGTGATTTACAATCCGCACAGAAGCTGTTGGCACTGGAGGCCGCACTGCGTCCTGAGCCGTCGGACGCCTTCATTGGGAGTATTCCTCCTGCAGGCAAGCCTACATCTTCGTCTGATACTCAAACAACTATGTTTGATGAAGATTAGCTGACAGCAGGCTTCTGGAGTTTTTGTGCACATAGTACCTCAACCAAGCTTCTATAATGGCACAGCTCCATATTACGGCAAAGGTAGGGGCCATCATCAATAGCCAGCGCATACTTTCAGCTGACTAGATGTTAGTACATTATCCGCAGCTCACACGCTTACTCTTTTCGCTAATACCTTTGTTGGCAGGTGGACCCGGGCTCTTTCCTGACAGTCTGCTAGCGCAAGCCTCATCCCCCAATCAACCTGTGCCGGCAGCGCCCCCTCAGGATGTTCCAGAAGGTAGGTGGGCACTTTCTCAGCTGCAAAGGAATCGAGTGGCTTTGACTAGTCATGTTCAAGTCAAACTGTTGTCCTACTAAACTTGCCGGCAGCTGCTGTTTGGCCGCGTCCTGCCAAGGAGTCAGGCCTGGGTCATGCGCACACGCACCCTTGAGGCCCATTTGGAATTGCGCTGCTAGCACTTCTTGAAGAAGGCTGAGGTAGAATTTAAGTCTTCCATGAGAATTGGGATTGCCATCGTCCAAGAACAGCAGGCGCTGCTGTGAGCAACCTCTGCTGTGAGCAACAGCTGGAGTTGACATGTGAAGGGAGGCAGTGACAGGCTGGCTTGAGGGGCATTTTTGAAGGCGCGTATATGGTGTTTGTGTTCTATCTCACCTTGTGCAACAGGTATGAGCTGCGCAAAATGCAAGCAATCCTGCAGCCGACGGTCATGCAACCGACGTTCATGCAATCAAAGGCCATGCAGCCCTAGAGTGAATCTAAGACTTTTTGCAACAGCTGCTCTTGAATATTCTTTGAGTCAGATTCCGCGAGCTCTTGATGACTGGCAATTAAGGAATTTAACCAGAACACATAGGGTATCAAGTCAGAAGAAGCTATCATGTTCTGCAAAGGCTCTTGCAGGATTAAAGACTACTTGGAAAGCATCAGACCCTTTAAAAACATTTCCAGAGATCCTTTGCCAAAGAAAATCAATTTGTTGCACCAAGCAACACAGCGCAAAATAATTTACACAACTGGCAATCATACAGAATTTGTGCGGATGATGTTATCCAAAATTGCAATGTCAAGAAAATCACAAGAAGGGCCTGAATACATTATGCAAACACCTCTCCACGTGTGGAAATATATCTATAGGGCTTTACCCCCTAGAATGTGAGCTGGCAGTGGCAGACCTATCATTTCTACTGCGACCTATATTCCAAGGGTTTGACGTATTGAACAGATGGTGATTCTGATCAGATGATTCTGGGCTGATGGCATGTTGCAATGACGTGTATCAGAGATATTTTGTGAGCCTTGCATGGAGTGATCATTGCAGTTATTTGTAGTGATAATTGGCAAACCTACGGCCATTTGTTGGCTATATGGAGGACATAACTTTGCAGCAAGTGCTCCTTTAACTTTGATGAACACTTGGATTCTTCTCCAGATTGCCGGCAAAGTTTATTTTGTTCATCCTGCTTCATCTAACACGAGTTGCATTTAAGTGGAAGCTTCCCGGTAGTTACAAAGGCACGTGATATTACTAATATTATTGACGCACCTGCAACAGGGGCGGCGATACCAGAATCTACTGCATCAAAGCAAAATACAGGTTCCTTTTTCAAGTCCTGTCAATCTTTTGGCAAGCAATTTGGGCGAGCTCGAGTCGTTCGGTTCGAAATTCGCAATCTGGAGAGTGGCACGCGAAAAAAACCTTAGCGTATCAATCGTCGCCTACCATGATGTGAAAGAAAATGATATACAAATCTCGGTTCTTGATCACCGCTCTGCTCTGTCTCAAGCTTGGTAAGGTTCCCGATGCAAAGCTACACTCTTCAAGATTCTCGCTGGCAGCCTCTGTGCCCCATCTGTCAGGCCAAATTTTATAATTAAAGTCCGGTACAAAAGCTCGCTCACACATCGAAATCATCTGTTGCAGCAAGAGGATCATTAATACCAGTGATGTGGCCTCTTTACTTGCCTCAAACCCAACGCTGGGAAGCCCCTAGGTGCAAATGTCCCGGCTGTAATCATCATGGAATCTAGTAGAGACACCTGAAAGTAGAAGATCAACCCAATCCTGGGTTTCCCTGCCTAGATGCAATTCACCTTTTTGGCAGGATTGTATTGTGGCCTGCCATGTTTTGTTTGGATGTCTGCTGGGTGACGGGTCTGAAAAAGAGAGTCATGCGTTGGATCATCCTCTAAGTATTCCTAAGAGCGATGCAATCTGACTGATTGACTGACTAAGTGACTGTCTAAGCCTTCTTCATGTGACTTTGCAGTCAGCGCAAGGCCTTTGTCAGGAGCACTGGCACCATCGGCAATGCCACCTGCCATCTCTGACATTGACTTCCTGTCAAAGTTGCCTCTTGCAAACCCAAGCATGACTCAGTTCCCCGCTCCTATCTGGCCGCAGAGTGACGTGCCCAACAAGGTAAGACCTGGAGCCGCTTCTGTGACCCAAACTTCAACTTCAAGGCTATACTGTGAATGATTAATTCCGCGTGGGCTTTTGCAAGCACATGAGCCGCCTTGGGAATGCCCAGAGGGATATAGGGTGGACTCATACAAATTGGGACTCCAATGTGAATTGCTTGGATCTGCTGAGACCATATGAGGCAGCCTTTGCCAGCAGCTTCTCTGCAGACACATTTTGCCTCCGGCATGAGCAGCATACAGTATCTAAGTCACAGATTTGGTGAGTCTTGAAGATTGCATGCATGCTTATGACTATTGATTTAGTTGCTCAGGTGCCCGGCGGCTCAATGCATGCAAAGCCGTATCAGAGTCTGAGGCAGCTGGCGGACTTCGTAGACCTGCCAGAAAAGCTGCCAGAGGACGATGAAAGCCCCCATCACCGCCGCCGCCTGTGCAGCAGCAGATAACAGATGTATCAGACAAGCTTGAGAAATGGGGCGACGACAATTACTGGGGAGATGACTTGCGCAACAAGCAGATTGTCAAGCTGGAGAGCAGGCTGGAGGAGGTTGCAAACGTATTAGAGGCATCAACGAGAAAGAGCGCCGGGTTGCATGTGTTTGAAATTCTGGGCATCTTGGGGGTTGCCGGGTGCGTGGGCTGTAAGTGGTGTGTGAGTGATTTACCCATGGGTATGGGGTACACTTCCTTGTGAGGCGAGCAGATTGCAGATTTCAGTGCTCTTTTTGAACTTGAATCAAGACCCACTTGCAAAATTCAAGTATGCCCTAAGGGCAGGCGAACATTGCCTTTCTACTAAGGTCATTATGAGGTCACAATGAGCGGCGGGTTGGTCATTGCTGTGTTGCTTGCCTGAGTGGCTGCAGGTTTGCAAGTTTAAAGCAGCCCTGACTGTGCTTGCACAATACTCTGATGTGCAGACCACAGAACTGTAATTTAGTTGTTCACACTCATGTTGCAGCATTCGGCCAATTGGCTGCTGGCCGGGGCTGGCAAACGAACAAGAATGAGAGGTCTCCATGAAAGATCTCAAATTTCTAACGGGCCTACAGAAGCAGCAAGTGTTGGTTTTGATATCTCTCATTCGTTTCTTCATACTTGCAGGATCTCCAGGCTGTCACATGATCAATCGAATACACATGGTGCGTTAACAAAAGCATGCCCCTAATGGCCCTGTCATGCTTATCTGTCAGACCGTAAACGGACCATATACGGTGTCCTCTTCTCGAAACTTTCCGATGTCGACGTCGACAGCTACGACAATAGCACGTGCGACATTTCAAGATACTTCCGTGATGCTCTACGATCTACAAAAGAAATAGACGGGTGGGATTCGTCAAGTTCTCAAGTGCATGATTTCACGGTGAAATTTCGTTCGGCCTGAGGTTCATTACCTAGTGATCTGCGATTCTATTGTGTGGTTCCCTATCTAAAGAGACTGGATCGCCACAAAGGTGCACCGATGAGAAACGTCAAGCTCAGGATCAAGGTTACGATCTGCATTGTCGCCTTGCTATTACTTAGCCAGGGTAAGATATCCTGCCTGATCTGGACCCATCATGGCGTTCTTCCTGCACAGGCGTTAGCATTTCTACTCCAACTGAAGCGACAAGCAAACTGCAATGCCAACCTTGATGTAATTTCTCTCTTAGGCGCTTGTGACCTGTGATGCCATCAGTAGGAGTGCTCCAATCCTCCTAGAGCCTCACAAGCTGTTGTCACAAAGCTGTAGGGCATCTTGCGCCATGTATGGGGATCCTGTCACCGCCGCTTCCATTGCGAGTCATTGCAAGAAATTTTCAGCCCTATAATATGTCTACAAGAGAGAACATATGTCTGTGCAGGCGATGTCAGGAGCTCGCCACTGCCACCAACGTCATCAGAAGTGCCAGCATTTGCGTCCAAGCTGCACTGCACACATCAGGTATGCCTATGCTTCCTCTCTCAACCATAATTATGATTCTTACACGCTAGCGCTTATCCTGGCAGAGGCAAGCTGCATGTAATCGCTGCCACGTATCCCACCCCTTGATGGACTCGCCAGACCCAAGCAAGACCCAATCATCTGTGGGCATGGTGCTCAGTGTTTATACCGCCCCCCGCCAGCCGGGGCCTCTCAACCATGAGTAATCTATGTTATTGTCTGCATGGAAAGGCTCAGAAAAGCGGTGATAGTGGCCTGCCCCTCTGGCTGCCCTGAGCCTGAATATCTGATGTCGTTGTGAAGCCCTGCACAGCAATGTTTTTTCTAAGCATTTTGGCTCAAAGCCAAAGTGGCTTTGAACAGTGGCTCAGAAATGAAAAGCGATGCATTGTGTTTGGGACTTCAAAGAGATTGGCCTCAGCCACAAAAGTGACTGATAATAGGATTCTGGCTCACACCGATGGTTTTCAGGGCAGCTCAGGTAAAAAGGGCAAAATGTGACTTTGCGCAGGCTTGAGTTATTTTCCAAAACCTATTTGTGGCTTGTCACCAAAGGAAACACTGCAGTGCACCGCGCAGCTTCTTGCACTCCCGGAACTGCCTCTGTGCAGGTAACCTGAAAGCCAAGGCGGGTTCACTGATAAAGCTCTTGTGTGATCAGGCACACGGCAAGGCAGAAGCTTCTGGCGAGCGGCCACAGCTGCTGCGGCGGCTGATGGACAATACAAGTCTCCCGCCACCGCCGCCGCCTTCGGACAGTCTAGAGCAGATCAATGCGCTTTCAGAAAAGCTCGAAAAATGGGGATTAGACAACTACTGGGGAGATGACAAGCTGATGAAGCGCCTAGACGCGGTGGAGAAGTTGAGCAATGAAACATCAGCCTTCCTTGATCGCATCGCGACTGTCAGCAAGATTGCACACATTATTGAGGTTGCTTTCATCGCTTTTGTGTTCTTCAATATCGTCTATTCTGGTGTGTGCCCGTCTGAGTTGGTATGGGAATTTCACACTAAACAGGGGGCATTGCACCTTCACCTACTTAGCCAAGGCATCCGTGATTCAAGCTGAGCATCTTTTTGTCTTGCATCCAGAAATCTGGATGGGTCAATGCTGGTATATGCGTCAGAGCCCTTGGGTGCATACTTTCACCATACGATAGATATCTTTTGGAGGCCATATACACAGCCGTATATGCTGCTCCATGGAATGCTTGACATCGGCATTAAACCTTCCTCAACGTGTCCTCCAGCCTTGAGGAATTGCGTGCACAATATTATTGTTGCGTGCCGTGTACATTTAGAAGGCTTTCTTGAGGGAGAAAATGGTGCAGCCCCTTCACAATCACAGGACAAACGCGCATCGACATCACGCTACAACCTATGTGACAGCAATGCAGAAAAGTGGCCTGGTCAATCCATGGCATGGCATGATCAACCCTAGGGTGAATAAACCTATATCACCGATCCCTACCCTTCAAATTCCCCTTTAAAGCAATTTCGTGATAGATCTTTGAAGCTTCTTAAGATCACCATCGTTCGTCCAAAACCCTTGAATTTGTGACCGTTCGACAGAAATATAGGCGCTACTGTGCCTCATTTCACCTTGATATCAGGCAGCCAGGGAGGAAGGCCGGAGTTAGGAGATTTGTAGCTATGGCCAGACAGAAAAGGGTTCCTGGGGTGGCGTCCTTCCTCTTCGTGCTGCTTTGTGGTGTGGCCACTCTACCGGACTGTTTGCTGGAAACATTACGTATTAACCTCTGACCTGCTGAAGCCAGCAGGCAGGCCAGAATAGTTGGAAACATACTATGCACACATTCTTCCAAAACAGTGCATAGTGTAGAAGATTTCAAGTCGAACATCAAGATGAGCCTCTCAAAGCCTAGCAGCTCTCAAATTGCAAGGAAGCGTCTCCATCCTTTCGTTTAGCTGTGCTATGAACATGACATGCAGAAATGCGTCCTGCTTTTGTGTCTGCAGGACAAGCAAGGGCCTCGCGTGAGCTGGCAACAGGTGATAGTGCTGCAACTGCGTCAAAGGACCCTGCCCTTGACACACTCTCCTACGCTCTAGGTGAACACTCATTATTCACCTGTGCATACTCTGTGATGACCTTGGTGCATATCAACTAATGTGGTCCGCGCATAGGCATTTGCTTAAAGATCTCTCCGTCTCTACCCCCCATATACTAGTGAATTTGGTGTTGTTTCGAGCTCCCCAGCCCTACATTTGCAGCCCGATTTGGATTTGTGCAGGCCATATATATCTCTTTGCCCCCATTTTCTCAGATGCTCCTCTAGATTGGGCGGACTGATAAGCTTAGCAACGCCTCTAATATTGCAACAATCCCGATCCAAAGTCAGCTTGCAAGGATGAGTGCTTTAAGAAGCAGCATGGATGCATCTGAGTAGTAGTCAATTCTGCTCGAAGGCAAATTTGTAGCTTTGCAAGCCTGGCAAAACTGCGTGCATTTTGTGGCTCTCTGCAGAATGGTCTTCCTGTGACTGCCTTTCAATCAATGGTATTGTCTATTAATATTACATGCTTTTACTGCCGGAGGCAGGGCGCGTCTGCAAACCAGCAACATTTACAGGCTGCCAAAACCCTACACCGTTGTTTGGCTCGCCAGATCCATTCGCCCGTGGGCACGGTGCTCAGAATTTGTACCGCCCCGCCAGCCTCTTTTGCACACTCTGCACCTAAGTGGGAAACATGAATGACCAAGTGAGGGTGGTTAGCAGCAATATGGCATGGCACCAGAATTCTCTCAAGGGCCACAGATCTACCCTCTTTATTGTTTGAAATCCACATGGCTTTCAAAGGCCACTCAAAGAAACACAGACTAATTGTCCAATGAGGTGACATGTTTTGCAGGTGTGTCACAGGAGGCCCGAGCACATGACAGCCTGCCTCTTAGCAGCAACGGGCAAGTGAAGCCGGAAACTGTTGTGGTCACTGAGAGATTAAGCGGCGCTGGAGCTGATGTGCAGTCACTGAATCTGGCAGAGGCGCTTGCAGCGCTCACAATGTGCCAGAGCAACTTGGGCACTGTACTGCACCGAGAAGACACAAGCTCTGCTAGCACCATCGACATCGTTCAAAGCCATGTGGCGTCCAATGCTGAGGCAGCCGCAGCTTCCGAGGGAGATTTGACAGAGAAGAAGAAAGCAAGTGAGGACGAAGAGACAGCTGATAAGGGAGGGAAAGCAGAAGGCAAAGAGGACTGCGATTGCAAGGGACTGGCAACCTTTACCTTCTATGGGGCCTGCTTCTGGTGTACCGCTTTCTTCTTTTGTTTGTCCAAGATCTTTGATGGCCGTTAGAGGTTGAGGAAGGACCTCCAGCCCAGGCCTTGGACATGACAGCAGATTTGATCTATGCAGAGGATGGGTCACTGGGAGTGAAATAGGGTGCCACAGAGCTCCAGTAAATACATGTGTTGGAATTCACGTTTGTGCTGTAACAGAAACATGTCCGAAGCCTGCCTGTAACAGAGTCATGTCAACCTAAGGTCCGCATTTGTAGGTGCCAGTCAATACCACTCTTTTGTAGATCAACCAATTGCCGTTGGCAATTTAAATTGAATGTAATGCTGCATGAGCTTCAGCAGGTGCATATTGCCATGTGCAGGAATTATTCAAGAACCAAATGATTCAAGGACCCCTACCATGTGTGCTGACGAAGCCCTTACTAACCAGGTCAGTCATCAAGTTGGCTGCGAGAGGCTGGCTGGCTGCCGTTCATCGTTCGTCAAATTGTTTTGAGCATCCCGCCTTGAATAAGAGCTCGCCTCACTCATTTACATAGAGAGATTAAAGAGCCGGGCTGTGGAGGAAGCGCACATGGCGCGACAGGCCAGTGCTCTTGTGGTTGCGTGCCTTGTCTACGTCCTACTGAACGGTACGTGATTCAATCCGCCATTATTCCTGGACACATTAGAGTCTGTTGCCTGTACGAGAACACAGGACAGGCTAGTCGATCACGGTTAAAATACCTTCTTATGAAGTACCAAATAATTCGCCATATCGCCATATTCAACAATCGTCCAGCCGTCTCCCCTGTGCGCCGATGTTCAAGGCTCTTCAGTCAGGTCTACATATGAGCAAGAACGCAAATTTGCATGTTGCATTTTTGCAGGTGAAGCAGGTGCTGCACGTCAGCTGCCAGTTGAAAGCGGCAGGCCTGAACCATAGGGATCTACCATCTCCCTGGCATCAGACTTTTCTGGTGCGGACACCACCCTGGGCTCTGCCTATGCAAGAAATGCTGCTAAGACTTGTAGAGAGGTGTCCAAAGTATGAAAAGTCTTGGACCTGAAGGCCTGATGCAAAGCTCCATTTTGAACTTGAAGTACTTTATGGTGTACATCTGTGTGCCACCCTGAACGGTCACGTGGTGTGCATATGCACAAGGCAGCCGTGCCAAGTAAAGCTGCTCTTTCCGGATCCTACTGAGGCATTTTGCGCTGCAGCTGCAGCGCCGCCTAATTTCCGCACCAATTTACAGAGCTGTAACGCTGACAAGACCTGTGCTCTGCAGGTACATTTGGGGATAATGCTGCGGGTAGTAGGCTGCTGTCTGGACTGCAGAACCAGCGTGAACCCACCGCTGTGCAGGAAGAAATTATGGTCTTCAGCCAGACTCAATATATCAGTTAGCCTGAACCGTGTGCAGCCACTTGGGCCACTCGTGCCATTTGCACCCTGTTTTACCAGGGTAGTGATATTCAGCAGGAAGATGACGAAATGTCTCGTCATGATGATGACGTGGCGGATGCACTTGCTGCATTAGGTGTGCGAACGCGCAGCTGGCAAGTGCTTTTTGGCAACTCAAACAAAGAAGAGGGAATACGCAGTACTGCTGCCTCGAAGGCTGGCCCGAAAGAAGCATATAATCCTGTGTCTGATAGAATATCCGCAGCAGCTGATGTCTACAAGACAGCCGCCGCTATGCGGCAGAAGTTGAATGAGGGTGGCAGCGCTTCGGGAGGATATGAAAAAGCAGCAGCAGCCATCGGTAAAATCAGGGAACTCGATGTCTGGACCAAGCTTGCAATCTTTTACGCGTTTTTGCCTGGTTTGTATCATATGGCTGTGGATGCATCTGATGGGTTTCCGAAAGACTGAGCAGTTCTATTGGATTGTTTCTTGCCAGCAAGAGTTTGAGCCCGGAGGTTTTGAGGAGAATATAAGATGCAGAACTGCTGATGTCAGCATATGCATGCTGTAACCAGTCATGTTACTAACCGGTGGGCGTAAACCTTTCTGGAATCTTGGAAAAATTTACGTGTGCTTCTGCGATTGTAATATCTATGTGCTTTACGGTGAACGGAAGAGCGGAAGGGTAGCTGCACTCTCATGACTTGTTGAGGTTAAGTTTTGTCCCATATCGTTATCTTTATCTTTATCACAGGACGGTAAACACAAACCCAAAGGCTGTAGGGCATACACGCAGGGCGGCTGCAGCCCCCGTTTGACATATAAGGGTCAAACCCATCTGGGCTGTACTAACAGAATTATTTTTGGGGAAAAGGGCTTCATCAAGCGGAATTGCTGCACTTCCAAAAATGATCTAACTCATGCAGCACGTGATCCTTACTGGAGAGATTGCTAACCCGCCGCTTTGACTCAATCGTTCGTCTCTCCACTTTCTGCAAGTGATGTGGCGGAATCAGGGATCCTTGAATCTTGAATTGACATTGTGAAGGGTTCTTTGGTGAACTGGAAACCTATCGCTTAAAACGGCAGATCGCTTCTATTCGGCTGCGTCCTTTTCGCACTGTTGAGCGGTGCGTTTTGTCCAGCGGAAGACTTCCTCAATTCAGCCGATGTCAGAGACAGATAATCTCCTTCTGCGATGTTACTGTGCAGAACAGTTATGTGCGATGCTGCCTTTAGTTTCTGCTTTAAACCCACTTCTCACTGCTGGGCGTTGAAACAAATGCTCTCCTCCTGAAATCGCAGCCTGCACCTTGCGTTGAATCTGCAGAAGGAGAAGTGAGCGCACGCAATATTCTCGAGGAGTCCGCAGCAGCCCCGGAGCCTGCCTCGCCTGGTACGTTCACTCCATCTTCGCCATCAAAAAACATCTTTTGACAACCAAGTTATGCAATCTGTGTCCTGACAATGGAAAGTTGTCATTGCCAGGACATTCCTGGAATAGGCTCTAAAGACCCTTGAAACTGCTGTCGTACTGAAGAGCTTTTAATTTGCACCCATGCCAGGGGACTCGGCAGACATCGCTCTTCAATCAGCCCCTGCTCCAAATACCGGAATTGCACCTGCGCCTGCACCGACAGCTGGACCCTTTGCATTGGCCTCAGATGGTACGCCACTGGCGCCAATGCATTACCAACAGCCCAGCTTACCTGTGCACAAAGGCAAGTCTCTGCTTGTGTATGTGACCGAGTACCAGCACTCCAGAAGTGAGTATTTTGCCATCATGCCGGCAAGTATTTTCTTGCTGACCAGATATTTTTGCATTGGGAGTTTGGGGTAGAACAATTGCTGTTTGGGCTCTTACTGACAAGAAGTACAGACAACACAGCAGCTGATGTCAACATCAAGTGTCTGGGTGTTCAGATGTCTAAAACACAAGTTTATGTTAAGTCAGGATTGAAGGCAAGACATCTAAGGCAGTGCGAGTGCCGATGAAAGGAGAAAGTGCTGCCTCGCGGTAAATGTTGAAACCTGATATGTGCCCGTGCTGTGACAGGATGCCTTCTTGTTTCAAAGCCCCTCGAACCCTCCACTCTTTTCACATACCACCTCCATCGTCAGGTGACTCAAAAAAATAATAAAAAACCACTTTAGGTGGCAAAAAGACCCGTGTGAACTGACCTCTTCTGTAGGACTAGAGACATACTCCGCTGTGGTCAGTGGTCATACTCCGGAGTATCCTAACTGATGGATACTGGTCAGTAACCCTAAAATGAAAAAGAGAGTCCTGTCAGGCTACATGGTCCAGAGACCTCTCTTTGATAATGTGCATTGTGTGGTAAGCGCCCTGGCCAGCTACAGTCACATGCACTGTCGGATCGAGGCGTCCCACTGCTCCAAATTTTGGACGGCACCGCCCGCGCGACTGCAGGCACAAGGGATGTCACTTTACTTGCATGCAAATTAAGGGTACTCTGCTGACACTTATGGGTCTATATTAATTTGAAGAATGAAAAGCCACAGAAGACCCAGACTGCAAGGCAAAGAGAATAAGAGATACAGGCGCATACGCTTGATCAATTGCAGGACAGATGACGCACGCAGCTCACAGGAAACTAAGAGCTCCCTCTTTTGCGCAGAGCAGCAATGATTTCAGCTATTGTCTGATGCCAAAGAGCTTCATCTTTGATCATTGTCAAGCTTTCCAATATGTCAGATATTTCTGTGCAGGGATTGAGCTTCAGCGCACTGACCCACCTGGCGAGCCAGCATGAGGGCAGCGCCCAGAAGGAACAGAATAGATCCTCCGCCAAAGCCCACACCGTTGATGACATTGTACGTGTCCTGCGCAAACAATGCCAATCTTAATATTGCAGGAGATATGTAAGGGATAAGTTTACAAAGGAATGATTCTCTCAGTTTCAAACACCTCTCCTATGGAGACCGCACGTGGCAAGGTTGGCACTTGCCGCAATCTTCTTTTGTACTTGCCGTAAGACAGTCTTTTGCCAGATGCATGCGCACCCCTGATACATCGGTCTCCAAAACCCCATGTACCCCTACCAAGCCGTCCAGAGAATAGAATGTCCTCTATTGCTAGACAAGAAATGGTCTTAAAAGGGGCAAATTGGACTTTGAAGTAGGCCTGATTGCTCACCAGGGAAATTGTCATGTTGGCAGGAGAGAACCAGTACAGGACGATCCCTCCCAGGGCAAATAGCACCCCTCCCCAGAAGTACGACCACAGGCCCCACCACTTGAGGGAGGACAAATAACTCCTTGAAGACGGCACCAAGATCCCTGCAAAGTTGAGTATCTTTCATCAAAACCCCTCTGGTAATTCAGCAACCCTGAAGCATTGAAGCTCATTTGAAGTCTGTCTTGAACATTCAGCGCAGCTGGACAGTTCACAGCGCACACAACTACCTTCGGAAAATGGCAGAACAAAATGATCTGCTTCAATATCATGGCTGTGGTCAGGGCCGCTCAGCATTGCAGCACTTCTCGCACCGCAAGACTAATTTTGCTCGAGTGCTTCCACATAGTTGATGTTACAGCGTTCCATGCATTTATTTTTACTTATGCCTGTCAAATTACGGGGCAGTGAGATTAGTAATCTACAGTATGTCACTGACATGAGCCATTAAAGCAGCGGGACGCACCGGGTATGAGCCAGGGTGAGATCTCCTGCATCTCGTACAGGGTCCCAGAAATGGTGAAGAAGAGGCCGGCCACCAGGTACATGTACGTGACTAAGCCCAGCTGCAACTGACAGCACACAGCCTCAAACAAAAAGAACGCCTGCGCTTTGTTCTGCAAAACAGCAGGAATTCCCTGCTGTCACCTTCAGCCGCCCAAAACATTTTATTCTAGATTTGGTGATTCAGTTCTGCGCTGCAGATTCGAGTGCACAAAACATGCTCTATCAGTGCAGGTGTACCTTCCGCAGCCTTCAGGCTTGATGCCACAACCTTACATTCTTTCAACGACTGTATGCATGTGTGACTTGTGCATTCGCGCCAATGCAGGGCATTTCCAACCAAGATCAGAATCTAGACAATTTCCGGAATCCTGTGCAGTGCAAGCTACGGGCAATATTTTAGTCTGCAAAGGGGCTCACATATGCGTCGACGCTCAGGAGTCCATTGGGGCAGTCGTTGATAATCGAGGCGATGGCGGCAATCTGATACATTCCGACCCCCAGCGTGTAGCTTATCGCCCCCCACCAATCCAGGTTCCGTGGCTGCAGCCCAAACCACTTGTACCTGCGGCCGGTACACAGAGGCTCAGGGCTGGACACAATCAAAGATTCTTTGTATCTTGCAAGGCAAAGCAGCATTTGCCACCCCCAGCCCTGCTGCTCAGGGCTAGGCACACAATTTCTTTAAATTTGTTTCCGACACTTGCCTTTGCAGCGGCTGTAGCTAACTGCTACAGGCAACAGCCATCGTGGTGTACTACACAAGGCCACATGGCACAGCGCAACCTCCAACAGCTTCCAGCTTAAAGCTCTGCACCTTCCAACATTTGCAGACCTGAATTTGACCCCGACAGGCAGTTGTCCGTACACAAACGGATAACGGGCACCGTTCCGCGGATGATTGGGCCTTGCTTGGATCTGGCGAGTTGATCTAGGGGTGGGATATGTGGCAGCATCTGCAGCTTGTCTGCTGACGCATCTTGCCTCTTGGCAGGAAGAAAGTGAAATAACTGGTTCGACTCCCACTCATCATACTTCTACATTTTAGAAAATTGTCAGGAACAAGGACAGGACGCACTTAGGCATGGGGCCTCGCATGCCGTTGAACTCAAACTGCAGCATCTGGAGGTCGTGGTCGAGGTTCAGGGCCTCAACAATCTGCAGCGAGGTGGCCGTGAACCAGAGGGCGTTCCCGCACAGGTAGCAGAAATACACTGCCCAATCATAGGAGTCGCCCATGCAGTTCCCCACCACCTGGCTCACCACTATCTGCGCACAGTCACCCAATTCGTCATTGCTATTTCGTCATTGCAGCCAATAAAATTGTGTATATACGGTATGTAATTTGTACCTGGTCTGATAGCATGCAACAAGCAGTTGGTGTAGCAGTCACGTTGCATCAATGAAGCATGGTGTGCACATTTGCTCACCAACACTTGAACATATCGCTCAGCGATGCGTAGTGCAAAGTCTATCGAGACGGAGTCATGTCTGACAACGGGACACACCACATTAGGTGACTGCTGGTGCGCTCACCCCCATGTCAACAGAAGTGAATGTGCCCACAATGAAGAAGATTGCTCCAAAGAACACTCCAGCGCTGGCCATCCATGACACGCTGCAGCCAGAAAAGGGAGATCAGTTAAAAAGGACATTTTACACCACTTCTCGCTTTTTACCGTTATCCAGATCCCACTGCTACTTATCCGGTTATGCTCATGCTCGGATTGTTAACAAATCAGCACTCTGAAATGCGGGTCTGTGTTGAGGTGCACGTTCTCAACAGATTTGTTGTGGTTCTGGCAGCTGTGGAACTCTCCTAGGAGCTGTCCAGGCAGTATCTGTATGGCATGGAGCATTGACAGGTGCCCCACCTGTGGGCAGGGGTGTCGAAGTAGATCCAGAATCGTAAGATCCAGTCGAAGTATAGTAGAACTGGAAATTTCCTGCACCAATGGCACACGTCCTGATCTCCAGGAGGTGAACATCGTCCTTGATGGTCAACCCATGCTGCAGCTGTAGGTTTCTTCGTGCAGGGCTCTCACGGCCCTTGAAGTGCTTTGACACGTTGTTGAGAGATATCGTTCATACCATTGATGTTGAATATACGATTTAGGCCCCCTGGATGTCACTGAAGTTCTGTCCAAGGAAACTTGCTAGGGTTACCCAGACAGGATGAGTGGGCGCTCTTCTCAGTGTTACGACAATCTCCGAGAATCTGACAATCAAGGATGTTACCTGTAGCGCGGGATAGTCTTTTCTATCCCATCGAATCCCGATCCGGGCTCGGCTTCAACGTGCACCGATCTGTTCACCCGATCTTTCGAGTCGCGGACGTCCAATGCAGAGATGCGCTGCAGAGAAAGCGTTGAGACTCTCTGCAGCGCTTTGAAGTGATCGTGCTGTTCCATATCACCGGACCTTTCAGATGAAAATGACACTTGTGTCGCGTTTTGTAATGCAGGGGAGCCATGCATCAGGTTTACTAGGTTTTTGCATGCAAGTCCATCATATTAGAAACATTGTGGGTCACTGTTGTATCGAAATTGCCTTGCATTTTAGCTTTGAGCGCGCCTCAACGTCATCAAACCATTCCAATATATGTTGTGATTGCAAGCTAGTGTCTTCCGTGAGGCATATCGCATTTTCAAACAGGTGGCGCGTTCTGAAGTTCAGAAGATAAAGTTTCAGCACCCATGCTGCTGTCTCAAGACTGCAGATCGTCAGTGCTTCGTAGATACGAGAGCACCTCTAAGGGAATTACTGCACATCTCTTGCAAAGTTGCAGATTTCGTGGATCACAGACGCCCTTCACAGTCCGCTCGAAACTGAGAAGGACACAAAAGCACATTTGTGCTCCTCCTAGAGCAGCCCTCCAATTCTCCGCTGTGCCACTGGATGCCATTGTAGCTGGTGCAACAGGTACAAATATGTATATCCAATGACTGAACATTAGCTTCACAAAGGGAATCGGACGACCTGACCAAACAAGTTGATCTGGTTTATTTCAGACTGCTTGAAGGCAAGACGAAAGCAGTTATGTCGTGATGGAGCCCTTCAATTGACACTTTGCTGTTATCTACTGCTTTGCTTGCAGTTTTGACTGGAGGCCTGGCAGCGCTCATTTGGGGAATCAAGCAGGGACAGCCGGGGAACGGCGCAGACTCTCAGCAGGAGACTGCAGGAAAGTCTGGAGCCATGCAGGCGCCAAGAGAGAATGCAGTGCTTGTCTTTGGCTCCACTGGCAAGCTGGGCCGCCAGATTGTGACACAGGTGAGCCTAAGTTTGCTGCAAGACATGCATGCTCAGCTCATCTCAGCGATTCCAAAAGATCTTGCATGAGGCGCTTTAGTGAGCAAAGGCATGACTAACCACAACAGAGGCGTGCACCACAGTGTCTGCCCAGTCTCACTGAGGCATGATGGTGTAATTTTGGCAACTGCTACGGATGCACAGAGCTGTATGCCGGGGTTTTGTGCGCAACTATTAGCGCACGCTGCATCAAGATCGTGCCTCTTCAAGATCATAGCTTTCCTAGGGGCATCGGGTGACAGCATAGAGTAGACGGAGACTTACTGTCATGGCCTGTTGACTGTATTCTTGGTGATGCTGGGTGCAGTTACTGGAGGAGGGACGGACAGTGGTGGCAGCTGCGCGGGATGCACAGAAAGCGGACACAGTTTTTGAGGAGCTCGGTCTGCGCGTGGGCTACCAGGCCGACAAGTCCAAGGTCAGTAAAGATGACACCGGTATGAAATGCACGTGTGATGAATGTTGTCTGAATGTATTGGGGCAGCGATGCAATGTTGGTACAGAAGATGCCTTCCTCTCAAGGCTGTTGTGAGAGACTTCTGTGATGTACTCGAGGGAGCAGTTATGCTCTGATTGTTGTGCACAATACAGTAGCAGCGGGATCAGATTGCGCCCTTGCTTCTGACATCTTGCGCCCTTGAGGCGGCTTGCCAAAGCATGTATTTGGTCTTCACTTGAGGAGTCACTCTCACTTGCGCTGTGCCCTTGCATGTCAGTATCTCTCTGCCGTGCTTTGGCTGCGTGACCAAATGTTTATGGGAAGAGCGACAAAAGGGAGTGGCAAACAATCAAACGGGGAGGAGAGGACTGCGCAAATCTTTTTCGGGGCTGGAAGCTGTTTTTGTTGTGCAGGGAATACTGGCGCTTGAGGGTGACGTGGACATCACTAACCCAGAGAGCCTGAACAGGCCGGAGCTGTGGGCGGGCGTGTCTCAGGTGGCGTGCGCTGTTGGGCCGATTTTTGGCCGCCTGCCTGACGGAAAGATGGGGTGCGCGGGTCATCCCTGCTCTCCTTAACATCTCCACATCATAACAAGAATAATTTGCTTTTTTCCATCAACTGCCGGGCAGCCCTGAGGCTGCCTTTCCATTTGGAAGTCATAGAGTGTGCTGTGTTGTACCAGAGCACCTTGAATCTTCTCTTCCGCCTGTTACTCCAAGGGCCGCTGGGTTCAAACAGTGTGCTGTGCTGTTCCAGCAGTAATCTCACAGTACAGCCCTTCTTGTCTGCCTCTTAGGCAGACTTGTGTGAGTCACGGTGAAAATTTGAGGTTGAAGCGTCGTGTGTAAATGTCCTGGCAGGTATCTGGATGACATGACATCGGAGAGGGTGGATGCCCAAGGGGTGGCCAACATTGCGAGTGCGCTGCAGAGTGTCTTCAAGGACAAGGTGCGTGTGGCTATCTGGACCTACTGTGCAGCTCACCAGAATGAGTGCTCAAAAGCCCTCATTGCTGTCAGTCATGTTGTGCAGCCAGTGCTTCAAGTTGGCTCCACGTGAAAGCATGCGAGGGCAGATACGCATGCATGTTACGCCTGATTCCATATTCAAGCACTGGTGAATGAGTGGAATTGAATGAAAGCGTGACACCCATGCATGCATTTTGCATGACCAATATCCATTACATCAGGATACACTGAGTATTTGAAATGAGTACAGGAGGCAATTTCAGCCGCGGGTGGCACGATGCATGACCCAGGCCCAGTGAATCTGGGCATTCAAACCGCGTGCCTTCTGCGTTTAAACAGAGGAAAACAGCAATGTGTACTGCATGACCAACTGCATGATGATTTTGGCGTGAATGCCATGCACGCAATCATTATGGCAACATTTTGTGCTGTCACTGCAGGCGAAATCGAGGGAGACGGCTACTGTGCTTCCGATGACGAGCGAGGCTGACCTGGTGAAGTGGCAGCGGCTGGATGATGTCATCATGGGCGGTCAGTCATCCAGCGCGCTTACTTTGGCGGCAGACGGCTCCGGCGCTGTCTTTAGTGGTGACCTCATCATTGAGGGCGGCGGCTTCTGCGGCGCGCGTACTAAGGTGCGCCTGTTATGGCGTAATGTGCATGCATGCATGCTCAGATTATGTGACGATGTATTTGTGGCTGGGCATTGCCTCAGACCAGTATACTGCGATCTAATTTTTTTGTCCTCTTTGGCCTTGAAAGACTCAATCCTTGCCCAGAAAGGTATCCGTCTCAAAATTTCTAGCCCCAACATCCACTATAGGCTGGTGATCAATGGTGATAAACTGTACCATTGGTCACCGGGCAAAAGAATCCACGCTCATGATATCCTGCGATGACAATGCAGGCGCTGGACCTGAACTTGGGGGAGTTTGATGGAGTGGCGCTGGAGGTGGAGGGAGATGGGCAGACCTTCAAGCTCAACCTAAAGACCGCAGATCAGGAGGACCTGCCTGAGTGCACCTTCCAGGCCACTTTTGACACACTGCCAGGTGAGCGTCGCTCCTTATTTCATATGCTTTGCAACCTGAAGCAGTTCAAGAAATCTTGAGGGCGCATGCGAAAGCTTTTCAGGCATTGGGGTGGCCACTGCTATGCACAGCACTGCCACCAACGCATTCACCCGCCTGATCTACCAAGGATACAGGGTACACCTGTGAAGTGACCCTCCAAATAAAGCCCTCAATAGCCTCAAACAATTATCAGTACCTGGACAATGTCCTTTGAGTCCAATCGGCCCAGTGGTTGTGCATCCCTGGTAAGTTGCCCCTGGGAAAGAAGTAAGCGCAGGCCGTGCTGATCAATTGGTCATCCATTTACTTGCAAAGCAAACAATCGGAGTTCTGCCCTCCTTTCAATAGGCTGGCAGCAACATTTTTAGAGGTCCTTCCATCTGTATTTAGATCGATAGGCAGTTAGTTTGAAGAATAGCATGCGCACATGTGATCTTTTGCCCTGCCAATAGACATAATGTACTCCCTTGCGCTGCCTGTCATACCAATATCACGGACGCTGTGCATGCATGCAGGCCGCAGTACAACGGTGTACATCCCCTGGAGGGAGTTTGTGGCTGTGAAGCGAGCGCGCGTGGACCCTGCCGCGCCAAAACTGGATCCCTCCTCAGTCCGCCAGCTGGGACTGGTTCTCAGCAGATTCGAGTTCAACGGCCTCGCGAACCCCAACTATTGGGCCGGGAAATTCTCCTTGAAGGTGCATTAATGTGTGCAAACAGCTCCATGCATGCTACAGAAATCCCAGCAAAATTGATGTTTTTCGTCTCAAGGCTTGCAAGGTCTGTGCTGACAATGCAGTGCCCACTGCTGCGTGGCACTGTAAGCATATGCTACAGGTCTTGCATTCCGAAATTCTGTGGACATTTTTCGTTCAGCCGGGGCCTTTGCTGATATGGACCACGCCGTGCATTTCCTTCCGAGGAAGTTATTCCTCATTTGCAGGTTGCGCTAGCAGTTGGTATTGATACAAATTTCACACCCTTTACTGGACTCGATAGATCCAAACAGCACCAAAAGAGCTTTAGGCACAGTGCTCAGTCTTTCAATTGCCCCCCCGCCAGCCGGCCATCAAATAGAATTTAAATACCTATGTTGTTGCTACACAGATCAAGGGGGGGATCCAGGGTTTCAGGGAGCCGCGCCCGGCGATAGTGTTTGTGACATCGGCGGGAGTGGAAAGGAATGCAAAGATCGGCGACGATGAGACTGCGCGCAAAGCCGACATCCCAATTGTGCAGCTCAACCCCGGTGAGCCGGATGCTCCCATCTTCAACATGCTGCTTGCCGTGCACACAATCTTCAAAGTGGTTCTCACTTTGGCGTTGACTGTTTGTCTGCATAGTTGACGCCCCTGCTGGCGGGGGAAGGTACAAATGCTGAACATCATGCCCATTATTAATTGGGTCTTGCTCGGATCCGGCAAGCCAACAAAGGGTCTAGTGTGTGGCAACCTTTACCTGCAGCTTGCCTGCTGACACACCTTGCCGTCAGGCAGCACCCGTGTATTAGTACGTGCATTACTAACGCTCTTACTGATACCAATAGGTAACGCCTTTGGTGGGGTGCAGGTGGCGTGCTGAACCACAAGTATGCCGGCGAGTGGGCCGTCCGCAGCGCAGGCATCCCCTACGCCGTAGTGCGTTCCACAGGTGTGTGTCATGCGCTACCGCCCTTCTGATGTCAGAGGGCGGCCAGCTGTAGGCAGAAGAGATTGATGTTGCATCAAGGGGTCTTCTTGGGCTTTGTAGTGAGAAGGCAGCAGTGCTCATTTGTGGAATACCTGATGGCCAGAGACTCTGCAATGGAAATAAGCAAGCTAGTAATTGAACAGTACAGTTCCGAATGCTTTGATGCTATCAGCAGGAGTCAAGCAGGAGTCAGGCATGCAGGCTTCTGTCAAGGCAATGCATGGCTCAAGACGTCCGATCCCCGCATAGAAAAGAGCAGACACAGCATGGCAAATGGGTGCAGAGGTGACTTGGTCTGGTGTGCTGGTGCAGGTCTCACGTCCGAGGACGAGGACACAGATTTCGTGCTGGAGGCGTCCCAGGGCGACCGCATCTCCGGCAAGATCAGCCGCAAGGAGGTCGCGCGAGTCGCCGTGGCCGCGCTTGGGACTGCCGCCTCGGTCGGTGAGTATTCTGAGAGAAATGAAAAGAGCATGCATGCATGAGATCCGTGCAGACAGGAAGGGGTTGCAGGCAATATTTCTGGGATCAGACATACATGTCTGGCATGGACGCCTGGACACAAAGAGCAGCAACTGAGTCCTGCGCACTGCAGTAGCTTGTGATGTTTGCTGACGCAGACCCTGTCTAGTTCCCATGATGCCGGAACTCGAGGATGGATATCTAATCAATATATGTCAATGGAATGACCTGGATTCCATGGGATTGACATGCCGTTGTTGGAGAAAATGCCAAGGCAGGGAAGGCTGAGAGGGAATCATTGAGAGGTTGCTGCAACGCACCTAGCCCTGAGGACTGGAATAAATGTAATATGTCAATGGTCAGTGTGATATTCTGGCGAGTCGTGCGCACCACAGGAAAACTGCAAACCAATGAGTTGGGGAGTCAGAGACCAGAGAGTGCATGGTGAGCCCGAGTTGTTTGTCACAAGGAGAGGCTCCGACATCTTCTCAAATCGCGCAGGCAAGACGGTGGAGATCCGCAGGAGCGAGGCGGCCGGGGACAGGGGCAAGGCGTCCAGTCAGCCGGACCTGGAACGCCTCTTCCTGACCGCCGTGCAGGACCGGCACCGCCCGCGCATCAACCTCGCTCCCCTGCCGGCGCCGGTCCCCCCGCCCAAACCCCCTACACCGTGCGTGTTATCCCCCTCTACAGCCCTATACCAAGGGGTTGCAAACTAACATACTTTAGTTGGTTTCGAGTCTCCTGCCTATACACACCAATGGGAGCCAATATGTGTCTCAAGAAAGTCTCCCCTATTCCTCGCCTGTACATATTCTCAGTGAGGAGCAGTGCTTTTATGCCCTTGCAATCTTCTCAGAAGACCCTCAGAGATGTCAATATGTGCAGATTTTGGGCTGTTACGGGCCTGCTGTTGGATCTGCTGTGACTGCAGAAGTGCAGGCATGCGGCAAGGTTCTGTGACCCTGGGGATGGGATCTAAAAGGATGGCAGCACTTTTGCTAGGTCATCTTTTGAAGTCTAGTTTTTGCTGTTTGTTACAGGGAGCGGACAGCGGAGATTCTTGTGTGACGATTGGGCGCAGACATTTGGCCCTAAGAATATTACTAATAGAGTCGTGTGACGACTTTCAGATCCATTGAATAACCTCTATAATCTTGCTGCGTTCCAGGGAGCGGACAGCGGAGATTCTGTCGGACGAGCGAGTGCAGGCGGCGCAGGCGGCCGGCCGCGGCGGCCGCGTGCGCAGCGAGGAGGAAACTTCCGCGGCAACTTCCGTCACCGTCGTCGGGGACAATCGCGCACAAGTCTCCGCCCCGGGCCAGAACGGCGCCCAGCCGCAGGTGTGGACCACTAGTTTGCATCTCACCATTTATCCATTCAACTCCGGCCAGCAGGGCCGGTACAACAAGAGGGCACCAAGCCCGCGATTGGATCTGGCAAGTCCAACACAAATGAGGGACTTGGCAACCTTTACTTGCAGCGGTTCTCTAGTAGCGACAGCGTGTATCAGAAGGATCCGTACAAGGGGGGCAGTAAGTTTCTAGCAGACTTGTACTGGAAGGCATGCTGGGCAGAGGTGCTGCATCCCTTCTGGCGGCAATAGACCCGTCACTTCTGTGCCCAAGGACATAACAGCGCGCACCAACCCAGATCCTCTCTGCTCACTTGCTTTTTCTTGATCCTTCCATTTGCCTTGTGTGTCCCAGTAGTGCTGGGTGCCGGAAACTCTCAGCCGGACTCTGCAAATTCGCCATTGGGACAGTGGTGTGATTGACAGAGTTTGGTGCGAGCGCCCATGGCCCACAGCACTAGCACTTGCAGCAAACTTCCGAGGCATGAGTTGTTTTAAAGGTTTTAAAGGTTCTTGACTCATCAAGGTGCTGCATTCGGTGTGGGCAAGCACGATGCCTGTGAATTTTTTACCGCAGTGTCCCACAGAAAGCACTGATGAGAAGGCGTTCAGAGCTTCAAACAGGCTCCATTTGGAATGCATTTGCTGGGATGTTGTCTTCGCTAGAGCACCCTTGCACTGCTAGGGATGGAGGGGTCCCGTTTGCTGAGTGTTGGGTTGCTCTGCAAAGTAGGCATCCGTCCAGCGGGAACGCAGAACTCGTCCGACGGAACGCCGAACCCGTCCAGCAACAATTTGGCAGTGCAGCAGCTTTTGACATTTCCCTTTTTAAGGCGTTCTGTGCTGGGTGGCTGAAACTGCTGCTGCAGTTGGTTATAGGTATATGATTGGTCGTTTGCTTGACGTTCTCATTGCAGGGAGATGGGGACGAGGCTGTGCCGCAGAATGTCAAAGAGGCCAGAGACTGGATCAGGTCATGGAGGGCGAGTAATTTGGAGAGGAAGCTGCCACAGGAAGAGAAGGCGGGAGTGAATTCTTGACAGATGGTTGCCATGGAAGAACACCAACTTATTTTATTCCAAGGCAAACTTGTGGAGGACAGTTCTGTCTCCATTGAGTTGGGTGCCTCTGGCATTGAACCGTGTACAGCAATACCACCATGATCTGGTTGACGTGTTATGAGGGTCTGATCCAACTATGACTGAAGTCGTGGTTTTGATAAGTTGACGTGAAGCGGTGTGGTGAGAGAGCTCTGGTGGTTTTCGATGTCTTTTGGAAAAATGTTCAAGTGGCGCCGAGTGCTGGCAAAAATCTTGAGATATTTTAGAATGGCAGACTGCTTTCTATGCTTTCTTGGATTTAATCTGAAAGAGTCCCTTCCTGAGATGTTTGGTAAGTGCAGTTGACTGTAGCCACCTTGTGTGCGTGTGCTGATATCAACGAGGTGGTTAGTCATATACATTTCATTATGAACCAAAGTGCAAACAAATCAGAAGGATGGTTGTGAGGATGCATGCATGACTGGCTGACTGGACACCTTCTCGGCAATCGATCTGTGCTGACCTCGACACAGAGCACAAAAGCCAGCCAACAACCTTTCCACCTAATCTACTCCGTCTACTTCCTCATTCGTCGAGTTGGTCGATGCGTCAAAGCATGCAGACGAGCCTAGCGCTGGCGACTGTACTTCTTGTCCTTGTGGTTTCCGCAGACGGGCGTGCACCCAGGGACACTACCGAATTTGCACAGGGCAAGGCCTCTTCTTCAGGTCAGCTCTTGATCGCGAGGCCCACAATTCACCGAACGTGACCAGACTGTCTCTGAGCCTCTCTGAACGTAAGCTGACGAGGGTTTCTCGGCTTGCTATTTTTGGACACGAGGTGCCGATAATGCAGCAGCCTCGTTGATGTCTGCACTTCTTTTAGGTGCATGCAATCAAGTGTTTTGAAGGAGTGGACAGATTTCCTGCATGCATGCAGGCCTAGGGCTGCCTCCCACGCCCCCTTCGCCGCCCCCTGTGCCCTGGGTAACGCCACCTCCACCCAACGCCAGCATCTCCTCTCCACCAGCACTCCCTGGCCAGGTGAGTGCGGAAGACAGCGGGCATAGAAAAATATTACCTGCCCCATGGCTGGCATGTAAAAGGCCTTGGAAGACTGTTTTCCCGATGGCGCGGATGCATTCATGCAGCCCACAGCCAGAGATGCGCCGAATGGCGATGAATGCACCTCGCTGTTTGACGGGAGTGTTTGCTCTGTGATGTGTTCCTGAACTTGATCCTAGCTAGGTGTGACCACAGGTGCCTTTGACTGCCCTTTGGCATGCGCCACCCTCCAATGCGCTTGTCAGAAACCAGTGTCACCAAGACAAGACATCCAAAGTGGTGGGTGCCAGGGGGGAGTCGCAGGCTTCCCTGATCATGCACAGCTGCTTGCAAATACTGATTCAACAGTCAAACACAAGCCCTGTCACAGGGGCCATCGGTTGGGTAGTACTAACTTGGTAGTGATTGCCGCTTGAGCACTCGCAATGAATACTGCAGGAAGGTAGTGATGCATGAGGCGCCTTGCATGCAAATTGGTCACTAACTTCAAAAATCATTTTTAGAATTAAAAAGCTGCAGCATGGCAGCGCAGGCATGCAACTGCACAACATGTGCCAGTTTCAGGATGGGGGAAACTCACAGTGACAGTGCATGATTAGGTATTCCATAGGAGATCAGAGGACAGCAGCACAGTGACCACCAGCGAGCCTACATTATATCAAGGCTTCATTTCGTGAGAAGATGCAGGACATCGAGCTTCTTTTGCAATGTTTTTCGCAGGAGCTGCGGTCCCCTCCCCCGGCAGTGCCGCACCCGGACCCCCCGGTCAGGCGGAGCCCCCCGCTGCCGCCGATAACTCCCTGGAACATGACTCGCTGGGGGGCCCCCTCACCACCACCGGGAACGCCCCCGGAGTACGCGTCACCCATCGACCCGGAAGCCGCCGCCAGCAACTCGCGCGGATGACTCAGCAGTGAGTCATGTCAGATGACTCATCAGCAAGGAGGGCAGGTCTAGAGGCTGGTGCAGAGACAGAGTTGCGGGCAGAAAAGGGCAGATCTGATTGTACAGGAAGCAAGCACGCAACGCCTGTTGGGGGCTGCCGCCAGCAATTCGTGCGGGTGACTTGCCAGTGAGTCACGGCTGATGCCCCATCAGCAAAGAGGCCTGAAGGGAAAGTTGGTTGCAACTTAGGAACATTGATGTTCATCTCACTGCCGGCAAGGCGCGTCCGATGGCCACGAGCGCTACAAAGCCCTTGATGCAGCTCGATCTTGAGTTTAGGCCCATTAGCTGCTGCTGTGCATATTATTGTGGCATAAAATATAGGAAAATTCTAGACGAGAGATCTGAAATCCTCTCCAAAGGAAAGCTCCTCAGTGCAGGCTTAGCCTCCCGCCAAGCTAGCTTTCTGCAGCACTGCACGCTTCTGGTGAATTGATAGAAGTGCTCTCCGCTGGCCTGAGCCATCCCCAAGGGTGGACCTGGAATAGAACTGTTCTGGACAGGAAGGCTGTAGTAGGGTCTCTCTGATGTAGTAGGGCAGGTTCTGCTAGTGGCTAGCAGGTTGTTCTTTAAACTTTGAAAGCTCCCTTTCTGAGTGCACGTGCCACTCTCGTGTCCATAAATGGCCCCATGCAGGGGAACATCTGAATTGTGCTGCAAATGCGTGTCTGAATGTGCCCAATGAAGACCACAATCATGGCCCTGGTGCATTGAATGAGTGCACGGTATCAGTTGCTAGAAGATAAGAGCTGCATGACCAAGAATATGAAAAATGGGAAAGCTTGCACATCAGATATTGACTTCTCTCGAGGTAAAAGAATCTCTTGCTGCTAACCTATGTATACACCAGACCACCATGCAAATCAACCTCCTGCTGGCAGCTGGAAATGAGGCAGTGTACTTGATGTCAGCAGCAGATCAGCAGCCCAATGTGGCCCAATGTGGGGACAGATGTTTTCTGAATACTCATCTCTCAGTCACCACTCTCTTCTGATGTTCACAAGTCCAAAATTTCTTCAAGTCTCTCTGGAGTCGTGCATCACTCTATCAAGTACCTGGCAGAAACGCTAGCTGTACTCTCAACATGACTGTGTCTCGACTGATCTAAATCATTAATCCATTTCCGGCGTGCCCAATGACTACCAATCATGCTCTACAGAGATATCCTCATTCTACACGTGAGCCAAGAATATAAACATGGTCAGAATTGCCGCCTCAAGGTGCTTGCAACACCGGTGTTAGTGCCCAGTTGTGCTGATGGATAGAACGCCATTTCTCCCCCTTGCTCTACTTTTCTCACTACCTCAATCCTGGCTTGACAAGCCAGTGCTTCTGCCACTCACTGCTCTGGCACTCCACAGTCCAATACTCCTCTCAAGCCTGACGGAGCGGCAGTTCTGCAAATTGATTTAGCGCAACTTGCGCTCATACACAAGACACCAAATGTCTCCCCTTGCTTTGCCTTTCCCACTGCCTCACGTGAGTGCTCTGCAGATCATTGCTGTGACACTTCAAACATTCTCACATCATTCACATCAAGCCTGCCTGGGTGCAAGCTCAGCAAAACGCTTCAGATCATTGCTCAAGATGGACTCCACTATCGGCGTCAGCGCTCCAGCAAAGGGTGCTAGCACATCGGGGACCTGGATCATATTGCAACTTGTTAATGGCAGTCCCAGCACATCCCAGCTACACAAGATGAAAGCTTGGCAGAGCCGACAGGCAGCTGCAGTTTTTTTTACGCAGTCCATGCCTCATTCATACCAGTATGCAAGGAACACGCTGGCATCAGATGACAGGATTGCTAGCACCATACTGAGAGACGACAAGCCAACATAGGAAAGCATTCACTGCTTGTGCAAAAGGGAGAAATGTGCCATCCTTCACATGCACTAACAATTACGCAGCCCAAGAATATCGAAGTCAGACTGGCTTTATAGCACTTGATGGTGCATTGCAGGACCGCAGTTTCCGTTTGCCTCTCCGTTGTAGGGTGACATGGAACCAACCTCATAAGAGATGGTGAGCTTGACAGAGCAGGAAGTTGGCGTCTTCCTGTAGAATCGGATCTGGCCTCTGTTTGCAATATCAATGCCGCTGCCCAAGCTCCCACCAGTGGAGCCCTGCACATTGCATGCTACCGGTCATCCACAGCAAGGCGAGGTGCGCACTGCAACATTAGCTTGTAGCACACAACAAGCACCCACACAATCGAAGCTTTGGCGTGAGCATGGCTGCCTGGAGCGCTACTCAAGCTCATGAACACTTGTGTATGACTTTGGCTTAAAGAGAATGCCGTGGGCCACTTGTCGCTGGATAGAGCTTATGACACCCACAAACAGTATGCACTCATGTAAGGACCAGGACATCAGAGCTAGCCACAGACATACAGCACACCCATACACACCAATCAACCTCTCCTCTCCTTTCCTTTGTTTCTTTCATTCATTCCACTGAACAGGGGAGCACCTGCACAGAGCGCCAGTGGATCTTCTGCAGCTTGGTGGGCGTCAGGTTCTGCGCGAGCCAGCTGAATTCCCAGTTGCGTCCAAACTGCTGCGTTGACAGCGTCCACCGTGACAACCTGGGATCTTCCGGCAATACCTGGTGCACCATAACAAGTGGTTTGGCAAATGTGAAGAGATCAAGGAGACACCACTGTACAGGCGCAGTCAACAAATGAACATTGCCACACATGCAGCAGTCGGAAGGAGTCTCGCTTTGTGGGAGTACAGGAAAAAGCCGCAGAACTTGCAGAACAATGAAAAGGCTTGCAAACTGAACTCGTGCGATTTGTCGTCCTGATGCATTGGCAACTCATTATGGATGAAGGGAGTACCGCAAAAACAGGTTTGCTGGCGTGATGTACAGGAGAGAAGCTTCAGGAACATACCGTCACGCTTGTGATCCAGGGCATCCATTGGGGGATCCGTTCCCTGTCCTCCCACATCTCAAAGGCCTTCTCGACAGGGATGGCAACCTCCTGCTCTGCGCTATTTTCCAGCCATTGCACTGCCCTCCACCTCGTGCCATTGCTGCAGGTCTGTCTCAGCTCTGTCCCTGCCCACCTCTGTCGAACATTGTAGCCTGCTCGCCATGTAAATGACGCCCTCTCAGCCTTTATTTCGCGAGCAAGTGAAGAGGGGTGAAGGCGTGGTCTTTGTCTTGATTGGTGCACAATAAGAGCATTCGTCCTACCTTGTTGATGTGGTGAGATACGAAGCGATGCCTTCTTTAAAGAATATACATGACAAGAATGAATTGTAAAACGGCAAGAAGAAGGGTCCATGCGCGCACGGAATATGGGCACGTTCGTTTGTGCAAAGGCTGGCATTGCCATGCCCTGCATTTAGCAACGCAGAGTCTGCGCAAGTAGCGTCAATCTCATACTTATATGAACGGCATCTTTCAATTAGAGCGTATGGTAATCATCAAGGCACAGCTTGTGGCTGTCCGTAAAGCAAAATGAAAGACATCAGTGCAGGATTTCACCTTGTGTAATTGATCAGATCCAATATCTGGCGCTTTCGGGTGTGTTATAAAGGAAGAATTGATGATAATAGATGAAGAATTTAGTCTTCTGCCTTCAGGCAGTCCAACAAAGCTGATTGACTGAATCTACTGCCACAAGCAAGCTGGTCTGTTCGGAGTGGGTAAGTTTGTCACAGCAATCGAGGCGCTGGCACTCTGGCTCAATCAGCAATGTGAGAACAATATAAACACGTCTGTTTTGGGCTTGAGAGCGGTCAGCATTCCAACGTGGCCATCTTATGCTGTGCAATCACGTCACCCTCACTCATCGCAATTGTCGCTCACACCTTCGCAGAAGAAGAGACAGGAATCAGTGCTCCCCAAGCGCGACCTCTTCACGATGTCGGGCTTCAATTGGGGAACATACGAAGTGTGGCGCAACCATCCAATGCTCAACAACAACCTCAAGTTTGCAGGTCAGCATCCCTAAACAATCTTTTTGCTTGTTATTTTTCCTTCACCCTAGTCCTGTATACATTCTGCATGCGTTGAAGAATTGCATCCTGAGCTCTTGCATCTTGACGATCCTGAATTGAGGCCCCATAAGTCTGCCCTGCTTCTCTCTAAACAAAGCGATTGTTTGCTGCAGTGCCTGGATTGAAGTGGGGAGCAGCTGCCTTCGCGGTGTATGTGGCGTACGATCAGATCATTGGCGTAAGCAAGAAGGAGGCTCATCACTGAGAAGCGAGGCCTCAGCCAAGAAGCTTTGCCTTGTCTTCAAGATGTCTTTGTGCACAGCAAAACAGCCACAGGTTGCCGTTTGGGCCACCTAAAGTGAAAGTAGGGTGCAGCTACGCCTGCTAGCTCCCCTTCAGAAGCCTGGCAATGGCAGTAGAGGCATAAGCTTGGCATCCTTGCATTGGGGAGGCCCATGGAGTGGCAAAGATCGCCAGGGACACACCAGAACTGGGAAGACTTGAGAGGCTAAAATTGTGTATGCATCAGCATGTGTGCTCCCATCATGAATGGGGACAGCAGTGTTGGCAACGGAAGTCTAAATATACACATCTTCTATGGAAGTCCTGCAAAGGAAGGATGATAGGAACAGCCCGCTCCAATGGTGTCAGGGAGTCAACAACATTGCCTGATACATTGGCGCATGCCACTGTCTGTAATGTCAAAGAGACACCACACCACCTGCCAACTTTCACACCCGATATGCCTCTCAGCCTTTATCTAGATAAGTAGGAAATTATGCAATTCACGCTAGCAGTGCAATCCACAAAAGCAGTGCCAATGTCGCAGAGCCCTCAGGATGCAGCCAGTACAGTAGCAGTCTTTCAACAACCCTACCACCCAACACTATTGATCAGTCATGAGTACTCCTTTTGATGCACGTGTCTAGACATATGCATGTGCATTAACAGGTCAACACTAGATCGAAATTGACGTTCTGGCTTTGAGGGGGTAATCCAAGCAAGGTTAACGCAAGCAGAACCGTCAGTCTAGTTGCACAGACACAATTGCAGTGTTGCAAACTTGCCCCGCTCTAGAGATCTCTCATTCATAATAAAAGGAGCGCCCAGAGTACCACCCTGTTTTCACAACGGTGACCTTCCCATCTTTGAGGTCATATTTTGCAGCAACTACTTCCAACTCCTGGCAAATGGCCACATCCGTGCTCCTCACAAGTCCCTTCAACACCGCTTTGGCGCTCAGTACTGTGTTTTGAGTGGCGACCTCCTCAACTCCCTGCACGCACAAAAGGTTACTAAGTCGATGACTTAGTCATGTAACTGTTTCTATCGAAAGTTTCCATACATCATGCAGCATGTGCAGACACACTGCCAACATGTGGTTAGGGCGTTGTCACATTGTTTCAGTCACTACCTTTCCTTCCCTTCGCTAAAGGAAGATAGCGAGTCTTCTGCCAGGCTCGCTCGGCGCCGTGTAACTTCTGGCATATAATGGCTGTGGCGACTCACAGAAAACAGGTTCTGATACAAAAAAAAATTGGAAGCTGTGAAGCAGCCAGCCATGGCATGCCAGAAGGTGCATCATGCCTCCATGCAGACCGTTTAGAACGTTGAAAAGGCTGAAAGGGCGACATCGTTGCATTCCCTGCTCAAGCAGAGAGGCACTGACAAAGAGGAACGTTGCAGGGTCTCTGACTGGCCTCTGGGAAAGACTCCTCCCCAAAGCTCTTGGTCCCGCCCTGCCCTAAAGTCTGTTCCCTATTATACATCAAGGACATGCAGGCATGGCATTGGGACCCCTTTCTGCCTATGTATATGAAAACTGCCCCAGCTGGCGGGGGCGGTATAAATACTGAGCACCGTGCCTACGGTTGGTTGGGTGTTGCTTGGATCTGGCCAGTCCATCAAGGGGTAGGATTTTGGCAGCCTTTACTGCAGCTTGTCTGCAGACGCACCTTGCTTCTGGCAGGAAAAGCGTGTAATAATAATAATAACAATATGGAAACACATTAACATCAAAAATCACTGCACCTGCATGTCCTTGATCTGGTTGAGGAGTGTCAGATTCTCGTTGAGGCGCTGCTTGGCCAGCCGCGCGCGAGTGATGCCCAGCGAGTCCTGCGTCTGCAATCCTGTGCCCCCCAGCTCACTCAGCTCCTCGTTGCGGTGGATCCTGCGCGCAGCAGAGCATGAGCAACAGGCCAATGAAGGCACTTGAAGGGGAAAGATGTTCGATTGACGTCAGTGCAGGCCTTCTCATGCCCACGGGTGTGATAAATTATGACCCCGATGACCCTTAAAAGACTGGCCCCAATCATTCAAATAAAAGAGCCAAGGGTAAGAAAGGCCGTGATCCAGTAAGTGTTGCGCTAGCAGCAGCATGCCAGAGCCTCGTAATGAGCGCAAGCTTTAACCCACGTGCCATCCTTAAGAGAGAAAAGCACCCACATGTGACGCTTCTAACGATTTCCATCGAGTGCAGTCTGAAAGGAAAGTGGGCAAAGGACAGGTGATGCAGGAAGACTACATTCTGCAGACTCGGCAGGAGAACAAGACATCTCTGCAAGTACTTTCCTGGTCGGATATCCAACACCCCTGAGCGGTTGCAGGCATGCCCTTCTGAAGAAAGACAGGAACGCACTTGCTGACAATGTGGCTGAGGCTGTGATTGTTGTTGGCCACATGGTCCACCGCTGCCCCGATGCTGCCCACGATGGCGCCTATCGGGCTCAAGCTCAGGCGGTCTATGGTTAGACGCCCCAAGCTTGTTCTCTGCATTGGCACATGGGTGATTATTATTACTACACGCTGTGCCTGCCAGAGGCAAGGTGGGTGTAAGTACCAGCTGCAGGTGAAGGCTGCCACAAATGCTACCCATTCATGGACTCGCCGAGTCCAAGCAAGAAACGATCAACTGTGGGCACGGTGCTCAGTATGTACATACAACAGCCCCCGCCAGCTGGGGCCATCAGCACATGTGCAACTCAGCAGAATGACACAGACAGCTCAGGGTTAAGACACCGCGTTCACAAAAGTCCAGGTTGGCCCAGACAGCACTTCATTTAACAGTGTTATCATTACACAGATCTGTAGTCCTAAGGTCCAGGCATGTCAAGCAAAAGACATTGTGTCTCCTTTCTACTCCTTGGACAGCAAGTTTAGCACTTGCTTGTACCTGTGGGCACTCGCCGTTCCACGCAGGGCCCACAGGTACTCACATATACAATGCTTGCTGCAATTGTTGCATCTCCCCCTGCCAGCCAATACAAATGGGCATTTGTGGGATTTGTACCCTGCCGCCGCCACTCTGGCTGGAACTGCTGGTGCTGGAGGCCAGGACTGCCCCAAACGCAGGGCTCGAGCAATTGCATAGACAATGCTTACTATAATAATTGCACCCCCCCTGCCCATGCAATAAACGAGGGAATTTAAAGCAGTCCGTACCCTGCCGCCGCCACTCTGGCTTGGGGAGGCCAGGGACTGCCCAGAGGCGCTGGAGGGCCGTGCCTCATCGGCAGCCGACGCCGCCATTGGCGCATCGGCATCGCCGGCCGTTGCCGGGGCGCCGCCGCAGCCGCACAGCCGCGAGAAGGACCCCCCGCCCCGGTGGTGCTTCCCACCGCCGTTCTCCCTCTCCGCCGCAAAGGGGGTTGCGCCCCCCGTCGGTGGCAACCCCGCAGGCCGCGGCGTGGTTGCAGCCTGCAAATCATCAAAGTGTCCCTTCTTATGAAGGACGTGAGAGCAAACCCGTCCATCAATGTGTCAGATGCATGCATGAAGACATACAATTGTCGAAGGGATGAGAGAAAATCTCGAAATCTACCTCGGCAGCGCCCTGCGCGTCGCCGCCCTTCAGCTTCCTGGCCTCGTGCTTGGCCCAGTTGTGCACAGCGCGCGCAACCATGCCGCACTTGGTGTGCCCCATCACCATGACTAAGCGCACCCCCAGCAGCTGCACCGCGTTCACAATGCTCCCCATGACAAAGTCGTTCACCACATTTCCTGCCACCCTGCATGCATGCAGCGCAGCAGGTTTAGACTTGCCTGATGGCATCAAAATAGAGCACCGGGGTTTCTACTGATTATTACTGTTACACGGTTCTCTTGCCCAAGGGCAGCATGCGTCCTGCAGACAAGCTGCAGTTAAAGGCTGCCACCATCCTTCCCCTTGTTGGACTCGCCAGATCAACACCCAAGCAACCGTGGGCACGGTGTTCAGAATTTATAAGGCTCCCCCGCCAGGCGTGGCCAAATGTCTTCATCTGCTCATTTGCTTCTGCTCTACTGCGTGAAAAGTATTGTCTCTTCGTCTCCCAAGCGAACAGAAGCACGCACCCAGAAGCATGGCACCAAACTTGGGATACGTAAATATAGCGTGGCTGGAGCACATGTCCCTCAATTACATGTGGCAACATTAGAAGCACACTTATCATATGAGCAGAACCCCACATACCATATACAGATGAAATCAATAACGACAAGCAGGAGCATGGTGCCAAATGCAAGCACAGTGAGTGGCACAGAAGGGTGAACATACTTATGAAGAAATTGTGCACCTGACAACCATCAGATCGCCGAGTCCTTGGTCGAAGACCATTTCTGGTGGGCAGCGGCTGTCCGAGCAAGCGAGCACCACCGCTATTGGAGTCTGCTCCTCGTATAGCTATCATGAGAAAATAATTTGTGAGGTCACATGCATCAGGCATCATGAGGTGCTCAAGAGAGCAGTTCCTGATGAAAGGAGGCTCTGTCTTAAGGATGGCTAATGGCAGTGAGAGTGAGGTGCACATATGTGCTGAGACGTACATCTTCAAGTAAGTCCAGGTCGGGCTTGCATCTCAGGAATTCACCCTGTCACAGACATACGAAACAAAAGTAAGAAGCTACGCAAGACACACAGAGATTGTATGCCCTTCCAGCCAAGGACACTGACTGCCACAACCTGCTCGTAGCTTCAGGCTTGAAAGTATGATCTGCCATGCTTTGCACAGACAAATATTGACCTTGCGGAAGCGCGCATTGCCTTCCAAAAGGCTCTCCAGAGCCTGCCTGGCTTTCTGTCTGACTTCCGCGTCACTGCCCCTATGTGACTTTTCGTCCTCTTCGGTTATGTGATCTAAATTTGCAGGTGCTGCACCCGGACTCTCTGGTGCTCCTAACTCAAATCGGACAATCTGGCCCAGCCTCTTTCCTGTTGTCTGCAACAGAAGCCCCATCTTGATTGTTATTCACCGAATGACAAGATGAACTTATCAACATGCAACGCATAGGTTACAGCTTGATCGATCAGGCAGGAAGCTTGATTTCAGGCAGATCAGGGGGGAACTGCCAGGCATCCCTTACCTCAGGATGCAAGCGCGCATCTTCCACGATCGAGTTCTGATCTTCATTCTCATTTGTGGTTGGTAGTTTTTCCCGCACAACTTCCATTGTACTACGTCGTGAGCGACACCCTAGGTCTTTTGGTGGTTTTCAGACAAGGAGTCCAAGCCGTCCCGGAACCAGAACAGAGGATATTTAGCAAGAAACGCACAATTGAGAATGAGATACGCTCACATATGGTGTGTTTGGTCTGGGCACAACTGCTGAAAGTTTTAATTATCCCGATTCACATGCTTGCCAGGTGGCCGAAAGGCCTGTGACGTCAAGGCATCAAGATAGAAAGTACACTCCTCCGCAATCGCATCAATCTCATCAAAAGTGGTCGCTTGACCTTACAATTGCTTGAGAGAAGATAACAACCACTCCTCTCGTGTTCTGATCTGACTGGGGACGGGGTTATCAAGAAAAAGATCGTACAAGAATACTAGCATCTGAGCAAATTAAGATGATGGCCTCTACCAGTTTCTCTTCGCAAATAAGCCATGCACACATACAACCATCATCGAGTTTGAGGGCAGTGATCCATGTGCCGTACATGCACAGACGTGCTCTGAAGTTGTCGAGGCAGAGCTGCACATGCAGAGCAGCCGTCGAAGAGCAGACGCAGGCTGCAGAGCAGAACCAGAGAGTAGCGCTTGGCAGCGTCGTCATTGAAAGCACAGAACGTTTCCCCGAACCACAGAAAGACTTCTGGGAGGGCGAGCAGTGGGAGGTGCAGTCCACCACTCAATGCTCCAGTGCTTGCCTTTCCCAGTCTAAAGTCCAAGCAATCTTTCTCTGGGAAAATATGTCAAAAGTGGATGGGCTACTGCAGTTATGCAAAAGTCTGCAAAATCTGATCAAATAGTTGAGCCAAGCGTGGCTGCTTGCAGTTTGTCGGCAAGCTTGCGATCACATTTGTGCCCCTCTTGATCGCGGCTGGCGTGGGGGTGGGAATCTTTGCTGCAGCAACGTACAACGAGGGCGTTGAGGGATTTGTCAAGCCGTGAGTTTCACCTTCCCCAGCTGCCCAGCGCTAAAGGCGCCCTTGCTCATGCATGTTGGGTCGATCCCAATAAAAAGTATGTTTTGTGTGGTCTACATACTGTACTCTATTCGTGGGTGGATAGCTAAAACAGAGGAGAACACTTTGTGCGAATCGCCAGTGATGCGGCGACCAGCGCATGTGCTTGGAGAGGAGGCCAATCAAGTGCATGGGAATCTGGTGCATGTGCACGAAATCGACATGTTCTACTAGGCTGGCATGGAGGTAATTACAAGCATCATGTAAGCGGCCAGGATTGAGGCCCTCCATCCGAGGTGTGTCTGTGTTTCTGCATGCAGGGCGTCTGAGTCAGCTCCTGCTGAGATTGTGCCAGCCCAGCCAACTGCAGCTGCTGCACAGCAGGGCAGCACTCTGGAAGCCCCGCCGGTCTCGGCTGATGCCGAGTCCTGAACAGGTGCCGCAGCTGGAGGGTCATGAGCACTTGTGCCGCTTAAAGCGAATTTGACGTCCCAGAGGGATGGATCTGGGCTTCTGGGTTCTGGGACGAGATTTTGCAGATTCTGGATGGACCAACTGGTCCGCCCGTAACTTTTTGGCCACAGTGACTGCCCTACTTACTAGGCAGGTCTTGAATCACCGTGATTGGCCCAGAAACTCCACAACTGCTGTCTGGGCAACCCAGGAACGTTGTTGAGGTCTTGTCAAACCAAGCTGGCTCTATGTAGCGTCTAACGCCTCCTGTGTGAGAGAAAAGTGCAGAGTTGCTACAAGTGCCACTGCAACAGTGTTTATTGCAATTGCATTGCAAGGCCACAGTGTGTACACATTACAAGCGTTTAAAGCGGCTTGCATGTGCTCTTGAGATCATACCGTATCTTTGACTAGTTTATGCATTCTGGTTTTGAGATTATAAATTTGCAGGATATGCTGATTGCGTATTTGCAATTTTTGGAATTTGCTGCTCTTCCATGCCAATGACTGAAAGTCTTGAGCCAAGTATGTGAAATCTTGCATATTTCTTGTCATGAGCTTCATTCAAGCACTGTGGTGCAGTTGGCCAAACATTCTTTGACCCTGCCGGCAATACTTAGTTCATGAGTCTGGCGCTCAGCTGATCAGTTCTCAGACTCTGGGATCGTGTGTTGTCATGCCATCATACATTGTCCCAGTTGCACTGAGTCCTGTTGTCTGCAGTTCTGTTCAGTGCCCACGGCTGTGGTGACATTTTGATCACTCAAAGGAATCTGTTGTGGTGCTCCTCTCGATTTCACTGTCAGCAGGAACGCTACAGGAACTGCTCCCAGAATGCAGTCATGGCATAGAGCGCCGTCCAGTAGCCAGCCAGTATCAACAGCCCTGGAGGTGAGACATCCCACAGGAGAGAGGCAACGCCCCAGACTGTCAGCACTGCTCCAAGATACTGCGGGTGGCTGACTGTGTTGAAGGGAAACCCCCGCACCCAGGCCACCTTCTTCCCAAGCTTGGTGCCATAGTATACCCCGTTCGTGCTCAGCGTGTTGTAGACTGAAATATTCAGCACCTGCATGCATTTTTCACGAGTCATTCGCCTCTGGCGCAACTCTGATGGATGTGCAAGACAGAACAAAAGGCTCAAAGATATGACTGGCGTCAACCAGGTAGCAAAGTGCATGTTCTGCAGCATGGAACCTGTGAGGAAGGTGGTGTCTGGACAATAAGGCCGAGGATCCAGCTAAGAAGGGAAGCTGAGACATACCTGCCCAATGAATACGAGGGCGAAGAAGGCAGTCCACTGCGGCCAGGTGACATTAAGCAGATCCAGCTTCAGCCCCTGCTCCTTGCTCTTCACCACGTACCATGCCACTATTGATCCGAACTGCAGCACTGCAGCCACCAGTACCCAAGGTGAGGGTGATAGAGAATATTTGACGCTGTCCTACAGTGAAGCCACTGGGTGTTCCAATATAACACGTACGGAGGTGGTCTGAGGCGTCAGCACGTCACTGAGGATGCTTCGTCAGCAAGGCGTTGACTTCAATAAGAAAAGCGCTGCGGAGAGAAGCGATCGAGGCACGACCAGAATAATTGGATACGTCTCATGGGCTTCGCTAGTAGTGCTTCAATGTAATCAAGCCATGCGGAGTCGGATGCAAACCTTTCCCAAGCGTTGCTGCAACTTGGAAGGCCTTCACTGGTTTCGAAAATCCTCGCCTCCACAATCCAGGCAGAAACCAAATGAAAGCATACAGCAGATGAGGCGCCGTCAAGCTAGCGACTGTTGTTGCATCTATCAAAGCCATGTCGATTATCTGATCAGGCACTGGGGAAGTCGAGGTTCACGCCTACAGCAGCTATTCAAATACTATCGAGCCTCCTAGATATTTCATTGTCAGAGCCATTTTTCTTTTGGTAACACGGGAATTACAAGTTTTTCCAAGGAAGTAGCTGTGATTGGCATTTTGTGCTTCCTTAGGAACGCCATCTGACGATGCAGTAGGCGGCCGCCGTTCAGAAAGGAGCTCCCAGGATTTCTAGGTTGGGATCCTTCTGATTGCCATGCGCTGTTGCAAGTACTAGGCAGACAGTGACAACTGCTCTATTGGACCTACAACTGTCTGGACGCGTTGAGCTTACTGGTGCAATTGCCGTTCATGTTAGAATTTCCTAGTCTGCAAGTTTGCTGACTGCAGTGCAAACTGAGCAATCATGCTGCCCGAGGGTCTATCTTCAAATTTGATCAATCAGTACATGCATGCTACGCTGAAGCAATCTTCAAATCATCGTGCTGCTTTGTCACCATACCCACGTGGACTGTGCACATGCCATACTTTCCCATACTTTCATCAGAGAGTGATTTACATTTTGCCAAGGTACCAAGGTAGAAACTTTGCCGCACAGGCGGCCTGATCAGACTGTCACGACAGATGTGGCAGTCAGGACTGCTCACACCTTCAGCTGACAAGACACAACCGCACAAGTGAGCGCCAAGCGCTCACAACTCTTAAAACAGGCCGCCTAAGCACCCTCGCTTGAAGAAAAGATGCCCAAAAGGAATACACACGCACATCTATGAATAAAGGTAGAGAAGTATATCTGTGCCCACGTGCACATTGTGGAAGCAGGCCCCTGACTGTACACAACAATCCATCAAGCATTGCTTTCTATCGACCGAGATATCTTGAACCCCAGAGACCCCATTACATCCCGGATATTCACCAGGACATTTCTCTAGACCAATTGGCATTGTCGCCTCAAGTCCACGCATGCATACAGCTGCGTGCTGCAGGCGACAAATGAGAAACGAGCTAGCGAATATTCCTGACAGATCCGAGAGAACACAACAACTTGCAGACGATTCTGCAATCCCCAAATCCATGTTCGAGGCAGTGGCAGGCACAAAAGTGTGACTGCGACACATCCTTCTGCAATAAACAGCGCTTGCAATCGTCTGTTTCATGCACCAATCATAAATCCCTTCCTCCAAAAGAAGCACAGCAGTGTCAGGCAGACTCTGCCTGACAAGCCCAGCAAAACAAACTGCATGGATGTGCAAGACAAATGAAGAAATGTCAACTGCGCAACTCTTGCCTCAATGGGAATGCGCAATTTGACCTTGAGGAAACTCAAATCAAGATGGTCTCTTTTTTGGTGGTCCCATGGTCAAAGGGGACGATCTGGTCAATTTGAATCATGGTCAACTTAAATCATGAATATGGACTGTCTGCATTTGGTCACATCTTGCAAAGTGGAGCATTCCCGTCTTTGACAGGACAGTTTCGTCTTTGACAGGACATTCAAGGCCCCAGATAATTAACAACCTACTTTATTGTGCCTCTTGAGTTGAGCGAAACAACGTGATGCCTTCAAACGGTATTTGGCCTGCCCTTTATCAGTCCCATAATATTTTGCAATGTGAAGTCCGACAAAAGCAGTCTCAAAAACGATTAGATTGCCTATTTTTCCTCTTCCCCACCACAAACCTCAATCACCCAATAGGGCAGCCCCCCACAAGATCAGCAAACTATAATGCGTAATGGACCCTATTAAATAGGATGGCTCGAGCCTGTCTTGGCAAAGATTTTTTTTGGCAAATCCCTTTTCCTCAGAGCCACTGAAATCAGATGAGAGAAGGGCTTCTTATTGTGATTCAAACAATGCCCTCCCAATGAAAATCCAACCACCACATTCAGTTCTTTGCAAGAAGAAGTCCAAGAAGAAGTCCAATGGTACACTTGTGTAGTGGGGCTAAAGAGAGCGCTTCGCAGATGGTCAATTCTGCAAGGGACTAGGCAGTACCGTCACGGTACTACCGTGATCCAATGAAATGCATTCAAATGAGGCCTTGCGACAAAGCCGCACACAGGACTGAGCTTTGGCCTTTCAGTACACGAATAAGCTTCTGACAGCTGACAGCTGCAGAATTAGCCTCCCAGCGATGCGGCGATGCCGATCAGTGACGTCCAAGACCGAGGCGGCAACGCTGCTTTCTGATAAGGGCCACGTGCCTAAATGTTGCCTTTCCTCCTGCCATCTCTCGACACAGTAGGAGCCCCATGCGTTGCTTGTGACGGCTGCTTTGGGCCGTTAGTCACACATTACTGCTGTGTCCAGTCAGCGGCGCCGGGCTGCGAGGCTGACGGCGTGCCCTCCGCGGCGGCAGCTGCCAGGAAGGCGTCGCCGGCGCCAGCCGGGAAGACGCCAGAATAGGCGCTGCCGAACATCTGCGGGTTCTGTGCCCCGTAGGACCCGTACGCGGACCCGTACGGATCCGCGCCCGTAGCCGCCTCCGACGAATCCAGAAATGCCGGGGCTGATCCGGTACGAGGCGCGGCATAGCCCATTTCCTGTGAAAAGAGGAGCCATCAATTAGTCAAATATACCCGTTTGAATTCCATTTAAAAGCTACGTAGAGAAGAGTACACAAATGCAGTAATTTCATGCGATTGGCAAGAAGTCCATGATCCTGCGTATCGTTAACATACAAATCGTTCCATCCGCATACCGTGCATGGCAGTACATTATGAAATAAGATCCGGGCAGGGGGTTCTGAGAGGGGGGGGCACACCCCCATGAATGATGCTCCGGACAGGTCTGGGTAATTGGAGGGTGCGTAGGAGGCGCCATCTGAGAACAGCAAATCGCGCGGGTTAATCCCCTCGAAGGACCCCCCGGCGAATCCTCCCATCTCCAGCTGCGGCTCGTAACCCGCGGCGCCGTACATCATCCCATAATCCGCGCTCAGGGAACGCGCCTGCAGACATGCCCAAGGAAAAAATCAGGCCCCTCCTTCCCACCCATCGCATGCATGCACCCGCTCAACAAATCCCAAATCCTGCACAAGTTTCGTAGTCTGAAATGGCTGCCTGACCAGTGATGCAAGCAAAGGAATGTTCTGCGATTGGCAATGTCCGGCAAGCTTCCGCATGACATGTGATGCCACCCAGGGCCAACCTGGTCCCTCGAGTCCAGACCCCACCACCCACAATGTCATGAAGGATGGCGAAGACTTCAAGGATTCTGTGTTGAAGTCGTCCCAGGTGGCGCACCTGAGCGTTGGTAGGGGGAGATCCCATGAGAGCGGAGATGTGCTGCAGCAGGCGCACGTCTCCGGTGCGGCTGTACTCCTCCAGAGCGCTCGCCGTGCTCTGAGGGGTGGAACGCCGCATGTTGACGTGGCTCGGCAGGCTGCTGCCGGCACCGCCTGAGAACAAATGAACCAAACGGGGTGGGTCCTCCTGTTGAGAAAACCGTTCTCTTGGTCATGCTTGTGCCCTGTCTGCTATTCTGGAGCCTGGGCTTGCAGTGAGGGATTGGCGAGCTCAGTACCAATCTCAGAAGCATGCAAGGTAGATGGACAGTCGGGTATAGCTGCTTAAGAGAAGTGGCGGGTAGCTCTGATGCTGCAGAGACCCTTTTCAGGAGCTTGCAGACACGACCATATAAAGCAAGGATATTTGAGTGCCTTACATGAGCATAAGCAGTAGTGCAAAGTGAGAGGGAGAAGTGAATGAGACGGCTGCGCACCTCGCTTGTAGAGACCCTGTGACAGCAGGGCAGCGCGGCGCTGCTGCAGCTGCTGGATCAGGCGCTGCTGCTGCTGCCTCTGTTGCACGGCCTGCTGCTTGTGCTGCTGCTGCTGCACGGCAGCTGCCTGCATGTGCGAGCTGCTGGCGGCAGCTGCGCGGCGGCTGCCCAGGTCCAGGACGCGTGACGGCTGGGGCAGCTGCGCGCAGCTTCCGTCCGTCGTCGTCGGACGCATCGGCCCCTGCGACCTGCGACACCAATTGACACACACATGAGCCACAGCCCATCCCAACTCCAGCACAATTCCTCCTCTTACATCCGTTCTTCCAGGTGTCCGAGAAGCCATTCATTTTACCCTTTGCTACTGGCCTACGTCCTGGACTGAGCTCCTTGGCAGAAGGATTACTTTTCAAGCATGCCTACAGACTTCGCAATCTTAAGAATCATATCCTTAACTTTTGATCCGAACAAAGACTTCTAGAAGAGGCAGGATTTATGTGCAAGGGGAAAAGGGGGGAATGAAGCACCTGGCGGAGAGGAGGGCGTCGGGGGCGGAGCTCTGCCGGGGGGCCCCGGGGGCCTTGCCCAGGAGCCCCTCGCCCAGCGGAAGCTGCACGGAAGGCAGCCCTCCGCGCAGCAGCAGCGGGCCGCTGCGCGGCGGCTGCGCCGCAGCCGCGGCCGTCTCCAATGGCGCGCCCTCCGCGGCGGCCGACACCGACATCTGCCCGCTAAACGCCGCGCTCAGCGCCGCGCTGATTGCAGCCGCCGAAGGCGCTTGACCGGCCACCTCCACCGCAGCCGCGTCCTCTGCGGGCCTGCGCAGAAATCAGCACAGTGTGTGAGACACACAACAACCTCACGTCCAGGAGGCTGCAAGCCTGTGTGTTCCGACAGGCCACATGAAGCACCCAGACAATTGGGATCAAAAGTACTGTGTTGAGTGTGCGGCGACTAAACGCTCTGAGACAGCGGTGTCTGTGTTGGTAGGATACGGCAAATGCGCGAGTTTGGTGAACAACAGATGCAAGCCCTGCTATGAGAACTTGAATGAGCCCAGGGGTGTGTAACACGTACCAGGGGGCGTCGAAAGAGCTCTTGGAAGCTGCCGTGAAGGGGTCGGCGGGGGTTGCATTGGATGTGTCGGCCCCCGCGCTGGCCGCCAGACGCAGCGCGTCCAGAGCGCTGGCTCCTGGTGTATCCTGCACATTGACAATAAAAATAAGGCCTTAGTGATTAGGTACAGTTTGATTTGATTTTGTGGGACTCGGGCTGGATGCAAACAGAGCTATCCCAGCTGACCGCTCTGCCTGCTAGCAGGCAGCTATGCTTGAGACAAGCTAGTATGAAGAATGGCAGACAATAGCAATATAGTGCATAGTCGTGAATTGGGCTCGACAGCGCAAAACAAGTCTAGCGTCAGTCAAGCAGGATTACAGTCTTCCATACACTCCCCTGAGCGCAGCTGATGCAGTGTCCACATGCACAAAGCCATGAGGTGTTGAGCGCTAAGTGAGAAAATCCTGGGCAACTCACCTGGAGCGTCTCGCGCAGCAGGTTAGTCAGCATGTCGATGACCTGGTAGCGGTCCGCTGCGCCGCTGCGGATCACCTTCTTCACGTTTGCCAGGCTGGCGGCCACGTCAGCGAGGGCCGCGCCAGAATTGGCGTCGGCCGTGGAGGGAACAGCGCCGGAGACGGCCGCCGTTGCTTTGTCGCTGCGGTCCACGTCCATGAATCCCTCGGGCGGCGCGAAGCTCACAGTCTGCACAGCCTTTGCAGGCGTACCATTCGCACTGTCAGTAAGCAGTGTGCACCATGCATCTTGCCACGCGAGTAACCTTACGGTCCAAAGCCTTAGGGTCTGCAGCTGCATTACACGTTCCCCTGTGTGCGTGCAGAAATATATATTTCGGTCAAAAATCTGTCAGGCGATGCTCCTCCCGTGAGTGATGCAGAAATGCCTTTCTGCATCCAGTCCCCGCTGCCAAAAAACACAAAGCAACCTTGTGGCCCGTTGCAAAACTGCTTTTGCTGCCTGCATTTATCAAAGACAAACAACAACCTTCTAGATCAGTTCGCCATTCCCCACGGAGGTACAGAACATATACTGACACTTTTGCGCACCTGTTGCGCGCCGGCAAAAGTTGAGCTGCTGGCGGCTTCGGACTCCATGGAGGGCCGCGGCGGCAGCTCCAGAGATCCGGAGGTGCTCGCGGTCGACATGCTCATGTTGCGCACAAGCGGCTCGTGCGCGGTGGACGGCGAGTGGATGTAGGGCGCATCCGCCGGCACAGGCGCGGCCGAGATCGGCTCCGACGGCAGCGGCAGCGTTCCCACCTCCATCTGCCCCGGCTGCGTGCGCACAACACCAATTGTAAGAACCGCCGCTGCCATTACAAAGACCTCCGATAACGCCCCACTTCACCATCCTAATCCACCGCAGTTCATCACCCATCTCCAACCATTATTTATCTCACAGAACGACCGCATCTGGGCAACGGCACAAAGTCCTGCATTTCAGCGATTAAGGAGACAAGCTCCGGTGCCAGATGAAAGCAGGCGCTTTCTCATCAGTGCCAGAAGGTCAGATTACTCTGGTGTTTGGCGGGTTTGTTGCTGGTACCTGCAAGTCGGGGGCATCGCTGGAGGAGATGGGTTTGGAAGAAGGTACGCGCAGCTGATCGATGGTGTGCGCAAAGAAGCACACGCGGCGCCGGCACTTGGGACCGTCATTGCAGAGCTGGCTGCGGTACCTGATCAGGCGCATACAAGATATCCATAAGCTCCACGTCTGAGCCGAGCCTCACGGCATCTCTATGTGCCTGCCTTGCTCCCAGCTGCTGACTCCCCACTCCTACCTTTTGCTAGAGGCACGGTGATTAATTGACGCATTTGTAGACAGAGTGGGTTCACTGGGTGGTCTGAAATTATTAGGTGGGTGCAAGTGGGCATCGACACCAAGCCCATCAGAGAAAGGGGGAAGTGCAAAAGGGGCCCTGCAGCTCACCTGGTGGGGTGCAGCCAGTACTCGAAGACATTGTGGGCGTAGGGGCACCTGTCTCCCCTTGGGCACGAGCCAGTCTGTGCAGGGATCACAGCATCACGACAGTTGCACTCGTGGTTTCAAGGAAAACCAGCACATATACACCCTTCAGGCCCTCCGACAATGTTGAATATCTCTTTCGGGTACCCTGGTGTCTCGCCACCAAAAGTACCCGCTTTATATTCTTAAAAATGTCATACAGGCCTCTCAAACCGCCACGACAAGGTCAAAACGTCAGCACAGCTCACACGCTCGTAAACGGAGGAGCAGCCTCTCCGACGCCCCTCCTAGCCAAAGCCTTTGCATTGACCCAACAAGAGCATGGCCAGCAGGTCTGAAAACGATTTTATTGCCCACAGGCGCCCAGATATTTGCTGTCTCGAACGGGAAGGCCAGTCCAGCTGCCCAGGACACAACGCAGGGACAGCTCCCGGCTTGCAGGCTGCCCAGAGGGTTCTCAAACGTGCTAATAAACGACCCCACATCCACGGAAACGCTCGTCCGAGCACCAAGGTCCTTCCGCCAAATAACGCGTCGTACGCGCTTGAGCAAATGTCCTGCCGTCCATACCTTCTTCATGTCGGGGCATGCGATCCCAGTGTACTGGTGGACTTTTGGATCCCTCCTGCGCGCCTTCTCCCCCGGGTGCGAGAAGGGACAGTCCGACCAGTCGTGCACAAATCGCTTGCAGCAAGGCAGGACCTGTAATTGGCCAGGAAAAGCACTTCTTGCACCATTTCACTCCAAACAACATCTCAAATACAGCCTTACAACGCCACATGTGCCTTGCATTCAGACACATGCGAATTGGGGGGGATACGGGCTTGCCATACCGCTATGAATCTTGACATCATAAAGTGCCCAGCAAAGATGTGGCCCTACCTTCATGAAGAGCATCCTAAAGCTGTCTGTCTGGTACCTCGGATTGTCATTGTCATCCAATGAAGCATTGATGGGCTCCTCTCCTTCCACCTGACGACACAAACCAGCATTACAGTGCAGCTAAGGTGGAGCCTAGGTGTGGGGAGCTGCTTTCCATAGTGACCCACGCGCCGAGCCCCGGCAGCTTCTTAAGCACCGTCTCACCTCAAAGAGCACGCCAGCATCCGTCTTGATACCCTGCATCGTGGAAATTTCGCGTCGGCTGCTCGAATGCTTGGACGAGCTTCAACGCGCTCGAGCCGTCATAAGCGTCTCAGAATCCCCGGTGCGGGCTGCCCTGCTCGAGATTGTTGAAGCGAGCTGAAGGGTCTGGTCGCCGGAAACAAGAGTCCTACCAAGTCTCATTCATAAGACGAGGAACTACGCAAGAACAATCGCCTCGCTGACCTCATTAACGTCATGACGATCACTGACGCGGCGCCTGATGTCAAGCCAAAACAGGACTTCACCTAAGATTTGGTCCCTTTTCGGGCAGATTCGCCAGGATTTTGGCGAAATCTGGAGATTCGGACTCCCTGATCCACCCCTTCTTGGGACTCGCCCAGTGACTGACCCCATTTTGCCTTGCAACAATCTCGTCTGCCGTCGGAAACGAAACCGTCCCGGATATTCCCTTCTCATTCCCTGTTGTTACCGCGGGCTGTGACAAGTCTTTCTGGTTGCTTCAAAATGAGAGCTGGAATATGATGAAGGCGAAAAGTTTGCTACTGGGTGGCAGCAATGTCGATGCAGCCGCTGTTGATACCACGGCTGGTCGATGCAGACGACGATGCAGACAGGGGCTGCTCATACGAGGCTGTCCCTGCATCTGCTGATGATGTTCTGCGCCAGAATGACAAAGGAAAGTCTTAAATCCGTGATTTCGTTGCAGACTGCGAGCCCTGGGAGGGTCTGATCGTGCTCAGGCGCATTGATGACCAGTGCAGCATCGTTGGTGACTCTCCCAGGTGGTGCAAACAATACTGAGTGTATGTTGCGCCATGGCTATCCATTCCCATGATTTGTCGTGGCTGACCTAATGCATGCTGAGCAGGTCGGTTCAAACAGCTCTATCAGTGGCAGAGAGCTTCGGGTACAGCAAGGAATTTGTTGTACCCTTGGAGGATACAAGAGACTCCGAGTTTCAGCCAGTCCCTGATGGCATCTTGCTGGCCAGCGTGCTCTGCCTGGGTGCCGTTGTGCTCCTCTTTGCAGCCACCACCAGCTATGTCATTCTGACGATGGTGGCCTGAGGATAACAGAGTAGGAGCTAGGCCTGTATACGAACAATCTGTGAATCTACCTCTGGTTTATTCAGAACTCGTGTTTTTTCAGTAGGAAGTGCCAGAGAAATCATTTGGCACCGCTGAAGTGTACGACATTTATGAAATCATCCATCCCCGTGGCTGGAAGCCCTCAAACCCCAGCTTGAATGGGTATGCAAATATTGGCACAGCGCTGGAAATTGTTTAGCCACGGTGATGGTGTGGGAACCATGAGCTCTTCGGGGAGACCCGTAGGCAATTGGACCTTGATTCCAGGCCAGGGGATCTTCACTTGCAATACCGGTGCGTGATCATTTTCTGAAACGTTACACAATCAGGTCTGCGATACAAGCACTGCAGCGCACTGTACATCACACTCCAGACTTGTGATCCTTCAAGGCTCGGCAAAGAAAGTGACTTTCTTTACAAAGAAAATCAGGATCCACAACGCGCTTGCGAGTGCATGTGAGTACAAATGTAAGAATCGTTCGCGCATACAACTTTGCACTGCAACATGGCCAAATGACCCCAGGGTTTCTGCATGCAGCTTATGCCACCCTGCATTCTGGAATACGATTTCCTATCCTTAATAAAAAATTTCCACCATTCAATGAAGTCCGTGTGCCGAAAAAAGCAGCAGGCGGGGAAAGAGCTGCCTGTTCAGGGGACACCCTCTATGAGCAGCAACGGTGTAACAATCTGCAACGTGCAGAGGGTTACATACAGGTTCCAGGGTCAGCTATGACTGATCATGACCTAAGGACAGAAGTGACGGATCCTGACTACCAGGTGGACAGCCATGTAGCCCATACAGGCTGCGGGCTGATCCTGACAACACCGACAGTAGTGCCCAACCCCGTGTGATTTAAACACGCCCATCCATAGGAATACCATTTGTTACACAACCTGGCAAGATCGACTGCTTTGCCACAAGAGAACACAATAAAGATTAAATTCGTGAAAGCTTTCCGCTATCGCTTTCTTGATTGCATCCTATTGTGGCACAAAATATATGCCAGGCTCTATCAAGAATGATGTCTAAACTGATCCAGCAAGCTTTTCACTCAAGTCACACTGCTAGCGCTACCCCTGACACATGCTCTCACCCCGACTGACTGACACCTAATAAAGAATTGCCAAGGCAGAGAAATCCAGTTACCAGCACTTTTGTTGTTCGAAAACATCCACAGAGGACCAACCCCATAACACTCACACGTGCTGCAAGCAATGCTAGGCTGGTAAAGTATACGGACACTTTGAAAGAGGCGTTTTGTCGGCGCAGCAAAAGGATCTCGGCCTTAGGTCCCAACATGTACACAAACGCCACAAGTAGAGCAGAGCTTCATGTACGCAAGACCAACAATTATCAGCTAAAATTAAAAACACACATCCTCAGAGGGCATTTGGCAACACCTGTTCAACTCTTCTTTGCCAGCACGCCAGCATGAAAGTGTTTTTCCTGTTATGCATTTGTTATTGAAGTGGACCCTCTCATGCCTCACGTAAGCCTTGCAGACTCTTCCAATGACATACACACGACTAAAAAAGAATTGAGGATAAGAGGATGAGAATTGAGGATAAGAAATACGCAAAATAATAATAGATAGCACGAGCACTCACATTGTGCAGTTTGGCGGCTCAGGTGAAATCCTCGACCCCTGACACGCAAAACGCTCAGGGGGGATTGCTCTCGTGGGGCTGCTGGTAGGGAAAATTGCCAAACCCCCGGCTCCCAAAAAACCACAAGGGGATTTGCGCTCGTGGGGCGGCCGGCGGGGAGTTATCTCAAACCCCTGGCCCTGGGAACCCTCAGGGGGCGTTTCTCTTGTGTGGCAGTCCCGGCCAAGGCAAATATAGGTCATTTGTTCTGGCACTTGCAGCCTTGTCTTTCTGTTTGCTTGCGAGCTTATACAGGCACTGACGGTAGGTTGTGCTGCTGATCCCCTTTCTGCTGCACGTGTTCACCTAGCAGGCAGGCTAGAACTCGCTTGTAAACATAGGCCACATCCCTTCTCAACAAAAACCCTCAGGGGGCGTTGCGCTCGTGAGGCGGGCGGTAGGGGAGCCCCAGCAGCTCGAAGATGTCGGCCTCGGTCTCCACCGTCCTGCCGGATCCCCACCCCGGTGGCCAGCGGGGGGTCCCGTCCCGGTCCAGCGGGGGCCCCTCGTCCGGCACCACTATCGCTGTGTTCCCTACCCTGCGCATGATCCTGCACCGCACAGGAAATGGAGCTGTGAGATGCTTGTACGCTGCATTATGCCTGCAGGTGGCCACGTGCTCTGTGCTTGAGCCCATTTGCTAGCATCACTTGACTGCATGTATACAATGTGATCGACAATGCTCCCGGGCCAGAATGTTTGTATTATTGATGCACTGGGTAACATGTGCAAGGCAGCCCTTCCTCCCTCCCTTGACGCTTGCTCTCTCTTGATGCCTGCACCCTCTCTTGGCTGAAACATCTCAAAGCAGCACATGTACCCATGCAAGCAGGCTCGTCACCCACACTAGCCCGTGAGGTTTGCAGCTTTCTGAAGAGTACTGAGCTGTCGGTATGATTTGGCTTGACTTGCGCGCACCGATGAGAGTTGAGGTGCATGCCGCGGTCGGCCGCGTACTGGCGCAGGAATCGCAGGTACTGGCGGGACCCGGTCCAGCCCAGGATGCACGCGGCGCGCTCCTGAGGCGGTGCTATGATCACGTCCAGCCGCCGCACCTTGCCGGCCTCCGTCAGGTAGTTGCCGAATATGTGATCGTGCCTGCACGCGATTTCAGATGTCAGGCACCTTTTGTTCTGCAAGACAACGAGGATATTGTCATTGATATGGTCATGCCTGTACGGGAATCAGCATGTGAGGCATCTTTCCGAAGCTTCCTGTTGCAGATTGGACCACACAGTCAGCAAGCTCCTCAGTCATCCAATTGCAAATTGCTGCATGGCTTGCTCCGCAGTGGGTGCCTGAGCACGCGCCGTTGAATCTTGCGCTGGCAATACCACATGTTTGGCAACTATCTTTCTGTGCGCGCATTCTACCTCGCATGCCATCAGGACCAAGGGGGGTCAGTGGAAGGAAGACTTGGAGCACGGGAGAGCCGGTGGGAATATTGCCCATGCAATGCACTCGGTTGGACCCTCCAGCAGCTGACATGCACATCTGGCCAAAAACTACTCAGAGCCCTATGCTGATGACACTTATGCTCTTGACCACTGCCATGTTTCTACCCAGATCCCTGAAGAGCCCCCTGGGCACAGTACATTTCTCTGCCACACTAGCCTTGCTTGCCACATTTGGTGGCTTAAGACGGCTGGATAGGCAGCAGTGAGAAGCGCACCGGTCTGCTGACAGGTTGTGCAGGGTGAAGAAGGAGGCTGTCTGCTTGCGCGACACCTCCTCCCGCATCGACTGCAGGTGGGTGGGCATGCGCGATGACTGCACATTGCACACAGATAATTTCATTTTTATTATTACACGCCTATCCAAGCCACAGCTCAGCCTATCTCGGCACCTATTATTATAATTACACGCTTTCCCTGCCAAGAGGCAAGGTGCGTCTGTAGACAAGCTGCGGTAAAGGCTGCCAAAATCCTACCCCTTGATGGACTCGCCAGATCCAAGCAAAACTCAATCAACCGCGGGCACGGTGCTCAGTATTTGTACCGGCCCCCGCCAACCGGGGCCGATTGCACACAGTGCTGGTCAGAATTCCAGGGGAGAACCTGCCACCCACCCAAAAGCCAGCACTGACAGCTGTCTGACAGCTGTCAATGATGCAAAGGTCACGTAATGCCGGCGAGGTGAGAGTGCAGGGGCAGAAGGGGCTTGTGCATGAGACAGCAGGGTGAGGTATGGAGATATGGTACTGACTGGAAGCTGTTTGCCTACATTACTGCGCACAGAGCCAGCGCCAGCAATCCAAGGGAGGACACGGCAAACATGGATCTCAAGAACACAGCGATGCCTGATCGTGAGGCAGGAGTGGGAAACACCTGCGTCAGGCACATGGCCTCTGACTTGGGGAAGAGGCGGCCCCGCGCGCACAGCTCGTCATACAGCAGGTTTCCAATGCCCTCTGTCGACCTGCAAAGTGTGATATTGAGCACTCACTATATTTAATACTTAGGTATTACGACTGACTGATTGCATGCATATATGCGAGTGACATGTCATGCAGGTGCAGGGACTGTCGTCCAATGGCGTTCCCTCCAGTGCAGCACCTTCAGCTGCACTTCAGACTTCTTAAATCAGTGGTATATAACCGCTACCAGCTATTGGATTATCTCGATATCACACGATGCCACATCATAAGTGGTTAAGACTTTTACACTCTCCACAAGGTCCCGCATTGCAAGAACTGAGGTTGGTGGCTTGGCAGTCATAACTGATTTTACTGTGTCTTGAGAATGTGGTCAAGTCCACTGGCTCGCGAAGCTATGGTAGCAGCACAGGATCCTGAACCATGCGCATGTGTTTTTGGCAGCATGCCACCTGCACAGCTGTCATGGCTCCACATGTCATAGGCAAAGAGCACCAGGGCCGACAGGAAAGAGGAGCGCACGTTTCCTTGTTCGAGACGACAAAGTCTGCGTCGTGCGAGGCGAGGCCCCTTGCTGCCCCGCCCACGATCTGCAAAACCCACCCGTTGCCTGTGCAGCATCAGCGAATGATGATTGTCATGACTCAAGCTGACTCAACAACTGACAGTCAGGTGAATCACTGCCCAAGGTGGCTCACTCCCACTGCTTGTGGGTTCACCCAATGTGGGTTCACCCAATTACTAAGCGGGCAGGCCAAAAGAAGAATGAGAGTGACTGTGCACAAGTGTCTCTCGCTGTTCTGCCAAGTCTGGTGGCTGCATGCATCGCGCGGCTGATGTTATTGAATCAGCATGACTCGTCAGCCACAGTGATCATTGCTTTTCTGCTCACCTTTCACTTGCCCTGTTCAGGGGCAACTAGCACTAACCCAGCACAGCAGTCAATCATGCGTCAAGAGGATGAATCACTATCTCAGCGAAGTGTGCTGTGAAAAAGTGTCATGATGAGTCTTGGTGGTGAGTCAGCACGAGTCAGCATGCCTCACCGGCGACAGTGGTGAGGGCGTCCAACACTTCGCGGCGCATTTCATCGACATCATCTTCGGTGCAGGTCTCCAGCAGGTCCCCCCGGTGCGCCACCGAGAACGCCTGCGCCACTGTCAGGGGGGCCACCCCCCCTATCGCCAGCGGGCCCCCCGGCTTTGCGGCCTCGGCCACGTCATCTAGCGTCCTAATTTGGCACAGATAATTTGGGCGTCAGGCTCACACTGACACTTGCCAGTATGACTAAATTTTCGCCATGGAGCTTTATCCCAAAGTCAAGTACCTGCTGTGCTCATTCATGCCAATGCACCTGGACATTTCGCAGGTCCCTGCATAAGTGGCCATTCTGTGGAGGATATAGGTACGAAGCGATGGGATCACAACATACTCACAGTCTCGATTCTCATATTTAATACTCCTCTCCCTGCCACATGTTTTCTGCCCGTTCACCTTAGCGCTGTTGTGGGAAACCCATATTTCTTGGCCCTCTTCACCTTGAGAGCGGTTCTTGTACAAAGTAGCCAAAGGAATCTGGCAATGAGATCTGAACTTCTTTCCTGTCCTCAGCCATTTTCCTCATTGGAACTCACACATGGGTTTTGTTGAAGCGGTGTTTTCTTGCCTCAGAGGACAAGCGTTTGCTGGACGACGTCCAGTTATCCAGGTATGGAATATGTTAAGAGTAACAAAGCGCTCACCTGAGCCCCAGGTCATACCATCGTTTGGCGGTGGCCGATCCGACCCCCGGCAGCTTCTTGAACTGCCGCCGAGCCACGCTGCCCACAGCATGCTCGTACATTTTCCGCTGCCCATTCGCGTCCGGCGAGCTGTACACCTGCACGCCCGCCCTGCAAACCCCCAGAAATTTTCAGAGGCATATGGTAAAAGGCGATTGGCAGGGTCACATGCCAGCAATCAAGCCTGCCACGTCACCGGCAACTTCAAAATTGTAGTTATGTGCAATCTTGCACAGGAAGTGCCTGCACTCGAGGCGGATCGATTGGGGGCCACTCGCTGTTTCAGGAAAGAGTGGCTCGATAGTGCATGAACAAGGCACTGCATGCCTCGGACCACACAATGTGCAGCACATTTTACTTCGAGATGTGCCCTCAGATGGTTCCTAGTCTTCTGCCAATCGGAAAGGCTGATGCAGAGAGATCAGGTTGAAATTGGAGAGGGCGCTCACTGGTGCTGCTCGAGCTTTTAGAGTGGCCTGAGGTTGTGGTTATGTCGCAGACGTGGGCAGTTTACTGGCAAATACATGACTGCACCGTACTTGAGTGGCATCAGACGCAAGTGGAGCAAGCACAGTAGTAACTCTTAGTATTCAGCTACTCACCGGTGCTGCTCGAGCTCCAGGGTGGTCCCGGTGGCGGCAATTTCGCAGATCTGCACCGCGCGCGCACCGCCCACAAAGGGCAGCTGGTTCTTCAGGTCCTCCGGCCGCGTGCCCGGCTCGATCTTGAACGCGCATGCGCGCACAGCCGACGCCGCCCGCGCGAAGCCAAGCGACTGCATGCCCGGGCACATTGCATCAAATCCTTTGTTGGAAGTACAACCATTTCTGCATATGTCCCTTGAAATGGGCAGATAGTTCACATCTCCTAGACCCATTTTCCCCTTTCCCTAAGCTCAAACTGGTGCATGCTGTAATACAACTACCCCTCTCAGAGGTCATCTGGTTGCTAAAGGCCAGAGAATCACATGGCCCCTCTGCTGCATTGGCTCGGGAATGATCCTCTATACAGAAGGCACCCTCCTTATGCACTTGGGCAGCAAGGCTCCTGGAAGGGGCAGCAAAACATGAGCAGAAATGACGGTGCTTTTCGACACCATAATTTGTGACCCGGTAGAAATCGGACAACATCTGCAGGACGGACACTCCGCACATAGTGGCATGGCAACAGCTTGCGCATGCCCATTTTTGCGAGCCCATCAAGTGGTAGGATATGTGGCAGCCATTTCATGCAGCTTGTCTGCAGACGCACCTTGCCTCCGGCAGGAAAAGCGTGTACCCATAAAAGCATGCATTGTGATGCAAGTTCTGTTTCCTGCCACGCTCAGGGGCGCATGGCAGCTGTAAAGCTGCTCAAACAGGCCAAAACAATGCTGAAGACCGTGAACAGCGCGCACTTTGTGGTTGACATTTTGCTGCGTGCGGGTGGGAGGCTCATCCGGACCAGGGTCTGCTACTTCGCGCACAAAGTCGCCCTGCAAAACATGCTTTGACTAATTAGTAACCATACTAAAGAGATCAGTGATCAAAAGGTATTCAGCTAGACGCCAATGTGGCTGCATAAAATGTCTTCCAAAATTTCAATGAAAGCCACAAATGCGCATGAAATCATGGAGAATCATGCGCGATTAATGTCTCGGTGAAAAGCAACTCACAAAGGTAGAAACATGGTTTCCTGAATATGTGAGAACTTCTTTAGAAGCCAGTGATGCCACTCTCGAGTGATGCAGGTGCCACAAGAATTCCCTTTTATTTATTTATCGCCACAATTATGCCACACTGCTCCCTTATTTGTTGCTTAGCAACATTGATGCCACAAAAAACCTACAAAGATGCCTTTATGTAATATACAGAACGATGCCTTCAGAAAACCACGGAAAGACAATTACCTCCAGAGCGTCCCAGTACTTCTCCATTTCCACCAGCGCTTTCACAATGGCGCCGTTGCCCACTCGCTCGTCGTTCCTCTCATCGTACGCCGCCTGCGCGCATGCATGCATGCCACCGCTCATGACTAATATCTGACAACAGGCCTCCACCCAAGAAATGGAGGGAAAGAGGAATCCCAACCTCAGATGGGGATCCAGGAACTCTGTCAGACTCGCGTTTAGCTGCGAGCCAGCATGCACTTTCTCCAACAGCCTTCCCATCCAAAGCTACATGATGTTGGCTAGAGTGTCTCAGAAAATTAGTTGCAGGCGCATGAGATGCTCACATCTTCTTGATGCGGCAGAACGTAGGGGTAATTCGGAACAATTGTTGTTCTTTAATCACCATTACAGAATGCAGATCCTTGTGCAGAGGTCATTTGCCGGCCACCGCACTAGCACTACTACTACTCTTCATTTGACACTCCATATTTGGTTCCATTAAATGTGTGAAAAGAGAAGCTCGGAAAGAATGAGGCGCACCATGAGCATGAGCTCGCTCTCAGTCTTGATGTGGTCGTACTCTGGCCGCCAGTGCCCCAGCCATTTCTTGTACTTGCGCATCGGCCCCCTCGCCTGATTCCTCTCCGCATCTTCTTCTGCGCACATGGCATGCATCCCCGTCAACGCCCCATTGCACAGTGAGAGCACAGGATCCTAAAGTCGCTGTTCTATACTAGACAGCATCCAGCGCTAAAGCTAGTCAGACACTCAAGTCAGTAGAGAGTCAACCTCCACCGACTTGCAGACCGATGGGGTGCACATGGTGGGGAGCAATGTGTGTGCTGAGACGTTAATGAGACACTTCCCACCAACGCTGACTTGAATGGGATGTCGGTGGGGCCACTCTGCGTCATCATGGGATTGCAGACAGACAGGCAGGTGAAAGGGCTGCAGTTTTTCTTGTCAGCATGAGTAGGCATGCTGCTCGCCTGCAATTTGGCGCGCAACGGCAGCGGAGACGTTGATCAGGTGACATCCCTCCGGCAGCCGCTTCTGGAGAGACAAGCATTCCTCCAGCCAGGTATTCTGAACATGCAAAATTTGAGTTTCACCCCTTTGCTACTTATGCTACTTAGTCAGGGGGCTCTAGCCTAAACGCTACACAAACTATTTAGAGTCCCCTGACGCAATTCTCAGCTGCAGCCATGATCTGAAAGTCAAAAGTGCATGACCAGACCAATTTTGTTCCCCCGCAAGCCATCCAACACGGCTTGCAAATAGCATACGAGGGAACCATATTATCACTCCCGGCTAGCGCTGGAACATCTGCTTCACATTCATGTGGACTAGGAGTGTGGCTTCCAGGGATGAACAATTTGCTGCAGGACATCGATACATTTCTAGGAGAAGTGTGCATGATTGTGACTCACCTGCACTATCTTGGCACGCTTGGGTGGCTGGAAGCCCTGGAGCCCCTCCAGCTTGTCCCCAACAATGACATGCGTCAGTCCTGGATCATTCAACGCCTGCGCACATTGGCACCTCTTCAGGTGCTAAATGATTGGTCTCTGGTCACCATGTAATGCACAACAGCAGGCCAAAATGTGAAGGAGGCATTAGTTTTTAGCTTTCATGATTGTCAAGTTGCCTGAGTCTGCCCGTTCCATGCCAGCAAGCCTAAAATGAGAAGCCCTGCTCATGCATGCTCTTTGCAGCAGGCAGAATGGGATGCTCTGCTGCTCAATCCTAGAAGAGCAAAAATGCATCCCACTATTGCCTATTACGCATCAACTGTCCTGCAGCACCAGAGACACGGACACTGAGGGTGTGTCTGGACATTCAACCCAGGCAGATGATGCACCTTGATGACAGAGGCGCCAGCAGATTTGATCTTGGGCTCCCAAATTCTGGTGCGGGACGAGGCATTTGGGATCGTGCTGGTGAGAAAGTAGATCTGACACGGCCAGAATATTCACTTTGTCTGCAAGCAGCCCATGTATCTCCTTCTTGCAACGATTTGAGGAAGCGAGGTGAAAGGAATGGTGACACAGTCCATACCTTGACACCAGCCAGGAAGCCACCTGAATTCTGCATACTTCAGGCATTCGCTCGAAGGACTTTTCGATCCCTCTGCAGAGCTATTACCATCTCATACAATCGTGCATTGGTCTTGATATGATCTATGTAACCTCAATATGGTACTCATTGGCCCGATTCACGTTATTGCTGGTATTGATCAACACATGCGGGAGGGTGTGACAAGTGTCCTTTCCTATCTCTGTCATCACGCAGTTCTATGATTACTTGCAGCCGACAGCCATTTCCTACCGAATTGCATTCCGTGGCCATTCTGTTGCAACAAGAGAGGTAAGTGGGAAGGATGCTGAGCACAAAAGCAGCTAAGTCCAGCCTTGCCAAAAGCCGACAGTACTAGTACCGCAGAAAACCACTTGCTTATTCACACTATCACTTACTTATCACATATGCATTGGGAAATGTGACCGCAAGTGATAACTTGCACCGCACGACGATGCCATGATCGTGCTCCAACGTTCACGCGCCAAAGTTGGCAACGGAGCTAGCAGTGCAGGAAATATTCCACCAACCCCCACCTAGGGTTCTCCAGACCCCGTTAAACCTCCATCAACCCCTGGAACCCTGATGCACTATAGTGCACCAGAATGGGCAGCCACTGCACTCAGGCAACAGACAAGGTGCAAAGGTTCCCCTCTGCAAATATGTGCACGTGCACCCCTACAGTGGCTTCGAAGTGGAATTCCAGAGGCATTCGACTCTTTGCAGAGGCGTGGCAGAGAATGCATGCCTGTTTGTCTGGTCAAAAATGGAATTCCGCTGGGACGATCTGTATTCATACAGGCAATGTGTCACTGTCAAATGCTTCTTCCTCTACTAGCCAGACTTCTGCATAGCATCTGAAGATCAGACATGCAAGAAGACAGCCTTCAGCAAACCCAGATACGACCTGCCGCCAGAAGGACACGACCTGCTGTCACCGGCTGCCAGAGGCATCAGGCTGCTAAAACAGAGCAGGGTGGGCAGCCAGAGGTTCAGGAAAGCCAGGAAGGACGCGACCATGTATGCAGACTTCTGTGAGGCGGAGCATGCCCGCGGGGGCCGGGGCCGGTCACTTACTCGCTTATCCCTCAATGGTGAAATGAGGCGGCGGGACATCGATCACGGCCCAGACCACCTGGTTGAGGCCCCTATGCTGTTCAGCAGCGGTCTGGGCAGAACGGCCCCAACGATCAAGTGCACTATATCACGTATATACTCAGAAACCACAGCAATCCCACTTCAACACAGGTAATGTTTGAATATGCACTTTTCAATCGAGCCCCGTGATTTGCTTTTTATATGCGTCTGTGCAAGGATGCTTTTGCATGTCCCATGGAAGCAGAACTTCAACAGTCTCAAAAGCAGCCAGGCCCCTGGCATTGATGCTGGGTCAGCCCATACTCCCACCACTACACGCCTGCTCATCTGCTATTGGGCTCTTCTTGTTCATGCAGGTGCTCAGGGTAGCGCACCAGAGCGGGAGGCCAGGAGCAATGAGTGGTCTAAGGAAGGCGGCAGCCCTGTGGGCCCCACAGCCGGCCAAGATAAAGCGGAGCAGCTCGACTGAGGGGCTGCAGTGTCTGCGCTGCTAGGCATGACGCATGCATGCCTCCAATTACCAATGGATGTGCTGCGTGCTAGTGCCGGCAGAGTGCTCAGCCGGCCAAGTCCGGGCTCAGTCACAAATCGTGCGGAGTTGATCAGCGTTCCTCGTGACTTAATATGTTAATGTTGCTGGGCATTTAAAGTATAATTAGGTAGGTACATTAGTTGTATAGCAGTGTTACCCATTTGGGTCCTAGGGCGCAATTTTTTTGGCACCATCGTTGTATTTACGCAGAGAGGCCAAAGACGGCACCCATTGCCGAATCTTCCAGCTTGAGAAGTTGTAGAGCAATTGAAGGCTGCCGCCGCGGGGCAAGATATTTTAATATCTGGAGCAGGTGCAGTCACATACCTTGCATCCCAGTCATGACTAATCAGTAATGCCCTTGCGGCTCGTGCCAGCTGATCCTTCCCGTTTAGATCTCACATTCTTCACACTTCTTCACACGGCATTCTGGGCGGTCCCTCAGCACCGGCACCTGCAGATGACTCGGAACCCTGTCCGAGGCCGTGTCAGATGCGCACAGCTTCACAAAAAAACACAGCCGTTCATCCCTGAATTCGGACCCCTCACGCACCTCATCACTGGATGGCACGATCCAGGGCGTCTGGCTCTCCACATTCGCCTGATACAGCTGCCGGACCTTGTCAGGTTGCGCTCCCGGCTCCCAGTACTGCGTGAAAGTTCCCAGCCTCACCGGCTTTGGCATGACCGACCTTGCGAACGCCATGGTTTCTTGTTCCGCACCTTCTTCACTTTACATACATCTACATGTCACGGATCTGCCTCGACTTCCGCTGCCCATTTCGAGTCACCCGACCGAGTCACGTGGCACGTCATTCCCGCACGTGCGACCCATCTACAACCCAAACTACTAAATTACCTCCCACCTACTTAGTAGATCTCGATTTCCGCCCACGTCATCATCATCTACTAGCTAGTAGCTTATTATTATTATTATTATTATTACAGGTCGGCAAACCCAAAGCCAGAGGCCATAGGGCATACACGCAAGGCGTCTGCAGCCACATCTGCGGGGCCTTCATTAGTCTGCAGCTTAGCTCCAAGTGGGCAGAAATCGAGATCTACTAAGTAGGTGGGAGGTGATTTAATAGATTGGATTGTAGATGGGTTGCACGTGCGGGAATGACGTGCCACGTGACTCGGTCGGGTTACTCCATATGGGCAGCGGAAGACGAGGCAGATCCGGCCGGCCTGCGGCGCCTGCGGAACCGGCTCTCACACGTACACGACCACTGACTGCCACGTGCACGCAAATTGCAAGGCCAAAGCCTACACTCTACTCATATTGATCCAAATCAATTGATCTACTAATCCCAAAAATTCTTAGCCAGCTAAACAAGGTTGCGCCAGGTTGTGCCATTTTTGCCAGGATATCTCTTTTGATAGCCAAGGTCTCTCCTGTGCAGTAGATGGCAATCAGATCTCTCGGATTACAAATGCTTATAGCGTATTGCACTTATTGCCAATCCTGTCAATGTGGCTGATTACAAACGTAGAGCGCTCACCAGGCTGTAGGTGACTCCTTGCTCTCTTCTAATATCCTCAGAATCAGAGCTGAGTCTCCGTGAATGTCCGACAGGTGTCCGATAGTTGTTGTAGGGTACAACTTGTAGCCATCTGCTCTCCTTTTACGTTGCAGATTGCGCAGCAGATCTGCAATTCTGCAATTTAGGATTTCTTCAGATCGTTGTGATATTTTTATGTTTTTACATGTTTAGCTTGCCAAACAACATTTATTTGGCCAGTCCTAGGACAGGAAGGCCCGGGGCACTTGAGCAGGCCCAGGATCAGGATGCATTTATAGAAAACGTTCAGACAATGTTGTGAAATCCCCCATTGTGTTACCATATACACTGCAAGCAGCATTGTAAAAGATGTCGAGTCTTTTGAATCTTTGTTGCGTACTTGTCATCAGTTTCTTGTGCTTTTCCTTCAAGGTGTGCAGAGTTGCACCTTTCAGTGGTTATACTGGCACCCAGCAGCAAAGATTGAACAAATATGTGTTGCATTGTGCAGGATGGCGATTGTAGGTCGCTCATTCTTGTGACCTGAAGAGGTTCCGAGGTTCCAAGTCTCCCGGGGCAGAACTCCCAAATGACATCACGGGTGGCCCAGGTGACGACTCAGTGGGTTGGCTGCCTCCCTACTAGTTCTGTAACTGGCAGGTGGACCACACAGACTTTGATCTTGTCTGCTCACACAGGTAGTTCTCTTGAAGTGGGAGGAGACAGGAGAAGAGCACAAGCTGAAGTTGTATGACATTCAGCCTGACAGCAGTGGCAGACTGGCCTGGGCTGCTGTCGAGGAGGCTTTCGGTGCTGATCTGGTGGAAATCTCAGACGAGGGAACACCGGGGCTCCTTCAAGTAGGCGACAGGGCGGGACTCACCATAGACACTTTCCAGCCCGGGGACACCATCCTGGTCAACGTCAGCCGCAAAGCCCAAGGTATTGATGGTACACCGCATACAGCTTTGCTCAAAGTAAGTGCACTCCAGACCTCAGCAGCTTGTAGTGCGAGCAATCCGGGTCAATGCAAGTGCAGTGGATACCGCTGTTTCTGTCTCAACCATGCCACTTTGCCACTGTCGCATTGTGTGCTGGTTCCGCTGTGTTAAGTCTGCCGATTAGCTGGCGCTGCGGCATACTGTGGGGGCTTTAGTGCAGACTGGTGCTGCACAGCATATAATTAACGACAGAGAACGCAACTGGCAATAGGCTGGTGTGCCAAGTCAACTGTCACTAAGCATGCATTTTGCTCTGGCTTAGCCATGCAAGCGTGGATGCAGACTATCTGCAGCTCAACTCGGTCCTGGTATGCGGGTCTTGCTTCTGCAGCGTGACTCTTGCTTGAGTACTGCTTTGCACATTGATGAGTTGCACCACCAAGCTTGGTCAGTGCTGTGCAGTTCTGGGGTATCATTGTTTAGCAATGCGTGTGAATCAGGGGCACATGTCTGTGATCTGAGAGCAGTGATTGTACCGTGCAGCACAAACCGCTGCAGAAGTGGCGTCCGGTTACTTCGGTAAAAACAAGTATGGCGTGCTGGGGTTGGCGCCCTCCAGTGCAGCAAGTTTTGAGAACTACAATGAGCTCCAAAAGCTCCGCATCAACGCACCTTTCTTCCTCTCAGGCCGGCCTGCCAGTGCCAAGGTATCTACTCAGCACGATGTGCACCTACCAAATGTGATGTCCATGCAAGGTGTATGCTACATTGCCGCTAGCTTTGTGTCCTTTATGTATCCTGACCTGCATGGAAACTTAATTTGGAACATGTGAAAAACTTGCTCAATCTTTACTTCGGCAAAATGTGCAGGCGCCACCTCTGGCACTGGTCCACGAGGTCTTTGGGGAGTTCCTGACAGACGCTGACAGCATCCAGCCCTCTCCGGACACCTTTGACTTTGTGCTTGAGGCATGTGCCATGCTCGCCGACTTCTATGCAGATGAGAAGATCAGGCAGCAACTCTTCAACAGACTTCTGGGGAGGTTTCTGGGCAAGGACATCTACAGTGTCAGTCTCACCGAGGGCGTCAGTGCCACTGGTGGGAGCATCGTTGATAGTCTGGACAAGCCTGAGGTGCTGCCATTGGTAGTCATGAGTTTTCACTGACTGGTGATGCTCTTGGGGTTTCTTGCCCAGTCTGATGTTGGACAGCAGTGCTTCTACATGCAAGGCACATTGATTCGCGGCATGTTTGGATGCAGTTTGCCTCTCTTCATGTCGAGTACAAGGAGGACATGTCAACTGGGACTGCTTCTGATCCGTCGGCGGAGATCATGTCCTACCACTATTGTTTGCTCAACCGGATGGCACCAAAGTCCCGACTGGCATCATCCCCATGCTTTGGGGTGGTGGTCATTGGCTGCATGCTCTGGTGAGACCGCGCTAGCAGCTTGGAATGCACTCTGTGATTGCAGTTCAGAGAAGAGTGCATGTCACACCATCTAATCTAGCGGGATCTTGATTGTCAACTGTTCTACATCTTCTTGCTGATAGCCTTCACACCAGGTGAGAACTTTTGTTGTGCAGGATCTGTGGCCTGGCATTCGTTGGCAAGCTGGCGTTTCAGCCACTGACACCAATGTTCCCCATGTTGGACCTGCGGCCGGGCCAGCCTGCCTACATGGAGCAGTTGGCGCGGGCATTCGAGGCATTGAGGCATGGCGTCACTCGCTTGGGCAAGGAGTATGCAGCATCGCCGTTGGGTGTGCGACCGGCGCACTTTGTGCCGTACCCATTGACAAACTCTGCCAGGTAAGTGCCAGCATGCATAGTGTGCCAGGGTGTGCATGCAGAACTCTTGGGCACTCGCTTGTATTGCGATGGCATTAACCTGGGCACAACTTGCAGGTGGTTGGAGGTCCAGCATCTGGTGAACATTGACAGCCTGTTGTTCTTTGCCCGCGACGCCCAAACTGAGACGGCCAAAGTGATCAAGTATGTGACCAAGTACAGCACTGAGGTGCATCAGGCACTTTCAGATACCGGACTTGCGCCAGTGCTGTATGACACAGTGCAGCTGAAAGGAGGATTCATGCAGGTGAGCTGTGCCATAGCTTTCATGTATGAAATGTCATGTTTTTGTAGGGTGCAACTGTTCAACTTGCTGGCACAATGACACTGCATCACCAGGCACAGCATTGAAGCAACATTGACTTGTTGCCATAGCTGGTTTGCCCCACTAATGAACTGTGCAGGTCGAAATGGAGCTGCTCGCTGAGGAGGACGGATGGACCCGCCTAGACATGATGTCCGCGGAAGAGCTGTCTCGTGTGCAACCTGCAGTGTTGGCTGCACTGGATCGCGTGCATGCGCTTCGCCTGCCTGATGGTGGCTCGGTGGTGCTGGCAGATTGCCGCCCATGCAATGTGATGGTCAGGTGAGTGCAAGCGCATGACAACTGTGCAAGGCAAGCGTGCTTGCACGTCTTAGCATCCAGTTGCCTGCCTCCCACAAACACTTAGATCAGCGACAAGGAGTCACGACCAGCTTAGCCTTGTGAGGTCCTCCAGCAATGCATTGACAAAACCATGGTCGTGAAAGTTCATCAGATGTTTTCTGGTGCCTGCTCGCTTTGACGTTGCATCCGCTGTCTGGCTACCTTTGCCTTCAATATGCCTGATGTGCCCTTCTGTAAGCATGCAGGATTGTGGATGGCGGCCTCGTGGATGTGCGATTCATCGATTTTGACTGGGCTGGGCGAGCTGGAGTCGTTCGATACCCGTGCTTCATGAATCATCGGGATGTGCCATGGCCAGATGGTGTGAAGGAGTTTGAGCATGCGCTGCAGATACACGACACCCGCCTTCTCACCCGCCATCTGCCCAAAATGTCCACAGCAGCCGTGCACAAGCTGCCGGCCATGCAGCGTCCCAGGCACAGCTTGTGGCGCTGTGGCATACTCCGCTTCCCACATGCAGGGCTATCTGAAAGGCGGCAGCAACAAGTCCATGCATCAACTGCATGCTTGCTCAACACTAAAACTGGCCGTTCATGAAATGATAGAGAGTTGTGCCAGTGCGTGATTTCACGCCTGAATGTGGGGCTGCAGACTGACGGCTGGCTTTCATAGGCGCCTGCCGGCATGGCAACCTTGCATGATATGATAGGGGTAATATTGGGATGATCTCATGGAGGCATCAAATCAGGACTTTGTGAAATGCACAGGATCTGACAAGTCAGAGGGTATTGTGTGATATGATGAGGTCAAAACGTCTCTGTAATTTCAAGGCTCTGTGTCTTTTTCATGACATGATGGGCTTGATCTCGACAGTTCATTTGTCTACTGTAGTTTGGGGGCGTGGTCAAATGTCAACATTTGACTGAGGATGTCACATGTCAATCTAATTTTTGAGTTCGAAGATTGATACCAAAAATGGATTGTAACAACACTCACAATACATTACAGGGCGCTATATTGTTCTTCATTGAACTAGCTTGCACCACTGCCAGCTACATAGTAATCTTGTACTGCTGGCCTACAGAGTAGGCATTGTTGCCCTACACCCTCACATTCCCCCTATACTGCCGCAGTGACGGTCAGGCAGACAAAGCATTGTTCTCAATTTTAGGTTGCAGCAGTCCTGGGGCCGCTCTGTCATTTGGTTCAGATCAGATCTCTGCACCTGGGCTCTGACCTCCTTTTGCTGCTCGTTACTGACTGCCCCTGCCACCTGCAGCGGCCGCGGGCCAGCAACCTAAGCCCTCTCCGCAGTCTAGTCCAATCTGGTCCAGGTAAGATCCCAGCTCCTAGGCTCTGCTGCTGCTGCTTGTTTCACTGACCACCAATGCCGCCTTCAGCGGCCGCGGGGCCAGCAGCGGCTGGCTCTATTGGCAGCGAGCGGACGCGGCGGACCTTCACCAGCGTTCCCTTGCGGCCATCAGCGATATCGCTTTTGGTCTTGTGGTATTTTGTCTCAATCGCTGCCAAGGCAACAGGAAAGGGCTCCCCTGAAATGGGGGGGTCCCATGCTGCTCAGCTTCTCTCCAGTGGGTGCTGGTGGGATAAAAAGTGCCCTAAACGAATGCTTTGTCAGCCATGGTGCCTAAACATTGCGGCCCCAAGTGCTTGTGATCGTGTTGTACATGACCATCACATTCATACAATCACCGTGCATAAAAAAGTCTACATGGCCTAGCCACATCTACCTTCGCCAACCCGATGATCTGAGAAGAAAACGCGCATGCCTCGGTAGAAAGACGATTGCAAGGTTCGTTCTGATTAAATTTTTGTGCGATGCTTCTTCATGCAACAACGCAGATGCTGCGCCCCATTTCGCTGTTTGAAGACTTCTTGACACCACACATGCCACACAACTGAAATACGATATTGCCTGAGCAAGCGTACATCGTGATGATCGCAGGTCAAAGCAGCCAAGGAACGACTCAGTATGTGAACAGATCCGAAGCATGCTGATACCCCTCGGCAATTTTGTCTTCAGATCACCTTTCAGCAATTGGCTCTGGAACACCTCAGTGAGCCACTCATGGCGTGTCATCCGGCTGGCCGGGATGCTCGTCATAGCATTCATCCTGACCGCTCGATCGATCAGGCTCTACCTCAGGTCCTGCCACTTCACCTCTCTGGCTCGCCTTGCACAAAAGTTAGCACAGATGTGCTCCATGGGAGCCTCTTCGACATTGCTCCTGGCACTGAACGCACCTCAATGTCCTCATTGATGGATCCCTACACTTAGTCTAGGATTCCAGCCTGTGAACTCGCCTTTACATTACAAGAAATTATCTTGAAGATTGGCCATGCATGCAGGCTGACTCCAGGCAGTCTAGCGCTCTGTGGCGCGCTCCTCCTCGGAAGCAGTGTCTGGGGGCCGCTGCATGCCCTGGGGGCAGGCGGCCTGGTTTGGCTGACATACACTGGCTTCCAGCTGGCTAAACAGCCTGAGGAAAATGTGGGCCACCGTGCGGGGGCGCCTGGTTTCCTGGGTGAGTCATCTTTTGCATCTTCTAAATCATCCTGGGACAGAGTATATGGTGATTGGACTGCATGTAGGAAATGCTTGAGGTGTGGCATGGGCTGAAGTCCCCTGTGGTGCAGGCTGGTGAAAGTTTGCATTACAGGGAGGTGCAAGCGTGCCAAATCTCAAAAGAATTTCTAGTACGTCTTTGGCATACCAGTCAGCTTCTCTGAGAGCATCAATCTCAACTATTTCTATTGGGTGAATGACGAGAGGAGCAGTGTCAACCACATTTGTCGGGGGATGAGAGCATGCGCTGTGTCCAGGGACTCACTGTGAGAATACTCTGCCTGCGCTGGAGGACTTGATCAGGAGAGACAACGCTGGGGAGCTGCCCCCAGGAGCACTGTCATATGTGGAGTTTGACGTTCACGTGAGTCTGCTCCTTCCCCAATCCACCCCACGTTCCAGTCTCACCGCAGCTGCATATTATGAGTTTTGGACCTTGATAGAGTTATTGCACCAGAATTATGTAGAAGGGGGATGCGTCAGGATTCACTGACCAGTCTTCCATTGCAGCGTGTCAAGACGCCATACATACGCAGCCCTGACAATGCATTACCTTCGCATTCCTGCCTCCAACCTTGCTGGTGGGCAATATCAGGATTCCGGATACGAATGAGCTGTGAGCTGTGAGAGTACTGGGCTCCTTGTGCCAAACAAATTTTGGCGAGTTAGAGGGTTGACTGACGGGGCTGAGGATTATTCCCCCTGTTTTGACGGCTGCAAGGGGCAGTGTGCAGGAGACGAGGGACGGCGAGTTGGTAATTCTCCACGACCTGCAGTCGGTGCTGCGCGCGTCAGAAACACACGAAGTCAACGCGGAAGCTGCCGCGCAGCTGCGCTCGGCGATGCCTGATCTTGACCGGGCCCAGGTGAAGGTGCGCGGCAGCTTCTTCTCCTTTCTCAATGGTTGAACATACCGTAAGCCACTGTGCTAAAGTGGCTGCCAAATTCAAACTGCACTATCCTATACTTAATTTTGCTGGGCGAGAATGATGCACTGGCACTGTGCTCACGTGGTAGTGAGGCTGCATTTGCCTGCAGACTTGAAGCTGACTTGCCATCGACTCAAAACGCTACTTCATGGTGTGGCAGGATGTGGACTTTGCACAGCTGCAGCTGCTGCATGTCGGGGGGCGCGAAGGGCTGCGCATTCCCAGGCTGGCAGACTTTCTGGGGTGCGAAACGATTGTAACCCCTGCGACAGCCTTTGTTGCTGCAAACTTGCAAGTACAGCAAGTGTAGTCTGTGTAATGAAAATCTAGTCGGTGTAGTACTGTGAAAAGTGTAGTTAACAGCAGTAGGTTGTGATGTCCCTCTACATATTTGGGTGACATTCAAACAGCGTGAATGGCTCGTGTGGTGTTCTGTCTGTTCTGTCGACATGGCAAGCAAGGGGGCTGCAACCAGGCAGAAAGCGTTTCTCTGCTGGCAAGGGCATCACTTGAAATATACATGAATTGGCAGAATGACTGATGCTGCAAAGCTTTGTATCCCAGGAGCTGTCAGAGATTGGGCTTGAGGAGGACTGTGGCGGTCGAGGTCAAGTGCGTACACAGTGACGCAGGGCGGGCCAGCTTCATACAGCTCCTCAGGTGAGCCAGCACACCGTTTGTCAAAGCTGTCACTGCTAGATGGCCTTCAAAAGTCCAGAAGCACACAAGGCCATTGAGCTGACAGCCTCTCTCGATTGCGGTGAGGTGAAGCCATCATTTGCCTGATGGCTTCTGACAATCCAGAAGCAGCTAATGCCATCCAGTTGATGTACTTTCTCACAGCGCAAGGGTTACTTCAGCAGCGATGGCATTTGGGCTGGTCTCGCCTTGAGCATGCCGACGGCAGAAGTCAGAAGAGCTATTGTGTTATCAGTTGCACTCTCATGGTATAATATCGTGCTGGGTGAAGCTGGCTTCTGTTCAGCTGCACCCATGCAGGGTGTCAGGAACTGAATGATGTGGGCTCTGGTTTGCTTGCTTGTACTTGAACTTTGCGCAGTGCCAAGGTGGGCTCTGTAAACATATGCGAGATAAGCAAAAATAGCTGCGCAGTTCATTGTCTGCCGCTGTAATATCCCAGGCGTCGCTCCTGGTGTGTTGCACAGGGCATACAAGGAGCAGCACTGTGCAAAACTGGAGCAAGAGTGTCCAGGGGGTGATTATGCGCCGTTTGGGTGGCTGGCAGCTATTTCATTTCCCTTCCTGTGGGCGCCTAGCTTCGGGGAGTTTGGCACTGCCCAGTGGCGGCGGTGGGGAATCGAGTTCAAAAAGGCCGGAATCCCTGCAAGGAGCTGTGTTGTGCACCACATAGACCTGGTATCTGGAGCTTGATGCGGTGATTGAAGGGATCAGAGTCACACGAGAGAACAAGGCCTTCAAAACATATTTGCATTTGGGGCCGCTAGTTCAGAGAGGCCGGAATTCCTGCCAGGAGCTGTGTTGTTTTCTACATTGACCTGATATCTGGGGCTTGCTGATTTATTTGCAGGGATCAAAGACACAGCTTCTGTCTTTCACAGACCAAAGGGCTCGGTGTGACTTTTGCATGTTTCTGTGCAATCTGTCTGTATCAAGGCAGCTGGGTGCGTTTGAAGATTTTGCTCACGTCCTCCTGGGATTTCTACTTTGAATTAAGGTAGAATTTCTCAAAGTCATTAAATGGTGTAGCACAATCTTCAGTAGAGATGTGTGTGTTATCCTTGAAGGGTGCGGGCTGAGAGCTTTTGATCCGCTCGCCTCCTCGGACTGTTCTTGTGTCAGCCCGTTCGTGACTCGACGTATGGGCGATTGATATGATCATGTAGGAGTCCCCAGGCTGGTCAGCAGACATTGCAAGACATAGTCATATCATTAATTCTCAAATCGCATGGTGCATTTTGACCCCACTGGCCCTCAAACCCGAGCAGACCGCCACGATCTCAACCTTGGACTCTGCATCTAAACCGGATCCGCTCCGCATGTGCTTGTTAGAAATACCATTTAAAGGTCCACTTCTTGTCTGAGTGCCCTAGGATCGCAATTTGCAAGTAGCTAGTGCAGCGCGAGCCGCCTTCTGATTGTGCCGACTTTTTCTGGGACGGGTGTACGCCGACAGCCTCGGCACCGATCCTTGGACGGTGGATTGACTGCAATTGTATTCCCTGGCATATTGACTGATGCACTGCAATCGGTAGAAGATCTCAGGCGTCTTGCTTCGGGTTGCGTTAGAGATTGATCGAGCCTGATCGGCTCACGCGGGACAGATACAGACGAGGTCGGGCGGCATGAGGCTTGCAAAGTCTTGTGCGCTGGCCTGGACAGGCCTGCTTGTAATCGGGCTTGCCTGCGGCCAGATCGACTCACAGCTTGGAGCTCTGCTTAGCACAGGCGCGTTGCCCTTCCATGCAGGATCTCTTGGCCCAAAGTAGTTCGCTTGTCTGCCCGTCTTACTTCTTTGGTGGCGCTGTATGTCGGATTTGCGTCCGAGACTTTCTGCTGGTCGTACCTATTCTTGTTGTCACACGTGAAAAATATAGGAGAGGTCGATCATCGTTGAACGCACCGAGATCTCTGGTGTATTCGAGAGAAAGGGCTGATCCCTCAGCCCTGGTTTCACAGATCTTGACTGCACCTCTGAACTGCCTTGTTCGAGGCCCCATTTCTTGTGGGCTGGTAGACACCTTCAAAGGGACCTGCTGTCGCCAGTGGGAGCATAATTACTCAGACTACACAGCCACCCAGGAACAAGCAGCCTTGAAAGGGCCTGAGGTTTACTAATCTTGGAAGCAGCCCTGGAGAGCACATACTTGTTAGGGCAATCGTGCGAGCACATTGAAGGTTACGGGGTACGGTACATACAGGATCCAGCTGAAAAACAGACAGCTGCGTGCCCACTGTGTGGCAAATCAGACAGCAGCAAGCATGGGCTTTTGCTAGGGCCAGTGCTGCCTGCTGCAGTGCACCCTGAGGGCTCGCTGCAGGTTTGCTTTGCTGCCAGCAGTGTGATGATAGATCGGCAAGCATCAGCACCCACTTATCTGTCAGGGCTGAACTGCACCGGCAGTCTGCTGTCAGAGCTTGCAGGATTTTGGCTCTGGTGTCTGCGCTGTGCAAAGGGCAGAAAGGGCCACTCCAAAGCAGCAGCACTGGAGGCCTCCTGTATGGCACAGGTTCAATCTTGGGGGAAAAACAAAAACAAAAACAAAAAGGAAAAGGAAAAGAAACAAAGCCACTTCTGCAATTTTTACGGACCTTTTCTGGCGCTGGCTGGTGGGGATCGGTGTAACGGCACCGTGCCCATGGTCTATCGGGTCTTGCTTGGATTTGGCGAGTCCATCAAGGCATAGCGTTTGTGGCAGCCTTGTCCTGTAGCCTGTCTGCTGACACACCTTGCCTCTGGCGGGGACAGCATTTACTAATATAAGTCATATTTACTTCGCAGGGGTCTCGCCAGCGGCACTCCCGCTGCCGCCGCAGCCGGTGCAGCCGCCGCAGCCGGTGCCGGAGTCCCCCAAACCACCGGTCCCCTCGGCTGCGCCACAGCTGGTCCCCCCTCACCCCTCCCCGCCGCCACCGCCCATATCCCCTTCCCCACCGCCACCGCCCATTTCCCCCTCGCCACCGCTGTTTTCCCCTGGCCCCAAGCAGCCGCCTGTTATTCCCCCGGCCGAGCTCGCAACCGAGCCGGCCCGCCCTACGGCGTTGTCAACACCGATTCCCCCGGCAAAATTGCCAGCCCCCCCGTCGCCACCACCGCGGGTCCCCCCGCCGCCCCCCGTGCCGGCGTCCCCCACCAAAAGCCCTCCCCCGCCCCCGGTAGGGCGCTGGAATCAAAATTCCAGTACTCCAGGGGTCTTCAAAGTTCAAATTTTGCTGTCAAAGAGCAGCTGCGTATTTGGGAAGCTCACAGGCACAACTGCCATTGCATGCATGCCCTGCTAGATGCCCAGGAATTGATGAATTAACTGCCTGAGACTTGATTGCGGCCTCCTGCTGCAGCGGTGAACAGGAAGCAGTGGTAGACATGGAGCAGTGGCAATCCGTTGCTGCGGATTTTGTGTTGTATAACACTCAGCTCTGTGCTGCGAGCAGGTGCCTGTGATATTGCCGTCACCACCCCCTGTAATTCTTTTGCCGCCCCCCAAGTCGCCATCCCCACCCCCGGTTATTCCATCGCCACCCCCCAAATCGCCTTCGCCACCCCCGGTCATCCCATCGCCGCCCCCGGTGCCGCCTCCGGTTTATTCGCCACCCCCGGTTATCCCCCCGCCGCCCCCGGTAGTTTTCTCGCCGCCCCCGGTGGTTTTCTCGCCACCCCCGGCCGCGCCAAAATCGCCGCCGCCGTCTCCGGTGCCGGTGGGAGGCCCGCCGCCAGCTGTCACCCAGCAATCCACCCCTGCAGAGGTATGTGCCCACAGTGTATTTTTCAATTTCGAGTCTCCTACCTGACTATACCCCTGACCACCAATTTGAATGTTTGTCTCCTTGAATTTGCCTAAGCTTTGCTGCAACCCAAGATGCCCTTGCAATGCGATACATTCCCTCATGCCTAAATGCGAGGCGGCATGTGCAATGTGACATCACAGCTTTTCCCAGGCCTGCCCTGAATCACTTTGACCAATCCCTTGGGAGGCGCCTGGGGGCTGTCAAACCCTGGTGCAGACATGCAAGGAAGGCATCTGACATCACCTGCTGCTGCCTGCAGGACTCGTCGATTCCCAGATCGGCGTTGTCGAGTGGGGGCATTGCTGGCGGCTTCATCCGAACCCAGGGGGCCACCTTTGTGGACGAGGACTGCAACGAGTTCCTGGGCTTTGGCTGGAATAGGTGAAGCTCCCTTTATTCACAAGCTTGATGGTGTCAATTACACATGCACATCCAGGCTGCAAAAAACTTCCAATGAGCACACCATGATTTTCCCATTGCATGCCATGCCCGTCATGGGCAAATAAGCATCACTCCTCTTTTGTTTTCGGAGAAGATACCTCACCAGAGACCGTGTCTTGCCTTATGGCAGGATGAGTGTGTATTAAAATTTATGCTTCTCGGAGAACTTCCTGGCAGTGTTCCTCTTCAGCACCAAAGAGCGATCTCCAGAAGTATTTTTCTTGACCCTCCGCAGGGAATCAAAGTGGTGTGTGCAGGGACGTAGGCAGTCATTTCTAGGTGGTAGGAACAGATTGCAATCAATAGAAAGCACCAAATAAACAGACTTGTACTAGGTCATCACTATGACTTAGCAATGGCTGTGTACGCGCGCAGCTGGCGGTTGATAGAGGCGGCACAGGCCGTCAGCAACGCGCTGCCTCAGGACAAGAGCGTTCTGAATGGCCAGAACGAGGCCCAGTATTTGGCGCAGCAGGCGAAAAGCTTTGGCTTCAACCTCATGCGCCTGTTTGGGCTGGCCGACGTCAACTACAACGAGGGGTCGCCCCTGCAGACCTCCCCAGGTGAGTCACCCGGCACCTCGCACCTAATAAGGATACAGCGCTGAATCACCTCTCAGATTCGTGAGTGCGCTTCCCTGTAGATATTTCCTGGTGAGTCGCTCGGCGCTTGACTAGGCACTGAGCTCAGCGGCTGCACAGGCAACGGGCACGCCAGTCATTGCCCCAAAAAATTACCAAAGTGAATTGCTGGGGTGAGAGCTGTCCCAAGGTTGCCTCAATTCTCCACCGATCAGCCTCACAGTCTCAGTAGGACCCAGCTCAGTTGCTTCTTAGCCCCTCAAGTCTTTCACAGCAGAAAACACATGCCAGGTGCTGCGTTGTATGTGCAACTGCACGTTAGCGTAGACAACCTGAAGCAAGCATGAGTGTTGCAGATGGTGTATTATTAGGCTAGGCTGATAATACACATTTATCACACTTATTATAAGGCTAGGTGGCCCCGGCTGGCGGGGGGCGGTACAAATACTGAGCACCGTGCCCACGGTTGATTGGGTCTTTCTTGGATCTGGCGAGTCCAACAAGGGGTAGGATTGTGGCAGCCTTTAACTGCAGCTTGTCTGCAGGACGTACCTTGCCTCTTGGCAAGAAAAGCGTGCAATAATTATAATAATAAAGGCTAGGCTGATCAGGTTGCTCGCCGTGTGCAGGCCAGTACAACGAGGAGGTTTGGAAGGCGATCGATTACATCCTGGACCAGATGAGCCAAAATGGTATCAGGGTCATCGTGGCTCTCATCGACTACTGGAAGAAGACCGACGGTGTTGAGCAGGTCTGCCTCCCTTTCGCTCTTGCAATCTGCACACTGCTATCCTTCTGTGGCAATTTCAACGTTACCGGCGCATGTGGCCTCTCCCAATCTTGCCAGCATTGGGAGCACGTTGGCACAAGTTGAAGCGCGCGCGTGACATATAGCTGTAGCTGCGGCGACCCCTTGGATTGGGCAGTGCAGCCTCACAGCTGTAGCAGAGCTGAATCCCATGCTCTGATGAAATTGCTGTAATTATGCGTCTTAGACAGGGACGCACATTGGGCAATATATGATGGAGATAATTATTATTATAATTATTATTATAATTATTATTGTTATTATTATTATTATTATTGTTATTATTATTATTATTATTATTATTATTATTATTATTATTATTATTATTATTATTATTATTATTATTATTATTATTATTATTATTACACGCCTATCCAAGCCACAGTTGGCTTAGGTGCGTCGCAGCAGCGTTTCTATGACAGCCAGGAATCGGAGGTTTGGAAAAATGTATAGGATGATGATGCTTATTGCCAATGGCAAACATTGCAGAGCTGAGGCGCTGTGTGGGGGTGGTTACAGTATGCGGACTGGTGTGCGGGGGGTGACAAGGACTCCTTCTACACCAACTCCTACTGCCAGCAGATCTACCAGAACCACATCAAAACCTTCGTCAACAGGTTTGTGAACTTTTTTCCTGCACGCACCCCTGGTTCAGTAATGCTTTGCACCCTCGTGCGAACCGCAACCAATGCTGCATTTCCAATTGGGGCTCCTTCTTGCTGTAAACGACAATTCAAACTTGCCCAAATGAGAACGCGCAAGCCTATAAGATGCACGAGCACCTCCATGTGGGCATGGATTCATCGCTGTCTATGTGAATGTCTGCGTAAGGATGCTTACAGACTGCACTTATCCTGAGCATGAAAGCATCCATGCTGAGCGGCATCATTCAAACAGCGGCCTGGCTCACTATGTTACTTGATATGTTACACAATGCCCCATATTTTCGTCAGGCTGCAGCTCCACAGGCACTGTTGGCAAGCTTTTCCTCTTGCCCGTGAGCAGGAGAAACACATACAACGGGCGGCTGTACAAGGAGGATCCCACGATCTTCGCGTGGGACATCCTGAACGAGCCCCGGCAGACGGCAGGCGACTACTCGACTGTGCAGAAGTGGATCGACATGATGGCTTCCTTCGTCAAGTCTGTCGACCCAAATCACATGGTGCGCAGTTGATTCTCATCTAGTCATCAGTATTTCAGTATTCAGGTCTCAAGCGGCCAGTGATGGCCGGAAGCATGGAGATTTTGCTTCAAATGCTGAGCACTGTATGCTCTGATCGTGCCAGCGGAGTACAACAATCATGACATCAAAGAACTTTTAATCCCCTGGCTGCACAAGGAGCTGAAATTTAGCTTCCCAAGTTTTCAGGAATATCCATCTCAGGCAAATGAATCTGCCAGCGCTCATGGGTCAGGAGTGATGAAATATCGGCATGGCCACAGCTTGCACTGGGTGTATTCCACATGAGCCGGAAGCAAGCCTTCACACAGGAAATCGTCAATAGAGACTTTCAAATGGAAGCTCAGTAGATCCCTCAAAATCCTTCCGAGATTGACACTCCATTCTTGGTCAGAGGATCAGGAGAAATTGCACTGGCTGCTGCGCAGGTGACAGTGGGCGAGGAGGGATTCTTTGGTCCCAACGATCCGCATGTGAACTGCAACCCATCCTACCCAGATTCTTGGCCGAGCTACGAGGGGCAGGACTTCACCAACAACCACCGCTCCAAGGACATCGACTTCACAGTGCGTAGCTATTGAATCTCAAATTCAAAATGTAGAATTGTCCTTACTTCTTTTGGAACATTTCTGTTCCTGGACATCCCTTCCTCCTTTAGTCCATTAAAAAATTTGCCCCATAGAAAGGATCTAGCGATTTTTGACAAGCTGCAGGCAAAGGCTGTCACAATCCTGCCCCTTGTTGGACTCGTCAGATCCAAGCAAGACCCAATCAACCGTGGGCACGGTGCTCAGTACTTTTGTACTCAGTACCCCCTGCCAGCCGAGGCTATGCCGGTTTATGCAATAGGGCATACCTTGCCTTTTGGCGGGAATAGCGTGTAATGATGATAAAAATAATAATCGGTGTACAAAAGATCTCAGCTGCGCAGACATGACTGAGAGATGCTACTGCTCCCTGTAGTTGGATGAGACCGAATCACAGCTGGCCTTGCCTGTTCAGGCTGTGCATGCATGCAACTCATAAACTCTGATTCTGCCTGTCTTGGATTATTTAAAAATATAAATTCTAATTGCCTGGTGCCAGGCGGTGCACGCGTGGCCTGACAACTGGAAAGTGTATAGTCCGTCGTTCATGACGCAGTGGGTCAATTGCCACATTGAAGCATCCGCCAGCCTCGGCAAACCCATGCTTCTCGAAGAGGTCTGCCCTTTTTCCTTCTGCTGTTTAAGCTCCTAGCTCCTAGCGCGGTCGATGGCACTTGTGACACTGCCAATGGAGCCTCTTGACTCCCTCAGCGTGTGTGTTTCAATTCTCAAGTTTGTCGGTATCTTTGCTTGTCGGCAACATTTGGCACGCAAGATTCTCTGGGTGGGGATCTCCACTGACGCCACTGACAAGCAAAAAAGAGTAAAACCTAATTGCGCTAAAGTTGGTTGTTTTGGCTCCTCCGATGAGAAACCTGCGTCTTGGCTGCAGCCCTATACTCGAGTGTTGTGGTGCAACAAACGCCCCTGGTGACTCATTCCTGATGACTAAGCATTCATACAATATGCTGACCAGTCATGTGCAGTTTGGCAAGGTGGTGACGTCTGACGGCAGCTACCAGCGCATCAACGAGCGCAACCCCTACTACCAGGCAGCCCTAGACGCCGTCAAGGCCAGTATCTCAGCCGGCAAGGTGTGATTTGATTATCATCTTGCAATTGGTATATCTATCCTTGTTGAAAAGTGATTTGACGCAGACAAGGGAAGGCAGTGTGAGGGTAGATGAAGCAGAAAGGGTTGCCTAGCAATATAACTGCATTGCGCAAACTCAAGACGCTTCCGAGATATTTGCGCTCAGACATGGTTTGCTCGTGATGAATCTCCGCTTTTTTGGTGGCGAGATTGATTGGCTATCGGCCCTACACAGTTCGGCGCCATCAGCTAACCAAGCTCTCAGCCCCTGTCACCACTGCACTGCCAGATTGGCAAGTGTTGCATGATCGCTCAGCGCTAGTCACCTCTACATAATTTTTCGTGGCATTTAGTCATAGATTCGCTGCACCACGCGGCAAAGGGAGCCCTGTTCTGGAAGGTCAATCCTGAACGAGGACAGTGCCTGTCTAGGCAGTATGACATAATTGCTCAGTACAAAATTACTCATGCAAATTGTACAGGCGGCCAAGGGGCACTGTTCTGGAAGTCAGCCCTTGCACCAGTGCAGGGCTGTCTCTCATTATGTCACAACGTCAAAATCGCTCACCAGCAATCACTCATGCATGTGTCATGACATGCGGCGAAGGGGGCGCTGTTCTGGGAGTGGACTGTGCGCAAGTGCAGTCCTGATGCGTTGGTGGCATAATCGCTTACTAACAATCAGTCATGCATGTGTCACGACAGGCGGGTAAGGGGGCGCTGTTCTGGGAGTGGACTGTGCGCAAGCAGGGGGAGGGAATCGATGTGTCACTGCCCAACGGACTGCACCCCTACGGCGTCTCTCTGTGGGACGAGACATTCACGTGCGCTGCCCACCCATGTATTGCTTCAGGCTGCTGTCTTACACCCCGCTGGGGATAAAGTGCGGGGGGGTATGCGCTAGGTTCAGAGCTTGAGGGGTTCTTGAAGGGGTCTGTGAAAGGGATCCCCTAGGAAGTGGATGTGGCAGCTGCATTGGTGGCTTGCACGGCTCTTTTGGAAGGCAGATCACACATTGGAACCTGAAGGATGATCCGCAGGAGCAGGCTTAGCATTGGATTGCATTTGCTGCATGCGTGATGTGAGAACATCTGTAGGCTGAGTGCACAGGGAACATTTTTGGCCGGCAAGAAAAAAATGCTAGAACACACCCATTGCTGAATACTCTCATAGTATGCATGTGGGACGCACCAGGAAATAAGACATATGAACAACCATTGCCTTGAGACAATACTGTGTTTGGAGACATGATGTCTGGCAATGCAGGGGCCCTGTGAAGGACATGGCGGGTTTCATTTCTGAGAACACCGGCAAAAAAGTCGACGCCTGCAGCAGCCAGGCCGGCGCAGTCACCGCCTTTGGCTGAAACAGCCGAATCGGCTATAATAGCCGTACTGCTGCAGTAGCAGCCACAAGCAAGCACTCCTGCAACCTATCCAGAGAGAGAGATAATTTGCCAAAGCCACCCCTACTGCTGCAATTACAGGCCAAGCACAACCGCCCCTGGGACCTACCCAGAAAGATATTTTGCCACAGCCAAAGCCGCAGCCGAAGCACAGCTGAGACTTGTACTAAAGATATGAAGGCTTCTATCAGTCACTGCATGCCAAAGCACACAGCAAGGGCAAACGGGGTATGGGTTTGAATTCGTAAAGAGAAGCTGCACATAGCTGTGGTTAATTTTACCGCTGGCTTGGAAAATTCACAAGATTCCATGCGCAGGCAACCGGGTGTGAGTAGTCATAAGAACAATTTGAAGAGGCCGGGCCGGTGTAATTTTCAGGCCCATGGAATGTATGTACAGTTATTGATATCATATATTTCTAGCTCTGCAGCTTTCAGTCCCATACTCAGTGGAAGGTAGACCTGGTAGTACAGGTGTATATGAGGCAGAGAGCTCAGCATTTTGCTGAGGGTGAGAGATGTTCTGAGCATTTCTGGCAGCTAGCACCCCCTAAGATATCAATATTGTTGTAGCATGCATCTGACGATCTTTTAAAAGGACTCTGGACTGCTGCATGTCAAGCGCAGAAAACTGCGCTGTCTACCATATGCAAAAAAGGCATGCATGCAAAGTGTCCTATATTAGCAGAAGCTGCAGATATATCTTCAGGAACTAGCTGCCTTTTGTTCATCTGGTTGTGAATTCCTCAGACTGTGTCCTGCGGGTGAAAGTACAGCTATCCAACGTGGGTTGAGGCAAGACCTGTCATAGCAATATTCAGCAAGTGTTTATTGAAACTGATATTACCAAGGGCCAGTGATTGTATTTTTTAGTTGAATCACATAGCCGGGCCCACCAGTGCACAGAAGCAAATAGGACAATGACATGCTCTGGGCCTCTTGATAGGTAGTGTGACTCAACCAGGTGTACAGTAGAATATTTTGAGTCACTTCAGATCAGCTAAGTGGAAGAGAGCCACATACCCAGTGAAACCTCTAGCTCGTACTGTGAGCCTCATAGGGTGCATGCATGCAAGGACTGCAAGGGGTGGAGGATCAACAGATGTTTGGCTGGAATCTTGGTTGCAGGTTTCTTTTTGTCGTTGCATTGTTCTGAAAATATAGAGGTGTAACGGAGGTCGTCATGCTACATCATGTATTTGATCAAGAGCAACTCTATTCTCTGCAGCTACATCAGGCTGGCACACAGCGCTGGCATTTATGAGCCCTGGCATTGTTGATGTTAGAAGCATGCAGCCAATGGGGCATGATCCTCTTTGGAGATCGTATCATCAGCGACAGTCACAGATTGACTAGAAGCTCCTGAGCTGAAAGTGTGTCATTGGACCAGCACCACGTGGGCATACCGTAAACCTTTAGCAAGTTGGTGTCGGAAGTTCCGAAAGACCTCTTCGCGTTTCGAAACGACCGCAAACGACCCATCTGGGTCCAATTGCATCCCAATAGCAACAATAATCTCTTGTCGAAGCGCGTGGGTAGTTACTTTTGCTACGTCGTCGGGCGTGGGCAAGGTCTCGTCGACGTTACGGACTCACCATCGCTGGGCATCCCGAACGTGAGTATGCCTCCATCGCTCCCAAATTGTAGATATGTATGTCGCATAACCTTTGAACCTAGTTATATTGAGATAAAGAGCAGTTCACCTCAGATTCTTGCACAAATATGCCGACTGCGAGCTTTATGGCGCCCGACGGTGAGAGGGGATGCTCAAAATGTCTGGCAGCGAATTGTGTGCCCACCTGGATGACACGCCTGCTCGACACATCTTCAATCAAATAAGTAGTCTTGAGGTGATTTGCGTAATTTTGTCAGGAATGGTGCCTTTGTTGTTCCCGCACTTGTCCCTCTCAAGCTCAATGCTCATCAGATGGGTCCAACAGGCAGTCGAAGTAATCTTCATTCACCTAAGCAGAAGCGTCATGGTAATTTGCTCAGGACCTGGCTCTTTCTCACTTGCTTCACCCCCCTCAAGCACAAGCTGCAACACTTTCAATTGCAGAATCAACCTGTTAGCTTCGGCTCCACAGACGGGCTGAATCCACTCTGCGTCAAGCACCCTGACGCAGCTCTATGCAGACAGACTTCAGGCCTGACAAATGAGCCTCCCAGAAATTGCGATAATGCCCCAGGCCCTGTCTCCCGCAGGCAGGCATTGGACGATGGTGGAGGCTCAGAAATATGTGGTGGTGACTGGAGCCAGTTCAGGCATCGGCCTCGGCACAGTACGGGTGCTTATCCAGGTAAGCTTCACTTCTCAATTTTTTTTATTGTGATTACAGTCTCATTCACTCCAAGATTCCTCTTGGAGGTATCGTCCTGCCGGACCAGCCGAATCTGAAAGAAGAGGGACCTCAATACTCTGAGTCTTTATGCCATATGGGTCTACTTTTGTGCTGAGCAATACACTGGCTGGGTGCTGCATGAGACACCATTGAGATTAGTAATAAACTGACTAAGTCATGAAATCGCGAGACTAATGTTGCTGAATAACACAGGCCGCGCCTGTGGCAGCGCTGAGCACTCAGCTGCCTGCATGCTCCATAAAAAGTGTAATCAGTGACCAATCTTGGATAAGTATTAATAGACTGGAACACTAACTGATGACAAACGAACTTCTCAGGCAGGGTACCACGTCTGCGGCAGCGTGCGACGGCCGGCTGACGGGGAGCGCCTAGTCACGGAGTTTGGCGAGTCATTCACCCCCCTGCTGTTTGACGTCACTGATCAGGCAGCTGTCAAGAAGGCAGCCGAAAAGGTGCTGCGATCCGCTACTCCTGCAAACAATAAACCTACTGGTGCATGTTCCACAAAAGCTCTGTCAGCACTGAACGCAGTGCGCAGTCAGTGCCGTGTTCATGCTGCCCGCTGAATGGCCGGTCAACAGCTCAACAAATTAGTGGAGTTCTGTCAACTCCCTGTCCCTTCTCAAGCCCGAAACACTTCTGTCTACCTGAGGAGGGACGGAAATCTCTAATAGTGCACCGCACTTTTGACAGTTGCACTGGCTGCTGCCTGAGTTGGCCCCTGCAACAAGCTGGCTGCACACGATTCTTTATCAGAAAACAGCACGCTACATTTTCTGGGCACCTGAGCAGACAAGCCTCAGGGGGTGCAACTATGGAGCAGCACCCATGGTCGGTAACAGTCATTACCAGCCTGATGTACATGGCTACTGCAGACTTATAAGTAATCTTGATCAGGTGTATTTTGTCAGCTGCAATTCTGCCAGCGCAGTATCTGCCACTGCCTAAGCCAGCCGTTGTTGTCCTTGTTGCAGGCCGCTCGCAGTCACGATGTAATTCAAGCCAAACTAGGGGAGGCAGGATGGCCTCTGACAGCATGTTAATGTAGTGCTGACACAACAGTGTGCTGATAGGAGGTCAGGGAATTGCTGGGAGGCAAAACGCTGTTTGGACTGGTCAACAACGCGGGAGTGGCATTCCACGGGCCGTTGATGCATCAGCCCATCGCTGAATTTGCGCGCAACGTTGAGATCAACCTCACCGGCACGCTCATTGTCACCCAGGCAAGCTGGAAGGCTTTTGCTTTGAATTTGAATTCGAATTTGCTGTGCATGCAGGAGTCATGCCTGTGAATGCCATAGTACCTTATCAAACTTCACAATCTCCCTGTTGATGAATTTAGCCCGTGCGAAAAATTGCTGGGTGTGTGGATGGTCCATACGCGTAGCTTGGAAAGTTGATGTCCTACTCATGCTCTTAAAAGGCAAGGGTCTTAAGAGTTAAGAAGAAAATTTGTCAGCCCGTACACAAAAATCTGATCATGGATGTGAGGCCGGTGCTGGCTGCCGGCTCCTCTCCACTGAAGCAGACCCCTATGTGTTCTAGTGTGAAGCATTTGACAGTGTCTGAAGCTCAATACTCTGGCAAGTCATCAAGTATAAGTTGGATGGAAGCGGTGTACTATGACTGACTGAGTCACTAAGTCAGAAGTAATTTCTGTCTCGGCAGGCGTTCCTGCCGCTGCTGGGCGCTGACCGGACGCTGACCGGACCTCCCGGCCGCATCATCATGGTGTCATCCATCGGCGGGAAATTCGCCGCGCCGTTTATTGGCGCGTACGCCGCTTCGAAGCACGGCCTTGAGGGATTGTCCGAGAGTCTTCGAAGGGAGCTCATGCTCTTTGGCATCGATGTCATCGTTGTTGGTGAGTGATGCCTCTCTTTCTCATGTGCCCTTGGCAGTGCTTTGGGGTCTAGCAATGCTTCTGAGGAGGGGCCCTTGCCCGGCATAGTGTAGTTGAGAGCTGTGAATGATAGTATTCTTACAAACAGACTATTTTTCTTTTGTACAAGACTAGTTTGATTGGCTCTTGTTGGGTGCATGCAATCATGCCGTTCAGCGATGACTCCCCGACCTGGCTTCAAAATTCACATGATACACATCCGAAGCTTGCTGTTTGTGATAATCTTACGGGCAAACGGTGTGAAAGACCCTCAGACGAAACCCTAATCAATTCCCCTCATTCTGTCCCAGGCCCGGGGGCAGTGGTGACGCCGATTTGGGACAAGGCAGAGGCGCAAGATATCAGCGCGTATGATAATACTCCTTACAAAGATGCTCTGGCCAAGTTTGCCAAAATTATGCTGGACGACGGCCGCAGCGGCCACTCACCTGAACACATTGGCAGGTGACAATCTCACACCAGGATAATGCTTTTTCTTTCTTGGCTAATTTCTTGTCCATAATCCCCCAACTTGTGAAGCAAGATAGCCGGGTGCCTTGCCTGGTGGGTCCGAGTCAGAGTGTGAAAGGCGGGTGCTGATCCTTGTCATCTGTGAGCAGCCAAGGAGGCTGTTGCCGCATTACCAATCTGCCTCTCTTTACAATGATACTAGAGCTGCACCAGTTGCATCAGTTTTGCCGAGTTTTTCCACGTTCCAGAGCAGTTTCTGGGGTTCGATTAGGCAGAGCAGTTCTGCCCTTCAACCTGTGCGCAGAAATGAGAAGATCTGCATCGCTGCAGTATGCTGCTTTTTCTTCTTTGAAAAGGCACCTCCAGTCATGCACATGACATCACTATGATGTCATGCACGTGACATCACCATGATGTCATCCATGTGTTGCTGTGATGATGTCATGCAGGGGCATCGAAAAGGCGCTCACAGCGCGGCGGCCGTCTGTGCGCTACGCCATTGTGGCAAACAAATTTCAGAGGTGCGCACAGTCATTGTTGTAGTTGTTACACGCCTTTGCCTTTCCAATTCGCAAGGATCAGGTGTCCGCAGCAGCGTTTCTATGACAGCTTCCAAAGCTTCTCCATCTTGGGCTTTCCTCCACCAGATCACAGAAGAACCAAGAGAGTTCTCAGGTCTTAGTCTGACAAAATCATTCCAGGATCTGTGCGCAGTAGCCTCATTAAGTGAAGAGAAATGCAAGACATGCAAGGCGGTGTTAGCGCGCCAAGTGAGGGAGAAAGGGCTGCCTCGTGGCTTCAGACTCTGTCCTATTGGAAACCGGCTCAAGCCACAAAAGTGGCTGAAGATGGAAACTTCAAAAAAGCTCTGGCTCGGATTTGTGGACTGCCAAGCTCTGCGGGTGCAGTTGGGATTGTGAGCGCCTAAGAGATGACCTGACCAAGTTTGGATTTAAAATTTGAAATATTGCTTTTATGGTGTCCAGGTGGACTCTGCCACTGCTGCTGCCTGTGAGATGGGTTGATTGGCTCATGGCCTCAACTCTGGGGCTGCTGTACAAGAAGCCAGCCAAGAAGCTGGTGCAGACAAACGGCAAAAAGGAGTAAAAGTTGTGTGACTCTATAGTGGGCAATTGGAACAGAATTTCACTTGCCTATGGATGATTGTTTGAACCTTGGAGTTGTTTTGTTGTAGACTCTACGGTACATGAGCTGCCTTCAATTAGTGCAGCTGAAGCTGAGTCACTGCACAAGACATTGAACAGGCCTGTGAGGTTGACCTAGAACAACAGACATATGATCACAGAAAGATACTAGGCAAAAGGGTCGCCCAACGAGACGATATCCTTCCTTCAAGCTGGACTGTTAGTGCTGTTGGCTAGCTGGTGCCCATGCTGTACTTGTGTCATTTGACTGAAAGTTTCATGCAAGTGTTGACTCAGATCTGGGCGAGGCCCCTAAAGGCTGCACGCCAGACACAATACGCTAGATTTGACTTTTATGCATAAGCTTTGCATGATGTCAACAAGATCCTGCAACGCCAGCAGAGCTCCATTTCTTTCCTCAAGCATACCGTAATGTGGCATGCATCACATGACAGCATCATGACACATCGCATGCATGAGATGGAATGCATGCGATGCTGACTCGGCTAGGAGAGACCTTCCTTCGCGGCATTCTCAGGCCGGCGACAAACTGCAGTTGCCATCGGATGGACGAATTGACATCAGGTATGTAACCTTCTTCACATCAGACCTCAAAATCCATTTACACATGGAGCTGCAGGTGTCGTGCACTTATGCATCAGAGCATGGTTTTCCATTGCATGCGCAGACAATTGCAGCATTGGTACCTAGAGCTGATTCGCTGCAGACCAGGCAGGCTCTGTGCAGCTGCACCTGACCTTCACATCAGGTTCTCATAGCAGCCATTTACATCAGGCTCTGATGCAAATGTGTCCTGCTGATGACAGAGAGGCTTTTTTAACATGAGAAATGCATGTGGTACATGCGATCTTACCGAGCAGGGGGCTTTCCTGGCAGACGTGCACGCTGCAGCTACCTTCTGCTGCATGACAGAAAGTACATGCAGCTCATCAAGCAAGACATTGCTATCCTGCCGCATTGCTCATGCAGGTGTCCACTTACGTGGGTGTGGTGTGCGCAGATGAAGATGCCTTCAACACCATAGCAGCAGAACATTCTATATGGCACTCCACTCTACTCTAGAACACTCTATATGGACACTCTCTAAATGGAGGGAAGCTTTCTTTTGTGTCAAATACACTGGTCTGATGCCATGCCACTTGATATGTAAAGTGCAGTGCGCTTGTTGTCATCTTGATGTTCCTTCTTATCTCCAGCACCAATCCCCAATGGCATCAATGACCTCCTACTTCAAAGGGCGCTCCTTCAGCTCATTTGTTGCATCATAGGCAATGATTGCTATAGCGCCCAAGACTACAACCACCACGTGGAGCTGTCCTAGCAAGCCATAACCCAGCCATATGTAAGTGTAGTTGACAGCAGCTTTCTCATCTGTGTAAGCATATAAACGTTGCTCCAGCTCTACCAAAGCTTGCGCAAATTCCGCCTTGAGCTCGGAGATAGCTGCATCCTCTGCCAGCTGTCTGCCCCCTGCATGATACCAACAAACCTCATTTCAGATTTGATTTCAGGTGCTGGTGTCCAGAGCGCAAGGGGCGTTGCTCTGACTGGTAAGGCTGAGCTTTAAGGCTGAGTGTGATGGGTCGAGAGTTCAAAAAGTCAATGCAGCCTGTGAGGGCTACCCCGGTGGCTAACCTTTTGAGCTGCTGGATCGCGGCATTGGTGGGGGTTCAAGGGTTGTGATCATGTTTGGCGCAGGCAAGACGGCTCCTGACAGTGCCAACCCAGGCGCATCTGCAAGCCCAAGCAGCTGATTCTTTCCCACAGTCCTTGCAGCATCTGCCCATATGAATTGACTGCATGGTTCCAGAGTGCTGAGGAAGTGGAGGCAGAATTAACCTGAAGTTGGCGTGATCCTATGAGCAAGGAACCTGCTTGCATCTGGAAGGGTGCTCGTATCCCCCATCATCAGGATGCGAGCTGCACTTGTTGCTCCTGCACAATTTCAAAGCGCAGAAGTTGGCTCTACGGAAAGGAGCACTTCGCTGCGAAATTCTTGCTCGTTATGACTGGAAGTCGTTCGGTGGGCCTGAAACTATATGGCTGGGGTGACCCTTCAGTTCAGATGAATTTCTTGCGTATCTTCAAGTTTATTACTGGGACGCAAAGTAAGAGGAGGGACGTTAGATCGCACCGATTATCAATTGGCAGGCAACCCCAAAGAAGCTTACTTTCACAGCCATATTGTGCACGAACGGTTTGGGACTTCGACAGCTCTCCTGTTCAGGTTGATGAGTTCGCTCTTAAAAAACTCACAACCCAATCACCAGCATCGACCTATTCAACATCAGGTGGACGATGGAGGCGATGTTCAGGACATTTGGAGGTTTGATTTACCACGTGCTGTCCGCTGACTGCGCATGACAAATCTTTCTAGGCTCCTCAGGTGTGTGGCCTCTATTCTGGGGCAATTCTGGAAAATTGGAAATATCAAGGCATGAGGTGAGCAATTGTAATCTCATCCAGCTGCTGCTCTCACACATGACAACTATCAAATGTCAAACACAAATATGAACCCAGATGTTTAGTGCTCAAAGCGCAGATGTCTAAATGCAGCATGTCGGGCAGAGCTGAGCTGCAAGGGTACACTTGCATGCGTGAGCTCGTTCATACATGCTTACAGAGGCGACGCAGTCTCTCACAGCTGGCTAGAGGCGCCTCTAGCTATGGTGAAAGGCTGGTGTAAATAAGATTACCCCCGAAATGCAGCTGTATGTGCACTCGCAAGGCAGCCTCGCTATGATGATCATATGATGTGTGCATATCTGTGTGGCAAAGCTTTCAAGCGACAACTCAGCTTAGAATTGCTGACAATTATTATTACTAAGGTCCGCATGTGTACGATCCCTCCTTGGAGCGTGCTTAAGCAAGCTTGCCACACTTGCCCAGCAACACACAATGATTACAGCCATAATGGTAACAGTAGCAGGCAGCTTCAGGCAGTCATAGTCATCTGTGCTCTGCAATATCTCTGGTCGGTATCCTACAGTGCAATCACCACCTCAAAAGATGCCCTGCAAAGGATCTGCAGTACTTAAAAAATGTGCAGCCCTTCAATTAAGCTGCAATTTGAGTTATTGTACAATGCCCTGCGCCAACTCGGCAGGGCTGGGTTAAATGTCATTTACTACAGCCACATACTTTTATGGCCCCGGCTGGCGGGGGGGCGGTATAAATTCTGAGCACCATGTCCACGGTTGATTGGGTCTGTCGAGTCCAACAAGGGGTAGGACTTGGCAGCCTTCAACTGCGCTTGTCTGCAGGACGCACCTTGCCTCTCGGCAGGAAAAGCGTGTGATAATAATGGATAATAATAACAATAACAGTAACAATAATAGTAACAATAATAATAATCATAGATATAACAATAATAATATTGTATCCTACACATGCGTTCTGGGAGAATTTTCAACATTTGCAGGCCCTCCCTCGCTCCCCTGCTTGTTGATATCTCCCCCAACCCTAGGCTGCACAGCGTCCTGGTCTGGCGGCGAATAGTGCTCCTCGGAAGCTGCACTCAGATCGAGCATGTCATTCTGGCTCGAGCTGCGCTGTCTGGCAGAGCATTCCAGTTCCTTGCTCGCATCGCGGTCCCGGGGAAATGTGCGGTACAGAAGGGTGTAGAATAAAAATTGCAGACCCCACGGCACCACCAGACACACCTGCAGAAGGCACGCTCAGCTGCTGACTTTTCAGTAAGGGTACAGAATTGGGTGCTAATGCCACTGCACCTTGCAAAATGGTTGGGCTTGCATCTGATAGACAGGCCCAGCAAGACTGGCCACATAAAGCATCTCTTCAGCCTATGGTCTTCCTCTAGCAGTGCGGATCAGTGTCAGTGACTTAAAGCTGCCCGCTCACTGCACACTCCTTGCCCAGATGCATCACCTTTCCAATTACTGACAATCCCGTGACAAAGCTGGTCTCACCAGCAGACTGTTGACGGGAGCATGCCAGCTAAACTGCGCACAACGACGCATCCCCACATAATGATGACTAATCAGTGACTCATCAGCAGGGCGTTGCCGAGCGCGCACATTGCTGACCTGGCATACAATTACTGATCACCGCATAGGGACAACAGATATGGGGATGACTAAGCGGTGACTCACCAGGAGACCGTTGCCGAGAGCGCGCGCGTTGCTGAGCTGGCGGGCCGGGGTCGGGTCATGCCAGTCCGCCACGTACCCAAACCACCTCTCGGCTATCAGCCCGACCAGTGGCGCAGACAGAGCCGATATTGCGCCCTCAAAGCAGCGGTCAAACGCGTAGACTGAGGACCTCAGGCTGTCTGGTACAACCTGCTCGCACACCAAGTTTTGAGATTTTCAGAGCTGCACCGACTGAGTTGCCTCACTTACTTGGCAGGCATGAAGGTCCTCCAAAATCTCGCCACAAATGCAAGTTTTCTGCAGACGGCAAGCTGACTGGAGTGACAGGGGACGCCGGTGATGTTCTCGGGACAGCAAGACTCTTGACTAATCTATAACATGGCACTGCTGACAGGGAGTGGCGAAGCGCTGAGGTCTGACCAGGGGTGAGTTACTAATCGAGCAGAAGGAGGGCACGCCTCTGAGAACATGGCGGAGTTGTGGGTCTGCGGCCAGCTGACGAGAGTTCCCATGATGAACATCAGCGCTGCATACGCCGGTGCCAAGCCGTCCATTGACCCGGCGCTGCCGTCCCGGCTCGGAAGCACCTTGATCAGTACGGCGGCCAGCGGGAGTCCTGTCGCGATGCTCACCTGCACAGACAACATCACTTAAAATTCTGATCTTTCTATACTCAGGCTCCGGCCACCCAAGGCAGGGCAGGGCCCCCCTGTATTGGCATATCCCCCATGTGAACAACGTGAGACCAGAGGATCACAAAAGAGAGACTACTGTGGCAGTGTCTGGCAAGCAGTCTCAGCAGGAATATAATCCTTGATCGCATGTTCTCTGCTTGCATCTGATAAGATATTTACCAGACTACAAGTACTGCCCACCTGGCAGGTGAGCTGGCGGCCCGAGTCGGGCAGCGGCCGCACGAGCGCGTCTCCGACGGCGCCCCCCACGAAGTTCCCCAGAGCCGTGCCGCCCCAAAACAGCGCCGTGAGCGCCGCGGCCGGCACGTTTGAGAATCCCAGCAGCTGCAACCACATGGTGAAATATCCCATCGCCGTCCACGGCATCCCTCCCACCACACCCTGCGCACACAGCGTGCAGCTAAGAAGGCTGCAGATCAGAAATTACAATCTATGAAACGACCTGCCCCTTCTAGGACGAGATAGCACAAACAAGCTGCCCCTGTGACTCTGTCAATGGGCTACTTTGCGCACAGCTACCAGCGCAGGTCGAAGGCGATCAAGGCAGCGATTGAGACACTGGAAGTCAAGTCTGAGGACTTCAACATGACCCAAAGCCGAGCCTGAGCGATGGCGTCCGCCAACTTTCCAGGGACAAGCCCTCATGCGCAGAGATGCCGGTGGCATGTTCTGGGTTCAACGAATGATTGTCTAAGGACTGGCATCACGTGGTAGAGCCCAATGCAATCCAGGAGGCATCTCTCCCCATGACAGAAAGTGAAAAGTAAAATCTGATTAAAACCCCACGAAAAGAGTGCCCCACAACGATATTTGATTGTTTAATTCACGCATATGATCTGTGGCACCTTTATATAGAAATATATAGATTATCATTCTAGATGCCAGGTAGCAACGCACCTGCAGCACGAGCACTTGGAAGGTCCGTATTTGCAGCACAGCGCGGAGGGAACGCCCCAGGTCGCGGCACGCATTAGTAACCGTTGCGCCAAGAGTTGAAAGGCGGCCGCCGGGCCGGGGGCGGCCTTCGCGGGCTGGCCGCGGCCGTGGGTCGCGACCCAGTAGCAGATTAGTCACTGCCGCAGCCGCAGCCAACACTGCCACCACGTAGAAGGCAAAACGCCAGCCCTGCGGTGTTGTTACACAGCTTGATTACTAGTGCACAGGACGTGAAATCTTAGCACCCAAAGGCGCATGCAGATCTATACAGGGAAGTGCAACGCAGACCGCGCAGCACAATGTCTGAAATGAATGGCTGCCAAAGGTGTAGCAGCATGATGTGTCTAGCAGCATGGCAGGGTCAGGCCAGCTAAGACCCACCTCGATTCCTCCCGGCTGCTTGCCGCTGACACTTGTTGCGAAGAATCCGCCCGCCATGCCGCCTGTTGATCTCGCACACAAGCTCTCACCGCTCTGCTCAATCTATATACAATCAAAATCAGAGCAGCAGCAAGAGCAGTGCTACAGATATAGAGACAAGAACAGCTGGCAGCCCCAGAGAATATCTCATTGCTGCTTTTGAGGTCACCAAGCTGGGGACAATTAGATCTGACATATATAGGTAGGAGGGGAAAATGTATGCGGGTATAAATGCACGCATGCAGCAGCGCACCCAGAGCAGCCATGGTGAAGACAAAGCCGAAGGCACGCCCCCGCACGGCCGGCGCGTAGTAATCCGCGACTAACGATTGCGCGCATGGCAGCACAAATGCCAGGCCCACGCCGTTGAACGCAGACCACGCCATCGCCTGCAGGTTGAAAAGTTGAATTCAAACACAGCCTTAAAGGCAATGCTTAGAGTAGGCTGCCTGCAACCGTTGCCAAAATTGGTGCTGCTCTGAAGGAAAGTACTAATTTCCGCATGGGGGTGCAATTTGCTGAGTTACGGCTATCGCAGGAGACATCAGGATTGCGCAGACCAATTGCAACGTTGCATTCCTGGCAGTCTCAGTTGGCAGGGGCAGCAAGGGGTGCGCATGCTGGGTTTGAGGGTTGCTTCACTCACACAAGAGGGATAAAACAAGGGTTTGAAAAGGAGTAGTCACCTGCTGTAGCGTGGTGGACAGGCCAATGGCTGCAGTCATGGCACCCCACAGGAAAGTGCCGGCCGCTACAATATGGATGCGATTGAAATTGTCGCCTAGGAGTCCACTCAGCGGTGAAATCAGCGCCTGATCAGGAGAAGCACGCATGCCTACTTAGCCAACTTGTCCCAATTTCTGACAAACATGCGCTCCAGTGCATCTCATAAGCGGCTGCCGCAGCATTGGAGTAATATTGTTAAGCTTCAAGGGCCATTTGTTTGGGTGCTTGCAGGAGCTTTGCCCCACACAAAGACCAAGGAACTTGCCAGGAAGGCAGCGTAGAGCCTGCAAGAATTGGCTATCAACTGGGCAGAGGAAAATCTTGTTGCTCTCAAAAGGTTCTGCTTCACTCAGAGATTCTCATTATGCAAATGCGATTCTCTCTGCTGCAATCTTCCCAGCTGCCTGTATTTTGTACTGTAAACTCTAGGCAGCTAGCCGTCCACATTTTGAATAAACATAATTACCTGAACGAGCGCTCGGCAAAGGGTGAGCGCGCCGAGCTGGGAGGGGGTAGCATGCAGAGATTTTCCAATGGGGGTATATACCGCCGTTAGAATCTGTTCGTCTAGGCGCTCCAGGATAAAAGTTATGCTCAGCACAGCTGTTGTGCGTGCCTGCGGCCCCTTGGAAACTGACTCGGCCATGGCTGAGGAGCCTGCGTGCACAGCCATGAGAGGAATTCAAAGCACTGATTGGATTTCTTGTGTCTGGAAGCGCTCTCTGAGATAATTTTATATCATCAAAAGCTTAATCTTAAGGGTTTTGAAACCAACACATGGTGAAGTCTTTAAAGGAGATGGCAATGGCACGATGGGGCATGCCACATGAATAGATGGAACAGGGAGATTTTGGTGGTTTGAAAGCGACTGATAATTTCAAGATTTGAAGATAGGTATGTCATACTTTTGAGGATCAGTGCACCTGCTGAGGAGGGCGCCTTTGAGGCAATCAGAGCAGCGGTTGCTGTACTACTATCGATCTCCGCTGATGCTGCGAGCTGCTGTCCCTCGTCAATGCTCAAAGAATGAATTGGTAGACCAGCCATCTTCAATGAGACCGTTGACGCGTGTCATGTCCGTAAAAGGATAAGACACCATTAAGGAAGCAGACCTGTGCCGCGCTTTGACCCATGGAATATTTCAATCAGAGTCAGACTTCTTATGACCTGAATATATTCGAAATAATTATTCTTTGTCCACTGATATTCTGCACGGCCTGGAAATAGTTTGATCAGACGAATTGCTACATCCAAGAAAGCGATGTCAGCACAGGACCTGGTGTCTCTGTGCTTGCTCCTGCAAGGATTGCCAACTCCCACAACATTGATACCAATCTAGTGTAGATCCCTGATCGCAATTGCAGCAATGTCCGATGACTGCATTGCCATGTCAGAATGCGTCACGGCCCCGTGCGCCAGGTGGTCAGCTCCCCTGCAGCTGCCACCGGCGAGTGACGAAGACTTCGGAGCCAGACCTTCAGCAAACATTTAGACTGGCCAAGAGGGAATAATTAAGCAATACAAGTGTGAAGTATTGTCAGCCGGCCAAGATTCCGAATGCTTGAGCGCTTCGCGGTAAGCCTGCCGGATGGGCTACATAACACCAATGTGGGTCACATCGCCGCGGACAGCCTGCCTCTCGTGACGATGCTGTGCTGCCTACCCACTCTTAGCTTGTTCTGGAGGCATCGGAGAGTTCTTGACCTGGTGAGCGGCTGGAATGAGCCGGCGGTCCCCTGTCGCACCAAAACCACTCGTTTACCCCACGACGTTTCGTGCGCTCTGTGTTGAAAGAGGGGTTTACTTGCCATCGCTAAGCTCTCGTTTGCTGTTGATCACCAGCAGGAGCCTTGAATAGTAAGCGTCGTGAACTCTCGATGCATCTCTGCCCGCAGTGCAGGAGGCGCGCCTTTTGTGCTTCTGCGCCATAATGGGTACCTGCTGCTGCCTGACAGGTGGTCCTCATCGTTGGATTCTTCCTAGCATGTGTGTATCACATCTGCCACATGGCCCCTGAAGGGCTGGTGGCCTCACGAGTACTGGGGATCTCTGGACCAGCATGGAGATCGCTGGATGTGGTCTATGCGCAGTGGCTGCTTGGAAGGACTTTTGGCCATGCTGTGGGTGCATCCCACAGCATCTCAAAAGGTACTGCATCTTGATTTTCTGTGCAAATATTCATGTCTGTCCGATTTTTACACTCTGGGAACCCCCTCCAAGGCAGACCACGCTCAGCCTTTGCCGGATACTTGCAAACACAAGATGGGGTGCATGCCACACTGCAACTCAATGCATACAAGTAGGGCAGAGTCCTGATGCTGCTGCATGCAGCAGATCACCTACTGTGTGACAATAGCAAATAGTTTTATGATCATCTGAGTAGGGTACGGTTGCATTGGAGTCCTGGAAGTGCGAAGTGATTCTACCACCTGCTGAAGGTGTCAGCTGCGCAGGTGTCACGAATGGGGCGTTCCCTGCGTTGCTGCTGCACCACGTGTTGACTGGAAGTCCACTCAGCGTGGCGGTCTGTGGGCGCGCACTGCTCTGTACGCTAGCGGCTGGCCTGGTGACTAAAGTGATTCTGGAGGGAGCAAAGACGATGCCCGACTACCCAACTGTGAGAGGCTGCAGCACTGCAGGTGAGAGGAGATTTTAACTGAGCAGACTGATGCGGACCTCAAAGAGGAGCTTTAAGCACGAGACGCAGCCCTGATGCCAATGGTGAGGAGTGCACGTCAAGAATATCCATTGCGTGGGGAGTGCCGGCTGCTCGGCAGCTGCCCCCGGATACGTTTTTTGCTGCTGTGCATTCGGACCTGGAAAGCAGTGATCTTCCCTCTCAGAGCATTGGTGCTCTGGTGGCTCTGCCAGTTGCCCTGTCAAAGCATCAATCTGTGTCTTCACTTTCAAGCAGCCCTTCAAAGTGTGGGATAGTGGCCGCACCAGAACCACACGGCTGTGGTTCTGGTGCGGCTCCTTTGGGGTCAAAGCATTTGCACCCACTAGCAGCTGTCTGCAGAGCGGCACTGAGCCATTGCTTTCTTCGGTGCAGCTCTCTTTTTGGCGGGCTTCGTTGCGTTTCCGATGCCGGAGCTCTTTCCTCGGCACTACTGGCTGTTCCACAGTCTGTGGCACGCTTTCCTTGGGGCAGGTGCGAGCCTTCAATGACCTCAAAGCATCATCACTGCTCCTGTTTCTATCAAGTCAATCCTTGTTACTGAGATCAGATCCAGCATGCTTGTGGGCTCTTGAGTTGAGATCCTCAGAGAACATATTGTCTTCTACCTCACTGATGTTGCCGACTATCATAGCATAAAGTCTTCCCACTCTCCTTTCTTTGACTAGCACGATCACTGTATCATGATGCATGCTTGACTGCCTGGTTCTTTGTGGCAGGATATTTTGAGCTTTATGCCATGCTGGAAGGGGAGAGTTGGAAGGGGACTGCACCTGCGCGGCTCAGGAGGGAAGTTACATTTGTGCAGCTGTCTGAGCGCTCAGCAATTGAGGATAAGCGAACAGCAGCCGCTCTGCAGGGAGACAGCTGCAGTGCAAAGGCTTCAGGCAGAGCAGAAGCAGCGCACATTGTGGCCTCTGGGAGTGTCAGCGGTCCTGTGCCTAAGAGAGGGTCAGGGTATGGAGATACCCCTGAGGCAAGGGGAATTGAGAGGGTTGGCTCAGGCAGTGTGCCTTGGCCGCGCGCAGAGCGCCTCAGGCTTTACAGGAGATCCCTGCAGAGACTAGCGAGGCTTGTGTGCCTACACTCGTGAGTGGCGCTGTTGTGTCTTCAGACATGCGCATGTACATGTTAAATACTGCGGGAAATCTTAATGATTGTATACATTCATTGGCGTGTCTGCTCTGTTCCTTGCAAATATGGTGCCCATTGCTGACTGGATTGGAAAGGCGATGTGATAAAAGTAATAATTGCTGACTTGACAGCTGAACACTCATATTATGGCCTCCACTTGGGATGCTTTCTCAGGGTGCGGCTGTCTGATTGCTGTTTACGCTAGCTCAAGCCTAGCTGAGCTAGATACACTGTCGAATTTGGTGGTGCTGGGAACATACCTTGCATTTTGGCATCAAAAGCGTCTTTTAATGTTGATGAAGCTTTGCACTGGTTGAGGTTATGTCTGCGAGCCTGCCTTGTAATCTGATCAAACGTCATGACTCAATGTCAATGTCCCAAGTCACTTGACCAGAGTCAACTATTATCACTCGAGAGAGCTCTGCAGATCAGCTGCTGCAGCCTTGCATGCAGGGTTTGACACTCCTTTAGGAATCCTAAAGGGATGGGCACTCCAGTTCAGGGATTGGGGGCAGCCTTCAGGGAAGCCCCAAGAAAAATGTGAAGACGTCCTAGCGTCAGGGCTTCGCCTAAATTTCTGGCGTGTGCTGTACAGATCTCAGGGACCTTGGACTGTTTCCAAATGCCATTGCATACGCATGGCCGTTGACAGTTGACCTGGTTTGCTGCAGATGCTAGATAATTCCTCAAAGCGTCCAAATATGGCCAGGCGTATGTCGTGCCAGTTGCCCAGACGTTGGACCAGGGCCTCATCCAAGTTTTTAAGACCCCGAAGGAAAAAATTTCGAGGTCAGGGATGCCCTTAACTTTCAGCACATCTCACGGGAAAAGGCAAGGGCAAAGCCCTTGCCTGTTTCCGCCCGACCTCAGTGACACCTCGAACTTTCAGTGACCCCCTGTCAAACCCTGCTTGCATGTGACGCACTGTAAACTTGCTCTATACAGTTCACTTCTGAAATAAGCATGCATGCAGTAGCAAGGCAAGCTGCCCTTTCACATCAGCAAGGCTGCCATCGTATCCCTTCCCTTGCCCAACAGAACTGTAACCCACTGGCAGATCATGCAGGTTGGTTTCTCAAATCATTTGGAGACTAACATGCACGCGCTGCTGAGTCAGCAGGGCATTGCTGATGTGTGACAACTTCAAACAAATCATCTGCATTGATACACAAAGCAACACAACAGCGAGCAACTGGCATTGCCTCTTGAAGACAGCCATGTATCCTCCAAAGAAACCTGTGAAACTGTACTCACAGGACTTCGATCTAGGCATGAGCGCTGTATTCTACACACTTTTGCATTGCAACTGTTACTTATAATATTACTTGTTCAAATTGTATCCACCAGAACTCCCAGTGCTGCTAATTGTTGGTTTCTGTGTCTTTGGACTTGGCAGTTTTGCATTCTTAAGAAGCTCCCTTGATAGCCATGAGCATCGCCAAACCTGACAGGTATTAAATCCCATAGCACATACAGGGAGACATCTGGACACCTGTGTCAGTGCCGCCTGCTCTAGGTTCTGTTCTGTTTATGAATATTTTATCACACGCTTTTCCTGCCAGAAGCAAGGTGCGTCTGCAGACAAGCTGCAGTAAAGGCTGCCAAAATCCTACCCCTTGATGGACTCGCCAGATCCAAGCAAGACCCAATCAACCGTGAGCACGGTGCTCAGTATTTATACCGCCCCCCACCAGCCGGGGCCGGGTTCTGTTTATGTTCACTGATATCCCCTCACACCCCTGTGATTGTAGAACAATTATCACGATGGAAGGGGTGTTCAAAGAAAGCCCGCTGTCACACCCCATTGATTATAGACATGTCAATGGGCGCCACTTCCTCCAACAGAGCCAGCGATATGTCCATGAGGACCTCTTTCTCCGGCCCTGACTTTGCGCATGAGTAGTGGAATGTCAACCACTGGTCCACCGTGCTTTCTGGACACTCCAAGACACCGCCGCGAATCCCCTCCAAAGGATCCTCCTCCTTGGCGAAGCTGACTGGCGCCACCTGCGCGCACATGCCGGCACGTGACGTCTCGGTTGGATACTAAAGACGCTTGCGCGGTAGAGGCATTGCCTGACAGGGGGCAGGTGTCAGCGAAAGAGCTCTTGGCCTATTTGGCGGAGCCCACACCCCAGCAAAAGCATCATCATTCTTGACAATGAGAAGCCTAGCCAGAGAAATGAAGACTGGGCGTCATGGTCTCACTTTTATAGTGTGCTCGCAGTGGCTTCACATCATTATCAAGTCTCAATGGGCCCCTCTAGAGGATCTTCAAGAAGATCTTCAACAGTCAGCTAGGCCCGCAAGACGTTCTAGACGCTAGTCAGTCGTCCCGTACTTGCACACTGACGATAATGACTAATTGTACTAACAATTACGCAAGCACGCACCTTGGATCGACCGGCGCAGCCGCAGGGCCCGGAGCACCAGCTGGGAAACCTGTCTTGGGACAGTTTGCGTATCCGCACAAAGGCGTCCCCTCCGCCGCCGGCATCGCGCAGAAAGTGTGGCGCCAGCACTTCATTGAACAGCACCTGCGCGCCAAATCACCGACTTTAGGAGTGTGCAATTGACTGCTGCAATCCTGTGGTCTGAAGCGCAATGTCCTGGGATAAAATCTTACTAATACCTGTGGCCTGTAGACTACCGGTGTGGCTGGTCTAAATCCCGCACTTCTGAATAATCAAGCTGCAAGCTGCAGCAGGTTGCCTACGATGCCATGACTTATAATATATTACTGCGGCACTGCTACCGATCAAGATGGGTTGTCAAAGTTGTAAATTCCTAGTGGTCATTCTAACACCCGCACCCTCGGCGGTGCGGGAAAGATTTCAAAGCAACTATTAAGGGTCTTCCTGACATCAAACACACCAGGATCATGCTCCATTCATGGAACATGACGCTTACAGAAACATTGCCGCAAATATTTTGATCAAGCTGCATCGCAGTAGCTGTGGCACAATGGCCCAAGAAGGGTAGCTGACGATTGTCTTAAATGTGTCATGGCTCAATGAGAATTAGGTGATCACCTGGTCGTGCCTGATCAGGCCGTCCTGGCGGTGCACGTCATGCTTATGCTGCGCTATCCAGTCATAGATGAACCTGACGGCGCGCGGACCCGAGTGCGCAAATATGAGGGAGGAGTCTTGGTCGAACTTTGAGTCCTTTGTGGCTGTGGTGTTGTCATTTGTCAGCTCACAGTGGTTGTCCGGGAGTCCGATGTCTGCCTGTCACACAGTGAGGATGTCAACTATACTGCATTCCTGCAAGCACTAAATGCTGCAACAATCCTTACAGTATTGTGAGCATTTGTGGCAAAGACTTTTCAGCCATGCACTGATCGATAAAGCAAATGATCACCAAGAAACACAGAACCCGCATCGCATTTAATGCTTGAATGCGCACTCAATGGGTGCCGTCCTTGCCCTCTCTGCAGGCTGGTGATTTAAAAGCTTGACGAAGGCAAGGATCCTTACTCGGTCAAACGGAGCAGCAGAAGACCCTGGCTTTCACACGGCGGTGGGTGTGGATCGGGGTGAATTGGGGGTGTCACCTGGAGTGAGAGCAGGTGGTGCATGGGATTTCTGTAAAATACATGGTCCACGTCGACATAGAGGACGCTGTAGCCAAGAGTTAGGATATTGAGAATAAGCTCCAGCTTGTGCAGCTCTGCTGCCACGTGCCAAGCATCGCCCTGCAAGCAGCCAGAACAATTTGGTTCTCTCCGTGCTCATCTGTCCAATCCCAAACTAGAACAGCGAGGGAGTTTGCATAGAGGCCCAAGTCACCACAATTGGCTTATATACTGACCAAGCGAGCTAGCTGTCCAGGCACATACAGCAGCAACCACCTCAACATTAGGTGTCCAGCCTTACATTGCAATGGAACCCAAATAGTCCCGATGACAGCCGTTTGAAGCAGACACTGTATATCAAGTCAGCTGACACATAAGGTATCTTGCAGGTGTGCACTCTTGCCCAAAGCAGAACTCACCGTTTCATACTCAGTGTCGTGGCCGGGCCAGTTTGTGCTCTGTACACAGTGGTGGCTGTAGCGCCCATTTAGCCCTTCGCAGATGGACTTTGCCCCTTTCCCCAAGCCCATCACCAGGGCATGGTTGGTTAGGTCCCCCGAGAGACTGTGCTTCAGGCCCGCCAGGAACTTCTGCAGCAGCTTTGCGAAGATGAAGCGGTTGCCTGAACACAGCACACGCTGACCACTCAGCTTGACAGATCCCATTTGTGCCTTTCAAATGGCTGAGAGTCCAGAAATGCACCCAGCGTGGGCTGCACAAGTCAAGCAAAGCGCCCAACGGATTGATGCTATGTGGTGTGAAGCCTGCAAGAGCCCCAATAAGTTTTTGCACAGCATGAAATAGAGCATCTGGTGCATGCTCTCAGCTGCAATCTGTGTTCAGAAAATTCCCAGAACTCATTTTGTACATCTGCACAGTGCAAATCTGGCCCTGCAGGGGTCTTACGACCAAAGGGATATTATTTTGTCCTCTGCCAATGGCAGACTCTGATTGATAGATCAGGTTCTATAGAGCGCACCAGTTGTGGCAATGACCATGCCGGTGGATTCGGCCAGGCTGGCGGGTCCATCGTGGTGTGCCGCATTAAACAGCGCCTCCCTTAGAGCTGCAGGTGGCAGGTGCGGCGTCTTGTGCACCCACCTGCGCACGCAATAAAATCACCCAGTGATATGGTGTGTTGCAAAACCATTTGAGGTCTCAATGGGGATGAGCTAGTCAGATTTGTTGCGCCTTTCCTTGTGCCGTGCTGCCCCTGGTCAGTAAGGGAACCATGTCACATAGCTGATGCATCGATAGACAACATTCTGCAGCGGTCAAGCCAAAGCTCGGCAAAGCAATGCTGCACTGCCCTGGGTGTGATACTGGCAAATTGGAAATCGTGGTTCACCACAAGTACCTGTCTCGGGGGCTGTGTTGTGGCTCTCCTGAGGGCACACCCGCAGCCTGATGCTCCCCCCTGTGATGCACCAATTTCGCCTCCGCACCCTGCAAGTGCACCCACTTGCACATCAGCAGCGAAGCACCCAGCACCATACCCATTCTACTCCCAGCATTTGCTCTTCCCAGCACATTCCCCAACAAATTTTTGGCACATTCCCAAAAGTATCTGCAGCACAGCGATGCTGGTTTGGCAGTAGATGCATCAGGGCGCAAAGATGGTGGGCGTGTAGCCTAAGACAGACCTGCGAGGCATGCTGGGATCCGAGTGCTGTGCTGTCAGACGCCCCAAAGAAGCCCAGCAATCCCTCCATAGCTGTAGACATGCCGCCCCTTTTCCCATGGTGATGGGGTTGCTTTTCTTGCGTGGCTGGGGACGCAGATTCCTGTGGCAAAGTTGGAGCAGGGGTTGGACTTTGGAGCAGCGCTCGCCTCGCTGGATGGGCCATCGCTAGCTTGCAGAGGACGCATGCTAGGCAGACCAGCAGAAGAGCTCCTCCTGCTTGCGGCCCTCTCATCCCATCTTACAGCTGTGCCAGTATACAAGGTTTCTCGTGATGGGTTTCTGACCAGTGAGCGCCATTCGGCGCAATCAGGCTTCCTTGGGAAAGATCGAATGAGAGAAACTCGGTGGAAAGTGTAGTAAGTAGCACCCCTCTGATCAATCACTTATCGTCTAGAAGTTTCAACCCGCGAACCGCCCCTGAGATCGCGATTAGATATGTCCCATCAGGCAAGAAAAGGCACTTGCAAAGGTGTCATCACTGGAGATTCGCAATGCTCAAAAGGCCCAACTCAATCCACGATCATGACAGGTATGACCACAACGCTAGCAACAAATACGTTCGATATGACTTGAATGTTACCACAAGATGGAGATTGAGGCAGAATAACGACTCGTTCCGAAAGTTGAACTTCCGAAACCGTTCACAGGGGGCGTTCCTGCAGATTCCCATGCACCGGAAGCTGGGTCAAGAGCAACATCGGCAAGTTCTGGTCGTTCCAGATTCCCTCAAATTCACCTTTGTGTGACATAAAATAAGGATCTGTGGATAGATATACCGACAAGATATCACGATTTGTGAGTCACAACAACAATCAAAGGAAGATGCTCAGAGGTGAGCGACGCAGTCTTCAGGATAAGCAGCGCGCTGCAAAGGCCTGTAGAGCTATGACAGACGCATCTACGGAGGTGCTGCTTCTACGGCACGGCGAGACCGATTGGAACCTCCAGTTCAGGTGAGAACTGCCTGCTTGCCAACCTCCAATACTTGCTGATGATGCTTCCAATGCCAAATGCAGGCCATTTCAATATCGCACATGAACGTGCATTATGACAGAGAACACCAAACCAATCTTGGAATGTCTCACTATCACCGGGCCTCATGAGCTCACTGAGTGATTGCGCCTGTACGCCCAGTACGCGGAGTACTGGGATTACTAGAATGCTCTGAGCACGTGGGCGGAAATCGGGGAGGTACTAGTGTTTGTCAGTGCTTTGTCAGTGCCAGTACGTCAGTACGCCCTCCCAGTACGAGTACTGGAGTACTCCCTTCCTGAAACATGGAGTACTGGTGCAAACCTGGGCTCACTCAGTCCTTTCTCTGCACAAGTGGTGCTCTATTTTGGGGACATGCAGAACGAGGGACAAAACACCTTGGCGCTTCAGATCTGCATGAATGGTGTTGCGCAGGCTACAGGGGCAGCATGCGCAGGACCCCCAGCTCAACGCCACCGGCGCCGCGCAGTCACGAGCGCTGGCCGCCCGGCTGGCGCGGGGGGGCCCAGCCGCGCCTGATATGGCCCCTCCTTTCATGCGGGGGAATCTCAATGCGCCTGATATGGCCGCAGGCGACATGCGGGGGGACCCTGCGGCGCGTGGTCTAGCGGCTCCTTTGATGCGGGGGGACCTTGACGCGCCTGATATGGCGAACGGTGGGAGTGGTCTTTCTGATAAGGGGGCCGGTGATCACCGCATAAGCGCAATTTACTCATCAGACCTGCGCCGCGCGCTGGAGACGGCCGAGATTGCGGCTGCGCCGCTCGGCGTTGCCGTGACGCCGGACGCATCGCTGCGGGAGCGGCACCTGGGCGTGTTGGAGGTGAATCACCAAATCATGCAATGCACAACCTATGATGTGTCACAGTCAGCCAACAGTTATGTTTGGAACTGCAACCTGGTTTAGAGAAGATCTCTCTCAGAGGAGCATGTGGAGCAGTGTGATGGACGTCATGAGGCAAGCTTTATGCAGCGGGAACAGTAATAACAGTAATAACAGTAATCACCATGATTGCAGGGTTGCCGACCACCCACAGATACATGCCCACTCAAGGAGAAGAGCTGCATTGCTTGTAATTGTATTGGCAAGAACGCAATTGAGCAAAGGAAGCTGTCTTTTGGCATTTCCAGGCCTCCAGGCAGGTCTGAAAGGCGCTGTCCTGCATACATCCTTGCCTCAATGAAGAAGGCATGGGACTCAATTTAAAGGGCCGATGTGCAGGGGTTGACGAGAGAGGAGGCGGCGGCGCAGCAGCCGGCGGCGTGGAGGGCGCTGCGCTGCGGCGGAGCCACAGCACGCATAGCAGGCGGCGGCGAAAGCATCGCGGATCTCAGCGCGCGCGTCGTGGCCGGTGCGCCATTACATCACCCGCTTACTCATCCCGCTGCGATAAGAAACTTTCCTGAGATTTATACATTCGGGAGCCACCAAACATTCAACCCGAGCCCACTCGGTCTTGTGGGTGGTGACTCACCTCACGTCTTCATATACATACTGTTGATGTGAAGAATGCAAATGCAAACATACAGGGAGCAATCCTTACAGTGTAGACCCTTGAGAGGGTCAGGGCCGCTCGAGTTGCTGACAAGAGAGGAACAGTATGTTGGGATGGGAATTTCTCTGGATAAGTGTAGCGGTCGGCGATTTGCTTTGTTAGCAGAAAGGCCGATGCAAGCGTGAAAGACAAAAGTACACACTGTGAGTCGGCAGATTGAACTCCCTGATGCGCCCAGAAGAGGCCAGCTTCTTGAATGAGGCTGTTCTTTGTAAAAATAACCGCTTATTCTGCAGCCTACTATTGTGATGACAACTTGTGCAGGGATTGAGGCCATAGCAGCTCGCCATCCTGGGGAGACAGTAGCGGTGTTCACACATGGCGGCGTGCTGGCTGCATGCTACCACCATGCAGTCGGGCACCCCTTCCCAGGTAGGAAACTCTAAAGCATCAAATTTTCTGGGGTCTTTCAAAGCAAGAGTGAACGCAAGACTTACTACTACCTACGGTCATTTGGAAAGTGGGCTTATGAATGGACATGCCTCTCTGCTTCCACTGCTATATGCCCTCATGAGCAGCAGGTCATCTAGTCTCTAGGCCCAGGGACGAAGTGAGTCGGCCGATCTTTGCAGTGCAGGATGAGCATTTGAGGAAAAGAGATACGCAGAGACCAAGTATCTTTCAATTTTCATCTAATCTGCACCTCTCCACATTGTTGAACTCTCCAGCAAAGCAGCTTTTGTGCAGTTTCCTCCAGACTGCATGGGCTTGAGACACGGTGTTTATGTGCAGGGAAGTTGGTGAATTGCGCAGTCAATAGGGTGAGAATAGAGGGGAGCAAGTGGGCGGTGGTAGAGTGGGGCGGTACTGAACACTTGCAGGGTACGGGTTATCAGCAGGAAGCGTTCGGGGGCAGCAAGACCACTGGGTGACTCAAGTATGAAGGAATTGCTAAGTTGGGTGAGCCAATTATGTCACACTCTTTCCTTGAACAGAAGATATTACTCTTGCAAGACCCAGCTCCCAGGACCGTGTTGAATTCTTGAACAGAAAATGAAAAGAACAGAAAATAAAAATACTTGCGTTACCCAACTTATCAAACATCGACGTCAAGGAAATTGACAACTGGCACTTGATTGATTTGATTATATACTTGATTTCACTTTTCATGGCTCCTGCAAATTGGGCAAGCATCTTTGCAGACAGAGTTTCGCAGCAACAATATTATGTTATATCAGGTGGCAAAGAAAAAGTTGAAAATAATATTTGCTTCTTTCATCAAGAGGTATACAGTCCCGCAGTGATACTATGCAAGATGAAACCATCAACTCTTTCTCAATCCTTTAATTCACAGCAAATTAGTTGCATCCCATAGCATCCCATCACATTAAAACAACTGATTCTCTTCTGTCATGCCAGCTGAGCTGCTTCCACGTCAGCCCCAGGACACCTATCCCCTCTATGCCGCTGCTTGCTGGGACATTGTGAGAAGCAAGGAGTGGCAAATGCCTCGTCAATTGCTGCGGGCTTGGGTGTCAGCCCGAAACTGAACTGGCAGCTGAAGTCCTCATAGTTGGGCGTCATTGTCAGCGGAAGCCCCATGTCCTTGGCAAAGAACTCCTGCGCGTGATGACTGGCTGGCATTAGTCATTGAGTCATAAGCACCTGCACTGTCAACTCTTAGGTCAAACAAATTGAGCAGACGAGCACTTGGCGATAGAAGTGATAGAGGTCTCCGTCTTGGGAACAGGGGTGCGCAATTGATGTGACTCAGACCCATGCCATCACCAAGAGCTCAGTGAAAAGCTGTGCAACTTCTGTGTCCAGCAGTGGTTGATGGCGATAAGCACTGACCTGCGTGGGTATCTTACAGCTGTTGAGGCACACTGAAGCGCAGCCGGTCTCCTCAAGATATCTGCACCTGCATGCACCAGTGCCCCATTCTGGCACGGCCCCAACGTGTGTAAGGCGCAGCTCAAACTACTATTTGCACCAAGCCCAAACATAATCCCAGGCTGCCACATGATAGGTGTGAAATGCAGGTGATCTAGAAAGCTCGTTGGGAGGCCTCAAAATTCAACAAACAAGGGTCCTGACATTCAGCGCACCTCTCTACTAGCACCCCTTGCCCTGATCCTATCCGGCCCCCATCCAGCTCCACATCATTTACCTGCAGCAAGTTTACAGAGCAACCTTTGCTATCCGAGGCCACTGGTGCAACGACATGTAAACATGCATTGCAATGCATGTCGATGCAGTGACAGAGACTTTCACTGACTGCCAGCAGGGGATGCTTGTGCGAGCAGGTGCATTGGGCGCTTGGGGACTGAGGCAGTACCTTGCAGGGACCCATCAGCCACTGGCAGGTGAGCATCGTTACCCACGCGTTGAGCTGGCAGGACACTTCAGGCATAGGCTTCGAGAACATGACCTGCGCAGAACTTGACAGGTGAAGGTCCCTTTCATTTCTTGAGGACTGGAATGGAGCACACATCGCACAGAAGCAGTGATCTCAAGAAGTACACGAAGTGTCATATGAAGTGAAGTGAGGTAGACCATCAGTGGCTCACCTTGAATGCAGGTGGTAGCCAGGATGGAAACAGGGAGAGCAGGATCTGTCGCGTTTTGACCTGCGTGTCCCTAGGATTGCTGCTTTTTGAGTTGAGAAGTCTAGTAAGATCGACTATCGCGTCATATCTGTATACATAGAGCCGATACTCAGGTCCAGCCTTCTGTTGCCATATACCCAAGGTTAGTTGTCTAGGAGCACAATAGCACTCATCGCCCTGTTGGATCTCGAGTAGAAAGGCTCACCCTTCCTTATCAGAATTTTTCCCGATCGCAGCCACCATTTTCTGCCTGAACAGAGACATTATGGCCCTGTTCAGTGGTTGAGAGTCGATGCTTTCATACGAGGGAGCAGGAGTCTCTGGCCCTGCCTTTGAGAAAGAGTCAGACATCATCAAATGTGTTTTCATAGACGTATAAGGCATGCGTCGCGCTCCATTTGTGCGCAGAGCTCCCGCTGCAAAGGGTGTGCATTGTCTGCCACTACAGCTCGGTACACCCTGCCGATCGATCATCCTATGCATTCACGTCCACTAACACACGACTGCTCCAACAATGCTTTTCTAACATCGGTGAACTTCTTTGTTAGTTCCCTTCATCATTCTGGCTTGAATCTTGGTGGTGCAGAGCTGGTGCCAATCTAGGCTGACAAAGCATGCTCTGCCACCAAGGCTACTGTAACTGTATACGTACTCTGTATACACTGGATGAGAAGCTTCATTGTTTCTCGCTCAAGGAAACGCAGACATAGACACCACGCTCACTCCACAATGCGCCCTCGCAGGTACTCCAGCACGGCCTGGGTGCCCCTTTCAAGGATTGGGCGCCGGATGCTTCTGAGCGGATTTCCCTCCAGTGCAAGCACATGCAGCTTTGGTGCGAGCAGCCCCAGCTTAGGTGGCAACCCTGACAGCTCGTTGTTGGACAGACAGAGCTCCTCTAGTGCGCGCAGGGCGCTGATGGCCTCCGGCACCTGCGCGCATGTGCCGCCACATTGTATAAGGGTGGTTGATGTCCAACGTTAGGGTGATTAAGTTGTCCCTACATGTTGCTACCGGCATCAAGCATCATGATGGCACCATGGGACACCGGCAGCAAGCAGGGACTGCCAGTGCATGCCTCCTATGCCATGCATTGATCCTTGCCTTAGTCCAGCAACAAACTCACTCCTGATGGTTGCGTATACCAAGAAAATCGCCTCATGTGCACATTTGGTCAGACCTGACCAGTGGTCATGACACCACAATGTTGTTGCACCACCGGACACTATTAAATTGTAGCTTGACCCAGAGAAATGCAGTCACGACAACAGCTGCTTCAGACCCTAGGCACCTGTACATTTTGCAGACCAATCAATATGTAACATAAGTCAAGTTGCTTGTAGAAGATGCCGGCAGCGCACCTGAGAGATCTGGTTGCTGCTGACGTCAATGACTCGCAGCGAGTCACCGCCGGGCGCCGGCGGCAGTGCGGGGAAGCTGCTGAGGCGGCACTGCGCCAGCTTCAGAGTCGCCAGTTTTGGCAGGGACACCAGCATTGTATTTGCAATGCCCCCAGCCGCTGGCACACCTGCACATACAAAGATGACAGCCTGACAGCATTGTCCTATTTCCTTGTTCTCTGTCCTTGTAGACCAGAAATAAGTGGACTGCATGCTTTCGCCAGGTCTACATCTCCAATACGGCACTCTAGATGCAAGCATGCTAAGTATACCGTCCGTGCAACATGCATGTCGGGGCCAGCAATATCAATTGTGAGGTGAAAATGAATCTCTGATATCCTATGCATATTTTAAAAAAAGATTAAGCGCAATTATGGAAATTGAGGTCACCTGAGAGGTCCAGGTGCTGCAGGGAGACTGCGCAGCAGTCGAAGGCGCCAGCCGAGATGGCACAGATTCCCGGGTTAGCTGAGAGGTCCAGCTGTGTCAGCAGCGGCAGCACATTTCTTGGCAGCGGCCAGTCGGTCAGCCGGTTGCGGCTGAGGTTCAACACCTGCCCACACGCCAAGGATAAATGATGAAATCTCTATGTAGACTCGCTTTATAGGGGCCTTTCCAGAGGCTCCTGGTCAGCCTCTGCGCCCTGTCCTGGCACACCCTTGCATGCAAAGGCATGTGATGCAAACAGACGATTTGCCCCACATTTGGACGGTTCAGAGCCTGAACACATCCAGCTTTTAAAAGAAAAATGCTTGCCGGGGACTTCAGAGGCATGGAATGAATGTGTTAAAAGTTGGTGCAGCGGTCCGCACCTTGAGCTGCGCGCAGCCGGCAAGCCGCTCAGCCAGAAGCTCAGAGAGCTGGTTGTTGGAGAGGTCCAGGTGCGTGAGGCAGGCTGCGCTGTCCCACAGCTCGGCAGGAACACACGTAAGTTGCTGGCCTGACAGATTGACAGCGGCGCTGCGTGGTGCGATCCGCGGCGCAGCTGCGCGCGCGCTCGCCGCGGCCGTCTCGGCTTCTTGGGGTTCCTGGATAGAGAAAGGGATCAGTGGAGACTTGTCTAATTTCGACACTGAGCCAGGCTCGTCTTTGCACCCCTGTCTTGGTGGCATGCTGCAGATGTGGATGCCAGGGTCCAGAGGTATTGGTATCTGACATATCTCAGTTAGGCATGCACGCCCCTTCATCGATGGGAAGTGAAATAAGGAGGAAACTAAGATGGCAGAAGGTGGTTCCTCATTCTTTCACTCCTCCTGCTTTAAGTCAAGTCGGAGCTCCATTCCTAAAGTTGGCAAGGTGTCTCGAGCAGTCAGCCAGCTCAGGTTGAAGCAAGTGTCTTCACAGAAGTGGCATGCATAGTGTTAAATCAAGTCAGATCTCTGGTGATTCCAGAGGCAGGGTGGCCCAGAGCAATCAGGCACTTCATGCAAAATAAACGTCTCATGAGAATTAACATGCGTTATTTGGATCAGTTGTGACTCTGGGTGATTTTGGGGAACAGTCACGGTGATGCAACTGCAGCGCACCTCTTCTAGTCGGTTGTGCAGGGAAGTGAGCAGGGAGGAGAGGGGCTGATTGGTGCGGAGACCCCTGATAGGGTTCCCGGAAACGGGCAGCGCGCGGAGGGTTGTCATGCGGCCCAGTTCTGGCGGCAGGGTTGATAAATCGTTGTCTGTCAGGTCCAGCAGGGTGAGCGTGAGGGAGCAGGCAGCTGCCGGGAAGCTTCTCAGCCTGCATGCACAGAGCTAATTTCATCTCCAGGCAGTGAATTCAAATGAAGGACACTACATGCCATGCGAACATGACTCTGGTTCCAACAAAAGTGTGGTTATGAGGCATGCAGATTCCTTCAAGAACCACGAAGCTGTTTCTTTGTCCAGCAATGGCATTGTCTTCGCAGTAATTCACAGACGATTGCCTTGACCCTGCAATTGCTGCCTGAAACAGATGCAACATGTTCCTCTTTGCACACCAGAGACAAGCAGACCAAGTGCGACACACATGTTGCCCCGCAGTTCCAGGGTGCGCAGAGCAGACAGTTGTGACAAAGTCGGCGGCAGCTGTTCAATGTCATTGTAGCCCAAAAAGAGCTCCACAAGAGCGCTGCAGCCGCCGAGGCCGTCCGGAAGCGCTGTCATTTTGTTGCGGCTGACATCCAGCAGTGACAGCCTGCGAGTGAAACAGACCATGTCACAAGCCGGGCAGGAAAACAGGAATTTGGGTCACGACGCCCACGAGCATATTTGGATGTCCTCTGCTAAGAAGTGCTCTGCTAGGAGGCATGCCACTGTTGACTTCCTAAGGTTGTGTACGTTATCTGCCATGCCGGTAGCGTGAAGAAGGCCAGCAAGAGCAGCTGGAAAGTGTTGACCTTGAGCGTTAAGTCCATGGTGCTCGCTAACTTCAACACGGATCATAGCTAGTGCTCTTCAATATGCAAACGTGCCAGTAGTATCTATTGCTCTTTAGACCAGGATGGAAAGTGAGAGCAGAGCACCTGGAGAGGCAGCTGATGTCCTCCGGCAGGCAGCCGCCGATGAGGTTCTGGGACAGGTTGAGAGAGGTGAGGCTGCGCAGGCCGCACAGCATGCCGGCCGGGACCGAGCTCAGGCGGTTGCTGGAAACGTTTAGCGTCAGCAGCCCGGCAGCTGCCGCAAAGCCGCCCGGCAGCTGCGTCAGCGCGTTGTCACTGGCGTCCACCTGGCACATTTCAAAGCTGCCCCATTAATTAATGCTTACTCTCGAGAACCTTGAAGACATTATTGGACTGCTGACTGCAGTCTGTAGCGCTGGGCTGGGCTGGGCTGGGCTGGACTGAGCAGAAACACTCACGCGCCATAAATCCTAGCCGCCTATGCTGTTTTTATATTGTTCTGCCCTTATTGACGACCCCACGCCAGCCCACATGCTCTACTATGTAAGTGGTGTAAAGCTCGATTTGTAGCACTGGGACTTAATTGAATGAATGTCTGCTTGATGCACCATGATAGTTTCTGAGTCATGCAAGATTGTGCATTATGCCAGATCTGTCTGCAGATGCACAGGAGCGCACAAAATACTGTGGCAAGCAAAGTATTTGGAGAGGTAGAAGCAGACATGGGCATACATGCTGTAGGTGGGGCTGCTGAGAGCCCAGCGCAGCGGGTAGGACAGCCAGGGCATTCCCTGCGCACTCGAGGTGCCGAAGAGAGTGGATCTCAGCAACAGTGTCCGGCAGCTTGCTCAGACGATTGCCAGAGACAGCTAGGCGCTTCAGGCTGGTCAAGGCTGCAATGTGCGCTGGCAGCTCCTCCAGCTCGTTCTGGCTGCGAACAAAGAATGGTACTCCTTATTCAACAGAGCTAAAGAGGACCACGTCAAAGTTGGCTCTCTTTCAGCAGCGTTTGAATATGGAACGGCAATATGGAATGGCCAGGCCAGAAGAGAAAGCTTGCGTTAGTGCAAATTCAATTGGATGAACATCATGTTCAAGAGGTCAGCTGTTATCAAAGACTTCTGCTTACGTAAGAACGAGGGTCTCCAAGGTCTCCGCCAGCTGACTGAGTCCCTCTGGGATGTGCCTGATTTGATTGGTGGACAGGTCGATGGATACTGGATCCACAGCGTCCCACCATTGATCGCCATCCCCTGCTGGCAAATTTTCACTCCAGATTTCTGGCACCTGTCAGAAAAAAACGCCTGGTAAGTGCTGGTGCCTGTGGCATCATCTTGTAATCTAGCTTGTTTGCACATAGGTCTGCGATCAGCACGAAACACCTGCAATCTGGGAAAAAAAACATTTTCGCCAAGTCTTGCCTCTTGAAGGCAACGCCCTTGCAGCTTGAAGTGCCCTGTACTGCGTCCATCAGCAAGCACTTGCTGTAGAGACTTTCCCCGCCCTCGCTCTTTCACCATCATGTCTGGGACATCGTTACGTTTCAAGCGTCCTACCATATCTGCAAATGTTGTTGGTACGTAAGATTTGAATTACAAATGATGGAGAGCAGGACCGGTGCCAGGCTAAAACTCTTGCTAGCCAGGCTGGATCCTTGACGTCAGCACTGGCCGTTGCATGCACGCATGTGGAAGTTCACGCCATCTTGGAATATTTGAATATATTGTACTTCTGACTGAGGCCCGTTGCTTGACCTGGGATGACTCGATCTTGCCTCACCACTCTGTGACTTTCACGGCTGCTAGTGAAGAGGGCAAGGCGGGTGAAGGCATTGTTGTTGCGGTTCGGAAGCACCGTGATTACCACGCACAAGACTGGGTGTCAGACACTGACAGTGCCTTATGGGTGAAAGTGCAGTTTGAGGGGGACTCTACACCGCTGCTGATTGGCTCCAGCTATGTGCCTCCAGCGGGTTCCCGGCAATTGCAGACTGTGGACCTGACCAGTCGATTTACGGGCTTATGTGCAGAAGTTGTTGCCGCTCGTGCTCAGGGCAATGTGATCCTGGCAGGAGACTTCAATGCTCGTGTGTCAAATTTGCCTGACGGTGATGACAGCAATACTCGAGGCTGCACTGATGAAGGTGTCAATGCTCATGGGCTGCGCCTGTTAGATTTTTGCAAGGAAACTGACATGCTCATATGCTCTGGCAGAGTGCTAGGAGACCTTGAAGCAGTGCCTACCTTTAAGGCCAGAACCCATACTCAGGCAACTAGACCTGATCATGTTCTCGTTTCCGCTGATGCGCTCCCCTTGATTTCTCATCTTGTTGTGAACACTGGTAGAAAAGACTCTGATCATCATCCTATTGAGATGACGTTGCAAGTGAATGTGGCTGCCAGTGTTCCCTTACCATGTATTGGGGCGCCATTGTCACGAGTGAAATGGCAGCCCAGTGCTAGGAATGCGTATGCTGCTGCTTTGCGCAATGTTGCCAGTGCAAGTCTTGACGCCTGCACAGGCCATGCTGTGGCTGGGGAACTTGATGCAGCCTTTCAGACCCTGGAGGCGGGGATCCGGGAGGCCGCAGCCGCGAACAGCATGCCGGCCCGCACCGGGCGCCATCAGCGCAAGGCGCGTGCCGACGCGCCCTTCTTCGATTCGGAGTGCCGCCAGCTTAAACGGGACGTCCGCGCCCGCGCGCGGTGCGGGGGCGATCCAGCCGAAGTGCGCGCGCTGGAGCGTGCCTACCACAACACCGTCCGCCACAAACGGCGCGCTCACCGGCTCGCGCAACTGCGCCGCCTGCTTGATGATTTGCACAGTGACCCCCGAGCCTTCTGGAAGCGGCTCAAGTCTCAGCAGTCTGATATACCTGAGCAGCTCAAGCCAGTGCAATTGTGGGCTGGCTATCTCAAGCGGGTTGCAAACTTGCAGTTGCCACTCATTGCTGAGCTGCCCCACTTGTCTTTCCCTGTCCAGCCCAGTGCTCCTGTTGCCCATGTTGATGCTCTCAATGCACCCATCTCTCTTGGGGAGGTGCTTGCTGGGCTCAAAAGTTTACACAATGGTCGTGCCACCGGAGTGCAAGGTTTACCAGCTGAGCTGTTTCGGTATGCAAAAGATGAGCGGGCGCCAGGCATGCCTCCTCCGGAAAATGTCCTGGCGCCTGCTTTGGTGGCTGTGCTGAACTCTGCATTTGTGGCTGGGCAAGTGCCACCCTCTGTGAATGGTAGCCTGATCACCCCTGTGCACAAGAAAGGCAGCAAGCTTGACATGCTCAATTATAGACCCATTGCCGTTACTGAGCCCATCATGCGCTTGTATGCTGGCATATTGAATTCTCGTATTCTGAAGTACACAGAGGGGGCTGGATTGCGTGCAGCCACACAGGCTGGCTTTAGGCCAAAACTGTCTACGGCCCACCAGCTATTCACCTTGCAGCATTTTATCGACCGGCAAAACCATGCTAAGCAGCCCTTGTATTGTTGCTTTCTTGATCTGAAGGGTGCTTATGACAGAGTGAATCGGGTGTTGCTCTGGGAGAGTCTGCGTCGCCTGGGCATTGATGGCCGCCTGCTCTCTGCCATTCAGTCTTTGTATGCCAATTCTACGGTTGCCATTAAGATTGGGAGCAGGAAGGGTCCTAGTTTGCCCTCTGAGACAGGATTGAAGCAGGGTTGCCCCCTTAGCCCAACGCTGTTTGGCTTGTTTGCAGATGGCCTGCACAGGCACTTGCTGCAGAGGTGCCCTGGGGTTGGCCCGCAGTTGCGTCCTGGCAGTTGTGTACCAGATCTAGGCTATGCCGATGACTTTGCTTTGCTCGCCACCACACCTGCTCATTTGCAACGCTTGATTGATGCAGCTGCTGAGTTTTGTGAACAAACGGGAATGGTCATCAGTGTTGACAAAACAAAGATTGTGGTGTTCTCTTCAAGTTTGCCAGGACCTTTTCAATGGCTTTGTGGTGGTGCGCCTTTACATTGGGTTCAGCAGTTTGAGTACCTGGGTGCCCTTTTTGACGGTGCCCAAGGCATTAACCTCACCTTTGGCAAGCTTCACAGGAACATGTGGGGTGCGTGGGCACAGCTCAGGCAGCAATATGGGAAGTTGCATTGCAGCATGTCAGCTGGCCTGTTGTTGCGCCTATATGATGCATAAGTGCCGCCGACTGCCTCCTACGGTTGTGAGGTGTGGGGCCTGCGCAGCCTTCCTGGTGGCGACAGCCGGCGGGGCCGGGCTGCCTTGGCCTCCTCTCACCTGAAAATTCTGAGAGACATTGCTGGCGTCCCCACCTCTGTGCATGGTGCCATCTTGCTTAAGGAGTTGAATCAGCAGACCCTTGATTGTGTGTGGTGGCGGCGCATTATCAAGTTCTGGAACAATTTGGCTGCCTTGCCTGCAAATAATTTTCACAGGCAAGTGGCCCTTGATGATTGTTGGGATGCCATAACCCGTAATGTTACGAATTGGGCTTGGGCCTTCATGCGGGGCTTGCGCCGGATTGGGTATGAGTTTGTTATTCGGTTTGACACCCTTGTTCCTGTGGAAGTTGATGCTGTGATGCAGCTGCTAGATGCGCAAGCACTGCAGGTTTGGGATGACATTGACATTTGCCCTAGGACCTGCCCGTCCAGCAATGCCACCTTGTGTACATATCACAGATGGTTTGCTAGGCCAGCTTGTGTGCGCCACCCTTGCCAGCTCTTACAGCAGCCTTTGAGTGCCCGTTGCTTGCGTATACTGTTGAAGTTCAGGATGGGTTGTCATAGTCTGCCCAATGTCTCGGGCCGCTGGGCAAGGATTCCCCGGCCCCAGCGTTTGTGCATGCGTTGTGCCCAGCAGGTTATTGGGGATGAGCGCCACCTTGTGTTTGAGTGCCCTGCCTTGCAATCTGTTCGGGACAGATATCCTGGGCTGTTTCGTGCAGCCATTGTGACGATGCAGCAATTCATGTGGCAGTTGGACATTGTTGGTGTTGCACATTTTGTGATGGATTGTTTTGATTATTTGGATGCTGCCAGTTCATCCAATCAGCCCTAGGCGGCTGGAGTGATGTAATCTTCCTTCCTTCCTTCCTTTGAAAAGCTGCTCGCTTTGTTGATCGAGCCGAGTGGAAGGTCATTCGCATTTTTATTGGAAATTCGAATGATGCATTGTGGGCTCATAGCTGTGCATGTACATACCCGTGATGCTTGACGCCTGCGTCCATGGTTGCCTGATATTTTGTCTCCTCAATGAGGATCATTCTGGGGAGTCTTCAGCAAGGCTTCACCCTTTGCATGCAACCATGTACGTGCATGTGCGTGACAAACGGCCCAGTCAATTGTTGAAGTGTCAGCCATTTAAAACATGCATGGAAAGCTATACAGGATTCCATAACTTGGTTTCATTGCATAGCCAACACTGTTAGACCATGCCAAACTCCCATACGCATCATCATGACAGGTCCAAGCCTTTGGAGGCCATCGATGCAATAGTCCAAAACTGCAGTCTTGTGCAGCTGCGCCAACAGAAACTCCTGCAGGGTACAAGCATGCACTGCATGACAAGCTACACAGACAAACGGCGCTCTTGTGCCAACAATACTTATGAGAGCAAACGTGGTGCTTCACACTTGATATCAAACTCAGCGGAGAATCGGTCCTGAGATTCTATATGTATATTCTTGCAACACAGGGACTGTGATTGGCTAATGAGTGTCTGACATTTCAAGTTCGACCTTGAATTCAAAATTGGGAGGCCGTTTGCGGCCCAAAATTTTCGCGCCAGAAGCGCACTACGGTATGCTTCACTAGCCCGCTCAACCCATGACAATAGATCAAGCATATTCAAAAGGTCCACCTGCTTGGACTGTAGCTGGGCTGCTCATCTGCCGAGTCCCAAAAGAGCGGCTGGGCTTTGATCTGCCGAAACTTGTGTGCGAAGAACTTGGACTGCATATTGCCCTCTTCGATATATTTCTGCAAACATTCTCTTGTGCAAGGAGGTAAACGGCACTAGCAAAAATCCAGCGTCAACCTTCCAAAATGCCTACAACAGAGCCACGATGTGCTATCCTGCGCTCACACGCTCTACAAATACAAATGGCTCCTCCCAGCAATTGCCCATCAATATGCTGCTATTTTCCTGGTGTGCAAGAAGGCTCTAGCTATGTATGGCAGGCCGCGCTACCGCAGCCGCCGCAGCTGCTACGCCGGTGCTCATCCGAGCGCCGGAGGCAGTTAAAGCACCTCAGAAGTCACCCCTTAACTTAGCACACCACTCCCTGGAGCAGGCTCCTGTCAGATACAGCAGACGCCCAAAATTTCTGCTTAAGCTTGAAGCCTTCTGCAAGCTGTGCTGTGCCATAGCATTGCAAACCAAAAGAGGGCGTGGAAGATTCAAGACCTCAATAACACGCAAGAATACAGCTATAGTCAATCAGCGGGAGACTGCAGACTGAGCAGCAGCGGCCGAAAGAATCCAGCAAAATCAAGGCAGCCCAAAAGATTGCTGCGCTGCTTGCGCAGCTCTATATCCTCGACACAAATTCCCCCTGGCTGAAGGGCAGCTCAACTCCCCTGAGCCAGGGGCGAAACGCACATCTATACTGCAACCTGCTATGGCCGGTCTGACCTCCTGTGACGTATTATGGATCATGTCCGCGAAGACAGGCCTGGCTATGTCTACGAGCCACTCAGTCACTTCTGACTTCTGAATGACCTCTTGAAGCATAATGCAGCAACATAAGTCACCAAGCACTTAGGCTGATCCGATGTCTGGCTCTGACTTGACAGCTGCGGCTCAGAAGAGCACAGCCAGGATAGTGGCAGTTAGTAAGAGGCTGCGGCGCCTGAATAGGCCGGAGCCAGGAAGCCTCTTTAGGCCGCCAGGCTGGTGCCTGTTCCGGGGTCGTGCCATGGAACGCCGCTGGCTGGACTCATTGTTCCTCCTGTTGTGGCCTGCCCGCTGCTTGGCTGCCTGCCCGCTGCCTTGCTGCTCCTGCGACAACAACACGATGTTTACCATTATGCACAAATAGATTCGTCATTTTGATTGTTTGCACCTTCTTACTTCATGGACGCCTGCGATTTTTGATGCCCTGCAGAGTCCTATGGTTGGTTCCAGTCTGCAAACATAATGTGGACTACAGCTGCAAAAGGAGGAGCTTCCAGACATGCAACTGCACCTGGCAGTGGGACGTTCAGTTGTAAGCGCAGCTCAACATTCCACTTGCAAGTGCGATTGCATGCCGGCGGCCACAGAATCTGCCGTGCTTCACAGCATTGACACAAGGGCAAGTCTGCGTACTGAGTGCAGCCGCAACTCAGCGCTTCACTGGCGAACGCAAATGCTAGTCACCAGACAAAACACCGCAAACCGTGATGTGCCCAACAAAATTGCTGCAGCCACAATAAAAGCCTGCGCACCGACTGCAGCTGGGAGTGCGGGCTGGCGGGGGGCGCGGAGTGTTCGCGAAGAGAGGCAACGTATTTGAGGAGGTATGGCCACAGGCCCTTGCGCACGGCCAGGTTCATAATCCCGGGGCGCACGCAAGGGTCCTCGAAATATATGGCCGTGACCTCCGTCGCGCCTGGACAAAGTGCAAACTCACATCACACTTTGTGCAAAGTATGCTTTGTCCACAAGATCGCAAGATCGCAACTATCGTTTTGAGTTGAGGATATCTCTCATCTGAACGATAGCAACCACCAGCAAGAATGGAGACCGGCTCTCTTGGCAGCAGGTCTTGCAGATTGCACCAGCGATCACAAAAATGTAAAAGCAGACAATGACACAGAGATACACACGGTGACTCACCGGGGCGGCCCGGCGCGGCGCGGATGAGAAGGCAGCTGGCAAAGTCGCGCACGCGCACGGCGCGGCCGGCCGTCGCGGCCGCGCCATTGGCGCTGGCCGACACGCAGTAGCAGCCGCCGTCGGCCGGGCGCGTCCAGACGCGGCGCCCGTACACGTACTCCCGCGGGCTGAAGGGTCGCGGCCACTTCGCCCTGTGCAAATGAAAGGTCCCTCAAGAAAATCAGAAAACAAAGTCAAAACAAATGGACAATAACTCAACCATTGGCAGTTAGGTGGAACACCCTGGCAGCCAAGAAGAGACACAGTGCATGAACGAGCTGCCATCAAAGCATGTCCTGCAGAATTTTCCTTGACAATCACCCATGAGAGGAGTGCAGTGAAAGCCAGCGGCGCTGCGAGTGCCTTGCTCAACATTTGCTGTCTTTACTCTGGTGCAAGTGGGGTTGTAAGCAGGGTGGCTGCAGGTTAGAGGGGCTGTAGCCTGGTCAGCAGTCTGGCGTGAGCAAGGAAATCAGGAGTCAGCGACACAGTTAAAAAGAGGAGAGACACCTGTAGGAGACGATGCAGTTCTCGCGCTGGCTGCCGCCTGGGAACCGCTCCAAATCAAGCAGCGTTTCATCCCACTCGTGCCTGCGATGTGCATGCCAGACATCAGTGTGGTGCCAAGCTTCAACGCAGCAGCCAGACCCGATTTGGGCTAGACACAGTTCCACTCTGATGGGACCAGCCAAATGCCACACATCATCACTGATGGGTCACCTGTGCTCAAAAGGCGCAGAAAAGCTCCAAAAGACAGCCGAGGAACATGATGCCACTTAGTCATCACTCAGAGTGCTAGCAAGACCTCGGACAGCAAGCAATTTCCCGTTGCAGGGGCAAATGAACCTGTATATTGGTGACAATGATGATATTGATGACGATGATGAAGATGAGGAGGATGTTGATGAGGAAGAGGCTGGAGTCCCCATAAGGTACAATAGCATTGCGAATATTGTGGTCAAGTCCTTGCTTGAAGAGCCAGATCTTTCCTTGAAGTTTCAGCAGTTTGGGATCAGAATTTTAGGTTGGAGTGCAGAAGGGGCACCTGGCTTCGTCGTCAAGGTGAAAGCGGCGCACGTCTGCAGGGGCGACTCCGTCGATGACCGCAGACGTCCGGTATAGGTACAGCCCCGCTCGCAGCGGCCGCCGCCAAGCCGCGTAGCCGACGCCTGACCCACACAACCCATGAAATTTAAAATTTTTACAATCGTGTTAATGCTTTGCCAGCCAGAAAGGATCTAGAAGATGCGGAGTGTGCTTGATTCAGCGTGCTTCAGAGGAAACCAGATTAGTACACAAGAAAGAAACTACCCTGCATGTGCGAGCTGCGAGCTGACAAGCATCCAAAAGATATGAATTGTGTCTGACTCAGGATGCAACCTTCCAGTCAATATGCGTGTGAGTACGAGAGCCGGTCACAGAAGAGGAATCTGCACGGTGAGACTGACCTGAGCAGGCTTCCTCACAGATGGACTCCCATTTAACGCCTCCGGATGCGTGCTCATTGTCTGGCGCGCCAAAACAGGCGCCCTCTCCTCCCCATGCGCCCGGCAGGCCACGTTCCTGCAGCGCCTGCATGCAGCAGTCGCGGAGTTAGTATCAAGTTGACGCCAAAATAAACTGATACTATCAAAAACTCTCTCACCAGGCAGGAAGCAGTAATTACTTCCGGTGCGCATTTACATCTGGATGTGATGACAGGATGCGAAATGTGCTTCGCTGTTGTAGGAGTAGTCTATGCCACCTCCATGAGATTTGATGATATGAAGGACTTTGAGTCGTGTCCCAGGGCATAGACTCCCACAAATGAGGCATGGACACCCCCTAACAACAGTAGATCACGCTTGCACCCTGGTAGGCGTCACAAATAATAACTGATCAGTGAACAGCAGTGACTGCCGCACCTCAACGGCGGAGGATTCGTTCAGGAGCGCCCCAAACTGCAGCAGGAACGCTTCAGGGCAGGCTGCCCTCACCGGTGCCGGGCAGTCCCCGTCCATTCCTAGACAGCTCACTGCATCGGTCGCCTGAATAGCAGCATTGAATCTCTGTCAGCTTGGCTGCAGGCACGTGCAATGAGCATTTGATCCCATTCTGCTGCACGTCTTGTCGGCAAGCTATCACATACATCTATACACGGCAATCCCGATCAGAAAGTGATTTTCCATTGGTAGCTCCAAAAAAGGATGCAAAGCAGGGCTGAACTGGCACACGATAGAGTTCTTGGTATTGGGTTACATACATTCTTAGTTCACTGCAGGAAAGGAGCTCGAGCTTGGGAGTAGGCTAGGCCTAAAGACGAGCACCTGCGCATCCACAGCGTCGTGAAAGCTGGCATCCTCCACAGAACTCGATGCAGAAGCCGAGCGGGCCAATGAGTCGCTGCCACCTGCCGCCGCCGCTCCAACGGGGCAATCACCCCCGGCGTCTGCCAGCGACGCCAGGTCAGCGAAGCTGCCGTGATTGGAGCCTGCCTCCAGGCTGATCTGGTGGGATGTCAGCCGGCTCGAGGGAACTCCGTCGCACAGGTGCCCCGGCAGCTCAAGGGAGTGAGAGCGAAGGGAGGCGGAGGAGGCAACGCCGCCGTGCAGATCCTCCCAGGCCTCGGGGCTGAGGGAGTGCGAGCGCAGCGCGCCGGCAGCCGCTCGGCAGCCGGCGGGCGGCTGCCCGGCAGCTTCCTCCGGGCAAGAAGCCGACCGCCGCAGCGGCGGCCTCGCCGGCCGGACTATGTGCACGTCCCCTGCCGTGCTACGCGCGGAGGCCGCGTGAGGCGCAGCCTTTTGCACGCTTGCTGCTCTAGATCCGTGCTGCTGTGTGCCTGCTCTAGACTGCCGGGCGCCATGCCTGCTACTATATGTTGCGCGCTGCACGTCACTGCCTGTGCTGACCGGCTGAGCAGGCTCTCCTGAGGCTACGGCACTGCCGCCGCTGCTGCAGTGAATTCTGTTCGCATCCTGGCGACAGCTGGGCTCATCTGGGAACGGGCTAGTTGCAGGTGATGCCTTGGCTGGCTTGCTGACCCAAGTCAGCATGTTTACCAGCATCCAGGAGGCAGATGAGGCCGACATCCCCTGCGCAGGACATTTCATGATTATATGTCAATGCTTCCATGCCACCAGATTTCCTTGAACGATCAAACCTGTACTTGTCTTCTCTTGGGCATAGGGCTATTGCTTTTTTTCAGTAGCAACTCTGGGAAATTGGGTGAAAACTGGGAAATTGAGAGGAATGCTATAAAAGCGGCTGTGCAACAGTTCCCCAAAGGGAAGAAGCCATTACCTCCAGGCTGGGCATCTTTGGTCGCTGCAGAAGTCTCCCCAGAAGCAGGCACGCATGGCCTGCACATCACCCAGATACGTAAGCAAGAGCAATTAACTCGCATCTGAATCGGGTCCACTTGCTTTGAAGGCTGGGAGCTGGGGCACTTGAGAGAGATTACTGCCAGGCTGCCTACCTGGCCCGAGGACTCTCATGTACACGCTGAAGTCAGAGCTCTCGCTGCCGCGCCGGTTGGCAGCTATGAGTAACAGCACTAGACTGCCACCCGCAATGCACGTGCTGGCTGACCCATTCTGAGCCTGCAACACAGATATCACACATCGCACCGGACGCTAATCGGCATTGCTCGAGATCCATAGTAATTTGCAGGAAAACGGATGTAATAAGAACGCCACATGAAGCCAGATGCCGTGGAGTCGAGAGAGTGTGGGACACACCAGTAGACCTGGCAGCTGCAGGCAGATGCTCTCCAGGAATGCTAAGACCATGTGCCTAGCGCAACAGCACACACTAATTCAGCTTGAAATGTTTTATAGCGTGCCCTGATGGTGAGCTTGCGCAGTAACAGTAGTTACTGCACACAGCCGTCCTAGGACCCATTGACTTTGTCAGACACAATACACTGGGTGATATAGCCAGTACGGCCATCTCAAATGATTGTCAGATCAGTAGCAACAATGTGTCCCTCAGCTGTAGCCACACCTGTAAGCTACTGCCGACAGGGCTGATACAAGGAATAGCGTTGTCGGAAGGCCTGGGATGCCCTTCAGCTCCAAGGCCGCCATAGCACTAGTCCAAGCCCAAACAATAGAGGGATAGATACAAGCACTCTGGAGTTTTTCAAACGCGCATAGAATGCCTCGATAGGATGCCAGGACAAAGGACACCGCCACCCCCGCTGACGCCGAGACCTGCTTCTTCAGCAAGCATCGCCTGACGCGCAGCGTCCCCACAGGTGCTAATCTACTCGATAGCTTCCTACGTTCTCGTTGCCTTCAAATCCTGTTCCCCAAGATCAACTGGCCCGTCTGAGGCTCACAGCTCTGACCTCATCTGCATCTCGACCGAGTCAGCGATTGCGACCGGCTCAGCATGGCGAGTCCTACTTTGGCAACCCCTAGATCTTGCATGCAAATCGTTGGTCTCTCGAAGCGCAAATTGCTGTGCAGCAAAGCCCCTGCTCAACATGCCAATTCACAGCACTATAATGTAGCTAGAGTTGTGTACACAGTTGTTAAGCGCACAACGGCTTTCTGTTAATGAGTCCACAACCACGATGCTGAGGATGATGTTTTGAGGTCCTTCAAGGACACTAGGCAACCTTGTCGTAATTTACTAACTTACTGATAACCCGATGATCTCTTACATTTGAAACGTCTGTCTATACTCACGTACAAGGCCTCGGCCTTTCCTATCACAAGATGGGTGAGGGCACCAGGTGGTTGGAGTTAATTAAGTCGTATGCAGCCATCAGTTTGTGGGTCGGCGCACTCTTTGCCACCGTTCTGAGCCTGATCGTGGCATTATGGAACCTGCCGGACCCCTACGCTGTTGCCTGGCTGGCCCTCATGGTGAGCTTGCTCTCCTTGTCTGCTACGCTGACACCTTCATGCATTCTTATCAGACATATGATCGTTAGAAGCACTCTGCTGTCGTGCCGTCCTGCATTGCTCGACCTTAAGAGGGAGGCACACGACTGTTGTGGGAGGGCTCCAGACAGACAAGAGACGAGCCTAGTGCCTGCCTGTAACGAGTTTCTGGTGTTTCCGGCCGTAGTTGGTCAATGGGAGCAAATATCTCAACGCCTCAAGCCTGCCATTAGTGATAGCATGAAGTGCAAACGCAGGGCCTGTCACTGGCCATCCCCCTGGATCTGCCCACGCCGCGTTGGGCTCGCGCGCTGACGCGCTTCTCGCTGGAGCAGGCCGCGAAATACCACGACCTCTCGCTCATCATTGAAGACCCTGCCGCTCTGCGGCCGGGCCGGCCATATGTGGTTGGTGAGCGGCCCAGCCTTTGTATCATGCCGTTTGTAAGAGAAACACGAGAAAGGGGTGCAGGATGAAATTGGGAAAATTGGGAACGATGCAGGAGTCCTGCAATGAGACTGCATGCTCACAGAGAGCACTCACCACAGGCGGTCTTTCCAGCAGAGCTGGGTATCGTGGGTTGCTGGCTTGGGCATTCGAGCTTCCAGAAAGCAATGTCATGCCAACCTTCCAAGCGCAAGTTGCAGTGGGACACTTGTCCGGTAACCTGCAGAGCCTTGCAGCTCTCAGCTCTGGCATTTGCATCAAGTATATAAGGATAGATGCACTCTCGTGAGAGCTGGGAGGTATCCCTTGATTATCATGCCAACTAAACAAAAACTCGAGTGGGCAAACAGTATCAGGGGTTGAGACATATTTGCTGATGATCAGGGCAAATTCCACAGGCGTAATGGGGCCAGCGGTATTAGGGAAAGAGGGGCCCTTCTGAGATTGGATAACTAGAGTTGAGATATGTTCACCGATCATCAAAATGTCCATTCTGCGCAGGCTATGAGCCGCACTCTGCGCTGCCGACGGCGCTGCCGATGGTGTTCTGCGAGCACAGCCCCATTGTGCCGCCCGCGCTCAAGTCAGTCAAGACACTCGCCACGTCTGCGGTGCGTACCTCCCATCCCTTTTTCTGTCTCACTGGCAATCGCACCTGCCTGTGAACTTTGAAGTCAAGAGCGCGGCTTGAAGGTGACTTGGGTGCGCCAAGCGGCATGTCAAGCCCTACTATCCTGCAACTGCAAGTACCAAGTAGAATTGCAGGGTGACATGCGCAAGCTCCTCAAAATAGGTTTTGGTCTACCAGTGTCTTGCACATGTTGCATGGCTAAAAAACCTGACAACTTTATAAATTTGCCTGCATCCTATGGCCAACTCAAAGCTCGTGCTACCAGAAATTCCCTGATGTCAAGCCAAACATAGAGATTATAACCACTGTGTTTGTGCGTCAGTGTTTCTACTGCCCGGTGGTGCGGCACCTGTGGTGGTGGCTTGGCGGCCGCCCGGCAAGCGCGGCGGTGATGCGGGGGATGCTTAGTAAGGGTGACTCAGCATTAGTATGCCCCGGGGGCGTGCGCGAGTGCCTGCACATGGAGAAGGGGCGCGAAGCAGTTTTCCTCTCCGGCCGCACCGGCTTTGTGCGCATCGCCATGCAGTACGGTGCGCCGCGTTCCTTCTTCCTCAGAGGACTCCCACGGTATTTTGTGATCTTCAACTTCCTACTAGTCCCCGATGCTTAGGCGTTTGAAATCTCAGGCTTCAGATCACATCTGTGTGCGGGTGGCAGGAGCGCCGCTGGTGCCGGTGTTTGTGTTTGGGCAGACGGACGCGTATGGGTGGGCCAAGCTGGGCCCCCCGGCGGTCCCCCAGGAGCTCGCCGAGCGGCTGGCGCGCGCCATCGGCTTCCTTCCCCTCTTCATGTACGGCGTCTGGGGGACCCCCCTGCCTCGCAAGGTATTCACCTTTTGTTGAATATTTCTTTGCTATTTCCACGTAGAAGATTCCTGCACAATTCACCTTTCATCACCTTCATGCGCCTTCCTCATGCACTGCGGGGCACCCGCTGACCCGTACCACCTGAAACACATTTTGCTTGCAAGTCATCTTGTAGTAATCTTCATCTCTTTGTGTTTTAAGGCGTCCGGAAGACCTACCTGCCTGCGCAATTGTGCAGGGTGCAAGTCGCGCACCTGTTCATGCCCTCATCACTGTCTATGCGCTTATGCTCGCGTGCTTAGCTCTCGCGCACAGAGGCCCCACCGGCGCATTGACACGGTTTTACGGCAATCAGCAGCTGATGGGCTGTAGGCTTTCAGAATGGAAACAGGTTCAAAGTTGACAATGGGCCCGCACTCAACCGACCAGAAAATTTTGGATCGCAGGTCAAGATCACCATGGTGATTGGCAAGCCGATTGAGGTGCCAAAGACCGAGCAGCCAAGCAGCGCAGAGGTGGAAAAGTACCTGGACACCTTCAAGCAGGAGCTGTCAGCACTCTTTGAGCGGCACAAGGTGGCAGCAGGGTACCCAAAACTGCAGCTGCTGATTATTTGAGCGCCACTTGATTAGGGAAAAGGAATGCAGACACCAAAGCAGAGCGAGCGCCAAAAGCAAGGAAAAAGGGAATGCAATGCGTTCAACACACACAAAATAAACCTGTGACCCAGGAGCACAATTGCTGCATGCATGCAATCAGGTGTGGCTAGAAGAGGCTCAGGGCAAATTCAGGATGCCCAATACTGCAGAGGACTGAATTCCCCTGCCGGGGCGCTTGACCGCTCTTGCAATGTGAGAAGATCCCCATATCAGTCTCGCAAGGATTTAAAAGTCGCCAATGTGTGCCCACGATTTGTAGCCTGCCCAAACAGAATCCGAAATTCGTAGCAACAGCAAGCTAATGGATCAGTGAAGGATAGGGGCTTAGATGTGTATTTAATATGACACAAAGTCCACATGCGTTCCACTCAATTTCAGGCCTCAGCTCAGCCCATGTGCATTGCTGGACAGCAAGAATTGGGTTTGGAAGGCAGATTCTGTCTGTTTAGGAGCGTTCTGCACTGCTGCTATGTTCGTCCCTTTCGAAGCAGCATTTCAATGTGTCAGCTGCTGACAGGGCAGATGAATCACTGTACAATACTGTAGTCTGACATAAGATCTAGCGCTCTCCTGGAGCTAAATCCAATCTACCTTTCTTAAACAACAAGATAATGTGAATTGGACATTCACCCGCTGGCGCGGCTTGAAGTATGTCAAGAGTGTTAGCCGCCCCCCACTTCATTTGTGATTAAGCTCGCACCATTCTCAGAATGCTGCTTGTAATTTCGTTGGCATCCACTTTGCCTGTAGTCTTTCGCTTCTGAGAATCTGCAAAGTAGCTGGGCATGGTGTGTTGCCATATGCATCATTAAGAATGTGGTTGCTATGAATCATGGCCCATGATGCCAGTGATGCATATGCATTCCACAGTGTGCATGCAGGAATGCCGCGTCGCGTGTGCAGACTTGGTCATGAAATAAATCATCCTTGCGAAAGACTGCCCCTGAGACCAACAAGCCTCCCAGCGCTCCTAGGTGGCTCCCAACAGGTCTCTAGAGTGTAAAAATAAAAATAATCTTTCTTACATCTGGCTCCAGTGATTCTGGCCAGGGATTTTCGTCTCATTTCTTTCTCCGGATATCCAATAGCGGAAGAAATAAACAGCCCTCAAGACGCACACCAGAAACAGTATCTGCACCGCACTAGACATAAGGCAGTACAGCTGCAAGCGTCAATTGTTCGCACTGCATGCCTGCACCAATCAGCGGGCTGCTCTGCCACGTCTGACCTCTCACAAAATGAGAGCACCGTCATCTCACCCGTGAGATGCATCTCATGCTTGTTCACATCCAAGTGTACAGATCTAGCTATAAAGACATATATGGAATTAACCATTTGCACCTTACTTTGATGCAAGACAACGGTGGAATTCGAAATTTCCAAAAAATAAAATAAATACTTGACACAAAAGCAATGAGACTGCACACATATCTGGGCGGCCCTCAAAATACTGCCTGGTGCTGTTGCATACCTCGTACAAGCATGCAGCTGGGCATCTTAGGCACCCTGCATGTACTGGATGCACTAAAACACCGGCACACTACCTGTAATTTGTTGAAGGTTAAATTCAAACCAGCGCCCAGCTGAAAATTCCCTTAGAGTCAACAACTGGTGGCAAGAAGCCACGTGAACCTAAAATCACAAATAAGAATCTGGGTAGCTCTTAATACCGGCAGCCACTGCTGCCGTGCAGATCCTCCCACACTGCCCTAGATCAAAGCGTGCTGCTCCAGCTTCCATTCAGGGAGTCCTTTTTCGTCACACATCGCGCTAAGGAATTTTGACCAAACCACTGATCAAAGCAAGCTGGCGCACTGGTACCACATCTCAATTCAGGCCACCAGGTTCTCCCCAATCCGGCGGCCAACTCGCCGAAATCCAAACCGGCCAAGGGTGTGCAGACACTACATCACTACACATCACTGCCTTTCAGGCAGATCACAAATTGGCCCAGGAATATTTTGTCCCTTCTGGGGCTGACAAGCCGGCGTAGCTAAGGGTAGAAGGTCTTGCAGAGGACACATGCATCTCCATAAATCCAGAGCCTTGCTCTGATTAGTCAACCCAACTGAAGGAAGCTTCCTTTTGCTGTTTGCACATCTGATAGACCCTCTCAAGGGGGCCCCAGATTCGCTCTCCACAGCAGCCCGACTATCAGTGGAACAAATCAAGGATCCAGCATCCGTGACAAACACAGCCAGGCACTAGGGACTGCCTCCTCTATGCCTCATCCTTTTCAAATAATGCCTTGCACCGCAGAGCTACCCATCTGCGGCAGGACTTGTGTGTTTCCCTCTCCGAAAGATTACTCCAGCCACTACACAGCAGCTCGATAGGAGCGAAAACTGTGTGTCACAAAAGAGTGGGTGCCAGCATGCTGCGGTGGTGACTTTGTCTCCTAATGCTCTCCTTTCCGATGGTGGCGCCTTTGAGGCTTGCAATCGTGACATTCTTGAACCCGCCAGTGCCGAAGTACCGGCGGATTCGCGCGCCCATGTCATCATATGACACGTCAGCAAACGTCACCTGCGCAAACCATAACTATTAAGAAAACACTCCCAGTGCACAAATCTCCGCGACACCTCGTTGAAAAGATCAGTAAGTTTCAGGTGGTTCCCAACAAATCTCAGGAAATGTAATCTGCTCAACACCGTGACACATCCCCTCAGCCCAGCAGACTGACTTTCTGGTAATTATGGTGAAGCTGCATGACCCAAAGATTTATTATACATTTTCCAAAGACATCCTTCTGTACGGCTACATCGTAACGGCCAATGCAGCAGAGCCCCACTCATAAACTCTTTAAACATTACCCCACATGGCCTGAAAAGCGAAGTAGATAAGCACAGAACAATTGCCCAAAGCAAAGTTTTCTCGATTACACAGTATTATGCAGGTCCTGCTCACCTGGGATTTCAGGTAGACGGTCATGCGCAGAGTGGCGATGATTGTGGGTATGCCACTTGTTGATGATCCCACAAAGTAGTCTGCATGTGCCATCATCTCCATATCCTTTATCAGCTGCCTAGTCTCCCGGCAACGGTCCTGTGATGCATATATACTTGATCAAAATATACGTTGTGCGAGCTGAGCACATATCTTCATTGTTGCGCTGTGAGCTGTTTTGATCTGTGTCAGGATTTTTCTCTATGGTGTGCCCCCCTCTATGCTATTTGCTATTTATTCTCCATGAAAAAGGGGCTTAGAACACTGAATGACATGCCTAGAGCCTAGAGGATGCAAATGAGCACGTCAGGACGCAGCATGCATGCATTTCCAAAAAGAGGCAAGAATCAATGCACCCCAAAAGTTTACGGAAGGCAGACTACGATCACTGGCTCTCATGAAGTCTTTGGCATCTTACAAAAGGTGTAAGAATTCAAATTCCGAAGGGATTGGGAAGTTCCGAGGGGATGCCAATTCCAATACTGCCCAGGAAATAACAGTTGCAATGGTCTTCCGCGGCGGCTAAATAGCAGGAGTCAGCAAAGAAGCCAGCTGGAGCATGCAACTGGGTGTTAGGGTTAGAGGGGTCGTACATGCAGCGGAAGGGAGTTGAAGGTCGCCTGGTGGTGCCCCTTGGTGCGGTAATATTTTGAGGGGCGCGCGATCTTGCACCCTATGTACTGCGCCGCCAGCTGCTCCGCCTCTGCTATCGCCGCCTGATCATCCCCTATCAGGACGCAGGTGCCCCCCTGTTGCAGAAAACATGGCCGTCCATCTCAAAATAGCTCTCCAAAGACATCCTGTAACGACCACAGTGGACTGCTGACTGGACTGCACAGTTGCCACTTAGCAAGCGGCAGGATACCCAAACTGTGGAGGCCAACTGGTGTTAGTTGAACACAGTCACGTGCTTGAAATCCCAATTCCTTAGATATCTGCAAATTCTCAGTAAATGGCACGCTTTATTGCAGACATGTCTCCTAGCCGCCATTAGGCGGCGACCCCATTTGTCTGAATACTACCCATTTGCGGCAAAGCTACTGGTGTGCTTTCCCAGCAGGTGCCCTCAAGAGAAATGGCAATCAATCAGTCAGAGTATCCTGAAGGTTTAAGGTCCATCTTGGATTATTTATTAACGCCATCACTGTACAGGCAAGCTATGGGCTTGGCAGAAGCAGGTGAGGCAGAAGCAGCTCACCCTGACCCCCACGTAATTGTCCAGGAAAGTGTTTATCAAATCCTCTGGTTTTGTGGTGGTCCTCCCCTGCAGCAAAAAAAAAGCAAGGAAGTTGGTGACTGCAACATTGAGCAGAACAGTGCCACTCTTGTGAACCTTCCAGAAGCGGTAGCAAAGTACCTCAGCAGAGGAAGTCAAATCGCATTCAGGAGGGTTGGATCTCGTAATAAGCTTGAGAGATGGCAAAGGGACTCACCAGGACCTCATCCTCTGTAGCCTTGTCACCTCCTCGCACTGCACCCATCAATAGCTCAATATCAGTTTCACCAAGTTTTAAATCCACCAACTTTCCTGAGATATCTGGCCATTCTCCGCCTTTTACAGCTATACTGCCCATGGAAGCCACTCTGCAAGCGGGGATGGGATAGTGCCCGAGAAAAGTGACACCTGTTCAGTGAATGTGATCAGGCTGCGGATACTTTGAGGAATGAACGCACCGTGGAAAGCGATGGTTGGCTTGTCGTAGCTATCCAACACCGCAAGTGCAGCATCCACCTCCCTCTGCATGGTGGGCTGCAGCCTCCAAGTCTGTGGGGGCACAAGCGCATCGCATGTTCATTGAAATGCTCTATCCAAAATTTTGAGGCGCTTGCCAGAACATGCCCTGGAAATGCAACTTGGAGGAACTGAAGTCGAGTTTATAACGAGCTTGCCTTTCTGACCACCGCAGGATCGAAGCGAGCCTGAACGTGCGAGATCCCTATTGCATCCGATGCTACAGCCATTTTTCCATACGAATAGTATGCACAGCTCTCATTCTTTGCCAGAGCAGGAGTCCACGGCTGCAGGAAGCCCGACTCGGTCTGGAAGTAATCGTGCCATCCCCCGCCCTCGGTGCACATGTATGGAAACTCAGTGTTGTCGAGATAGACGCTGCCGTTGGAGCCATAGAGCGCAGGCAGGGCGGACCAGAGACCGTTTATGTGCGCCCCCAAGCCAGACCAATGGAACTGGAGAACGCTGCATGCTTCGGACCCAGTCGCACAGAGCACGACGGCCAGCAGGACAAGGACAAAATGCTGCCGTTGCATGGTGCCGATCGATAGCCTAACCTGCTAGATCACACTCAAAACTGTGACGGGCTCGCTGCGCTAAAAGGGTTACAGGGGATCTGTTGTCACTGATCCGAGAGACTAACCGATCAGTAATTTCGCAACCATGCACGTCCTAAACAGGCAACACCGACGTCAGTGTTACCCACAGCGATGGAGTAGGCTGCGGACCAGCGAAAAGTGTTCGTCGATGCAACAGAAGAACAATCTTTTGGAGCTAGTGGGCGCTCAGAGTGATTGGTCCATCTTGTGTTGTGCATAGGCAGGTCCTGGCGCGTTATAGCCACTGTGGTGCTTATTTGAAATAAGTTATTTCTCCCGACCTACCCCGGTTCGCTAGCTCTGGAGACGTGAGTTCCAGGGTTACAGCTGAGTGGAGGTGTAGAGAAGCAGTACTGAGAGCCGGTGGTTCGCGATGGCCGTCTGCGTGCCTGCAGCCCGCGCTGCGCTGTTCGTCATCGTGGCTGCGCTGATGCTCATGACACCCATAGTCACGTCTGCTGCGCTTGGCGTGGTGTCTCGTCATCTAGAATTGTAAGTAACTCTACTTGTTATTGTTTGGATGAAAAGTTGCGCTGTTCGCACGCTTGCAGGCACACCTTCCGGATGTTCTTTTGCGGGTTGTCGTGTTCACGCCTCCACTCTTGTCTTCCTTTTGGCCGTCTGCCTGTGTCTTGACTGGTTTGTGAGCCCTTGATGCATGCGCAGAGATGTCCCAGGAGCCTTATCTGCATCGACGTTATCTGGAACGCGTGCTGCTAGCGTCACTAACACGCGCCATCTTCTCGCTGAGGCCTCTGCGTCAGGTCCGAAACTCTTCTTGCAGCCCTCACAGCATGAAACGTTCACACATGGCCTATGGGGCTGTGGAAAGAAAGAAGCAGTCATTGGGGGACTATCGATGGACCGCACTGCGCTGGGAACCTTCATCTTGACATTTGCTCTGTCACTTTACTGCCGTCCATGCTTCACTTTGAGCATTTTATGCTCTTCCGCTGATGAATGCTCGATTCTAAACTTATACGGCAGCCTTTTTGGACTCTACTGGTACTGAGACAGTGGAGTTAGCACCGTTTCAGCGACTGCCTACTGTATACAGTTATGTCTGGGGTTAACGCCTCCTTTGTCACCTTTGGCCCGACCTAGCTTGAACTTGCCTGTACCTTTTTTTACAGAAATTTCTCACAAGCTTGTAAGGTTGTCCTCATGCATCTGGATGCACATTTTCCGGGAGTGTTTTGTCTAGGTGCACACCCTGGAATAGGGAACTTAGCTGCCATCGAGCAGACTGAATTAGGCTCTGCAGGTTTGGCTGCAGATGTTCCCTATAAGTTTGTCCCATGTCCCTGCTCTGGCTCTGCTGCTGATGAAATTGACACAACGGGGGTTTGGCGAATTAGTAATATCACAAAACAGGTGCAAGTGCCTCCTGCTAGATACCCCTCTTCCCTACGGAAAGTCCTGTCCAAACACCCGTTCTCTGTGATGGTGCAGGAGGCCACAACCCCAAGGCACACACAAAACCTCCGGACAACATCCTGTTCATGTATGAGGTGCACGGATGGCTCATGTCTATTGCTTGGGGCGTGCTGGCACCTGCCGCCATCGTGCTAGCCTACAACTTCAAGAACGTGCCGCCCACCAACATGTGGTTCCACGCGCACCGCGCTCTCATGGTGGGACCTTCTCTCTTCCTTCCATTTTTGGATACGCGTTCTTGAAGCAGATCCTAGTTCCTTGCAGCAGTGTCTCATTGATTTACAGCTGTGGCAAGCCGGAACATTGACATGAACATATTGATTTTGAGATTTGAGGTTCCAGCGGCAAATGTCGCAGAGCATGTACACTGACAGCTTTTGAAATTCTGAGTTTGAACTCAAATTTTGTTGCTGCTGCGCAGCTGCTGGCGTACCTGATGCAGCTGGCGGGCGTGGGTGTGATCATCGCAGTCATGCCGCAGTACTGGGATTACTACTCCCGCCAGGTCATGATCCACATCAGCGTGGGCATTGCCTGCGAATTCCTGGCTGGCATGCAGGTGAGTAATTCCCTCTGAGGCTTTTCAATAGAAAGGGAAGGTGTGATATTTCCTAAGGCAAAACAGCCCACAACATACATGCAGCTGACAGCGTCCCTGGATTTGCACAAGCAAGCAGTTGGCTGCATTTGGTCTGCGGCAAGCCCTTGTTCACACGATACTATACGCACGAGATGATTACTACTGTATATGTCCATTAAAGGCTGCCAGATTGCTAAGTTTCATTTCACATTTGCTGCTGCAGGTGTTGTCGGCTATGGTGAAGCGGCCAGGCAAGGCCTCCCCCTACCGCAGGACTTGGAGTGTTGCCCACATCTGGACTGGGCGGCTGCTGCTCATTGTGGGCATCGTGCTCATCTTTGACGGCCTTCTGCTGTACCACAGCGGCAAGCGTGAGTGCTCTTTGCAGCCCTGTAGTGCATTGTTTCTGCTGCATCCATCATTCAGAATGTGGTGAGGTTGCGCAGTTTCTGAACATCGGAGCTGAGCACGTTGTTGCAGCGCAGCACATAGATTGTAGCCGGAATTGTCCTTTTCGGGTTGAAGAGTAATCATGGGCATACCTTGCCATTGCCCACAACCCTGAAATCCACCTTCAACTTTGCCTGTCTGCTTGTTGAGCGGCCTTCATCTCAATCTGCCGAGAGCGTCTCAATGAAAGTTGTGGCCAGAGCGCTCTTGACAAGCCATGAGCAATCCCTTTAGAGAGCAGAATCTTCAAACATGAATGCTAGGTTGATGGCGCCCAAGCAAGTGATGATCTGCCTGGAACACGTGCTGCAGGGTAGAAATCCAATGTCAGTGAGGATGCTCCCGGCAGACATGCAGGGATTGAGGCAGATGATCAAAGACTGACATGGCTTTCTTGTGTGCTGCAGCGTACCAGCACCTGTTTGTCATCCTGTCGGCGATCCTGTTCTTCTTCTTCTCGGTAGCTGCCGGGAAGGACGCGTACGACCAGGTGCGGCTGCCGCCGCCGGCCGTCACCGAGGCAGCTGCCGCGAAGCTGCACGAATTTGCGCTGCAGCCGCTCGGAGGCAACTTTCCCTCACAACTGGACAGCGCCTGCGTCTCGCCCTCTAGCAGCGCCGGCAAAATTGCCGCCATCAAATGTTAAGAGGGGTTCCCTCTCGGCGCCTGAGGGCAGCTTAAAACCACACAATCTTCTCCTTCTGTACATGGGGTTGAATTGGGCGTTTTAGCTAATTTTATCCAGCGTTTTCACAACCAGCTTGAGCTGCTGGCTGTGAAAATACCTGGTAGAACAGGAGGGATGCAAAACCCTTGGTGTTACTGGGGTCCAATCTGTACATAGAGGGTTGCCAAGCATCCAGCGAAGTAGGAAAGATGTGTTTTGTCATGGTGCCAGATCTGTGTCTCCTCGTTGAGTCTGCCACGGCTGGCTGCAGGCAGCCACTAGAGGGTGATGAGGGATATGGCAGTTCCATGCACAGTCCATTCTTAGAGATGGGCGTGGGAGATCGCTTGTGGGAATTTGTTGGATGCTGATGTGCTTTACTGCAATTCTTTGGGAGGATTCGCACTGCTCTTTGCAGGGGAGATCCCCTGTCAGAAGTTCAGGGCCTACGGGTGGCCAGCGGGCCATAATGCAACTATCAATGCTATTGTGGGCAGCCAATGCCAAATGGCAATAGCACAATACTTATCTCGCTCCCATGCAGAGACTTTTGGGGCTTTTAATTGGAGCAGCCATCTGATGACTTGCTGAAGGATTTTTGCTATGGACCTGTTCTTTGGGGTCTTATAGTGAGACCTTATGCTAGCTTGAGCATTCTTTCGTTCCTCGACTGGTTGGGAAGCTTTTGGGCTTGGTTCAACTCTGGGGCCTGGGCCCATTACCAGGTGCTTTAGCTCTTTAGCCGGATCTACATTGATGTCCAATGCAAGTCCTGATGTATTGGTTACTCAAGTTGATCTTGGGCCAGCATTTTTGCAACCGATCATGACTCAAGGAAGTGTGGCCGTGTACGCATGGGGTTACAAGTGCCAGGTGAATTGGAATACAAGTTGCTGCAAGTGCTGATCTTCTCAAGAAACCTTGAAGTGCTTCATGGGAATCCATATTGGCTTTTGGTTTGACGCTTTTGCTACTGGGTGTTTTCATGGGGGGTGCCTTGAAGTATGCAAGTATGGGATGTCTGTTGGGAATTCGCTGTGCTTTTGCCGCTGTGCTTTTACTGGGGTTAAAATTTCTATTTTATTGGCTGAGATGCATCAGGTCGAGGCAGTGTTGCTCATCTGATGGAATTAGTCACCATTATTGGTAATGGCGAGGCAACACAACAGTCTAGTGACATTTGGAATTGACTCGCAAATGGTTGCTTTGCCTGTGCTATCTAGATCTGCAACTCCAATTCTTTATCTGGTGTACGGGTTGCAACTGATATGACTCTTGAGTTCGACACTTTTATATTCCAAAAAAACATGAACTTCATGTGTGCTGCAGCAGCAGAAAATCTCAGGAGTAAAGGGTTATGGGATTCTTGCCAGTGTTCTGTGGATGCATCCACATATGTTTTATCAATGCCTAGCTAGCTATAGCTGTTTCATACTATATCATGTTACCTCTGGTACAAGCTGGGCAGTGGAAAGGAGACTGTGCAATGTAATGTTCTGCAGTTTTGTGACTTTGAATCGGTAATGCTGTGGCTCTGCAGTGATGATCAGCTGCAGCTGCACAGCTGCATGCAAGCAAGACGGTCTGAATTCAGGGTCAGCATCTATTGGCCAGTTATTGCTGCACCTTGTAACGCATTTGCATAGCAGTAGAAGGATAGCCAGCATCCTTGGGGTGAGAGCAACTTCCTGCCAAAACAATGCATCGCACTCATGTATACGCACTTTCACAAGTTGCAACAATTGTAATGCAATTACCGTACGCCTATAGTAAGAAAAAAGCAGCTAGTGCTAAATTTGAATGTTGAGCACCTGTTGTATTCCATGCGGATTATGCATGCAGGCATGTGAACGCCTAGTAGGCAGCAACACCAACAGAATATACACACCATTGTCTGAGGGGCGTCTTGAAGTCTTGTAATATTGATTTACATTGACATTAGTGTGCCACGTGCCACAGTGTGTGACAAAGCCAGCTAAGGTCCTTTGTCTCCAAAAGATAGTAGTGTGATGCCGCTGTGCGTCAAAGTTATGCACTCTTCAATGCTCCTTCACGTTCAGGAATGGAAAGGAATGTCCAAAAAGCTTGAGTTGACGTTCAGCATGCGTCAGGTGCCATGGTAATGGCCAAGATTGGCAACACCATTCTGTGAGCACTGCAGAGCGCAGAAAGGTTGAACCACAAATAGCAGTCAGGTCAAAGTGATCGAAAAAAAAAAGCGTTTCGAGCTTTATAGCAACATCGCAAAGCCTCCCTTGCAGCATCAGTTGGTACTGTTCATGTCATTCACTGATCTGGGGATATGACAAGCTTATTGTTGGTTTCCTGCCGCTCATAGTGAAGAAATCTGATCGTCAACATTTTCCTATTAGATAATTGTTATTTTCTTGGCGAAAAACAAGCGATATAATTACGAGAACCTCGACTTGGCAGAGATTGTTTTGTTCACGGTTGTAGCGTGAGGAAAACAGAAGTGCCAGTGGTGCCGCTGCGCCTACAACGCCTTGCGAAACCCAAAAGAATTGAAGTAACGCTCATGGCGGCCAATCGGGGGTGCGACGTCCCGTCAGCAGGCATCAGCTACCCCATCACACTGGGAGACACCCTCCTGTCAGACAAAGCCAGTCACTCCTACTGCTCGCTCCGATACGACTTCAAGCCAGCGTCTGCAGGCCGCTTCAGGCAGGGATCCGTGACGATGCAAGACAACCAGGCAAGTGCCTTGCCACCGGCCATACTTCTGCCTTGCTTTGTCCTTTTGCCTGAAAGACTCTACATCGTCGAAAATAAGAGGCTATCCTGAGCCTCAGTATCTCTCATCTGTGATCTACCAGTGCCTGCGCTCCTACCCGAACAAAAAACTAGACAAAAGCGATGGGGCACCTGAAAGCTGCTTCAAGTCATGGCATTGCATTCATGCTCTTCTTCCTATTGCAAAATTCCAAGTGCACAATGAACCTTGCAGTTGTCACGTCTGCGAGGCATGCAGCCACTGATATGCACTGGCTGCTCAGGTGGTCGTGAACCTTCCAGATGCAGCGGCGCAGGGCACAGATATGTCCTTCAGCGGAAGGCATGAGCACAGCAGGGACGGACTGGACTGCGTGGCCATCTTTGATGGTGTCTCATGGCGCCTAGAGCTCGTGCAGGGCCTTGTGAAGGGCCTGAAAGCCACCAGGCGAGTCTCTTTCTTTCTTTTCTCTTTCTTTTGCTCCACCTGACCACTTGTTCCCGTCTGCAGGTGTGCATTCTTAATGCCAGAGTATTAAGTGATTTGCATAGCTGCCGGACGCACATAGCTGAGCGATCATGAAACATGCATGGAGTCTTGCATGCTTCAGATCTGCAGAAGCAGCTTAAAAATTGGTTCTTGAAGGCATTTGAGAGACATTTGCGGAAGGCTCACCCGAGAAAAATCAGACAACTGACAGTGGACCACAGTAAGCAGGGTTACTACAGGGGTGACTGATGAAAGTGCATGTTCCAGGCGCGCTGCGCGGGTGCCAACGCCGCCGCCTCAGGCTCTGCAGCCTGAGGTTATTGCGGACGCTGATGTGGCGGGTGATGACATGGTGGACGCGCTGGTTGCTGCACTGGAGGTGCGGACAATTTGATTTTTGTCTCTCTAGCTGCAAGTCGTTTGTGCAGCTACACAGGTGTGCAGCACGTCGAGCTTTGAGCGCCAATTACACTTCTGCGTAAAAGTATCTGCATTGCTGGGCAGGTCCATGGGGTCTGGGACCAGGCACGTGCATTCACAGGAAGGGCTTGTTGCAATCACCCTTTTTGAAGGCAGCATGTGAGGCAACTGGCATAGCAATCAGCAGAAGCATCTATGGAGGTGCCTGGCTGGAGTGCAAACCATTGGTGTCACATATCGGACTAACGCTTGCCAGGACGTGTCATGTGATTTAAGGGGCATGGGTTCAATTCTGTGTCCTTTACCACGCCCCCATGCTTCATCAGGGCGTCTTTTTACACCCCCACCAAACTCTCAAGGCGCGAGCTTGACCTGCTAGACATGAGAGCACCTGGTAGCAAAGACAGGCCTGGCTTGGTAATGGGGGCACTCTTTCTTTTGAGGATTGAGAGACAGGGCATGGGCTGAAAAACCGCATGTTTGACATCAGAAGGGTTGTTTCTGCAAGGTGGACGAGCCGGCAAGGACAGTGTCTCAGGCAAGAACGGCGCCTTCTGCGCAGAATCGGGCCTCGGAAAAGGAGTGGTTTGGGTCTGACGTGGGAGAGGCAATGGAGGAAGAAGGGCCAGATCAGGATGCAGCACATGAGGAAGAAGCAGAGCCTGATCGGGCAACGTCACAAACAGCTAGCCCATCGCCAAGAGCACAGGTGAGGGACTACATTCTGCGATGGCCATGCGCTTGTTCTCTGTTACATTCGTCATTGACCTGTCCGATATCTGTGTCTTGCACGGCATCGGACTTATGTGTTGTACTTTATTTTTGAGCGAGATAATCCCCTGCTTTGGACTTCCATTTGATGGCAGTTTCAGTCCTTTCTAAGGCTGAATTCTTGTGTTGCCTCTGAAGCTTGCACCTGAGGGCCACTTTAGATGGCAATCGCGCCAGTGATCAGAATGAGATGTGCAGATCCTGTGTGTGACACATGCGGGTGTTGGTGGAACAGGGTTCTGGGGCGCTGGCAGGGGTGGATATGTCAGAGCTGGAGAGGGAGTTTATGCGTGCGCCGGATGACTCATCTGATGAGTCGGACGATGACGAGGCGCTCAATCACTGCAGTGATGATGACAGCGAACTGGCGCTGGAAGACTTCTGACTGCAGCAAGCGTGGAAGGGGTTACAGCGCGTTAAGTTTATGAGGGAGACAGTTTCTGGCTACAATATTCATGACGCATTTTGTGCTCGTATGCTTTAAAAACCTTTGGAATTTCAATGTGACATATGTGTAACACTACAAGTCTCTACCAAGCTAAGCTGCAAATACTATAACAAGTGGTGCCGGCATTCCTATGCAAATTGCTTTCCGCATCTAGCCAGTTCTCATTCCGCCCTGATCCCTATACCCAAGGTCATGACTATCATCACAGTACTGCATGTACATACTTCATGGCTAACCCAATCATGGCTATCTTGGACTCTACATTGTCACGCAGTTCCTCTGAACACCAGCCGTGCTCACAAGCATGGAGGTTTACATGCTGCATCTGAGCAGTCAGTACTCCTGAAGGGAGGTTCTTCCAATGCTTTGGCCTCCGGGGCTGTAACCAAAGCTCTTCAGTGGCGACTGCATGCGCGCATCTGGTCCTGTGGCATTCCCTCCCACACCTTGCATGACACATGCCTGTCTGGTCAGATCTTCATCGCACTTCAAAGCCTTGAAGCCGCAACTGCAGAGCATGCGCGCATGCGTGACAATCTGAGTCACGCATCATAAGGAGCACAAGCCCTTGGAGCAGCAGGCATTATATGTCTCTTGACAGGTCTCCTTCTGGAATGCTGTCGCCTGCATGAGTGAACAAAATTATGCCTCTTTGAGGCTGAAAGTCTCTACTGTATGATACAATCTAAAGTGGAATCCCAGCGATGTGCAGGGAAATGATGATGTTCTGCAGGGTTGCATACTTTTGCAAAAGTATGCCCCTCCTGGTTTACAGCAAAAGGGCGTTGTTCACATACCTTGCTCCCTGGAGGAACGCCCCTTGGCGGCTGCAGCCGCGGCTGCGGTCGCCTGCACCAGTGAGGAGGGTATCCTCTGCAGCGGAAGCTTCTGCTCGGACGCGCCTGCCCCGTTGGGCAGCTCCCCAGGCGAACTGCTGCCCGGCTCGTTGCTGGGATCTGCAGCGGCAGCGCAGCAGCTTGTCACAATTAAAAACAACAACATGATACCGACAGAAATATGAAAAAGTGAGAACGAATAGTCCTGTACCTTCCAAATCTTTCGTGGAGGCCTCTACAGAGATTCGATCCTCTTATGCCATAACTTCACACACTCTGAGCAAGCAACTCCAGTCCATCTCACCCCAACTATAATCAGGCCCATGCGATGCTGGTTAACGCTTGCAGCCCTCCGGTGTAGTTTTCCGCAGCGGATCAAAGCCCCCAGGCGACAGCTCTCCCCAGGGGACCCACCACGGCTGAAACACACCTAAGCCCAACCTTGCAAACCCCACAATCAGATCAACTCACCCCGGCTGTAGTCCAGGTCAATACGCGCGCGGCCGCTGCTGCCGGGTCCTGTCTCCAGGGGCGCATCCTCGAACCGGCCGCGGCCGTCCCACAGCTGCGCGCGCTGCCCTGAGTCACCGCCCGGCCATGCTGAGTCACCTTCCGGAGGCGATGAGTCATCGGCTTCGTCGCTGGGGCCTTCTGTCTCCATGTCCTCGGGCGCCATCGCGTCCGGCGGCCGCTCCCGGAACTCTTGCCCCGTCGCCGATCCGATCCTGCGCGCAGATTTCCTTTCCCATCATATTCCCAAGAATCCTGGGGCTCATATAGTGCTCCTGCCTGAGCACACCTGCCTGAGGCAAGTGCTTGGCAGAGGTCCAACAGTGCAGGAACTAAGGACGAAAGGGTCCCTCCCTAAGGGCCAAGAGGCAAGCAATACAAGTCATGCAGCACCAACGTAAAAATTGCACAGAAGCTGACGCTTGCTGTGCCGCTGCTGTGCATTATCCATCCCTTGCAGCGCTCAGCCACTATCCGATTCTCCAGCACCCTCACCGACACTACAAGTGGTGCCGCTTTGCCCGCCCTCAATTTCATTCGCGAATCAGCCATGAACAGTTGCACCGAGGGTCTGACAGCATGCGTGTTATTTGCATCCGAGCAGCATGCCGCACAAACGCGCACCGGGCGATGTTGACGAAGATTTTGCGCTGCAGATTTTCCAGGTACTGGCGCGTGTTGAGGTTCTCCAGGTTCTCCGGCAGCGGCAGGTGCAGCTTGGCGCCCGGCTGGAACAGGCTCTGGTGGTCGTTCTCCGGCAGCTCGTCCTCCAACTCCACGCCTGCCATGCCATTCACACTTATTTCACACTAAGGGCAGGATATACATTTCCGGCATCCAGTGATGTGGTCGCCACACCCAGTCTTGTTACATTGCCCAAGCCAAGGTGAAGCATGCTGCATGAGCGTGCGGCAGACTGCGAGTATTGCAGAGCCGCAGCCTCTACTGAGCCGCCCCCGGTTACACGACACCAAAAGGGCGCACAACTCTTGGCAAAACAATCACGCCAGGACAACCTTGTGGTTACAAAATGCTCGGTTCCAAGGCTGTGTTCTCATGGGAAGCTCGTCCCCTGGGTTCAAGCTCTGCCACTCAGGACAAAACAGGCACGAGCCACAATGTATCCTTTGGGACTTCTGGCCCAAAAGATACATGCCAGGACAAGCTTCATGCTTGAAAGGCCCGGCAGTCGCTGCTCAGGCCACAGTGCATCGTCTACAGGACATAGGAGCGGGAGAGCGGGAGAATCAGCACCGAGGATGCGGCCTGTCTCGTAGGCCCAGCAGCGCGCCACGCTGGCAATGTTGTAGCCGCCCCCGCCCAGGACCAGCATGGGCAGCCCGAATGACATCATGTACTGCTGACACTCCGCGTGACCCTGCAAAGCGTGACGCAGCAAGAGCGTCAGCAACCTTGGCGCAGTGGTGTCTTCAACACTGCGCCGAACAGGCATCTTAGGATTGTGGACCTGTGATTCATGGGGTGCAGCTCCTCACTGCTGGCATGGGTGGCCGGGGCAGTGATCTGGACCGTTTTGCATAGATGGTCAAGGAATTGGCTGGCATGGTGACAAAAGGAGTCCTTCATGAGTCAGTTGGTATCAAACGTGTGGGTTGGGCTTGCCTTCATCGACAGGTTGAAGGCTCCCAGCTTGTCGCCCGCGAGCGAGTCTGCGCCTGCACATACAAGACTAGAACAGTCAGCATGCATTGTTTCCAAAAATGTGCACATGTGGCTCACAATAGCAATCTAGCCAGTGCCTGCAGTACACCGGGCAACTGTCATACACTCTCGAGGCTAGCGATTTTTCACAGGCAAGCACTGCTCCTCGCTTCAAAGAAATCTGAAGCCTGACTTGGGAGCCTGACTGCGACTCACCGCTCTGGAAGACGATGACTTCTGGCTGGTAGACGTCCACGACTCGCCGCATGACCGGTTTGAACAGCATTTCGTAAGCCGTATCCGTCATGCCATCTTTGAGCGGCACATTGATCGAGTGGTGCTTGCCCCTGCGCGCAGCAACATGTCCCCTCATGCACAGACCCACATTTCCGTTGGAAATCAGGTCCATTACAAGCTCTTAGAGGCAAGGTGAGGGCAAGAAGAGCTGTGTATCCTGGAAGACATAAGTGTGGCATGGCACAAGCTATCTGGAGCTGCATATGTGCATGTGCCAGGAGAAGGGCGGCATACCTCCTTGCGCAAATATCTGATCCCTCAGTGGAACAAGGTTGACAAAGAGCAAGAGACAAGACAGGAAAAACGGAAATGGCAAACGCCACACTGGTCTCGGCAATCACAGATGCAAGGGGGACATGCAAGGTAGCTCCAGTTGCAACTCAGAAAGATCACAAGATCAAGATCGAAATCACAAGATCCAACGTGACCCATGCAAGAGCGGCACAGGCAATAAAAAATTTCTAAGTGAAAGGGCTGTGGAGATAAACAGGGGCGCACTGGCCGCGGCCGACGCTGCCGAGGTCGCCGGTGCCGGGGAAGAAGCCGCCGCCATATTTGTGGAAGCTGACAGTCATCACTTTGTCGGTCATCATGAAGGCCTCCTCCACGCCGTCGCCATGGTGGATGTCTATGTCGATGTAGAGCACACGCGCGTTGTACTTCAGCAGCTCCAGAATCGCCAGCACTATATCATTCACATAGCAGAAGCCGCTCGCCTGGACGCATGCGCGCAGTCAAAGTTCTTGCAAGTGCAAAAATGCCCCCAACATGCCCAAAACAGATCATGTCAAATCATGTGCTTGAGTGGCAATTTATTCTCTGCCAGCAAGCGAGACTTACGCCATGCTGGAGTTTGAGAGAACCCCTGTTGGAAGTATACGTCGCTGTGCAGAGAGCACCACAGAATGCGCTTCAGAGTGCAATGGCAGTTATTTCAGTTTATTCCTGTTCATGCAGCATTTGCTCGCATTCGTTTGTATCTTGCTGAAAAACCAGACACAGATACTACTGTCTTGAAGATGAGGAACAGGCCGGCACCCACCTCGCTTTTTTTGGCGTGGTGCAGTCCCCCCGCCCAGTTGATGACCACATCTGACAGTCCATAGTTGAGCTTTACAGCACCTCCAATGGACCCTCCCGCATATAACTGCACAGACACAAAAAGTCAACAAGAGGACACATTGGCTGGGCTGCATTATCTCACGCCACTTGAGGGAGCACAGCTTTGCTAAAAATCGTGAGACATGTGCCGAGCAGATCTACATTTGCATGAATGCATCATGCATGACATGCACATCTTGATGTAAGTGATCAGGGGCCCAGGGCTGGGTAAACTACCTGGCAGAACCTGAACTGGCCGCTGAAGACTGGGCAGTCCTCGCCCACATTGAACATCTGCATCTGCTTTGCATACTGATCCTGTGGCAGCATACATACTGCACTTCAAGGCTCTGCAGCTGCTTGCCAGATCATTGTGCACATGTTCAGGGGTCCTACAAGTCCTTAACCAGAGCATGGGGATGGTTGAGTCTCCCACTGCATCTCAACACGAGAAATGTGACATACTCTAATTTGCATGCAATAACCAAAGGGATGCATGGGAGTTCGGCCAGGCCGCACCTTGTTCTGAGGGGTGACGCTCTGCAGGAAGTTAATGTACTCCTCGCTGTGAAAGTCCACCATGTCTTCTCCAGTTGCCTTGCGCGGCTTGTACGACTGCACCACCAATACCAGACCATCACAACGCCTGTGATGCCTGACATTCCTCTCTGCCATTGCCGGGTTTTTTCCACTAAACAGGACAGCAAATTTGGCAGTATTTCCGCAGCACAACTCCAGACTCTTCTGAATCACACACTGCAGAGGGATGTTCAACCCCATGCCAATGAAGGGTTGCTATGCACAGCTTGCCGAATTCTGTGTTCTACAATGCATATGTGCTGTGGCGCTCTGGCATGCATGGAAGTACAGGTGCGCAGCACCGTAGAGTCAACCTCGATCATACTTAAAGCAATGTGATGGCACAAGATTCCCACTACATCGAGCCCTACAATGCTGTCAATTAATCTCAAGACAAGGATCGAGCCCTTCAAACATGCCGTATGTGCTGAAGGTGCTCTGTTTACAGGAGCACGCGGCCCGAAGTAGAAGTGGGCAGCCGTGTGCAGCAGGCAAAGGTATTCTGATGTGGCAATGGAGTGAAATGCCTGCAAACGCACCTCGAGCATGTTGTACAGGCCGTAGTGCAGAATGAGATTGTTGGTGAGAGTGATGCGGTGCGGCTTCATGGGATGGTTGGGGCCATAGTAGAAAGTCCCAATGTCCGGGTCATAGAAATATGACACCTGCATGACACAAGAAGTTTAAACATATCCATGGATGCGATCGTTTGCTGCAAGTCCACACCTTCCACACATATTCTTGCAAATGCCCTGCTCAAGGGGGCTGATTTGTTGCAAGAAGATCCGATGCGCATCACATCCTGAAACAACCATTATCAAGCATTTATTTACAGCAAATATCGTTTCGCAGGACAATCGTCATTTGTTATAACAGAAAAGCAGCTCAGGAACTTATGACACAGGTGCCAGCCTTGTCCTTAAGAATGCGTTTTGGGCACGATGCAATGGTTCCCACTACATTATGAGCGCAAACAAGAGCCCCAGAGTCGACAAAGACGGATTCAAGAGACATTAAAGTGTCGAACGCTCAAGTGCCGACCTCTCGGGAACTTCTAACAAAGAAAGGCCGACTCCCTGGGAAGGGCATCACCTTTCTTTTGACGGCCGACATTGCCACCTGTGGCAATTCGGATCTCCTTCGAGGCGTCTGATGAAGGTTTGAGAAGCTTGCCGGCACTGAAGCTTACTTTGAAGCTGTGTACGGTCCGCGTACTGAAAGGCGCAGCAGCCTCGACCGCTCCTTCCTGGGCAATTGATAACGAGCGTGCCCAATACGATGTCGTCGAAAATTTTACCAGGACACCGATTAAGTTGGGGCCGCGATGGGAAAGGTTTTGTTGTTCACTCGGAAGGTCTCCTTGAACAGCGAGGCTGCCCGAAGCGGCGGGCAGCGGCGGTCATTGGCGGAGGCTTCATGCGAAGCTAGGAGACCTTTCCATCCTAAAGTCTAATAGTGAGGAAAATACCACACGTACCCTCAAATTTACTTGCACGCCTGAAAGTGAGATCTACATAATCAGTGCTCTGAACTTCAGAATTTCGCAGAATCGAAGTAGTGCTGTTGATCTATTGTGCAATTTGCTGAGAAATGTTTGCTTGAGCTCAGAAAGAGATGCATAGATTATTCTAAGCTTCCTGCATTTGAGGCAAGTGCACATGAATGCCATGAGAGGTGGTGAAAGACACTGGTTTTCCAGGTCAGGAAGTTTTTAGAACTTGTTGCCCGCCGAATAGGGTGCAGTTATGGGACCTGATGGGGCACAGACGCCTCTGTCAAATGGGACATCGTCGTTGGATCACCTGCAACCGACAGATGAGGACCTCTTGTACGAAGAGGAATTGCTTCGCAATCCATATTCATTGAAGATGTGGTTGAGATATCTGGATGCTCGCAAGGACGCCCCCGCGTTCAAAAGATATGTTTTGTACGAGCGTGCCTTGAAGGCTCTTCCTGTCAGCTACAAGGTGAGTGTGCAGCCTGCAGATCAGTAGCAAAGCTTTGCCTGAACAGAAAGCCAGCATATTTTCGTGTTCTTTGATGACACTGCTCGAACAGTGAGACGCATTGGTCAGTAGAATCAAGCTTTGATGGTGCGCATCTGGGAATGCACGTGCCTGGTGAAAGAACACTGCACAGGTATTTCTGGACATCCTCTGACCCAGATGTGACTGCCTGCTGCGCAGCTGTGGCATGCATATCTACGGGAGCGCCAGATGGCAGTGCGAGGACTGGCCATTACGGACCCTGCCGTGTCGTCACTGAACAACACCTTTGAGCGTGCGCTTGTGTCCATGCACAAGATGCCGCGCATCTGGCTGGAGTACCTGGTGGGGCCCTCATCATCCAAATTCAGCATTTCTGCATCCCAGACACAGAAAACTTCCTGCCAATACATGTTCATGGTTCACGAGCTTTGCTTGTACCTTCCTCATGGCCTCTAATCAATGCGTTGGCCAGTAAGGACAATGCCGACCTTGCTGCCTCCTCAAATCATCTGTGCAGTTGTCAATTTGTTTCTCTGACCCTGTGGCAATGTTTTCTGCGCGCAGGAGTTTGTGGTGGAGCAGGGGTGGTTGACGCGAACGAGGAGGACCTTTGACAAGGCGTTGTGCGCGCTGCCCATCACCCAGCATGACCGCATCTGGGTGCTCTACCTGGTGCGCATTCTCCCCTGCCCTCTCTGCGCCCTGCACACCTGCTCGACCCAATTCCTGCGCCGATCTTGTATGCTGCACATGTCTGGAACATCTTGCTATGGCGGACTGGTGCACAAGTATGTGAGCCCAGCATGTGGGGGCAGCTGCAGATTTCTGCTTGGCTCAGCCTTTGTAATAGGGGATATGAGCTTCCCAGGGTGTCACAGAAGTTCAGTACTGTCATCGGATCATTGGATGCAAATGATCTGTGCTACAGAACACATTTCGTATTGAGTGCCTCGTATGTGTGCGCGCAGAAGTTTCTGATGCGCCCGGGAACGCCACCTGAGACAGCGGTGCGCGTGTACAAGCGCTACCTGCGCCTGGAGCCTACGCATGCGGAGGAGTACATTGCTTACCTCAAGGCACAGGTGCGGCCTTGCTAGTGTATCATCACCCTGGGCCCAGGGGTGAGTGGCGGGGGAAGCGGTAAGGGACCATGGCTGTCGATGTCCGAGTTGCTTGATCCTGTGTTGCACAGGAATAGGCTCTGCATGTGCAATACAGGGCTTCATCCTGGACCTTTGCAAGTCTTGCTCCGAGCTGTTTCCCCTGCCAAGAATTCACCTCGTTGCAATGCCTAGTGTTGCATCCATCATACTGGGTAGATGAACCATGTTCATTTATAAAGACCTGTCTACATCTCCTCACCTGTTGCAGTTGAACAAGCGTGATTGCCCGTTGTGGCAGACATTGTGCAGCCCTGGTCCTATCGTAGCTGCCAAGAGCTGTTTGGATTGAAAGAGTCTCTTCACACCAAACTTTCTATTGCGCAGGGTCTGTGGGGCGAGGCTGCGCGCAAGATGGCGGAGCTGGTGAATGACGACGCCTTCCGCTCGCTGGAGGGCAAAAGCAAGCACCAGCTCTGGCTCGAGCTCTGCGACATCATCACCAAACACCCCAAGGATGTCACCGGCCTCAAGGTCGACGCCGTGCTGCGCTCCGGCATCCGCAAATTCACCGACGAGGTGTGTTCTTCTGTGGATTCCTCACGTGCATGCATGCGCAGAGTGATGTGTTGGTGGCTAACCCAGAGGGGCTGCACTGAGGCGCTTGCACCACTTTGTCCATATCATGGTTGTGTCTGCTGCTGATGAGACCAGAAAGGGGCTGCAGTCTGTGTTCCCGCAGTATGCCATTGAGGGTTTTGCTATTTTGCCTCTTGCAGAAGGGTAGAGGGCTTTGCATCTGCTGTGAGGTAGATGAATGCGGCCCTGGCTCTTCTGCAAGTGGCGTGACAGCAGTCCTCTGGGAACGGCTGTCTTCTTAGCCTCAGTGCATCATTCTGTAGTAAATCCTAATTCACGCTGTACTCTTCTTTGTGAAGTACCTCGCGAATCCTGTTATGACCCAGAAGGGGAAATGAGGCTTGTATGTGGAAAGCTTTGGGTTGGTGTTGATCTGGCAAGCTGCTACCTGATGAGCAGAGGCCTGATCAGTCACCGGCACGTGCGCGCAGGTGGGCCGGCTGTGGACGTCGCTGGCGGATTACTACATCCGGCAGGGCATGTACGAGAGCGCACGCGACGTGTACGAAGAGGGGCTCACCACCGTCACCACCGTGCGCGATTTCTCGCTCATCTTCGACACGCTCACGCAGTTTGAGGAGACCCTGCTGCACCACAAGGTGATGATCCATACCAATATAGTTGCATGGCATGGCTTCAAGCTGTCTAGGAACCCATGCGAGAGGGGTCAAAGACTGAGCTCAAGAAACACCGGAGAGAGGAAAGCTTGTCTCTTTAAGATCGCCGTCCCTTTTAGTAGCCATGAGTAATTTGCTTGGGGTGGCCATGATCGTACTTCTGCCCATGTCCTGTCCCCAATTTGCTGATCACTTTATTCCCCAGCCAGGCTTCATGCATTGCCTGGCAGGTAGAAGCTTTTACAGAATAGTTTAATTATTTGTTTCAAGGAATCTCAAGGGTCTCTTTTGATGTGATGCTGACGGCTTCTCCTCCTGTTCAGCTTGAGCAAGGCGGTGGCGAGGATGAGCCGGAGCCGGCCATGAACGGGGCGGAGGAGAGCGATGGGGAGGACTTCCTGCTGAAAGACGACGAGGACGACACTGATCTCAGGTGCAGCCTGCCTGCTCTTTGGCTGATTATGAGATCAGGCCATGGAGCTCACAAATCCTACTTCTTCGTTTAACTATTTGCAGAAGTTCATGATGTTGGCTGTGGGTGTTCACCGTCTCCTGTCTGCTCGCAAAGGCACGTTACGCGATGTGATATCAGCTACACTGCTGGTGTCAGCAGAAGGCAGCTGTGGCCTCACCGTCATTTCTTTGGTTCAATCTTGAGTCCCATGTACCCGACAAGCTGGCGCGGCAAAGCGTCCTCGGTATTGGGCCAGGAGGGCATTCTTGCGTTGTGGCGTGGCCTGTTATGGACTACTTAGTCATTGGCTGACTGGACCGCCCATGTGACGCCAGGCTGGCGCGGCTCGAGCACCTGATGGAGCGGCGGCCGGAGCTTCTGTCCAGCGTCATGCTGCGTCAGAATCCGCACAATGTGCACGAATGGCACAAGCGCGTCAAGCTTTTCAACGGCAACCCCCACAAGCAGATCCTCACCTACACCGAGGCTGTCACCACCGTGGATGTCAACAAGGTGGGCTTCCTTAGCAGCTTTCTTGTACCTATTTTGGGCTGTCCTGAATTAGAATCGTACTTACTGATGGGCCACACTGTTTCCAGCAGCCTCACTCTGCAATATGACAGAAGTGTGACAACTGCCATGCGACTCTGTGTCACATCTCAACACTAGTTGCCTGATTGGTCTGACAGAGGTCCAGGGCGCTGTTCTGCAGCGTATTCTCATGGCCAATTTTGTTGAGAATCTATGAAGGCTTCCTAGGTGGCACTGATGAGCTTTGAATAGCGATTAATGTTGCTCAGTTCAGAGAATTGTAATTGGCATGTTGGAATCAGGATGAGCTGTCAATATTGAAAACCTGCGCATGCATGCAGGCGATTGGGAAGCTGCAGACGCTTTGGACGGGCTTTGCTCGCTTCTACGAGCGCCACGGAGACCTCGAGAACGCGCGTGTCATCTTTGACAAGGCCACGCAGGTGCGTGTACATGCCCCCACTTGCATGCTTCTTCTTTCTCTTCAGGATTTGCTGCTGGTCTGGAGACTATTGGTTGACTCCTCTTCTTAGCTTTGTCGCACTGCAAGAGCACATTCCCGCTGCGGTAAGAGTCTCAGAGGACGTAATAATCATGATTAACTGTACGAGGGTGAAACACCATAACAGTTTGGCATGGATGCACATGCGGAAGTAAAGGGTACATAAACATCTGCAGAGACCCGTAGCCTTGAAGGGCACCTTAAAGTCGTTATCTGAGATAGACTCATTTCTAAGAGGCTGGCGGTTGGCTGCCGGACGGCTGATAAAGTCAAATTCAAACGAATTGCAAAGACTCAGGGGCTGTGGATATTATCGCAGGTAGAGTTCAAGTACGTGGATAGCCTGGCGACGGTGTGGTGCGAGTGGGCGGAGATGGAACTGCGCCACAAGAACTACAAACGCGCGTTGGATCTCATGCGCCGCGCCACCTACACCCCCGACACCATCAACCGCCGAGCGGTGAGTCATCCCTGTCATTTGCTTATCCAACTGCACAATCCTCAAGTTGTGCTGCGATTCCACTCCTGACTCGTTCCCTTGACCGCGAGCGAAGGTTGCTCGATTGGGCCTTGAAGACGCAGAACGTCTCCTGGACTGCATATGTGCACGCACAGCCAGCATGGCATGACTAGGCCAAGCTAAAGGACCAACTGAGCCCTGTATCTACCACAATGCGTCCGCAAGCAAACAACCAGGACATGGAATCAAGACCGTGCCTATGATGCTCCATTCTTAAGAGAGGGTCTTGTCCAGGTGCAAATATCAAGCCTGGGGGTTATCAGGGTTTTGAGTTCGCAATGAATGTTTCTCATGGCTGCGCAGGCGGCTGAGGCGGAGCGGGAGGGACCGGTGCAGGGGCGGCTGTACCGCAGCCTGAAGCTGTGGGCCTTCTACTGCGACCTGGAGGAGAGCCTGGGTACTTTGGAGTCCACGCGCGCAGTCTACGACCGAATCCTCGACCTCCGCATCGCTACGCCCCAGATCATCCTCAACTACGCCCTCTTCCTCCAGGTAATTTGTCAAAATATAGGTGCCCTGTGCCTTCCTTCAAGCGTTTGTCAGAGTGTGGGTAGGGGTCTGGAGCATCCTCAATATGCGCATTGCCTTTTCTCTTACGAGCTGTTTGTGTTCTTATGTGGTGAGGGCTTCCCACGATCTGCGCCTTGCCATACCCCAGATCAGTATCAACCATGCCTTGTCAGTGCAGATGTGCTGTCCCTGCTGCACCATATGCGCCTCTAGTTCGTGCTGCGTGGGAGAGTGATAGACAAATAAAGCCGAGCAGAGTGTAGGCTGTCTGGATATCTGACAGCAACGGCCGAGGGTGACACATGCCGCAGCAAAGATTGGGAGTGTGTCCGGCCCATTAGTTCTTGGTGCCCTGCATTCTGGAAAGGCAAGGCTTCAGGGGCAATGCATTGCTTCTCTCGTTGCCCTCGCCTGGCCTTCTGGCCGCATGGCTTTGGAGTTGGATCCACATGCATATGGCCTGCTGTGCTTGTGCCAATCTCTTGGGCTGCTGTCTCATGCACGTCCAAACGCGCGCAGATTGTGTCGGCAAGTCATGCGGTGCAATTGCTGACCACGAGGTTGTGTTTGGCATGCGCGCAGGAGCACAAGTACTGGGAGGAGTCGTTCCGCGTGTATGAGCGCGGGGTGGCGCTATTCAAGTACCCGCATGTACGCGACATCTGGCTCGCCTACCTGCAGCAGTTCGTCCAGCGCTATGCCGGCTCCAAGCTCGAGCGCGCGCGAGACCTCTTCAAACAAGCCCTCTCCCAGGTGTGACTCGCATCCTTGCAGTGTTAGAGCTTTTTGGCCCTGTAGTCTCACTAGGCCAGCCCCCTTGCACCGCATGGAAATGCAGCTCCCCGTTGCTTTGCTTGCGCAGCAAGCACAACCTTCCTTTGCATGATCGCGTTGCCGGGTCTTTCGATATGTTCGATTGACAAGACCTGATAAACACCACACTGGTGACGCAAGAGCTGAGGAATGTAGAAACCTGGGGAACAGTCAACCTCAAAATCATTGTAAACGCTTTATCTATCAGCAGGTAGGTTGCTATTTGCCAGATTGGCCTGCTTGGTCAACGCCTGTGTGGGCCCACCTGCCCTCCTGGCAGCTTTTAAATTGCCAGGAGGTACTGGGGGGCTTGCTCCAAGTGTTCACCTCGCAAGTATGCTTGGGAGCTCTCTTTGCAGTTTCAGACTTGGGCACTCCATTCTGAATGTCTGGATGACCCGGCACTCATTGCACCATGCTGTGGATTTGCTGCATGGGTGTTGCCGCAAGTACACTGTATACAGTGCACTCAGCAGCGGCCCTCAGCGCCTACAAGTGCAAATTTCACGTTCTCTTTGTTGACGAAGTATGTGTGTCCGCGCAGGCGCCGCCCGAAGAGAGCAAGGCGCTGTTCCTGCAGTATGCGGCGCTGGAGGAGGCGCACGGCCTCGCGCGCAGCGCCATGGAGGTCTACGACCGCGCCGTCAAAACCGTGCCGGCCGCCGACCGCCTCGCTGTCTACGACCTGTACTTGGCGCGCGCCCACGAGTTCTTCGGTCTTGGCAAGGTGCGTGCGCCTTGAAATCTCACTTCTTACCTCTGCATCCCCTGAAGAGGAGGGCTATCTTCAGCTATCTTTCTTGCATCAAGGACGCATCAGATTCTGAAATGCATGGTAAAAACTGTGGTTGTTTGTTTTGAAAGAGAAGTCGAATGGCTGGGTCAGGCAGGGCTGATGGAAATATGGAGTGGTCGGAGATTTGGGACTCTACCATCAGAGATGTTCCATGCCCATGCCCCATTCCTCCCTGTTGAAGCCTTGCTGGTATCAAATTTGGTGTCCGTGCGCATTGCCAGTGCATCATCATACATAGTGCGAGGAGCTTGAAGTTGAAGCCAGCAGGGCGACGAAGGGCGTAAGATGCAGCATGAACATTGAAAGAAGGCTACATCTAACGCGATTTCTGCCTCTTTGCGGGGATTTTGTGCAAGTGGGGTATGTATCAAAAATAAGGGCAAGGTGCAGTTGTACTGAGATTATGGGCCATGTGTGTAAAAACAGGTGCGGGAGATCTACGAGACGGCGATAGAGGCAACGCCGCCATACGGCGTGTCGGACGAGGACTGCAAGCGCATGTGCCTGCGCTACTCGGCGCTCGAGCGGAAGCTGGGAGAGGTCGACCGTGCGAGGGCGATCCTTGTCCATGCATCCTCCCTGGCCGACCCGCGGCGCGACCCCGGCTTCTGGAAAGCCTGGAACGACTTCGAGGTCGCGCACGGCAACGAGGACACCTTTAGGTGCGCTGGAGTTGCTCTCTGCTGGCTAAGTAGTGTCCTGGGTATATAGCTACTCGTTCCCGAGTCTGTTGAAGCTTCTGAGACATCGATAAATGAGGCGGGTATGAATGTAATACTGGCACACATGCGCTGGAGTCCTGGGCTTGACACCTGCTTCTGCGGCCTGGGTCAGTGGCACTCAACCGGCGAGGGAAGATGCAGTCATGTATACATGCCCCTTGGGATTCTGGGGAATTGTCAGACCTTTTGCAAATTTTCCGTTGTGGCGCATCTGTGATGAGGAAGTGTCTATCCTGTCAAGCTTGGAAAAAAATAGTGGGCATGCTTGATGGTGTGCATAGGGATTTTTCCTGCTGCTGTTGCAGGGAAGATGCTGCAAGACTGTGTGATGTTTGGGTCTGAGCGCAGTCGTGTTTCTGCCCCTGTCACAGGGAGATGCTGCGTATCAAGCGCAGTGTGGCGGCGTCTTTCAGCCAGATCCACTACAACACCACCATCGTAGAGGCAGCCACCACTGCCGCACCCACAGGTGTCGCCTCCCCCTGCATCCTGCCACATTTGCATCCTTTTATTGGTCGCGGCAACGTGCAGCAGAACACGGAACAAAACATTCCTCACCAATGCAGCATCGTTGTCGGTGTGTTTTCAAGTAAACAAATGTATGCGAAGCGCTTACATATGCACTAGGGTCAGAAATGGCTGCCTTTATAAGCAGAGCTCTGCAGCCATGCAAGAGGAAGTCTCTCAGGAAACGAAAGCGTGCTCTTCTGTCCAGAGTTTTCTGGAAGTTCACGTTGCCAGCACACGACCCACCATATTTCATTCACCTGGAATTGAATTTAAACTGGTATGCTGTCAGGCGAGGAGGGTGGCAAGCGCAAGAGGGGAGAGGACGAGATGGCGGCTCTGGAGGCGGAGGTGGTGACAGGCACGCGGCTGCCGGGCTTTGTGTCGGGCGGCACTGTGCAGCCAGACCAGCGCGCACTGCAGGAAGGGACCGGCGCAGACGCGCCCGCCGCGCCCGGTGAGTCTTACTGTATTTGTGGCTTGCATCTGCTGAGATCTATGTGAAGACAATTGATACGATGGGGGCTGGCTCTCATGCATGGGCGCTCTGTTGTGAATGGCAGGGTAGCGTGGTGAGAGAGTGGTTCTGGTTTACAGCTAAGCATGTAGATGCTGGATGCTGCCTGTCCTTTGCATCACATGGCAAAGCTCAGTGGAAACAGTCTTCAGATTTGCGCTCTGCTGTTACTGTGTGTTCCTGTGTGGTGCCCAAGTGTGGAGCAGCAGAGGCGCTGCAGGGTTGCCATGGGGTAATGTTCAGTAAAGTTGCCAGCTGTTGGGACTGGTAGCAACACGCAGCCCTTCTTGCCACTGCTCTCACTGGCTTCCGCAGCAGCGCTCCTGACTTGCTGCTTCCTGATCCCCTTTGCAGGCCCCAGCGTGCCGGCTGTGGCAAACCCAGAGGACATTGATCTGGACGAGGGCGATGCAGAGGAGGAGGCAGAGGAAGCTGGGGCCAACATCCAGCTGGAGACCAAGCCCGTGCCGGTAAGAGTAATACTATTTGTAGTTCCCAGAAGTTAATTTCCTTAGGACATCCCCAGTGCTAATGACTCAGTATGCAAGGTATCTACTCCTTAATGTGCTGTGCCTTGACCAGCATCTTGATCTCTGCCCCTATTCGATGGAAATACCCGCAGAAAAAGCAGTATCCTGACTCAAGGGGAATTTGGTCTGATGGGTGCTGTTTGCTTGGCGTGGGTGGTTGTGGCTGCTGATGTGACAAATTGGGTAGCACATGTTGGGTTTCAAATTTTTGAGGCATGGTAGGGTGATGTGTGCCAATGGGGTGATGTGTATCAATGATTGGAGGGAGTTCCTGAGCTCTGTATGCAAGCTTAAGTACAGCCTCCTTCAGAGGCTGTGCCTTGACCGGCATCTTCAGATCTGCTCCATTTGATGGCAAGACCATCAGGAAAGCCACATTTTGTGAAAGGAGGTCTTATGGGTGTGATCTGTTTATTGCTGGTGAGACCGGGGAAGGGAACTATGCACAATCAGGGTCCAGTGGCAGGGAAGGAATACCTGTGTATCAGTAGTATGGAGTTACTGAGAGTTTTGAGGTTGCTGTGTGCAGGAAGCAGTGTATGGGGTTGGAGGGGAGCAGCTTGGGGCATTGGATCGCTTCAAAAAGAGGAAGACAGAGGGACAGTAACAAGGGGGCTGCCTGTGCAGCATAAAATCTTGTCATAGGTCTTGCTCAAAGGCCCGCTGTGAGAGTTTCAATATTGTCTCTTGTCTGTGAGCTTGCAGAGTGGCTTATGGCGGGGAGGGCTGGTGGGTTGAACTCATATAGCTGAGAGGGAGCAGTATTTTGTGGACCTTTGTAAATAAGTGGATTGGAACCCCTTACATACCCTATGTAGTCCACATGCAATGCCTCTTGAGAAGCTGCATCATGACATATTGTTAACCAAGTACCTGTTCACTCATTCTCATATGCGTGCCGTGTCTCTGGTCCTCTTTATCTCAAACAAGCACCACATTGGCAGGGACGCCAATAAGGTCTGTCTGCATGATCCCACTCCTTGCCCCTATCAACACCCCACCAAACCTCTGTATAGTGTTCATACTTGTACACATGGACTTTAAATCCCTTGTCCCTCGAGGTACTTGAGTAGACGGGCCATGTCCTTTCCCTGTGGGCATTGATACCTTATGTAGAAATTTGGACACTTCTTTGCAAACATAGCACACTTCAGAATGCGCATGGTCAGCGTTCTGGCATTTATAAACAAATGCTCCCAACCAATCTCCCTACCTCCAATGACAATCTTGGCATCAACACCGCAATGCAAGCGCAAGTGCCTGTAATGCAACCATTGCCCTTGCAAAACAACTGGCTTCTCCTTGATCCCAAAAAATAGCATTCAATGACAACGTCTCCGAGGCGATTCTCCTCTAGTAAGAAACTCGGGACATCATCCCCTGATACTCGAAACGTGCATGCAGAGCAAAGATTTGCATTGCACCCAACACGATATGCCAGACCTGCGAGCGTGCATAACTTTTTTTTGCAGACCACATGCAAAGCAGTGCCCCTGGGAGGCTTTATCCAGGCGGGGTTCAGATCGTCCAACATCACACTTGTCAGTTGGGTCAGGTTTTGCAGGTCGAGATGTTTTGCACACATGGGCTCGGAGCCACATGTATGGCATTCACTTTCCCACTCGTGCGCCAGTGCAAGAGTGCGCAGATTGCGCATCGTCTGCAGCGCAGGCATCATTTGAGCAAAGGCTTTCACATTACTTATCGTTGAAGGTGCAGCAAGTTCTGCAGTTTCGACGGCAGCAATCCCAGGAAATACACATCAAAGCTTAGAAAAAGGTAGGTTGCAAACTTGGCTGAGGAGCTTGACTAAAAACACACTGGAGCATACATCAGAATGCGAGGAGCTGTTGGAGATGCATATGTCCAGGCTTGAAAGCTTGCTGAAAACGCTTGGGTCCTCAAACACGATTCCCATAAAGTTTTCCATGGCGGCTTCGCTGAGACATGTCATGCGCAGTACCCGCAAATGCTGCATCCTCTTGACGAAGCACTCAACGCCTGCAGTGCGCCTCACTGAATTTATTGACCAAATCAAGCATATATGCGGCTGCGATTGGTAGAGCGTTGCTAATTTCATTCTCACCACTGCACCCAGTTCTCTGGTTAATGGGTCTTTGGTAAGAGTGCATCACCTCTGGCGCAAATCCCATTCCCAGTCGGAAAGCACATGGTAGACAGCTGCAGATTCCAGGTGGTTTCGCAGATCCCTGATACTTGGGTCCACTCTTTCTCGTTCAGATGCCGAGCAACATTCTGCCACACTTCGTCTGGAATGTACAGGCCAGATTGCACCTGCATACACCAGGCACAGACCGTTCCGGACTTCCGTTCTCGGTATAATGGACAGTAATTCAGCTAGAGCGTCCTGGGAGTACCTGAAGGTGATGCCCGTAATGGCACTGCAAAAGGACATAAGCATTGACCATATTAGGTGAATAATAATTTTATTAGGTTGTCCCTGTGACGAAGAGGTGGATTTCGTGCCATGGAGTTGTTGCTGTTTTCGAATGACGAGGATGATGCATCGATGCTCGAAGAAGCCGTCAGTACCGAAGAATCACGAAGTTTTTCTTGCCCTCAATTCTCAAAGACGAATTTCAGAAGTCCTTGTCGACAAAACTAAAAGGTCTGACTGACGACCGACCTCGTCCTGGGCGGCCCTCGCCTTGTTTATGGACGTGATGCAGATTTGCTTTGGCCTTCGTTCAATCTTAGGATTCCTCTAAGTAAAACACCACCAATGGCCACACAAATGCCCATGGGTGCGGATCAACCAAGGACTGCGTTGTAAGGCGACCTGACCATCAGGGGTCACGTGACTGCACATGCGCAACTTCAAAGGGATGCGGATTCAGGGACTAGTGTGAACCTGATGCGCTGAATTTCTTAATTAATTTATAAATTGCAAAGAATTGTGAGGTTACAACAAAGAACCACAGTGGAGCCCTCATCATCATCGCCACAGAGCGTAGCGCACTGAGAAGTGTCATGGGATTTCATCTTTAAGCATGCATGCAGGACCAAGCTTGATCTCAAGACAGAACCCACTGCTCGTTCCCTGCTCATTCTCGCACAATCACATAAGCAATTGAAGCCGGCTGTCAGTGCTCCTGCGGGGAGTCCCAGACGCGGCTGCCAAAGTACTGCAGCGCAGGAACGCCCCTGACCTCCAGGTCAAACAGGGGCGCCTCAATTATGTCCAGCTCACTGCACATGCACACAGGCACAGCTTGACTCATATATTTCAGTAAGCTAATCGTTTGCAGTTCTCGGATACAAATTTGCTGATGCTGCTCAGCCCCAACAAACCATGAGTTGTCTTCTTTCTGAAAGCACTGAAAGCAAGACCTAGCAGCCTTGTATTGACGGTGCTCAGCTTCAGGCACAAGTGCATCTGTGAAAAAGGAAGTCTCAAGCCTGCTCTTGCCAAAGACATGCACCCGCGTAACAAATACGCAATGGTGGCAGACATTTTTTATATTTTAAGAATGACTCACCCCAGGCCCGGATCTTCGCGCAGTTTCTGCAGCGCCCTCTGCTGCTCGCGCCTCCGCGTTGCCATGAACTGCTCCGTCGCGTTCTCATTCAGCACCTGCACACAGTCGACCCTCTCAGTCATGCCAACGTGACAAGGACCCTGCAACAAAAAATATTTGTGCAAATTGAAGCAAGCATCACACGCTAAGCTCTCCAAGACTTGCGGCAGCCTGTGACATGCAATCAGGTGTATTAGGCAGCTTTTTGCCTGCCTGCCAGGAATGTCATCAAGTCAATTGAGAAGTGCGCAAAATGACGAGTAGATGCTATTGATAAGCTTGTCTGGCCAGTTGGGCCTCTCACTGAAGCAGGAGAGCACCTGGTTGATGAGGATAGATTTGACTGGGACGGACTCTGAGCGCAGGGCTTTGGCGAGGCGGCCGCTCTCCGCAACGGCCATGACTGTCGGAATAGTCACGATGACAAACTCAGTTGTCTCCGGGTTGCGGAACAGAGCGCGCGCGTCCTCCATGCGCGCCTGAACAGGCGCACGCTTCTACTCATCTGCTGGGCTGCATTAATCATGTTATTGATTGATGTCTCGGCCAAGGAAGATGCACCGGTGCGGCCTAATGGCTGGATAGGACTTGCATGAGCCATACGCAACAGATCCCTTCTCCTGGTATGCTTGCTAGATCCTGGGAAGGCCAACTCAGAACCAAAAGGCTCCCAATGCAATGTAGTTGGCACCTTCGCAGCACAATTGAAGATACAGGGGCTGCCGGGACAAAGTGTGAAAGCCATGCTTCAGGCAGGCAACTCAAGTACAAAATGGGCTTGTAAAAAGGGGAGCAACAGTGAGCTGTGAGGGCAGTCAAGAAGGAGGCATTGCCTGGAGGCGCTCCATTTTTTCCACGGCGCTGTCCTGCTGCTTCTTGGCGCCAAAAAGGCCCTTGACCGAGTCGGCCATGTTCACCAGCTTCTGCCGAAGCCGCACTATCTTGCCTGCAATCAGGTGTACCCTTGTCATGCATGCAACTCACCTCTCTCAGAAAGCGCAGCACATCATGTGAATGCAAATTGATGTCGTGTGAACGATGTTGCAAGAGCACACGAGGGTTGGCAATAAGAAACACACATCTCCTTTACCAAGCACAGCAATCCATGCAGCTTCCTACCCGCAGCTCACAAAAGTCACCTTATAAGAGCAGGAACCTCTATTGCTGATATTCTTCTGTTGAAATCACCCACTCATCACACCCCCCAGTGAGCAGCTTCTAAGGATTACATGACTGGGGACATGCAAAGAATCCCGCGCACCGAGAGATGCGTCGAGGAAGTCTGGGAGGGTGAGCAGGCGGAGGGTGTGCCCCGTGGGGGCGGTGTCGAAGATGATGCGGCTGAAATGAGCGTAGTCGGGGCTCTTGGTGAATGCAACCACCTTGCTGATGGCCACCGCCTCATCCACCCCCGGAGGCAGCGTGTCCAGCAGCTCGCCTGCAGGGAAAATGATAATTTGTGAAAAGCAAGTACTTGCATTGAAACTGGCATGTTAATTTATACATGTAACCCCACGAAATGCGGAACGAATCTCTGACACTAGTTTGATTAGCCTCTGCTTCATGGGGTGCGTGCAACCACATCACAGAGAGCAATGGCGAAGCCAACTTATGGTGCTCGAAAAATCCACTCCAAGCCACGGAAGTACAGCATGATACTTTTGGACAGGATGATTTTCATCCAGTAATGCATTTGAGCTTTCTGCCCTACCTGCGCTACCTCACCAGTAGTCTGCAACGTGTCAGGCAATTAGGCGACAAAAGACGGAGCAATATCTGAAGAAAAGGAGGCAGGGGCGCACTGAGTCGCAGGTCCCTGAGCTGGTCTGCGACGGCGCCCAGGCCCAGGCCGCTCAGGAAGTCATCCACCTGTCAAGCCATCAAGGGTTGACAAACCATCAGGAGAGAGGGCGTACGCAGCTATCATTGTGTTTGTTTTCAAGCGCTTGGCAGCTGTGGAATGTAAGTGAAGTGAATAGCGCTTACAGCAAGACTCTGGTCTCAAGGAGGTGCCATCTTGTCTGATGTGGTAAATACCACGTAGAATCTTCAGCCCTGCTCTTAGTTGAAGCCTTCTCTTCAATGTTTGTATTGGAATGTCTGGAGTTACCTGCTTTGCGCCATCGCCCTCTTTGCCGATGGCGCGGATTTCCTCGGCAGCAGCCGCCACGTCGATCTCCATGCCCCACAGCGGGAGGTCCGTCCCCTCCACCACCACCGGTCGCCCCCCGCTCACATCCTGCCACATGCGCACAAGATTGTTTTAAATTGAAGGCATGCCTAGTTCTCATCTGGCATGAAACAACACAGTCACGGGGCCTAAGAATGGCCAGATTGCATTGTCTCAACAGGCGACATTCTGAATACTTGTCATCCTGGTTTCGGCATGTAAGGGAGCTTACAGACAGTGAGTGAACGGGGCTCCACTGAGTTCGGTGAGGATGGAAGGCCACTCTTGCGCACGCTTTGCCAGACAAGTGCTTTTGCAAGCAGGAAAGCATAGCCCCACAACCTCTCTCTTAGAGCCATTCTCTATGCATTCAAATCCTGCATGCATTGTTCAGGGTGCGCGAGAGATGGTCGCACCTGGTCGAGGGAGTCAGAGAGGGAGTGGGCGGGGTCAGTGGAGACTACTAGAGTGGGGTGGCCGGCGGCTGCCAGCTGGACTGCCAGGCTGGCGGCGCTGCTCGTCTTGCCCACGCCACCCTTGCCGCCCAGCATAAAGTACTTGCGCCCCTCCCCTGCATCCAGATTGGAAAAATTTGTTGAAAACCACCCGGTAAGTGCGATACACAAAGATAATTTACTCACGATCCTTTCCTGAATTCCAGACCATCGGAGATAAGAGTGAAAGTACGCCGTGATTGCGACACACGCAATTGTTGTGGGTCTGTCCACAGGGAGCCACACCGCAACGGGCTCTTGACAAGTGAAATAAAATTCAAACAGGCTTGCAGCAGACCCTTGAAGACCAGCAGTGGTCTTTTAAGGGTCTACTGCAAACCCACTGCCGGTCTTCGAGACGTACAGTACACACCTGTTTACTCAGACCGTGCATGTGGGCGATAATTCTTCAGACCAGAGCTTGAGAACACTGGCATTTTAAAGCCAAATATGGGCAAATACCTTGCATGCAGGCGTCAACGCGTATGGTGTAATACAGCAGAAAATAGACAGCAATGCAATGTTGGCGGTAGGGTCTCAACGCAATTTATAATCTTCCAGGCAATGCCGAACACAAGAAAGAGCCGATTCCCAATCCAGAATATAACGCAACAAGCCACATTTCTGGTAAATGCGACAGAATGCCGCCAGCAGACTGCGACTAAGCTCACCTTGAGCGTAGTCATCGATGGCGTCGCGCCACACCATGCCGCCAAAGTAGGTGAGGGCGGGCAGGCCCCGCACTTCATAATCCACCAGCGGCGCCCTGAGCTGGCGCAGGTCGCTGAGCTGGCTGTCATTAGTAATCATGTCCAGCGATTTGGCCTGGTCCTTCAGCCGCAGCCGCACAAACGCATCCCCCATGCCCTCCGACACAATCTGCACAAGGGTAATTGATTCAGTACTAGCATTCCATTGAACAAACACACAGTCAAGAAAAACATCTGTACTCCTTCCCCAAGCTTAGATTGCAGGGAGAGACTGAAGCAAGGGAATGAAGGAAACAGCTCAAGAGGAAAACTTGACATTCTCCACAGATCTTCTTTTGTGGTAAAGAACACGAATTTTTTTAGGAAGGCTTCGCATTAATGGACGATTCACAGCGTTTCTCATGCATTCAAGAATAGGGTTCAGCACAAAGTAATTTGGCAGAAGAGACCATATGATAGCTTACCACAGGATACCACCATAGTTATGACGAATAAAATGCTCATGTGCAATGTAAATCGCATGTGTGGCTGACCTGATTGACAACGATCTTGGAGCAGGGAATGCGCTCCTTCCGCAGCGCTTTTATCAGTCGCGCTGACTCATTAATCCCCAGCATGGTTGGGATGGTGGCGATGACAAACTCTGTCTGGCCCTCGTTCCTGAACAGGTCCCTCACCAGGATCACGCTGTCCTGCACAGAGACCCAGGCTTAAAAGTCAGATTAAGGGCCTCGCACCTGCATGCTGCAGGCCTGTGTACCTGCAAGTCACAGCAACTCGCCAGTTGCATGCTTATGTTTTGGTGATGCCAAATCAGGCAGCTTGCTCCTCCAATTTTTATGCGTGGACAGTGTATCTCCGGCCATTCTATTTGCAACCAGAGGCGTCTGTCCACTGCAAAGCTCCAAAGCTGCAAAGCCCCCTGGCTACCTCCAGGCAGATGCCCAGAAAATAAAGAAGACTAGATTTAAAAAATGTAGGATTGACAACTCACTCGGAGCGCCTCGAGCTTCTGGATGGCCACGTCCTGGTTGGTCACCCCAAAGATGCCGCGCACGGCGTCACCCGCGGCCGTCAGCTTCTTGCGCAGGCGGATCAGCTTCCCGAGCGCCGCCTCCACAAAATCCGGCACCGTGAGCAGCCGCAGCGTGTGCCCGGTCGGCGCCGTGTCAAAGACAATGCGGCTGAAGCGCGCATACTCCTCGCCTCTCACGAACTCCACCACCTAGCCAGGCGGAATGGCAAGCGATGTTTGATCAGTAGCTTGCTAAAAAAAGATTCGCAAATTTGCGATCTTGTCAAGCGCTGCAGGATGTGTGGGCTTTTGTTGGAAGGCCTTGCAATGCCTTGCAATATCTGTGATGGATTTGAGGATCACTGTGCATGTTGTGCCTGCGTGCTGCAGGCTTTGAGCCTGTGAAGGGCCCAGACAAGAGATGCACAAGCACAAGCGGACAGTTCCAGTAGCAGCTGCAAACACATCCAGATGCACTTGCACGAGGGTAACTATCCAGCCGTGTGAAAGCTCTAGCTGCATGCCATTACATTTTGGACAGCGCAGTTATTCTGACATCAGTCCTGATGCATAGGTGGAAATATGACCGAAAATTTGTACACCTTGGCGATGGCGACTGCTTCGTCCAGTCCAGGTGGCGGGGTGTCCAGCAGCTCGCCCAGTTTGAGGTCGGCCAGCTGCTCAGACAGCATCCCCAACCCCATGCCGCTCATGAAATCCTTCGTGCCCTGCAAATGCGATCCCCACCTCAACAAGGCAAAGACCCACGCTGCTGATTGCTACTATTGCAACTGTGGCAAAAACTACAGCATTACTATTACACGATGTTTTGGGCAAGAGACAAGGTGCATATGCACACAAGCTGCAGGTAAAGGTTGCCAAAATCACACCCCTTGACGAACTCATCAGATCCAAGCAAGACCCAATCAACCCTGGGCACGGTGCTTGCTATTTTGACCGGCCTCCCCTAAGTTGATACAGAGAAAAAGTCTCTTTGCAGGCTGTGCCGTGTCTGCGTGCATGCTCCAAACCTGACGGAAATGCTAAATTGAAAAATTGGGTCCTACCTTCCCATCGTCCCTGGCGTTGAAGGCCTTGAAGTCCTCCTTGGCTCGGTCTGGGTCTATTTCCAGCCCCCATAACGGCAGCGCTGTTCCCTCCACAGGCACTGGCTTGCCGCCGCTCACATCCTGCAAACCACAGAGCAGTGGTTCTCCATATCATCAGGTCAAGTCAGGGCAAGCTCTATGCATGGCTCTTTTCAGCAGCATTGGAGCCCCTGGTAAAAGCCATGTCAATTGCTGCTTTGGGCATACACATGATAAGACGAAGTTAGAAGGTCATTCTGCGCCTGACAACAGCCAGGGGCCAATGGCGGCCTTGTTCTGCCCAAATTTTCCCAGGCACAGAGATATCTGCCCATGTCCTCTCAGCTTGTGAGCACCCAAAGAAGCAGCATGGCCAGCAAAACACATTCCATTGGCCGTCGAGCACAGGCTAAGAAGGGCAGGGGATATCAGACCTGCGCAAGGGAGTCTGACAGGGAGTGTGCAGGGTCTGTCGACACGACGAGTGTGTTGTGGCCGTCAGCTGCAAACTGTACTGCCAGCGAGGCGGCCAGGCTGGTCTTGCCCACGCCGCCCTTGCCGCTGACCATTACATATTTGCGCTCCCTCCCTGCTGACATCTCCTGGAAGGGCGTCGATGTGGAGGCCTCCTGCGCTGAGGCCACCCTGGCCGCCTGCAGAGAGGAAAGGAGTTCATTCTGTCTGTAGCAGCTCTGGTTAGGCCCTCGGTGCTGTCCTTCTGCATTGTGGTCGTCCCATTGCATTTGAGAGCCACAAGCTCACATCGGCTGAGCAGAAATATTCCACTACTGAAGAAAAGTTCCTGGAAGTCGGCAGGCTCAGCGCATGACAGCATTCAAGCTTTGTGGCAGGTGCTCAGTGCAATCACAGGCCATTGGATGCCTTGGCAGGGCATTCCAGGTACACAAAGGTGATGCAGTGATCAAGGTGGCGAAGAGGCATACCATCGCCTGTGGGTCCTGCTGTCCCCATGAAGGTGAGGATGTTGCACTGCAGCTCGGTTTCTGAGCCCTGAGACGGTTTTGACATTTACCACCCTGCAGATGACGTCGCATTCGTGACCAATTGCTTTATGTATTGTTGAAGTTTCACTGTCAGCGGGACTCTCGCTGAGTTTTCAGTGCAGAAATACACTTGTAACCAGCACATGACGAATTCAATTAATAAGGGCAACAAAGATCTTCACCCGAGAAGCATTTGGTGTAGCAATGTCTAGCAAGGGCAGCCTCTGCAGGCGTCTTGGTGTTGATCGTGGGAAGCGATCGGCTTTTCGAAGTAAGCTGCTGCATGATCCCAGCGCATGGGAATAATCCAGCAGCTGAGCTCCGCCATAAGATCTCATATGTGACATATCACAAAGATCCATCTTCTCAATGCTTTCTTTGTCACAGGAGGCGTTTACTTACAATCTATTCAGACTAGTGGCACCAGCATTTGTCGTGGTACTCTACTCGACAGTGAATTTAGACGTGACAAAAATGCAACAAATAAAGATGAGAATTGAATCAATGGAAGAGTGCACGGATGGAAATGCACGCTGTCTGCCTGAGATGACGAGGATAATGATGACATCATCAGCACGTGTCACTTTCCCAGATTCTTGTTCAACCGTAACCAACATGCCCGCATTCTCATCCATGGGAAGAAAAGCTTATGCTAAACAGGTAGAAAAGCTTAGTCCTACTCATTGTATTTCAAGCGGACATGCCACACCCAGCGCATGCACATCACACATATCATATCATAGCATCACGCATCGTGATGATATCAGATGAAAAGAATCCTATTCATTTTCGAATATCTGTACATGCACCAGTCCTACAGCTGGTAGCTGGTCACAGGCTGGACCACAAAACGGCTGACGCTGTCCAGAAACCAGGTCAGGGGCAGTTGCTGCACCGCGCTCCCTCCACCTGCTGAGCCTTCCTGCAGCCGGTCCTTGTCCCACAGAACGACTGACTTGCATGCTGCGTCGCCAGAAGAGGCGCTCGGTAGCTTCCGGGCAGGCGGCCTTGTCAGCAGCTTCGCCCCGGCCGCGCGCAGCAGGGCTGTGACTTCCTCCTTGTTGGAGAAGGTGCCAGACAGGAACACCTGCGCCACGATCCCAGACTGTAAACCACAAGACAACCCATCCCATGCAAAGAGGGAAGCATTTGCATGCTATCACATCCCTCGCATTTTGGCATTGGCCTACAGCATGGCCAGTTGGTGGCAAAGCTTGACGATTTCAAATACCACCTTGGTTTAACTTCTGTGGAAAGCATTGAAATCTTATCAGGGTGCCGGTGGACATGTGATTTAACTGCTGCAAGGCAGATCAGGGGCCCTGTTCATGTTATTGGTAGGTGCTAACAGAGACTTAAATTGCATCGCACAGCAGCTTGAGGGAAAGGGGATCACCTCCCATCCGCGCAGTAGCTTCTCGCTCTTCTGCATGCGGCCCAGGATGGGGCCCTCCAGGTTGCCGTTGGAGTCACCCTTCACTTCATGTGAGTCCTCGGGCACGGGGTTGCCGGCTGCCGTGCAGGCCGCCACCCAGGAGTCGCCCACAATCCAGGTGCCGTGCAGGATGCCCATCATGTACTTGAGAGTGCGCCTGCTCGCATGCACAGCATCCTGTGAGCCTCATTAGGTCAAAGGAGTTTAACCGGGCTCTGGCATGCAGAGTCATGGTCTACAATTGTCTGATTTGCATGCCGATGATTGGAGCAGATAAATTTGGCAGTACAGCTATGGCACTCACCTCACAACGATTCCTACAGTCTGTCAAATGCGTAGCTACTCAGGAAAAAGCACGTGTAAACGTGTGACATGGGGTGCAGCATGTCCAGAGACGCACTTGGCGGTCTCCTTTTCGTCCAGGTGGCAGATGACGTGGGTGACGCCGGGCTGCCAGGTGGCGGCCACGCGCGCGCCGGAGGCGGCCGCGAAGTTGTGCAGCGCCTTTCGCTGCGGCCCCTCCAACCCCGACGGCAGCAGCACCCAGCTCTGCCGGCCGCCCCGCCACCGCGCCGACTCCTGTGCCGGCGCCGCTTTCCCGCCGCCTGCCGAGCCTGCTGTCAGACGATGGTTACTGAAAACGGCATGCAATCTATGATTAATTGTCTCTTGCACTGCTGTTTACGTACGAATCTACGCAAACAAAATTTCCTTCTGAAGGCCCATGCTTGTTAAAGACCTTGAAATGAGACCGGCGCTTGTTATTGTTCTTTGCACTGCCGCGTAGCGACAAGTAAACCCCTTGGGAGTAATATTTGAGGAAGCACCCTTTACCAGCCTCATTTCCATGCTGCCAGACCGCAGGCAGATGCTTCAGTGCAGGATTCAGATCTGTGAGATCTCTAGGTGGCATAAGCTTTGAGCAATTGTTGAAGCCCACGTTCAGCCTCCCAGAACTGTCATGCGTTATCTTCCCAGAGCTTACCTGGCCGCTGCCTGCCTACACTGACTGACCGCTGCTGCCCGCTGCCCGGCCTGGCGGGCTCTCTGGGTGCCAGCTCAGCATCGCCCTCAGCAGAACCTCCCGCGCCAGCCTCAGAAGCTGTGCCAGAAGCAGCGGCCAGCCGGGAGGCGCCAGGTTTGGCGCGCGCAGAGGAAACGCTGTCACTGCGTGGCCCTGGTGACTTGCTGCGCAGCCTGCTGACTGAGCCGCCAGCTGGCAGGGACCTGCATCAGCAATTTTCTTTGGCGCATGCTCTTGTTTGGTGTCAGTATTATTATTCCCGCTGCTGTTCCTGCCGGGAGGTAGAGTGCGTCTGCAGACAAGCTGCAGGTAGGTTGCCAATTGTCCTTACCTTGCTGGACATGCCGGAGTCAAGCATAATTCAACGAGCCCGGGGCACAGTGCTGAGAGTCTAATCTATCCCCCGCCGGCCAGGACTTGTTTTGGGGGACCGAACATTGCACATGATGTGAGAGAAGCTCGCACCTGCGAGGCGGCGCAGTCTTGTGGTGGGATCTGCGGCTGGGCTTCTGTGGCGGCGCCGATGCAGGAGTGCGCGCAGCAGCCGCTCTTCTGGGCTCTGGTTGCAATTGACCATCTCCAGCAGAGCAAGCTTCTGGCGAGCATAACGCCTCATATCAGCAGCCAGTAGAACTGTACATAGATCTTCTGATCATGTGGTGAACGTCATGCCAGAATCTACATGATCAATATGACAGAAAGCAGAGGCAGCATGCAGGATTGGTGCCAAAGAGTGATGTTCTCACCAGGAAGAGCGCTGCCATTGCTGCTGTCTCGTGCAGTGGGGGCCGGCCTGGCTTCGTCGCACATTTCACAGCATGGAGCAGCACTGGCGTTTTCAAAGGTGCACGCAGGGCAGGGCCACGGCTGCAGCCTGGAGGGTATCCTCCTGCGCTCGGCCGTGCCTGGCAGTGCAGAGCAGTCCTCCCTCCCAGATGACCTCGCCTCTGCTGCCATCCGTGGTCTTCCCTCGGTTGACGTGGGATTTTCTGCGTGGCGTGCTGCACTGTTCTGGCCCTTTGCCTGCCTGCTGTGTGCCGTCCTGGTCTGCTGAGGCGTCTCTGCAGCAGCTGCGCGCTGTGCGGTAGCCGCTCTGCTGCGACAGGGCTTTTCCTCAGGCCGTGATTCTTCTGCTGTGGCTTCCCCTGAGCACTTAGCAGCGCCCCGCAGCTTCCTGGAAGCCGGCAGCTTGCTGACACCGGCTTCCTTCAACGCCGCCGCTGCTGGGTGCCAACCTGCGGCCCTGTGCGAGGCTGCCTTGCCGGACTGCAGAGCTTTTGCTTCAACATCCGCTCCATGGGACGCTGTTTCCATGCTAATGTCAGCGTCCTCAGCAGCTGGCGCGGCGACAGGTGGCGCAGCGTCCTGTGGGAGGGAATTCGCTGCGATCTGCTGCCACGTGTCATCGCTGACAACACCGCTGACGTCAGCGCCGGCGGTGGCCGCCAGCTGCGGGTCGGAGGCCCGCCTCTTGCACCGCTCCGGAGCGGCCGTGCCACCACCGCGCGCTGATTCGGGAGTCTTCCGCTTCTGCCGTGTGAAGGTGTGCATTAGCTTGCCGCCCTCCGGGGTGGCCTCCTTCCTTCTTGCATCCTCCACTCCCCCCTCGGAAGCGCCGGTGCTGCGCAGGCCTCGTGCTAATAAATCTTGAGGGTCTGTAGCACCGGGCTTGGCGCGCAGAGCGTGAACGTGCGCAGCAGCTGCGGTGGAAGGTATCTCAGCCGTGACCCGCTCGGTGGGTTCGGCTGTTTGCGCGCGCATGCGGGAGCTTCTTGGCTGATACAGCTCCTCCGGCTCAGGGCACTGTGTCTCCGCCACAATCATGTCGAGGCTGTCGATGGGCTCCAGCTGCCCTGCATGTCAGCCAAGCAACACGATAATGTCACTTTGCTCAGGCTCTCTGCAAGCTTGGGATGGCAAGGTATGCCTCAGGCAAAACCGGAAGCCGCAAGGTCTGACACAGAACAATGAGCAGATCATGTGTGAAAGTCTAGACTTGTATTAATGGAAGAGGATGGGCCCACCTTGAGGGCGATCCACAGCATCATTTCCAGGCGTTTGGTCCTTTTGGTTGTCATCCTCGTCAGCTGCATCATCTGCTGCTGCGTCCTCCTCGTCCAGCATGGCTGCAGGCAGTTGGGTGCAGAACAACTGCTCTCCTGTGCAGCACAGACATCCAGGTTTTGAGTGCTTGAACAGCTTTGCAGGAGCAGAATACTGCAGGACATGATATTTACAAAAGCCAGCGATCAAGTACCAACCTGTGCAAGCCTCCAACTGCCGATACAGCTGCGCCAGTCTATCCATCCGCTCATCCCTGTGGAACAGACAAAAATAATGGGTGCATTAGGGGCCGAAACATTAAGAAGATCCGCTCTCGCTCATGCACGATCTTCAGAAACTGGCCATCAGTGAGTCGCTGAGCAGCATGTTGAAACGATGAAGACAGGCATATGTGGATCAACTCACGGGATAATGTCTCTGCGGCGAGCTGTTTTGTTGCAGATGGGGCACTGTGATCGGGTACACAACGTTTCTCGGATACAGCTCCTGCTCCAGCCAAGTAATAGTCAGATTGTGATAAATGAAAATTCTCAAGGCAACCTTCGTTATTCTGTGCAGGCAGCACTATCAATTATTGCGAAATATTGTCTGTTGCTGAGCGATAATTGACGTTCGGCAGGATCAGGCACGTACTGGCAGAAGTAGTGGCAGCACTGCAAGCGCGCAGTGGGAGGCTTCAACAAACTCAGGCTGCACCAGAATCATCATCAGATCAGATAATGGTCGTATGCATGAACTCTTGAACAATCAGACGCAAAGAAGGCTGTAGACTTGTGAAGCCACGTGTGTCAATGCCATAGGATGTTGTTTTCAGCAGGGATTAGCGGCGCACCAGACTGGGCACGTGAGTTCTTTTCCCAACGGAAACAAAATCTCTTTCGTGAGTCCAAGACTCATTGCGGCACACAAAACGCAGCCTTGCCTGAGACACCACCAGGTCAGACTTCCTAAAAGAAGCTGGTCACCAGCTGCTGGTGTGAAGCAACTCCAAATCATGTGATCTTAAAAGGAGGCAAATAACCCTCATCGCAGATTCAACAGTTATTAGCCTATGAAATCAAACGGGTGCCAATGCAATCCTGCAATTGAATTGTATTCCCAAGAGAAAGCTCTCTGGCTGTGTTTGGACAGTTCGAACGTGAAACGGTCCCCCCGGGAAATCGGGCCCGATCGGGCCCCCCAGCCAATTCTCTGGTGGGGCTTTGTGGAGCCTGGATAAAGTTGTTGTTTCACGGAGGAGCCGCAGTGTGCGATCTGAGGGTGTCCAGGCTGAAGTGATTGGGATATTACTGGCATCATGAGCAAAAGTCGTTGAGACAAAGTCTCAGAAGTCAAGCATTGATCTATTCATTAACTAGGCGATCCAAACAGAAGCTAGGCTGTTTACTCTGCGCCACTGATCGCCCGATCGCTGGCATATATTCAGGGTAATTTATACAAAGGGGTTTCAGTTTTGCGATCAGGGGGCAACATGGAAGCAAAGTTGTCCATTCAGCCTCATGGGTCTAGTGGGAGTACTATCTGTCGTCCTTTCAGAGCAAAACTTGTACGCCATAGCTGCTTTGCCAAACGGGAAAAGTATTCTACTATAATCAGCGCTTCATCTTCCGGAAAGTGCGGACCAGCGGCAACCCACAAAGCCTTGGCAACAACGCTGGTGGCCACCTGTCTGGTGAGTTGTGCTTGTTGCTGCTTGCATAGCCTTATTCTCCCCCTTTCTGTGAGGTACCCTCACACTTGCTTGCATATGTCTTGGCAACCTTCTTGAGTCCGCATTTATGTTGATTTGGCTGCATTGACAGCTGCATTCCTGCTGCCTGAGGCTCTCTTTTCGTCGAGGGTGCCATTTGCGTTTTAGCCATGCCAGCGTTTCTACATAAATAACTTTAAAGGAGCATTTTCAGCTTGTGACTTGGCTTGCGCAATACTGGCCCTGCATGTCTTGGCTGCTGCGCGCAGGCATGGAATGCTGGGCATGCCTGGGCAGTGACCAGCGTGACAGGGGAGCAGTCGCAGCGCTACCGCGAGGAGCTGGAGCAGCTCATCAAGGCGCGAATGAAGCCTGGCGAGCGCGCTCTGCCATCCCTCACATCCTCCCCCAAGGTATTGCATCCCCATTCCTGCATGCAACCCCACCCAATCCTTCTGTGCCGTGTAGCAAGGATTTAGTAGAGTTTTGGGAGAATCTACTCTTCAACCTTCATGTACACGAACGCTGGAAAGATTTACTTCTGCTTACTTTTGTTTGATCCTCCGGTTCCACAGGTTACTAGGTCTTTTACAGCCCACACAGTGAGTCACATTTACAGAGTGATTACTGTGATACCAGTGAGTGCCACACCATACCCCGCATGCACGCGCAGGTGCAGGAGCTGCGGTCAAAGCTGGTGCAGGCTGAGTCAGCTGCGGTGGGAGGGAACGCACGCAGCGAGGCGGAGGCGGCAGAGATCGCGCAGCTGCGGCGGCAGCTGGAGGAGTCGGTGCGCAGCGAGGAACGCCTGCGCAGACAGCTCCTCGAGGTACATCGCCGTGCCCTGTGCTACTGCCGTGTCTCTTAGCAGGTCTACCAGCTCTTATGATGGGCAAATTTGCATTACCAAAGTGTGATGTGAGCATCACACCTGTCATTCGGAGCCTACTGAAAGTCCGCCTCAGAAGTTCCATACCAGAATTTGTTATTCCCCAGAGCAGGTTTGCTAATCTAATTCCAGGACAGATGCCCGACTTGTTTGTTACCAAAATATATTTGTGTAATACCACTTGCGTGGCTGATGCAGGAAAGCGCGCGGCAGGCCCCAGAGACAGCAACACCGCCGCCAAAGGCAGCCGCAGCAGTGCCCTCGGCCGCGCCAGCGCCCAGCACAACACAAGGCAGCACCGCACCAGTCAACCATGCAGCTCCAATGACTAAGAAGGCCGAGCCTGCCGCGGCAGGACTGTCGACTAAAGGCGCATCGCCCGCTCCCAAAGAGGAGGCATCCGGCTTCTCGCTGCTGGTGCGATCTTAAGGAAACATGAGCAATGCAAGCCAAAACAGGGGCAAGGGGGAGGAGGGACCATATTGGCATGAAATTCGAAGGGAGGCCGGTGTTCAGGTCTCTCGCATGCCAGCAGATTTGGAGTTTGGCCGGCTAGACACACCGCAGCTCAAGTTGCTAGTGTCTATTGTGGCTCCGGAACACTGGAGAAAACTTTCCCTGGCCGTTCCTCCAGTCATACAATACGGGACATTAAATATACTACACGTTTACGTCATGGCAGCACAGTGTGCACCGATGATTACGCTGAGATGTACCATTTAATCTTGTGCGCAGAATGGGGTGGGGATAGTAGCTGCGGGGGGACTGGGAGGACTGCTGTACCTGCAGAAAGGTGAGCAGGGGCGGCTGGAGGCCGAGCAGGAGGCGCAGCGAGCCCAGCAGCGCGCAGAAGTGGACGGCCTCAGCTCCCAGGTACATCCCTATTTTCCCTTGAAGTGGTTTATGTATTTTACTCTTTGAGCTACAAAATCTAGCTCTTAAGCTGCCGCGCATCTTCCTTGGTGCTGAGCGACTTTCCAACCACAGGCGGCTCTCTGCCACTGCCTTTTTTTAGGCGCAGCTGGAAAGTGCATGATGTGGTTTGAGAGGCAGCTTAGAAGTGCAACAAATTGTGAAGCAGCTGTTGATTGGTTGGAGCTGGTTCACAGGTGAGCCAGGCGAGGGAGGCCGTGTCGCGTGAGCAGCGGCTGAAGGAGCAGCTGCGGGAGCAATTGGCCGCTGCCGCCATCGACTCCAAGCGCCAGGTGGGACATCACACATCTCTCAAACTTGCAGATGATGGAGTACTTGCCAATTTTAACAACCCTTAACATTGCCTATGACATCCCACGTGTTACCATCTTTTAGTCAATCCTTGCAGCGGTGCTCTGTGAAGTCCATGTGACAATAGCGACAATTGTAATGCCTTCAACTCGCCTGCAAGGTGCACTCACCGATACGAATGAAGTGAGTGCGGAAATGTTACCCCAAGCAGACCTAGTCAGGGGTTGAGGGGCTCTTCAACCCATGCAGAAGTGACCTCCATTCTCTTATGACGCTCTGGGTATCCATTCACTGCAGAGGTGGAGGTGTTAGCAGTTGTAATGGCATCGAGACGAACACAACCTGCAAACAAATGATGTGACGCTGTTGATCGCCCCGAGCAGGTCCAGCTGGAGGCTGAGGCGCGTACAGCGGTGGAGGCGGAGAGGGCGCTGGTGCAGAGGGCGCTAGAGGCCGAGCGGCGAACGGCCGAGGCCGCGCGCGCCGAGGCGGCGGCTGCGGCGGAGGCGGCCGCAGCCGAGCGCGCCGCCAAATTTGCGGCAGACTCCGAGGCGCGCGAGCTGGCCCGGGAACTCGCCGAGCTGGAGACCGCTCTCGAGCGCCAGCGGTGCGCTTCACACCAATCGGTTGATTTTGTGTGTGTAGGGTGCAACATTGGAGACATTCTGTTGTAGAGTGGGTGAACATTCTGTTGTTGTGTGATTCAAAATGTAACCATACAACAAGAGGTGCTTGCTCAGCCTGCAACAGATTGCACTCGCCATGACGATGTTCAGTGAATCTCAAGAACTTTCAGATAATCGGCCTAACATGTCCAGAGCTTGCGATGGCGTTCTGCTCCTTTCGTCACCTGAGGGAGGCCACTTGCTGCCCTGTGGTTTGAGATGCAACTGTGCAATATCGAGTTGCTTGCTCAGCTGGCAACAGAGCGTGATCACCTGTGGGTTTTGAAATTTAATTCTATGTTGCGTGCACTGTATTTATGCCTCCCCTCTTATGGGTTTGATGACCGGCTTTTGTTGTCCACTCAGAGCAAGCCTTCTGCTGCTGTGTGGTTCACAATGCAACCACGCAGCACGAGTTGCTTGCTCAGCGTGCAACAGACAACGGCCATCAGCGCCATCTTAAGACAAGGTCCTGCGGATATGGTCACACTGTGATACCCACTCTGTACTACCCAGTCGGATTACTGCTCGTGCTATCCTGCTGCGACATTGCTTTCAAAAAGGTACAAAAAGGCTCGCATAGTGGGCGGTGTATGAATAGTGTGTGCTGGGGAATTGCGCACAGGGAATTTGCGGCACGCGTGGGGGCTGACGCGCACAAGGCGCAGGCAGACCTGCAGGCGGCGCAGCAGCAGAAGGGCAAGATGGTCATCACCAACACCAAGCTCTCCCAGGCAAGTTCTTGAAGTGCACAGTCAACATTACTGCTGGCTTACGAGACGCACAAATACAAACAGCAGATACACTCAAATCCAGCCCTCGAGCACAGCACCGCCTATGCTGGTTGTGCCCACTATGTTGTCAGCAGGCTGGGCAATGCTGGTCTCAGGAACATGCTGACAATTCACAATACTTGCACAGGTGTTGCTCAACATACCCGATTTTTTCAGACTGGAGGTCATGGAATGGATAGTAATGATAACGGTGACTGATTTACTGTCTGCGCAGGCATTGGAGAAGGAGGAGGCTGAGCGCAAGGCAGCACTGGCTGAGGTGGCCCGGCTGGAGGCGCAGGTGGCCGCCGCCAGCAAGGAGAGCGCCGACGCCTCCAGGACCCTGGAATCGGTGGGCACTCATTGTGAATTATAAAACTTCATAGCAGAATTCTACTAAGCTCCTTTTGAGCGACGAAAAGTCTGTGCATACTCAGTGCAGGACGTCACTGCAGAAAGTTGCATCTTGAGACGTAGGCCTCAGGATGCTGGATGATGCTGAAAGGAATGGCACATTCATTGACTTCCACCCTTTGGGAAGTTCTCTGAGGTTGTTTTGTCCTCCTCAGTCTCACGTTTCTCATTCCAGCAAGCACACAAGAACGATGCGGCTTGCCGGGAGTGCACCGACTTGCATGCAGAATGCCTGGTATATAGGCCTGATACTCAAGCCCTCTAAATGAAGCAAATTGATTGCAGGTGGGCAAGCAGAACCTGGACATGCGACGTGCGATGACGATAATGAAGGAGCAGGCGGCCGAGATGGCGCTCAAGGCGCAGGCGGCCGCAACGGCGGCGGCTGCCGTGCGCGCTGAAGCCGACGAGAAGCTGTCGGCGGCCAACGACGCGCTGGCGAACGAGCGCGCCAAGATCGTGGCGCTGCAGGTTTTCAGCAAGTTCCACATCGGCTAGGGCTGCCGCGAGTTGGTGTGTCTTGGCTGTAGGTCGATGTCAACACATGCTGGCACATGTAGGGGCAGGTGTCAGGGTGGCAGATCTTCTGCGTCGACGTGAGTGTGAGTTCCCCAAGATGGATCACGGCCTGACCTTCAGCTGCTTTGCAAAGCAGCTTTGTCCTTTTATTAGTGTTGGAATGCAGAGGCTGCACCCAAAGGAGGTGGCTGCTCGCTGAGATCTTTGAGGTTGGTCCTAGAGATCTGGGGCCCTAATGTCACCAACTTTTGCTGATGTAAGCGATTGTACCGCAGGGCGAGCTGGCGACGACGAGCGCTGAGCTGGCGCGCGCGTCCGGCGAGGCGGAGAAGCTGCGCGGGCAGCTGACCGCCAGCGTGGCGGAGACGCAGCAGCTGCGCTCAAACCTGGCCAAGCTGTCCGAGGAGACCGCCGTCGTCGAACGCAAGCTGGCAGCCGAGGTGCATACTCCCTTAATATACAGAAGGATCTAGAGACTGCGATGCGTAGCGCAATTGACTTCAGCATCGACTGTCCTGCTTCTGGCAGGCGCTGTCATTTGCGAACGGCGGCTTTGTCTGTCCACTTGTACTCTTAAAACCCTTAGGCTACTGACATTCTGAAAGACATCAATCCACGTCACCTGCCATGCATGGCCGGCAAAAGGTGCCTTTGAGCAAGGTGCCGTGATGTCTGCAGCTGTTCAGTGCTGAGAAGATTTGATCCTGAGTTATGGTGATCAGAAGCTACAACTTGGGCTGCAGGTGTCAAACAACAAGGTGTCCCAGGCTGAGAATGCCAGCCTCCGCAGCGAGCTGGGAGGACTACGCAGCCAGCTCAGCGAAGCATCCAAGCAGCTCGAGGCCGAGCGCAAATCCAGTGCGAGCCTGCACCTCCGTTGCTTCACCTGTGCTGCCATAAGCATTGCTCCTTCTTGGTCCAATCTGTGCTGTAGGATATGCAGTAACTAGGGTGTTTTGACTTTAGACATGCAGGCAGGCTGGAACTGTATACTGCATCTTCTTCCTTCGTGGTTAGAGGAGTTCCTATGATTTGAGGGGTAACTAGACGTCTGTTGAAAAATGATATTACCCTGATAGCGTGTGTTTGAAGATATTGTGAATGGCGAAGTGAGGTGTTGGTTGCGCGAGCAGGCGGTGAGCTGGAGGCGCAGGTTGCGCAGCTGAAGCGCGAGTATTCCCTCGTGGGCGACCAGCTGGAAAGCGAGCAGACGCGCATCATGCAGGCACGGCCCCTAACACAGCCCCTAACTTCCCTGCTCTCCCCAGCTGACTTCATCTTATATTTATAGAAGACCTCCGAAAGGGAGATTAAATGCGCATTTTTTAACAATCACAGGACTGAGGCACAGCAGCGTATCACGCTTCAGCCTCCTCAAATTGCGATCCATGTGACAGAAATGCATAAGGCTGGCCTGTTCAGTTGACGGGACCTGCTCATGCCTTGCCCTCCTGCGTTACTCTTCGGCACCAGCATGCTAGCGCTGCTGTGGGTGCCAGGTTGCTCGGTTCAACATTGGACTGCATATCTGGACCTTGTGCCCCTCGTCCCCATGTGTGTTCCTGTGTTAAAGTGCATACTTGGAGCCTACAGGTCTGGTGCCGAGGCTACATTTTCTCTGAGCTGTGACCAACGTCTTGCTGGGAGATAGCAGTATGGTGCCGATACTCTCTGAGCTGCACCTGTGACGTTGGATTATGGGGTAAACCCCGGCGAGGAAATACCAAGAGGCTGAGAAAGTCGCAATGCTGATTGGCCGCAAGATTCAATCGGTGCATGTCGCAGGTGGAGGGAGAGGCAAAAAGCCTGAAGAAGATGACAGAGGCGTTGGAGGGGCGCACCCAGACGCTGACGGACCAGCTGGCCAAGCAGCGCGCAGATTACGCGCAGAAGCTGTTCGAGGCGCAGCAAGAGGTCAACCAGGTGCGCTTGAACAAGTTGCTATTTGTTGTGCTGTGGTCCCTTCACACCCTGTGTTGAGTGCATTGCTTGATAGGAATGCCGGGCATATCCCAGGAAAAGCATGCATTTCTTTGGAGATCCATGCCTCAGTCAGTGAGCAGCTGCTCCGCTTCCAAGGCACCTTGTGTCCATGTCAAAAGCTGTGTCCCTCCTTGATCTACCAGACAAGTAGCATAGCTGTAGGTGGTGCCACTTTTTTACCACAGTGCAATGGTGAGCCAGGTGGCTCAGGGGTGCCATAAGGTGCTTATGTTGGTGACTGCAGCCCTCACATGCAGGCTTGAAATTGGGCACATGACAAGCATCAAGTGTGATCAATGTGCATTGAGAACCGCCACACCCGTGCTTTCATAAGCCCCTGAAGTCAGGTGTAAGATACTTGGCATGCAGGGGAATAAGATGATCGATCGTCAATAGAAACTACTGGAAATACGTTGGTTGCACGTCAATTACAGTTGTTCAAAAGCCTCTCAAGTCAGGTGCAACATGGTGAATGGAGGGACAGGATGCATGAATCGATCATTTTTGGGGGTGGCTTTAATGTATTGGTGATATCCGCAGGTGAAGAATGAGGCAAGTGAGGAGCGTGCGGGGCGTGAGGACGCCACGTCAGCGGTGATGAAGATGCAGACCATCATACAGGCCGTACGCGACGAAATGGTTGAGGCACAGCTGGCCGCCGACGAGTGAGCGCCCTATTTTCTGTTCGTAAAATTTGGAAATGTATTCAAACACAGGGCTGGGATTGCAGGGTTGATTAACACACAGTGTGAGCGGCCCCTTGCTTCTAGAGCCACAATCAAAGTCTGGGCTGGAGTTGCAGGGTTCTTTTGGCACATGGATGTGCGATCACCCTGTCCCACTGGGAAATGCATTCCAATTCGCGTCTGGAACTACAAGATAATGTGGCATGCTGTGTGTCCCCCAGTGGGCTTTTGGCTGAAGGCATTTGGCTGGGATTTTGAAATAGCTTTCTTTGTGCTATGCTGGGGAAATTGGCACCCCTCGTTCCAATGCCTGAGCGTGAGCCCCCAGTGAGACGAGGTTGCTCATCTCCCTGGCGACTTGAATCTAGGCAGTGCGACGAGGACGCTCGTTTGCCCAGCATATGGACAGCCTTTAGAACATACTTCAGAGGTGCAAAAGTATTACATGTTCAATACGGTGGACCCGTGAGACTGCTAGGAGAAGCGTTTGACTTAAAGCGCACACTGCATTTGTGCGCTTGCTCCTTGCTGCTTGTCTGAACAAAGCCTTAAACGCTGCAGCTTCTGAGCTCTACATAAAGGGTGTGAGGTTGGAAACATCCATAGGCTTCACAAGGAACACAGAAGACTTGCAGCAGCAATTGCAACACAATATGTAAATCTGCTCATGTGTTTTTGTGTCGTGGCACGCAGGGCGCAGGAAGCATTAGAAGAGGAGCGGACGGCGCGCGTTGAGGCTGAGGCGTTGGCTGCGCGGCTGCGGTCGCAGCTGAGTGGGCTGCGGGAGGCGCAAAGCTCGCAGCAGGCCTCCGCGCAGCAGCGACTGGCCACACTGCAGGCGCACCTGGCTTCCCTCGCCTCACGCGTGGTGAGCGCTCGTGTTTGAATTTGAAAACAATAGCAATTTTTGGAGGGAAAATATACCCTTTTTAGATCCTGCAGGCCTTCCATCTGGTTAGCAGTTACCGTGTTGTCTCGCCATTAATGTATGTCTGCGTTGCACGACAATCAGTCTCCTGTGTCGGAAGAGCAACGGAGCTGATGGGATCTGGAGGTGGACGTTCTGTAAGGAGCAACATGTTGCTATTGGAATCTACTGTTTGTGACTTGGGAGACTGGTGGCATAGGATGGCGCCCGCCTTGTTCGAGGAAGTGTCTCTCTGTTTTTTTGTGTTGTCTTTAGCAAGGAATTGAGCGAGAGAGCAACTTTTGAATTGTAGCAATGAGTCTACTTAGTGCTGCGGGTCTTGTCCAATCAGCACATGGCTGTTCTGTTGCAGGACCCCACCACGGGAGCAGTGAGGCCGTCAGCCTTGGCAGAGATTGAAAGTCTGGAGGCGGCAGAAGATGATGCTGCAGAGGCGGATGCGGAGAGTGCTGCAGAGGAATCAAGTGTTGATGAAGAAGTTCTGCAAGGGACTGTTGTGAACTGAGAGGATTGTCAGATGAGAGTGAGGAGACTTTTATTATAAGCTGAGGCAAGTTGAGATGCTGCATCAATTGCATACATCCTGTGCAAGTACTATCACAATTTTTGTTCTTGAACCGCGTGATTTTTTTTTGCAGTGCAAACAGAAGTGCTGGAAGGTCTACATTGATTAATTTGGCAGTCAGTTAACTGACATGGATGTCTTGGAAATCAAAAGAATCTTGTGGGTAATTACATATTCTAGCTGTGCTTGCCCTATTCTCGACAGTTTTGTGAACAGCATAACTTGCAGCTCTCTGCAAGCCTCTTAGGGCGATGTCAGGAGCCCCGCCAGTCATGTCATAGATGACCTAGTGACATTCAGGGATTGACAAGAGTCAGAAATGAAACTTCTGCATCCAAATTCAAATACATGCGGTGTGTGGGAACTATCTCTGAACTCCTTCAGAAGACCTGTTGTCCCCATTAGCGCGTGTCCGTGTACAGGGCCTTCACAGGAAACTCATAGTACGCCTGCAAACAGCAGAGGGCTCAGTGCAACATTTGCAGTCCTGGAATTCACAGCACTCTCATCATTTCATAAATTAAATCACAAGCCATCTGCCCATGGTCAATCATGATAGGCTATGCTGCAACAGCAGGACCCTTGCTTGCGCCAGCTGTGTGGCATGCCACACCTGCAGTGAAACATAATAGCAGAAACTTCCAAGGTGAAAAGTCTTTGCCATTTGATTTCAGGACTGCGCGCACCCTGACAAACTCGAGCTTGGCCTTGTCGGGCTTGGTGCCCTTGACGGCGGCCCAGGCGTCCCACTTGGCCCGCCCTTCAAAGTCCAATCCACCCTTCTCCGTCCACATGGGACGCTCCGCTGTGTTCTCCCCATTCACGGCCACCATGTGCAGCCTGCATGTCAATGTATATGTAGTCACCTACGATGCTGTTGCGTTGCTGGCAGGCCAGAGGCCCCGGATATAGATTGGTAGTCATCCGGGGCAAGGAGTGCATGCATGTATATGATGAGTGAGTGATGGGCTGCAGACTTATGAAGGCCCCGCGGATGTGGCTGCAGACGCCCTGCGTGTATGCCCTCTGGCCTCTGGCTTTGGGTTTGCCGATCTGTAATAATAATAATGATAATAATAATATGTGAGCCAGGCCTTGCATGCCTCATATTTTACAGGCAGTAGGATTCCCCGCCTAAGGGTCAGACTGGCCTTAGGTTCCAGAGGGTTACATGTCAGCAATTTAAACTCTGGTTGGGGACATGGGCTGTCCTGCTCAAAGCTGCACAGACTTCTCAGACCCTTTCTAGCTGGGATGTAGAACAGTGCAGCAAAATGCCAGAGAGTGGCTTTGATGTTGCATGCATTGCAGATAAGATCGTGCGGCTGCCTTTTCGCTCACATGGTGCTCGCACTGCCTCGTGTGTCTTGCATTCCCCCTTGACGTGCTACCGTGATTTGAAAAGAACAACTTAACACAGTGCGCAGTGGGTCTGCAGCCACCATCACATGCAGAAATGCCATTGTGACGAGAGGTGGCTCACCCATAGAGGGTGTAGAAGTCGTCTGGCTTCACGGTGGCTCCTCCAGGCTTGGAGATGATCTTCCAGTTGAGCTTCTCGTACTTCTCAACCAGAGCTGCAAACTCACTGACATCGTAGGACTGCGCAACACACCGTGTTCAGCAAAATCCTTGTTCTTTGATGATGTTGCAAAATTTGCAATAGGAGAAGCTGTTGAGCATGGGCATGCGGGGAGGGTCTGACAACCCAGGGATTGCCCCTGGGATTGGGCTTATTTTTCTGACTTCAGGAACGTGCTTCTGGTTTGCCAAAGTTAAAGCGAGGTTTATGGGACAGATCATCAATCTCTGGGATTGCCCCGACAATTTGTGAAGCTGTTGAACACAGGCATGCAGGTGCGGACCTCCTTAGCGTGAGGTGACCTGTCAGCTGCGGACTTTGCAACAGCCGCTGCCTTCTTCGCCTCCTCATCTTTCAGCATCTTCTTCAGCTTTGTCCTTGCAGCTGCAGGGCACGAGATTGTTGCTGACAAGCGGCTATTGCTCTTCAAGGCCATATTAATATGTAATATTCCAATGGAGACTCCTTAGCTTCACAGTGCTTCAGCTAATATGAGATTGGAACTGCGGCGCTGCAGCATGCAGGGATGAGCTCTGTGAGTGTTAGTAAATGTTGGTCTACATTCAGAATTTGCGTGAAGCAGCCAAAGAATTTGCATCCCTTACCACGCAGTTTCTGGCGGTCCTCGCCAGGTGTGGCATCAAGAAAGGAAGCCTGTTCAATTGCTTCAGCGAGCGCTTCTGGGTCATTGCCAGCAGCGGCAATGCCTGCCAGAGCTGAATCTGCGTGCGGCATTGGAGCACAAGTATCTGGCGTTCCTGTCGTAGCAAACTTTTCGTTGAGGTCAGCGAAAGCATGCTGTCTCAGAGTTGCCTCCTGTCAGCAAGGTTAGTGTCAGAACACAGCTTCACCTCAACGCGAAGGGGTGGTCACTAAACTACTTGTTGGAAATTCCTCTGTAAGTAAAATGCATAAAATAAAACAATCTCGATGTCGTACAGCTGCGAGCACCACAACTGACACTGTGGACGAGTAGCAAGCGTTTCGACGGTTCACACCGTAAAACCATTTTGGATTTCTTGTTCACTGGGATAAGAGTGTGCAACCCCTTTTGAACATCCAATAAAAATTTCTACTAACGAATTGGACATATTTTCCTGCCCATCGCGGAGTTTTCTTCGTTTCAAGGGAACTTATGTACTGGCGATGGGCGATGTTTTTAGCAGATGTGTGTCACGGACGCTACTTACCTTGTCTAATCCGTGCAAATGACAGTTTCTGTAGGATATTTCTTCCTCAGAAGTGTGCACTTCGTCCTGACATGACACCACTCAACATTTTCTTTCGATGTCGAGGAGGCGTTCCATGGCAGGACACAATTTAATGAGCTTCCGCAAAATCGGTGTTCCCGAAGAAATCCATTTGAAGAAGACTCTCGTTTTCACTGGTTTGTATCACATCGACGTGTGGAGTGGAAATCTAACTGGCATTTTTTTCCATACCGCATTCAAAATTATGGCGATATCATTGTTTGCCTAACTTCGAGACAGAGTCCTCGTTGTTTACACCTCTCTTCTCGCAGCATTCAGACAAAAAGTCAGGAAAGATTCCAATGATATATTATCATTTAATTGAAAAGGTTCGGTCAGCCAAGCTTGCAGTCGCCATCACCTTTGAGTAGATCCATGGCGATGGAAGGCACAACAGGCTCCGCAGAGGATGTGTTTGCGGAGAAGCAGGATACGCTAGACGCTTTGATTGTAAGTAATGTACATGAGAAATATTACACACGAGATCATGCCACTGAACGCACTCATCAGGTCTGCAAAGGTGACTCCAGCCTTCGAGATGCTCCTGACCATAGTCTGTCTGCCTTGCAGGGGAAACTGCGTTCGGGAGAGTGGGAACTGGCTGTAAGCCTGCTAAAGAAATACTCATCATCAAGCGGATCGTTCAGCGTCTCCAGCCTTTCAATGGGAAGCCTACCCTCGTCCTTGGACACCTCCACTTCAATCACCCTGGAGCATGTTCTCCGCGAGTTTGAGAGCGTGCAGCGCAGCTCAAGTACAGACAGACTGCACGAGCTGCTGTCCCAGGGCAAGTTGCAGGCATGTTACTTCATCGCCTCATATTTCTTAGCAAGGTGTGGTATTGCTGTAGCACGGCAGCGGCCACCTGAAATCGCACATCTCTCAGTCAATGATTGCAATAGAAGCAATGCAGCAAGCCCATAAACTTTTGCCAGAGCTGTACATGTTAATATGCCTCAATGATGACAGCTGTGGCTGCAGCTGATCAAACCTTTGTGCCAAGCCATTCAAGATGATTTGGTTGACAACCCCGAGTGACTGCAGGTACCAGGGGATGAGGGACACAGCATTCAGTGCGGCATATCAAATGGGCAGAATGGGAGCAATTCAAGCCTCGGCAGCCTGGTGTCCTCCCTACGCAGCCTGCTGAGCAGCACCAGCTCAACAGGATGGCTCGCAACTGCCGGCCTGCTGTCAGACACCTCCCTGCCCATGCCAGATACAGAACAGCCACCCATCGTAGCGCCGCACACCACTGTTCAAACCCTGCAGGGCTGGCCGAGTGGCCTGCAGATACCAGGAGATGGCGATTTCCAGGAGGCGCCAGAAGAGCCCCAGGAGATGCCGAATGAGCCGCTGGCGGTGGAGTCGCGAAGGAGCCCGAGCAGGCGCGGCGCTAAACGGCCGCTGCCGGAGGATGGCGGCCGGCCAACCGTTGCAGGCACGGAACCCTTTTATGGCTTCATCAAAGCAACTTAATGTGGCTCTTAACGGCCCATGCTTGGCCCATACTCGCGGCGTGCTAGCCTGATTCAATGGATACTTGGAGGCCACCAGTTGGCTTCCCGAAAATCTTTCGGAGATGCACGAAGCCCCTCCCTTTTCAGAGCTCAGCGACCCTCATAGGCATGACTTCAAATGGACTGCATCACAAGAATCACACTTCTATCCCTTTTGTGGCTTGAGTCAAGATGCCGAGCATCAAAAGAAAGCACAATGGCTTCAAGATGACATTCTACATCAGGGAGTTATGAATTCAGGGCTAAGGATTCACACTGACTGCAGGCAAGGCACCACGGCTGTTCAGCACGCCCTCACCAGCCCCCTCGGCAGTCGAAGGCCCTCATACACTGGCGGCAGCAGCGCCGCGTGAAATGGAAGATGATGTGGTTGAGACAGCTGCTGCGGCTGAAACCGAGGCATCGCCAGTGCGCCAGAGGGGGGCCGCAAGGAAGGAGGCTCCTCCGCCGCGGCCGTTCCCGCAGCGAGATGCGCAGCAGGGTTTGCCACATGTCCCCAAGAGCAGCTTCAAGGGCGTCTCCTGCCACAAGTGCGTTGCTTCTGAGCAGGACATTTTCCCTTGTTTTTAGACGGAGTGTATGTTCTACAGATTGCGCGGGAACCAGGGTTGGAAGGGCCTCAGAATACTTTCAGTGTGCACACGTGGTCTAGCCTCTGTGCCTCTGTGGCGCCCCTGGGAATTCCCAGAGCGCAGCCTGCCTAGCACCTTTGGACATTTATAGCCTGCTCTGGGCAAACCAGAATTTTCATCCATGACCCGGAAGACCCGGCGTGGATCCCAGGATAATTACCCCTGGATGTCAAGTTTCCTAGGAGATTGATGATTGCTGCGGCAATGCTCCAGGAGATCAGGATTGTGGTTTTGTTGTGTGCTGCAGGCAGACATATAGGTGGGAGGCATCGCTGTGGCTGAACGCTCGCCAGATCTATCTGGGGGGCTTTGCCACAGAGGAGGAGGCAGCGCATGCGTACGACCTGGCCGCTCTCGGCTGCAAGGGCTACAACGCTGAGACAAACTTTCCTCTGGCCACCTATTCTGCCGAGCTGTCCACCGAGCTCAAGGACCTGTCACAGGTACCTTACAATCATTGACATGTGGATCATGAAGATCAAGCAGGACACAGAGCATCTTAGAATCCAGTGTTGAGTAGAGGATGCCTTTGCTGCAACAAAAGTGACCGATGGTTCTCAGGAATGTGAGGCCGTTGGTCATGTGCTTGTCACTTGCTGTTAACAAATAGCACAAGTGCACGTCTAGTGCTGCGGATCTCCTGTCCTGAATTGGCAGCTTGGCATGCAGGATGAGGTGATCTCTTGGGTTCGCCGCCGCAGCAATGCATTTGCGCGAGGCAAGTCCAAGTTCCGGGGAGTGTCCGGGCGCGTGGGCCGCTGGGAGACGCGCATCGGCTCATTCGGCGGCATGAAGAATGTGAGCACTCCCAGCCTAATAAAAGATATTAACATAAACGATTGTCACCTCTGTCCAAAATGTGAATTGGCCCCAGCTGGCGGGGCTGATAAGGAAGTGAGCACTGTCACCACATTTACTTGGATCTGACGAGTTTTTCAATGGGTAGGCTATGCAGCAGCCGTCTCCTGAATCTCTTCAGCAGACGCACCTTGCATCTCTTAGCAGGAACTCCATGAAATGATAATAAAATAATGGAGAAAGTGTGAGGTGGATTTTTTGATGGGTGGCAGGTGTCCTTTGGGATTCATGATGAGGAGGAGAGGGCTGCGCAGATGTACGATCGCGCCATAGTGCTGGAGAAGGGCCGCGCTGCCAAGACTAATTTCCCCATCACTGAGTACGACAAAGAGATCGCTGCCTGCCAGTTATTCTGCACTCAGAGGTGCGCATGTCCTGTGGTGCAATTCTTTTGCATCCAAGCAGAGGGAAGCACTCTGTTCCTTGGTCAGGGATTTTATTTATACGCTTTATTTATATTGCCAGGCTAATGTGCTGTCCGGCGCAAGCCACTCTAAGTTATTGTATCTGTTTAGTTCATGGAAGTGATGCCGTAAGAATGGTATGCTCTGGCGACTGTGTGTTGTAGAGCTGGTGATGTGTCATCCTCATTGCAACTCTGAAGTCTTGTCATGCGTGTGCAGCTATGGGTACCTGAGTGCGGCAGCTGCCGAGGAGCAGCGCAGGGCAATCACTCTGCCGCTGGACGAGTACCTTGCATCTAAGCAGCCCGCAGCGAAGGGCGAGAAGACCAAGAGGAAAGCGCGGCCGCGCACAGTAAATGCCATATATGCATTTGCCCTGGAGAAGGCCCTGAAGTACAAGTGAGGCTGAATTAGAGGAACCAGAAAAACGCCAAGATGTATACAGTCAACATGCTGTGCTGTGAACCTATGCCATTCTAAGAGGGCAATGCATACAGTGAATTTTTAGAAGAAACATCGTGACCAAACGCATCCAAGCCCTTAATACATAGTATTAATACAATTTATTTGTGAACGATGGCTTGATTACCAGGCAGTACTCCAGTGTATCGTTATATGAGAGTTATTGTGCGAGGTTACAAGCTGCTAGCATTCATTTTTCCGCTTTGGAACTTCAAGATTGTCACCAAAGTGAAAACGAAGGCCCTTGAAAGCACTTACAGCAGGAGCGAATCTCTATTCAAAATGCTACCTGGTGCACACGCTTAGCACTGACAGTCATATTGCACACACAAGGTGGATCTCATGCTATCCTATAGCTCTGACATGCATTGCAATTACATTCCTGTGATCGGCCACATCTGCCGCATGTGTTCACTTGCGCATCTGCCACATGTCACTGTTGCCCGGGGCTGCTGCCGGAGAGGATGCTGCACCGCCAAGAGCGCCAAAGCCGGACCCCCCGCCAAAGCCACCAAAGCCACCTCCCTGCTGCGCAGCTGCCCCGAAGCCGCCGCCCGCCTGGGCAGCTGCATTGAATGCGCTGGGCTGCCCGGCCATGGAAGCAAACGGTGCAAACCCACCTGTGCAGAAACGGTATTCAACGACAGCCTCAGAAAATATCAGCAAGTCTTTTGAAGTTTTGGGGCTCGTGTACATTTCATGCCGCCATGAAGCGAGATAAAACAGTGCTCTGCTTTGCAAATAAATCAAGTGTTGTATGCAATGCAAGGATCTTTTCAAAAATTAAAATTTCCATCATGATCAAAACAAAAAACAGTGTAAGTTCCATAAACTTGGTTCGGCTTGAGGGATATGGTGCGCACTTCCTTGGGCGGCCGCCGCGCCAAAGGCGTTGCTGCCAGTGGCGCTGCCGAAGGGCGGGGAAGGCGCTGCAGGCGACCCGAAGCCTGGTGTTGCCGGAGCCCCAAACCCGGGCATCGCTGGTGCGCCAAATGCCGGAGATGCCGCCGCCGCTTGTCCGAAACCTGCATTGTTGCCAGGCTTGTCAGAGAGAACTTTGCTGAACAGACCCGGCAACAATTCTTGTCTGCAAGATAGCATTAAGGGCGGCAGCATCTCAAAATTTGGCAATGAAAGCATCAGGTTGCGACGCTCATGTGATCTTTTCAAGTGGACGCGGCAGTGTGAAAAAGAAGGAGAAACTTTGGCTGTGATTACAATTCAAGTGGGGAGTTTAAAGCAGACCTGGCTTGGTAAGCTGCCCAAAAGCGCCGCCCAGGGGAGAGGGCTGCCCAAAGCCGCCGCCCGCCGCCTGCCCAAAGCCCGAGCTCTGCCCAAAGCCGCCTGAGAAGGCGCCGCTGCTGGGCGCGGCCGAGCTAATGGGACTCTGCGGCTGGCCGAAGGCAGGCGACGACTGACTAAATCCGGCAAATCCCGTTGCTGCTCCGCCGCTAGAGGGCTGCCCAAAGCTGCCGAAGGGGCTTGGGGCTGACGACGCAACTGGTGTGCCAAATGAGATCCCTTTGCCAAAGGGGGAGGCGGCCGGTGTGCTGGCTGGTGTCGGCTGGCCTAGGCCGCCAAAGGCGCTGAAACCTGCAGCAGGCAAACAAACAAATTATTGGAAGAAAATCACAAAGTCATGCTCACACCCGAAATGTTGAATGCTCTCTAATGTAGCTTGCACATGGTGTGGATAAAGATGCAGACACGATGCTGCATTTGAAAGGTGGAGAATGAATGGACCTGAAGTCAGTGCTGCCGGGGAGGATGCTGGCTGGGAAGCTGCCGTCCCAAAGGACAGCGTGCCAAAAGCTGACGTGGACGGTGATGGCGCCTGGCTCCCTGCTCACATGGCACAAGGCAAATCAATGCAAACCATCTGAATGGTGCCCTACACATTTACTGTAGCGAGACCCATTCATACATGTCTGAGAAAGACTGTTGATTATCACTAGGAACAGAGGAGCAAGTGGGGCGTACCAAAGGTGGATGTCAAAGGGCTGCTGGGTGTGGCAGCCTGCTGACCAAAGCCCCCAAAGGTAGAGGAAGGTGCTGCGGAAGCTGCCGTGGATCCAAAGTTGGCTGCTGATGGAGCTCCAAAGCTGATGCTCGGTGCTGGCGCTGAGGCGAGAGGCTGTGAAAACGATGTCACAGGGGACGGCACGCCAGATGAGCCTGCAAACATTTCAGGCACGTCAGCAACAAACACATGGCAGATTGCAGTGCAACAAGGAGTATCCGCATGACATTGTTCATGAGCCCAAGTTGATCTGCCAGCACATGAGTCCTTGCACTTCTGTATGACAGACACCAAGGAGCTGGATCCTCACCAAACAGTGGCTGGGATGCTGCTGGGCTGGACCCTGCAGGTTGGGATGACGCCTGCATGGAGCCAAAGAGTGAGGTAGTCTGGCCGGCAGCTGTGGTTGTGCCTGTCGCACCCATGGATGCTGACATGGCGGACGCAAAGGAGAAGGCAACTGACGGCTGTGCGGTGGAGACAACAGGCTGGCTCACTGCAGGGGAGGCTGCATCGCCGGTGGTCAGCTTGGCAAAGTTGAACACCGGCTGCGCTGGGCTCGCGGCAGGCGCTGCCGACGCGGAGGGAGGTGCGAATGGGCTTGATATTGACGCCTGCAAAGAAGGAAGTGGCCATATAATTATGGAGACACACCAAGCTGCCCAAGATCAGGTGTCCATCGATTATTGAGACTATCCTGTGCATTGCTGCTTGTTAACATGCGCAGAGCATATATGTAGGACATCCGCGCACCGTGGCTGCGCTTGTCTTGGCGCTCGGTGCGGCAGGGGTGGGCTTCTGCAGCGCCGCCTGTGCCTGCGCATGCGCGGCGGCCATCGCGGCTTTGCTGGGCACGGGAGGCATTTTTGCCGCGGGTGCGGCCGCCGCTGTCTTCTTCTGCAGAGCCGCTTGCCCCTGCGCCTGAGCAGCCGCCACCGCAGCCTTGCTCGGCACGGGGGGAACTTTGGCAGCGGGTGGCGCTGGTGCACTCTGCTGCAGAGCCGCCTGCCCCTTTGCTTGCGCCGCGGCCACAGTAGCCCTGTCGGGGACCGGAGGCGTCTTGGCGACAGGTGTTGCGCCACTTGCGCGCAGTGCAGCCTGTCCCTGGGCCTGTGCAGCTGCCACCGCTGCTCTGCTGGGCACGGGCGGCATTCTTGCGGCCGGCGAAGGGGCCGCCTTTTGCAGCGCAGCTTGCCCATGCGCGTGAGCGGCTGCCAGCGCGGCCTTGGTCGGTACTGGCGGCATCTTGGCTGCCGAGGGGGTTGGCACAGCATCTTCTGGTATGGAGGCCTGCAGATGGCAAGCACCTAGCCTGGTCATTTGCCTCTTCATCTCAGCCCCGTTCTTCTTATATTGGCCACCAATTTAGCCACAATTTGGCCACATGGTGGGGAAAGGAAGCTGTGGGAAATGCAAGACTGTGCCAAGTGGGTCACCTGCATAGAGGGCGGTGGTGCGCTTCGGAGAGTCGGGCCTCTGTTTGTGGACCCTGCGGCACTGTCCGACGAGTCAGCTGGCTCTGCAGGCCCCAGCGCAGCAGATCCTGCCCTCGCAAGGCCCATACCCGAGGCTTGCCTCTGGAACGGCCTCCCGTTGCCCTTTGAAGGCCCCTACGCAGCAATGACACAACAGTCACACGCCATCGCATGGTAGCCGGCTATTGGATTTACAGAGAGAGTGGTGGCCAGATTTCCAGAACCACAAATATGCTTCTACAAGCCATCTCTATTTTAAGGGTAATGTAAAATTCCTGGACAAGGATACCAGGGAGCTTGGCCTTCACAGCAGTTTGATCCAAATTGATCGGGCTATGCACCTGAGCAAAGTCTGGCGTGCTACTGGGCCGCGCATGCTTTGTGCGCAGCAGTGCATTGGACGTGCTTCCTGATGAGTCAGCGCTTGCTGTCGACTCCTTCCTGGCCAGCTGCCCCCTTGCTTCCGCAGCATTGCCCGCCTGATCCAGCGAGCTCTAGCATCAACTGCCACCCACTCACAGACGGTGTCTTCTAGGGTGTGGTGTCTTGAACATGATTGTCAATGATCAGCAAGCAGGTTGAACAGTCACCGGAGAGATGGATGGCTGCCGCGCTCGGTGGCCCGGGTTCCACTGGTGCATTGGAGCTGCCTGCGGCTGGATCCTGTCCAGCACAGCGGCAGATGACCCAGCTCTTGTCAAGCCTGCACGCAGACAGAACACATTACATTTAGAGGGTGGATTTGATTATAGCTGGTTGGTAATTCACGCAAGAAACTAAAATAAAAAGGGATTGAAGCACTACCGAGAGTCGAACTCGGGTTGTTGGATTCAAAGTACAATGTGTTAAGCACTACACTACAGCGCCTTGCTGTAGGCATTGCCAGCAGCCAGGTGGCACTGAGAACATTCCGCAGGACATAAGACCTACTTTGGCAGGTGTGGCGCTGCCACTACCCTACTTCCCTTCTATCTGATATGCAAATTTGCACAGGGCAAAAGAGAGAAGGTCAAATAGCTTCCCAAAGACAATTCTTACATTGCTGAAAGTTTCCACTAGCGATACCCCTAGTTCCTGTCGTCGTTAAAAAGTTTATAGCAAAAGATTAATATGCGTGCGTTGGGTGCTCACCTGCACTTTGCCCAAAGCTCGGTAGAGTCGGCGCTTTGAATGTGACTGCTCCGACATCAGGCTGTATAGAGGACGTAAACGGAGATGCCAACGGTGCGGGCTTGGCAGGCTCGACAGCAGGCGGTTGCTGGCTGGTAAACACGTCCTTTGTTGGGGTGCTCCATTCAGTGGCATCCTGACCGTTGGCCCGTGGTGGCCGCAAGAAGTCTGTGCCGCTCATCCTGGTGAGCCGCACACCGCCGCCTTCAATTGATACCTGCCATTATAATACCACATCTCAGTATACTTGTATGTGCCGGGTCCTGTGGATAATGCAGAAACTGGAATGTTTGCTGACACAGCTCGTAATGATTTGCAATTCCTCCAAATACTTCTCACGTCAAAAACAATATCAATCAGCAGGAAAATTTCATTTATAGCGTGGACAGGTCACACCTTCTCAAGGAGCAGGCGGCGCAGGGAGCCGGCAGAGGTGCTCGCCCAGGGCGACTCTGCAGGTGCTGCAAGGCTGCTCAGGGGCGACAAGAGTGCTGGCCTACGCGGCTTTGGCCTGCCCAGCGGACTCTTGCGCACCTGCTGCCACGTCGGCCTGCACCCACACAGCGCATAAGATGCACTTATATCCAGCTGAGTGCTGATGACGCCCCTCAGCCTCTGTGCGACCAGGCGAGTCATGCCTTCCTCGGCATGACTGGCGCTCTTCAGAGGAGGGTCCCTCGGACTGTGGCTGCTGATACATGGACAGGGCTTGTGCAGTTCAAAGAGATGAGAATTCATCAGGTGCAGCAGGAGCAGGCATGCATGCCTGGAAGAGTCTCCAGGGCTGTCAACAGCGCTGGACGAGGGCCGGCTTGCACTGATCGCGCTGATGTAGGGGAATGATGGTGGGCCCCCACTGCCGCCCTCCTCGCCATCGTCCTCCCCGCTGATGCCCATGTCATGCAGCTTCTGCCACAGCATCTCCAGCCTTTCCAGCTGCACAGCAAGCTTGACACGCATGTAAATATGCATTAAATCTTATCTGCAGCAAGGATTGCACAGAATGTCTCTGCCGATGTAAGCAGCACTGCTACAACTGTTTACAAACACACCCAAGCAATTACTGCAGCGACAGAATTTGATGCACACCTGTGCACTGGCAACAGCCGTCTGGGCATTCACTGCATTGTAGAGCTGTTGTGCCGATGCGCGTGGGGCACTGCCAGCGCCTGACTGCCGCAGGCTCAACCTCTCCTCCAGGGCCTGGCCAAGAGCACTAATCCTTATGACTCTATTCAAGAAACTCTACAGAAATGTGACTTATGCACAATAGTCCTGTAATGTCTGCCATTGATTAATTCTGTCAAGCTTGCAGGCATTCAAGAGAAATCACAGACCCACCTTGAGGCAGTCGTTGAGCTGGCAGGATGGCTTCTGCAGCGCCTGCAGCTGGGTGTCAATGGAGGTTGCCAGGTCTTGCAGGGCAGGGTCCAACGCATCGTCGTCATCTACGTCGCCATTTGCTGATGCGCGCTCGCTGTGCTTGCCATTGAAATACAGCAGCGCCTCTGCCCGCGCCCTGTCTTCCTGCACATGCACAAACAGGCATCAACACAATGGCACTATTCGTGCAGCTTTTGATGCATGCTTGCAACACGTGCATTTGGATTTGCTTGCAGGACTTTGAGGGCCTTTCATTTATTGGATGAATATCATCGTACCCTCCAGCCATTGTGCAGCTCGCCAAAGCGCCGCCTCTCAGTGGCCAGGCTGTCAAGGATGTCTGCCACAGAGCGCTTGAGAGCGTCCGTCCTCTCCTGCAGGCTGTGGAAGCCCAGGCGTGTGCCAGGGCCGCTGGCCTTATCCCCCTCCGACCTGGCCATTGCCTCGGAGAATGCGTGCTCCATCTCCCTGGATTCCGCCAGGGTCTTCAGGAAATCCCCCTCCATGGCCGCCAACTCCTTGCTCTCTCCTGCAGCAAGATGTGTCGGCACCAACAAGTCACCCGCGGCGCACGATACCACTCACATTTGGGTGTTGAGGGCCTCATCTTGCCAATACGATTGACAAGACGCTTCAGGCACCTAACCTAACCAACGCATGTTGTATGCTCCAGTGGACTGCTATCATGCCCAACAGCGTTTTGACACCTGCATTCACACCTGACCCATGTATACAGGAAAGACGTCGAATGGCACCTTTCAGCCTGGCCACGGGTGCTGGCGGCTTTTGGCGGACAGGAATCACTGCGCGCTGCTGCTGCGAGCTGCGCGGTGCTGATGCTGTGGCAGCAGGTGCCGTGAAAGCGCTGCGCTCCGGCGCTGCTGGCTGCAAGGAAGGCTGCGGCGTTGCACTGGGAAGTGCAGGTGGGGGAAAGGGTGTTGCCTCAGCTTTCGAGAGTGCGGCTGCCTCGCTGGCCTCCCTCGCCTTGGCTATCGCCTTCTGAGCTGCAGACTGCGGCGGCTGAGGGGGCAGAGCTTGGGAGCCCTGAAAAACACCACGATTGCATTTGTTTTATATAAACACCTACACTCCCTTTTTTGTCTTCATTGCTACAGGGGAGGATGGAAGGATGTCAAGCATTGATTCCAGATTAATCAACTGAGCCTACCTGCATTTTCGGCATTGTCCCAGAGGCAGCTCCAAATGCTGAGCTGGATGTTCCACCAAATGGAGACGTAGATGTCCCAAAGATGCCCAGGTTTGATGGGGTTTCTGCTCTCGGCGCACTCACAATGGCTGTCCCGTCCAAAGCTGTCTCAAACGAGGCAGCCCCTGTGGTCGCCGTCTGTTTTCCAAGGCCGAAGGCGCCAGCTGAGGCGGATGAGAATGCTGGCAGGCTGCCAAAGCTGAAGCTGTTGGGGATGCTGGCAATGGGCACAGCAGAGGTGGAAGGCGCCGAAGTTGAGGGCGGCGCTGAGGGTGCTCCAAAGAGCGACGGCGTTGCCTGACTCTGGCCAAAAATGCTCGGAGCTAGCGGCTGCTGCGTCTTTTGGGGGGCCTCAGCTTCTCCGCCAAAGTCAAGCTTGCGGCCAGTCATGGGTCCCAGTGGGGCCCTGCTCTCCGCGCCATCGTCCTCGTCTGACTGCTGCGCTAGGTCCAGGCGGCTGATGCTGGGCCGCTCCCCGCCGTCAAAGCTGGCGCCTTGGGAGGCCAGGCTGTCAGCGTCATCTTCCAGGTCTGAGTCGTTGGACAGCAGCGCTGCTCTAGCCGCCCTGGCCGCAGGGGCCGAGCTGCTGCTGCTGGTCTCCGGGCCCCTCTCTGATGAGGAGCTGTCGTCCTCGTCGCTGCTGAGTGGGAGTGCGGTGGCTGCGGCTTTAGCCTCCTGTGCCTTCACTGGCCTGCTGCTGGGGGCGGCTGCTGCCGGCTCTGTCTCTCCTGCCTGCCTGGCACTGACCGATTCTACCTCCTCCTCCTCTTCATCTTCTTCTTCTTCTTCATTGTCAGATGGCAGCGGGGCAGCTGCTGCGGTGTCCTGTGTCTGCTCTTGCGTCATCTCTGACTGCTCTGCCTGCAAATGTGAAATTGGAGCCACTCAGCATTTTGGCGCACCACAAACACATTGATGCCCTCCACCCTTCTTGTACCCAAAAAGCGTAAAGTTTCCCGGTCCTGTATATTGAGCAGAGGATACCGTAAATGATGTATGAAACTGCAGTTCCGTACCTGCTCCTCGGATGCCATGGGAGGGAGGGTGTCAGAGTAGGGGCGCGCGGGTGCCACGATTCCCTCAGTGGGCTTGGTCATGTGGGCAAAGGTGAACAGACGAAGGGCGCCATCGGATGTGGCCACCAGGAGCACTGGGGAAGGCGCCAGCGCTGAGGCCTCCGGATCAGGTGGCATCACCTCTACTTCTGTGCTTGTGAAATCTATACCCAAGCCTGCATGCGCACAGTAATTGTCATGATACTGTCCTTTGTAAAAGACATTTCACGAGGACTCGCATCCAGTATCATTGCCAGTGCCATCACTTCAACAACAGTTAGGAGCAGAAATGGTACCCGTGACATAATTGTCATTGTAGTCCATTGCTGTGGGAATCCTGATTGCGCTCCAGTCCTCCGTCACATCTACACCCTTGGCTTCCCCGCCGGGAACATGTTCTGCGCACCATGCACCGTCAGCATTCATGCTTGATATGAAGCTCAACAGCCCTCTCGTGACCTGCAGTGGGCATCAACAGCTTTCAAAGCAATCTGCCTATGCTTTCAACAATGCACATGCCCCACAGGATGACACTTTCATGCTACATGCAAGAAATTGGACCTGGGCTGCTGCCATCTTTCATCACATCTGCATCCTTTGGTTGAAAAAGCAGCGCACCAAACAGCCTGATGTGGTCGTCGCTTGCTTTGCTGTGGGCGACCACAATGGCGCCCCAGGCAGGAACCAGGGCGATGCGGGCGTATGGGCCAGAGTCACGCGCAGCTGCATCTGGATTGATGGGCGGCGGGATGAACTCTGTGAGCTGCAGCTCCTCTGGGTCTGCCCCTGCATGGACATCCCACGCCGCCCAGCGCACCAACGCTAGAGGTGCAATGTCCTGCAACAACCACCGACTATCAGATGTAGATACATTGGGTACCAGCAGCTCAATGACCCTGTGAAAGAGAAGGTCAGAAGCGAACTTGTATGGAGAGCACACGGGCTCACCATTTCAGCCTCCAGGTCTTCATTGGGGTGCAGATTGGCTGACACAAGCAGGGAATTAGGCCCAGACCAGGCCAGCGTGTCCACAGTCACACTGCCATCGGCATCTTTGGCCTCCTGCCCACAACATGACAGGCGAACATCTTGTCAGATTGCACCGTGTGTGCTCGCCTGCAAAGATAATTGATTCCTGCTCTTGACCGAAACCAGGCAGACACACAGTATGAGGCCTGGCAAACAAAGGTTAGTCGGGCTTTCAAGTCCATTACCTTCGAGTCAAACTCTGTGCGGAAGTGCCGGCCTGACTCCACATGCTGCACCGTGATGCAGTTTGCTGATGCGAGCGCCAGCAGCTGACCATCGGCCGACCAGGCGACGCAGGACACCACGCCTGCAGCAACGTCTGGCAGCGCCTGCAGTCGTCCTCCCAGGCTGCCCCTTAGAAGCTTGCCCCTCATCGTCACCACTGCAGCTTCTGGCACTGCATCAGGCGCCTGAAGCGGCCTCCAAGCGAGCTGCACACGGGAAGCACACTTTGGCACATGTCTGATTGGGGGTTTTCTGGTGAATGGCACTGCCCAAAGTGAATTTCACTCAATACATGCCAAAGGTCAAAGAATGAGGATTGAACCCCCACCTGCTTCACTGGGGTTCCATCGGGAACCAGCCATTCTGTGAGCGGCATCGTGTCTCGTTTGTTGATCAGCATGCTAAGGGACCAGACATAGATCATTTTGCTGTCCCAGGCCGCAAGGAGCTCCTCATCTGACGACAGGGCAACGGATGCAGCTGCCACGGGCAGGGTGCAGGCGCACACTTCCTCAGCGTTTGCTGGAGGCAGCTCCCTGCAGCCACATCAATCATGTACATCCATCCATTTTCACCCTTCGCAATACAAGCAGAGCATGAAGGGTGTAGAGCAATTAGCCAATGAACTGATTTGAAGACAGTGGCACTCACTGGTCCTCTTCTCCCTTTGTGGCTGCAGTGAGGAGATCGTGCACCTTGGCAACATACACTTCTGCAGCAGTGTCACATACTTGGTGTTACTATGAGCTTGGTTCCATCAGGCAATGTAAAAGTGACAACGCAGGTTGAGGAAGAGAGCAGTTAATTGTGTTGGCAACCAGTGTTGGCAACCAGTCACATCAAGTACAGAGTGCAGTATGTCATCATGATATCAACACAATCTTGACAGACACAACGGTTCGAATTTCCTATTGCGTTCAAATCTGAACCTCACCCTTCTGGTCAGCAAAGACTGCAACACCATGTCTTGATGCCACCGCCAGACGTTGTCCTTGACCTTGCTGGCTTCCGTCGGATGGATCTGGAGTAAATCTGAGTTCGCCAAGGCGCTGATAGAAATAACCACTATCTTCCTCAACTCCAGCCTCAATTTCTTGGGCCTGTAACACTCTGGCCATCACTGCTGATGGACTTTCTTATGAAAAGCTAATCATCCCGCCCAATGCACACTCAAAGATCGTGCAGCTACCCATCTTGCAATGGAGTTCATTTATGAATGTATCGGAATCTCAAACAGCTTGGACAAGCATGTCCAGTATGAGTCAACATCACGTGCCGTTCTCCCGGGATGTCAGAGGCAAATGCACTCACCAGTGAACTTCAACACACGCGAAGATTATTATATAGGTTTAGTTTCACTGCATTGGGTTTGCAAACAGGGATTGGGCGACCATCTGTTCAGGACGTGATCTCGATCATGCTTTGTGGACTTGAACGTGTACCCAACACTTAGGACGCCGAGGCCTAAATTATGCAGTATTATCCTCTTTTAGGATCTTAACAAGTTTTTGCTTTGAGTCTGCTGACAGTTCCGAGGAGAGCACACCAGGATGGCCGCAGGTGAGCAGCAGACGGGTAGGTGATTTGGTTTCTGGTTCTTCTGATAACATCCATTCAGCTAGAATAATTAAAAGTGATGTTTAAGCTCCGATCTGATCTGCGCTGGGGGATAATAGAGTCCAGACTTTCTCACAACTGCACAGGCCCAAGCGCTGCAAGGGGCGGGACCTGCTCTACCAGGAGGCGCCTAGCTACTCTTGCGACCTGCAATCTCAATCAGTGGGCTTTGGACTTTGGTGGGAACCTTCAGCGGGTCATTGACTCAATCAATGAGGCAAAGCGGCTGGGCGCACGCTACCGTGGAGGTGATTGCTTTGTCATCAAGAATGCAGAGGCGATGTATCTTCCCGTGCAGTATCCTCAAGGAAGTCACGCTGTGTGTGTTCCCCGAAGGCTCCAGGGGGCCTTCAAAGTATCTTAAAAGCTATTTTTGATGCTTTGTTGAAGGGCCTGAGCTGGAGCTGCCAGCATATGGATGCGAGGACCACTTCCAGGAGTTGGACACAGTCGAGCACAGCTGGGAGTGTGTGGCTGAGCTGCTGAGGGGCGGCCACACCCAGGACATCCTCTGTGATGTGGGCCTGCCCATCATCCATCGAGGTCAGCCCACACAGATCAGCCATTGTTTTGGCACATTCAGAATGGACAGCCATAAGCAGTGTGGTGCTGAGTATGCTGATGTTTTCCAGGCGTGCGTTACAACTGCCGAATCTTCCTCCTGGACGGCAAGGTCCTGTTCATTCGCCCAAAGCTGGCCATGGCAGATGACGGCAACTACAGGTGAACCCCAGTTCTCTAAAATGATCCGACATGTGTCATGTGTCCTTGTGGCTGGTATGCCTGCTCTACAGTGGGTCACCATCTTGTGGTCATACAGTGTAAGCTAATCTGACTCGAAAGACCTTCGAAGAAATGTGCTGTGGTTGGCGCGTGGGGCCCCTGGTGAGATGACAACATAAAAGATGCGTTGCTCCCGCTCTTTGCAGGGAGTCCAGGTATTTCAAGAGCTGGAAGCGGGCGCGAGAGGTGGAGGATCATGGCCTGCCGCCAGAGATCCGAGAGGTCACTGGGCAGCGCACCTGCCCATTCGGCGACGCAGCGCTGGCCCTCAACGATGCGGTGCTGGCTGCTGAGACATGCGAGGAGCTGTTCACCCCTGCCGCGCCGCACATCGCCCTCGCCCTGTCCGGCGTTGAGATCATCACGAATGGCAGCGGAAGCCACCACCAGGCAGGATACCAGATCTTCACTAGCCCCGTCCTGGAATGGCACTTAACTTGAAGTGGATTCACGGGTCTCAGATTGGCCCTGGCTGGCGGAGGGCGGTACAAATGCCCAGCATCGTGCCCAAGCTTGATTGTGTGTTGCTTGAATTTTGCGAGTTCAAACGGATGTACAATTTTGGCAGCCTTCAATGCAGCATGAAAGGGCTGCTTCTGTTGCATACCTTCAAAGAAACATGAAGACAAGTATCGATTGCTTGCCTGTGCTGAGCAGCTGAGGAAGCTGCACCAGCGGCTGGACCTGATAAAGAGCGGCACAGCCAAGGCGGGCGGCGTCTATCTCTACGCCAACCAGCAGGGCTGCGATGGCAACCGCCTCTACTACGACGGCTGTGCCTGCATCGCCATCAATGGCCAACTCGTTGCGCAGGTATTGTTTTCACTGGCGGTCCCTCAAAAGCCAATTAAGTGTTACGACAGTCTTATGCTGCCTTTGTATGCACCTTAGCATGGGTGGCAGTGCCTTCGTCATGCATCTCTCTGTGATGTACACAACTCTCCTGGCGGCTTCTTGCGAATATAAGGAGAAGCTACATTAGGATTGAGGTTGGCAACGGTTGGGTGGGTGCAGGGGTCGCAGTTTGCAGTGGGAGATGTGGAGGTGGTGACGGCGACAGTGGATTTGGACGAGGTGGTCTCCTACAGGGGGGCTGTCAGTAGCCTGCAGGAACAGGCCAGCTCAGCGCCACATGTGCCCACCATCCCCGTGGACTTCGACCTGTGCTGCCCCGATGAGGCCGGCGTCGTTCCAAATGGCCCCATTGAGCCCCGCTACCATGTTCCCGAAGAGGAGATAGCCCTGGGTGAGGCTTCCTTAACAGCCAGCTGACCCATGCAACATCTCACATGTGATATGCCATGAGGGTGTGATAAAGTGTGGGAAGGTGTGTGCAGGTCCAGCATGTTGGCTGTGGGACTATTTGAGGCGCTCTGGCGCGTCTGGGTTCCTGCTGCCGCTGAGCGGCGGCGCAGACAGCTCGGCAGTGGCGGCCATTGTTGGAAGCATGTGCCAACAGGTCGTGGCGGCCGTCAAGGTACAGCCGCTTCGTCATCAAGCATGGCATGCACACCCTTCCCATGAGCACATGCTTGTTGTCGGGCGATGCGTGGAATAACGTTTTCAGGGCCTGGCTAGATCGAGCATAATGAGAAATGCAGGCAGGGGACAAGAAGGTGGAGGAGGATGCGCGGCGGGTGGGGCAGTATAGTGCATCAGAGAGCGTGAGCACAGGAGAAGACTTAGCAGGGCGGCTGCTCACTACTGTCTTTATGGGCACGGTGAACAGCAGCAAGGAGACTCAGGACCGCGCAACGCTTCTGGCGCAGCAGGTGTGTTGCTGTGGTGTGTTCTGTTGTCCTCGCTGAGTGGGAAATGCCATTTAAAACTCTTTCTTGCGCTTGTAGTGGAATGAGATGGGACATGTGGGTGTGTGACAGGTTGGTGCTGATCACCTGGATGTGAAGATTGACACGGTGGTGGACGCAATGGCGAAGCTGCTGTCAGTCATTGTCGGCCGGACCCCCCGCTTCCGGGTACTGCACAATTTCCCATGACCAGCGCACTCTGTTCGGTAGCAGATGCTGCATCTGAAACATCACCCTCCCTAGGTAGATTGAGGTGGTCTTGATGTTCAACAAAGAGTACTTTGGGAGAGGGCCTAGCAGCTGTACCATCAGGGAGAGTACACGCTGTGTTGAGATGGTATATTGTGATGGCCAGGCGGACGGAGGCACTACTGCAGAGAACTTGGCGCTGCAGAACATACAGGCGCGGCTGCGCATGGTGCTGGCGTTCTTTCTGGCGCAGCTGCGGCCCTGGTCTCGTGGCCGCTCAGGCTTCCTGCTGGTGCTGGGCACAGCCAATGTTGACGAGTGCCTGCGCGGCTACCTCACCAAGTGCGCTGCCTCATGCTGCCCCTACATAATTGACTCACTGTTTACTGATAGGCCACCCGTGCATGTTGCAAGGATCAATGACTTGACAAGTGATGTTGGTATAAGATGGGTTTTTCTTTGTGCAGGTATGACTGTTCATCGGCTGACCTGAACCCCATTGGGGCGATCAGCAAGAACGACCTGCGCAAGTTTCTGGTCTGGGCGGCAGAGAATCTTGGCTACAGCGAGCTCATGCGCGTGCAGGCTGCCCCCCCCACTGCAGAGCTGGAGCCTGTTCGAGAGAATGTGGCGGCTCAGGTGATCTTATCACAGCTTGGGACCCTGCAGTCTTCAGCAACGCTGACGCAGCTTGCCCTTCCAGTTTGTCTAGTTGTTCGGTTGGGTTGCAAAAACCTGCTGCTTCTCCTCATGTGATGCTTGATGCTCGTCTGATCACAATTCAATTCTTCTTGTGACAGCTGGATGAGGTGGACATGGGGATGACCTACGACGAGCTGGGAATTTATGGCCGCCTTAGAAAGATTGGCCGCTGTGGGCCAGTCTCAATGTTCCGACGGCTCCTTGTGGAATGGGAGGGCAGGTGATCTCCTGGCAACAACCTCTGCAATTTACACGAGCCCCTGAAAGATTGCAGAGCAATTTGAGCCAGAGTTGATGTTTTGCTTGTCTGCAGGTACCCTCCCAAGTTGATTGCAGAGCGTGTGAAAAATTTCTTCAAGTACTACTCCCTGAACCGCCACAAAACTACAACATTGACGCCATCGTACCATGCAGAAAGCTATTCTCCAGATGACAACAGATTCGACCACCGTCCCTTCCTGTACAACGTGAGGTGGCCTTGGCAATTTCAAAGCATAGACTGCATAGCTGAGAGATGCAAGTCAAGGTCATGAGCGACGTGAATTTATTGTTATTTCGCAAGATACAATTCAGGGAATTGTGTTTGAAAGCATATACGTAACAATAGTGATTTATGACAAGCTCGCATGCAATGTGGCACGAAGATGTGGGCGTGGGAGAGCTGTTATAGTGAAATGTTTGCACCGAGCATATGCTAGTTCCCAGCTGACTGTGACATGCGAGTAAGCAAATGACTCCATATGTATGACAGACTGTTGCAACTTTCAGTGACCATCAGATCAAGACTACCACCCCCTGTTCTTCTTACAGGCTATAGGCTGTAAGCTTTGTCAGCCCGCGCCCACGTTGGATACATTATTTGCGCTTTGCGCAAGATCAAACTCAGATATAAGCACTGTCGCAGAGCCCGACAGGCTGTGAAGCATAGCTGAATCTGGGGGCAGCTGCCCAGCAATGGAGCAGCAGACTAATGCAGATGGCACAGAAATATTGACACTTTCTCCTAAGTTCAGCATTCTGAGCACGCTGTGCCTCAGCTTCAAGCTCTAGACGGTTTCACTCCATTCACTTGCTGGCCTGTGACACTTCCCTGGAAGCCTGCGCACAGCACGAAAACACATCAGGAAAAGATTCAATCATGTCCCTTGAGATGTTGACAGAAAACACAGAGGCATGACTTGTCATCGAACAACATCCACTGAGAACAACATCCTAGCATGCCCATATGCAGCCTTCTGCACCCTGCAGCATTTGGAACTGGACAAAGCAGTAGCTTGTCAGGGCTGAGTGGCTTACCTGCGAGGCCTGGCGGATGGCGCGCTTCTTGGCGAGCGATTCTGACCGCCTCTCGCGCTGCTCCTTCAGCCGCGACACCAGCAGCTTGTGGTACGCCTGCGCCTCAGCCTTGCTCTGCAGCAGCACAGCAGACACGCCGTCAGCACAGCGGCAGGAAGAGGACGAGTACACACTAGGAGACTCTCAAACCAGCTGCAGACACTATTGACACGGTCCCATCCCCGGCATGCCCTTTCAATACCAGATACACATTTCTGGCAAGTGAATTTGGTGCTGAAGGGAGGGCTGGGCTGTTGAAAAAGACTAGGCACATCCCCAATTGACAGCGTCCCTCCTAGTGCACGCGCTGCCCAGAATTACATAAGAAAACACAGAAAGCCAGCTTGGCATTGACAGAAGGCTCACGTATTCCCTCATAAATATGGCCGGTCATGCAGCTCCTGAGCCCAGGTGGACACTCCAAAGCAGGGATAGCGAGAGGCCGCAGCTGACCTTGGTGATGCGCTCGCGCTTGATGGCGCGGCGGTGGCGCTTGCGCTGCATGGTGAGGGGGGTGACCAGCCGCTGGATCTTGGGCGCCTTGCTGTGCTTCTTGCCGTCCTTCTCCTTCACTGTGCGGTAGGTGTTGACGTACTTGCGCACGTCGTCGTCGCCGCTCAGGTTAAACAGCTTGCGGATCTTGCTCGCACGCTTCGGGCCACGCATGCGCGGCTTCTCCTCATCCGTCAGCCCTGCAATCTCCGACTCCCCTGTTCGCGCAGGGCAACCCATGTCAGCTCTTTGTTTAGTGCATTCCTTGCGGAGCAAAAGGGATGCGATGATAAAAGGAGGACCAGCAAGGCGGTTCCACTACAGACACTCTCTGCACTGGGGAGCGTGCCCTCCCAGCGAGACACAGCCAAGACACTTGCCAGGACACCCTAGCGTTCACTGCATTGTCAGAGGGGTGACAGGCAGGTCAGCCGTCGGCGGCGCACCCTTCTTGACGATGACCAGGTTAAGGACAGACAGGTCCGGGGAGACGATGCAGCCGCGCACAGACTTGCGGCGGCGCTCGCCCTTGCGTCGACCGAAGCCGCGGAAGCAGGAGTCGCCGGGGGCCATCAGCAGCTGCACGCGGCCTGGCACCAGCACTCCCTGCTTCATGCCGAAGCCCTGCTTGTCCTGGCCGCCCATAATCTTGAAGATGTACCCCTTGTACTCCTGCAAACAGAAAGAATCACACGCAATGGGGCCCATCCTCTGCAGCTTGGTTCTGGCAATCATGGTCTGCTCCTGGCATAGTGCGTCTGCTGATTAAGCTAGTCAAGACACGTGCTGACAAAGAGGAGCTGGATCTCACGTCTCCAAGGGCCTCCCCATCGACCTCCTGCGCCAGCCTCTTGTCATAGAAGGCGCGTCTGCATTACACAACAGTGGTAACGTCAAGAGACAAAGTCACTCTAGACAGAGCCTGCAGCTTGCAAGCGCCATGGGATGGTATCGAACATGTCGACTGCCATAGCATCCGAATCCACTGCCATACATTTCCACCAGCACGAGCAGTGGGCTTACAGCTTGCTGTCTTCATCGATCTCGAGTTTCTTCTGGGCGCCTGTAGGTGGGTAGGCTATGTTCAACTGCGATCACAACATCAAGGTTTAATAATCTTATAGCACGAGTGCTGAGAGCTCCGTGCAGTCACAACTTGGAAACTGTTCTAGTGCCAAGAAAGCTGCCCATCGTTCCAATACAGTGGCAGCTACCACACCAGTCCCATGCATTCACAGACGCTAGTGTGGACGTAATTCACAGTCTCACTGGTAACCAGGCTTTAGCAAGCAAGGATCTGAATTGCCATTCTCCTGAATAGTGTTTGCATCGATTGCACGAGCTGTCACCTTCATGATTGCCGGCGGCTATGCTGCAACGCTTTCCGCCTGCTCCGTGCACAGCAGAAAGCGTTCAACGCAGCTGTGCTAACTTTAACTTGATTTCTTAAGCTCTGCACCTTGATGTCCTAGCAGCCGCCTTGGGGCAGAGTAGGGTCTGGCCAATTCCCTAGATCTCGAGCCACGTGGACCTCGCCAGATTAGGCGCAAGGGAAACGGCGAGACTGCTAAACTAAGACTTGAGTCCTCGAACAAAGAGCGACGGGCTGACGCAGATGCAGATTTCAGGCAAAACGAAGAAGACTTCACAGTTAAAAAAGCGTTCTGGAAGTTTGTGATACCCTTAGCAGGTACGTTCTTGCAGGCTGTTGTTGAATGTGCCGCTAAGTCACTGGCCACATGGCTTCGGCCTTTCGTTGTTCAGGATCGGTCAAGCTGGAGAAATCTGTAAAGAAAAATCAGCTAGTTTTGAAGGACCTTTGTTGGCTCCAAACAGGGTGGTGACCTGCTGATCGCGCAAGATGGATCCTGTGATCCAGCGGCTGGATCCAGAGCTGCTGGACAAGGAGATTGCCAATGCCACTGCAGAGTCCAAAGGTGCCCAGGAGGCATGGTTGAGCGCCACAGATCCTCAGCAAGAACCCAAGTTGGAGAAGGTATGGCAGCAGCTGGTGAAGGACAAGAAGCTCCTCCTCGCAGGCAGGAAGGCACTCACCGATCAGCTTACGGGCCCAGGTGTGCACACTCTCCTGCTAGCTCACAACTGCTCAATGTCAGTTGCAGAGCCCATGGTAACAGTCTCGCAATGCGTAAACCTCTTTGCCTCTTGCCCCTTGTAGAATCAGGTGTGCGGCATGTCCCCAAGCCGCACTCGTTGTTACATGAGGGTTGCTGCAGGTTACTGCCCTCGGACTGTCTTCCAGCTACCAGCTGGCAAGGAAAGGAGGGCAGAGCATGAGCTTGTGAGCTCTTAAGATATCAACGCATACCTTGCTTGTAGACGCGCTAGTGAGTTGCAGCCTGCTGGTCTTATGAAAGATTGGATTGTGTCTCAGTTATAGTGGATGAGTGCGAGAAGTGCGAGTTGACAGGACGTGAGCTCAGCGCAGCTTGAGCGTTGCCGCTTCTGGCTGTAGCATGGTCATGTATTGATTACAGCTAGCAGGCTTACATAGCCGAGTGTGCAACTTCAGTGCACTTGTGCTGCTATGGCTGTTTTGATTGTTGCAGCCTACAGAGCTTTGTGGGTGCTCAGTGGTGTTCAGACCAGGGCGCAAGGTCTTGGCGGTGAGGCATTTCTCAGCGGGTATGTTGCCTTGTTATGATGCAGATCAAAACAAGGAAGAGTATAATACAAGCGCCCCCTTCTACTCCCGCACCTTAGCTAAGCGATTTAATGCACGGGCACCATATGAGCAGTATGGGATCTACATTGTCAGTGCCGCTGTGCTTGGCACAACTTGTTGAACGCTGAACGCTGTGCAAGACTTGGGATGGTTGGCGCGCTTTGCGGCGGGCCAAGGAGCTAGGCACGGCAGCCTTCCTCAAAGCCCAGAAGGCGCCACCCGAGGAGATGCTGGACCACTCGGCTTTGGCGGATGCCACGGAGCTGCAGTTGCGCAAGGCGGAAATCTTCATACGCCGACACCAGAACCACGCCAGGGTTAGCTTTGTTGCTGCAATTGCTTCGCCTTTGTTATGGGCCGGGACTGCTTATTTGCGATACCGCAGCCTTGGCTCATCCACCCTGCAGCCGCACCAGTCAACCCGAAAAACCTGACTGTGTTTGCAATCAACAGAATTTATAAAGCAACTTGCGGGTTTGCAGCAGTGACGGTAGGTGGCGATAACCCGCAGTGATGGTCAGTGTTCGCAAATTACTGACCGGTTTGAAATTGATTTGAAATTGATGCCATGTGCAATGCCCTGTGTGCAGGCTATAGGAAAAATATACAGCCTTACACACATTCGGGGAGTCACAAATCCAATTTCAGAGTCTGTGCATTTAAATGCCAGGCCGCCACTGAGTGCAGAGCCAGCAGCTGCGTAGGATATCGTTTATAATCTATAGATTGACAACGGTAAATTTAGCTACAAGTGAGATTCAGTCTCTGAACCCTTCCTCATGATTGATTTGTGCTAATGCTAAGTGCAGCAACTTGCATATTGAATACAATCATCACGATGATCGACATTCCTCAAAATCTGGGATTTCTGCACACCCCATTCATATTTTGAAGACCAGAAATTCTATCATTGCCCATGCTGGCATTTCAAGAAGCTTGCAAAGCCTCCTAAACATCCAAGCACTACATACACAATGCTTCTGTCATGCTTCCTGAGGATCTTGTCATACTTAGCCGTCGGAGATATATGTGGTTGTGTAGCAGGCAAAACACAAGCTGTGAGTCTTGTGGTGAGAGGTTAAGTGTTCCATAATGGAAAACACAAGGGAGGCTTCTTGTTCCACAAAAGCTTAAGGAACAGTCAGTCAGTCAGTCGCTTACATCTATTCCAGCCACCTCAGGCTGATCAGATGTCTGACGCTGATCGTCAGAGTCAGCGCCCAGCATCGCATCCAAACATTCTGACATAAATTTGGTAACCCCAATCAAGTCAGCCTACCAGAAGAATTCCAACATAGTAGGACACTGAAAAAGTGAAGAATACTTGTCCCTAATAGGTGGCAGGTGTGGGCACTCAAACACTAAATGTTTCTCATCCCCTAGACTGCCGGGTCCACACAATGTACAAGCACGGTCAGCTCGGGGAATCCTGGCCCAAGAGCCAGTGTCCCTGGGCAAGACATGACAACCCATTCTAAAACGCAGCATTTGTGTGACACACCGAGCAGGCAATGGCAAGGACAAATAAGATTTCCTAGCAGAGCCAACAGGGCGAGCAAACCACGCATGATAAGTGCAAAGGCGAGATTTATGAGACAGGCAGGTCCTAGGGCAGAAATCAAGGTCTGCCCAAACAGAGGCAGCACGAGAACACAAGTGGATTGCACACAGTAACACAAGTGTCTGTGGAACACAAGGTCCCACAAGCTCTGGAACATAAATACAGGCGATTGGTGGAACATAAATGTAGATGTCATGTTCCATAAGGCCGCCAATACGTTGTATTACACAAGGCTATGTAACATAACATGTGTTTCTAATATAACATTAAAGAAATGACATGTTACATATACTGTCAAAGTCCTGTTCCATTCTATTGTGTGCTTCAAAAAAGGTGGGCTTTTGGGGTGCCTGTATTATCTGGATTAGTGAATCTGCTTCGAATAGCTTGCAGCCTTCGAGGTTTCCGCAAGTGTTATAACATGAGTTTAACTTGAAGTCGTAGGTCGCCCCGCCGCCCCACCGGGGCGCCGCTGGCCGGCCGCCCGGCCGTCGGCCCCCGGGCCCTGGGCCCGGGGCAACTTGGAGGCCCGGCTGCCTTGGGCCACCCACATTGAGGGGCCACTGGCAGCCTGAGCCTGAGTCTCAGCTGAGCCTCAGGCAGAGCTGAGCCTCAGAACTCTGCCTCAGGCTGCCAGCAATACGCAGAGTAAGTAGGCTACTAGAATTCATTCAAAGTTCAGCCTAAGTTTCGAAACATGAGGCTTCAAAGTCAACACACAAACGTTTTGGCTCAACTTGGAACTCCTTCGAGTAGTCGGGTAATGAGTCACAGCACCGCAATCATTACTGGCAGTTTGATTCCGTATTAGAGAGTCTACTTAGTGGGCCCACTGGGCACTGGTGGCATTGGTTGCAGACTGGCAGACTAATTGCAGGCTGCTCTGCGGAATCTAGCTTGCTTGCTTATTTTTTAGGGTTTAGGGTTTAGGGTTAGGGTTAGGGTTTAGGGTTTAGGGTTTAGGGTTTAGGTTTAGGGTGTAGGGTTTAGGGTTTAGGGTTTAGGGTTTAGGGTTTATATTTAGGGTTTATATTTAGGGTTTAGGGGTTAGGGTTTAGGGTTTAGGGTTTAGGGTTTAGGGTTCAGGGTTTAGGGTTCAGGGTTTAGGGTTTAGGGTTTAGGGTTTAGGGTTTAGGGTTTAGGGTTTAGGGTTTAGGGTTTAGGGTTTAGGGTTTAGGGTTTAGGGTTTAGGGTTTAGGGTTTAGGGTTTAGGGTTTAGGGTTTAGGGTTTAGGGTTTAGGGTTTAGGGTTTAGGGTTTAGGGTTTAGGGTTTAGGGTTTAGGGTTTAGGGTTTAGGGTTTAGGGTTTAGGGTTTAGGGTTTAGGGTTTAGGGTTTAGGGTTTAGG